CTTCAACTGTGAGTGATAGTGCCATCCATCAAGCTTACTCGGAAGCGCCATCAAAAGAATAACTTATAAATATTTTTTCGGTGAAAAATCAAATTTATGAATCATTTTATGTGCTCATTTAACCGCTATCGTACTGGTTATTAAATCAAAACAGTCTACATATTTCGTCGCACTGATCTTTTTGCCGCTGCCAAAAAAGGAGCACGGTTCAAAAATGTGAATAATTGGGACAATGACAATTGTACGAGTGCCCGGTAGCAAAACCTCATAATAAGCGCCGAACGTCGCATTCTTTTGAGCAAAATCACATGATGACGTGACGTCATCTGACTGACGAACGTCGTTTTGGCTTGATTTGACTCATGCTAATATCGCTGCCGTCATTAGAACGTGATAAAAAAATGATTTCCAAACGTTATTGTTAGCTCAGGGAAATAACATCTTACGAAATTGTATACCTGTCCAATAGGTATCAATAATCCCTATTTTGACAAAAGATTTCACCCGCAAAAGAAAACTTCATTGTACCTATTCTGAGGTATCTAAAACTATTATAAGCGTCAATTAACTAAATATAGAATCTAAGCTATATTTACATCACTGACTAACAAAAATAAAAGTTGTAAATCAAAACTATGAAAATAAATTCCGCTCCACACATATCTCTAACCATGTGATCTATTAGGCGATAATAAATGTTGGTTAAAGACCGTATCATAATACATGTTATCACATGCTGTTAGTGGTAGCGCGGCAGAAAAAGTACGTTATGGATGCTAGTGTTTGACCGTCGATGTTATAAATGTAGCAATTTTAAAAGTACAAGCAATTTGTAGACAATTATCTTCAAATTTACCCCAAAATAACTTGTAGGTAGTAGAAAATTGCCTCCGTAATTTGAGAATCGGGCATCTAGCTCACATAAATATATACAAATGTTAATATAATTATATTAAATTTGTATATACTGGCTGTCAATATAAATTTGTAAAGATACAGCATTCATCGATGTAAGATCTTATCAGATGTCTGACAAAAATAGGACATTGCCAATGTCGCGTTTTATTACGTTTATAATGAGTCACACTTTGGTCGCGAAATGGCTATAAAATAAATCTTGCAATATTTTCCAGACACTTATAAGATAATAATTACATGCTTTGCCACCTGAAACTGGACATTCAAATCATGGATCGTGGGGGCGTTGGATAAACTGTCTTCACGTGATACGTTCAATCTGATATTGGGGGGCAATTACTTGTATGCATTACTTGATTCATGCATTACAGGTTCATCATTGCACGATGAAATTTTGCAAGATTTTTTGATAAGTGGTAACCAATTTTTTAAAAGTTGAAGAAAACTTGCACAGAAAAGCAAAGACATCAATTTCGAAGAACAAATAGCTATATATTGCAAAGAGGTCCAATTTGAAAAAAAATAAAATAGAACTACTGTCATTCGTAAGGGTCCATTGTCTACATGCATTGTGAAAATACTTGATAACGTCACCGTTAGTTTATTTTCTCTGAAAAGTATATGATGTAACTATTTGTAAATCAGGCTCTAGCAAATGACATTATTATAACAAGATGAAAATTGCTCAGAAATTATGACCCCATAAAAATTCCAATGACCCCAAATCTTAGTGCTAGACGTCTGACCATCATTTTCGGGTTTATTTTGAAATCCTGAAAAGTGACCTTTACAGTGGAATGCTCCATTAGCAATCCAAAATGACGGAATTGACCTGACTGATGTCATGAAAGTACCGCCATCTTGTCGTAATATACTTACCTGTCTATACGCAGACTATCAATTAAAGGAGATACGTCGTTATGCCGCGGTTCATGTAAGACTTTATTAAAGAATACTTAACTATACCTGTAAGGGTGAATTTCTCAATATAGGAAGTAACTGACCAATTGTCACAGATTTAATATTCCAATGTGGGGTCTCCGGTTCATGGTAAGTTCGGCCACCCAGTTAATAAATGTAGTGTTGACATTAAGTATTTCAATAATTTTGTGACGAGAGATAAGTAAGCTGTTGACAAAACGGATTATTTTAAATTTGATGGTTGCTCTATTTTCTGTTATACTACAAGAGTGAAAGTTCCCACGTCCTCGAATAACCCACACTTTACGAGTGAAGAATAAAATTTGGTGTTGCTCAGGTAAACTCTCTCCATGACCCCGCAACCCACGGTGATTGAAAAGGGCTGGGATTCAGTACGGCATAAAACTGGTACAAATGGAATAGATATTTGACCCCATGAACAAGTGAAAAGCACACCATATTTATGCATTTAAATTTATCATTTTGTGCGTCTTCTCTTTCAAACGTGAAATTGTATCATGTCAAACATTTTCCAAGGATGGGATACTGTTACGCCGATTAAAAAATTATGTTACCAATACCTCACGTTTGGTTAGGTTGCGGTGTCGTGGGTAAATGTTGACGGATGCCACGCGAGTGGGGTATCAGATTTTTTCATTCGATCTGAGTATCAGACGAATGCAAACAAAAGTCTATCTCTGGGTCATTAGCAACCAGATACATATGGTGATTGTTTGGATTGTTCCGTGGTGTGGAATGTCAAATTAAAAGAAATATTTATCTTCTCCTCAGCAAGTTACAGAAAATTCACTTATCCCCCAAAGCGCTTTAAAAGAAATATTGTATAGTTTTTTAAAAATTAAGTTTGAAATCTTCGGCATGCTGTATGCAAACAAATTGCGTGAAACTTAAACCGTCTCGTTTATTGTTTGCGATTGTCCGTAACCACCAAACAGCTTGTACACACTACTGAGTCAAATCTAAGTTATTTGGAGTATTTGTATAACTGGGGTTCTGTCGCTGAAAATATCAAAAATGCTGTTGGATTCAATGAATCATTCAAGTCCGAACTAAGCTTGAGTTTTCGGAAAAAATTTCAAATTTGTACACATTGTTTGGTAACACTTCTCTTTAGTATTTATCAAAAAAAATATCATAGCGACAATTGTCAATATTCGCACTTTCGAATACGTACGTCATTCGACGTGAGAATTCGAACATTAGGATCTTGTTTAATCTGGTGATAACTTTATTATAAAGTTAACGTTGACAAATGACCTTATTTGGTAAAGAGGGAAATTTTATTTTTCATAATAAGGTGGGAAGTCAATACTGAGATGATTGCTACTTAGAACCTTTTGTTTGATTGAAATGGCCGATACGTAAAATTAGAAAATTGTTCGTATGTAATAAGGCTCATTGTTGGTGTCATTTTGGCGTTGAAATTAGTTGTCGTTTGTGGTTGACAAGTTTTGCATAACATTTTTGACAAAAAAAAAAATTGAAAAAAAAGAACTCCAACGCGATTTGTATCATATAGAATGCTTCATCGGTAATTTTTATGGTAGAACAACTATTTATTCCCCCATTTTTGCTCTTCAAATTCCCTCCTCAAAACTGTCAAATGACCACTAGGAAATAAAAAAAAATTTATTTATTTTTTGTTCAAATTGGCAAACAAATATGCTTTAGTTTGCTTGTGATATAAAATGTGTTAAAAAATTAAATTCAAACTTTTTTGAAATTTAGACATAATAATTGATGCAGCATAATTTCGCGGAGTGACCTCGTTATATGAGTAAAATAACCGAATTTTTACAATGTATCCATGAGTACATGACGCACGAATCACCAAGTTGTAAACCTGAAATTCGTACGGCTATAGACTGTCACTAGATCCATTCTTAACCACAGTCCTGTTATAATTTGTTTTACCCACGCGATTTGTCATAAGACCGCAAAGGTCTGGCGTGCGCGATTACTCGGAAACGTGCTGTAATTGTAAATTTTGACCCAATTTGATTTTGGGTCCACCTGCTAAAGATATAAATTACTGATATATGAAGTGATTTTATGGGAAACACCACTTTTCCGAAAATAATTGGTTTAAATGTCCACATACACAAGTTGCTAATAATGCCAAATTTACGAGGAGACATAATTTTGTTCTATCACTCCCGTCGGAAATGGACTGGTCTAAACATTCGATGTGAAATAAAAGATGATTTCTACTTTTTAATGTTCTATGAAAAGTTTAAAATCAAATTACAGCCTGAACATCGCGCCACCCCAGGATATGTGTCCAGTATGCCTGCACAGAGTGTAAATATCCCCACGAAAAGTATTACTAAAAGTCATTTCATTTATGGGATTATTGTTTTACACATCAGTTCCACCTATTTCAAAATATTCATTCAATGGTAATGTCGATCACGCATCCTTATGAAATTATCATCAATTTTAATCAGTGATGATACGAATCAAACACAATGAATTCATTAATAATACAACAATGTTGGTGAATTATTGTCTCAATGATTTTGACAGGTCGAGTGCCCTTCCGCGATTGTTGATAGCAGGTCAACATTACAGCTGACTTTTCAGACGATGCTTCGTCATCATCAACTAACTTTCGGAATTTGACGTTTTTACCGGTATTAGTATTGTGACTCAAGAATAACTTGACCTTCGATCAATGCTTCAAAAGTTCGTTACTGGACTGTAAATCTCAACCTCATTTTGCACTGCTTTTTTTTCAGATGGAAAAGAGTTTGAGCTACCTAATAGCGTTTTAAGAAGAAAATACCTCATATTAAAATTCAAAAACTTGACTGAGTGTTAAAAAATATTAACTAATAATAAGACATTTTTGATTGTTGTCTACTCTATTCCATATAAATCGATAACAGTCACAGCAGTAGTCAGTGTATACCAGGTATAGTATAAATGACTGTTTATGATGGCATTTGCTGTAAGACGAATTGGGATTCATGACCTAAGAATAAAGCTTTGGCGATCACATATTCGCTTAGATAGCGTTAACCACCCCACGCATACGAAATATTATAAACCGTTCATTTTTAAATTTCTGAACCTGGCAGTCTTCAGTCTGTCTAACTGAAACAAACTATTTTTACAACCAACAAAAGCAAGTTTTGAGAAGCATGTAAAAAACTTTGTTGAATAAATAAATAGATGCAAAAGTGCGAAAATTACCAAAAAGTACCATTTGAAAAATATGAATAATATAGAAAAATTATTGATTAAGCAGCACAACGGACGACAGAAAAAATGAATCATTAAAAACAATATTTTAATGGGAGAATTTTGCCTCAAAATTTCGAAAATAAAATCGTAAGTTTCTTTGGTCGAAATTTGATCAAAGCAACTGAATTTAGGATGATTCTAAATTTGGAACAGAGAACTCTATTCAGAGAAATTAATTTTTTGGTGCTGATTTAGCCCAAACACGAACTAATCAAAGCATATCATATGGATTCACATATCGCCAATAATTAGCCAAAGCTATCTAAAATTGGCCAGTCATACGATACCAAATAATTTACGGATATTTTCAGAGTGTATTGGTAGCTACTATTGGTTGAGATATACCATCCTTCTATTGTATCACAGTTTTGAGAATTTACGACTTCAAGGTCGAACGACTACTTTAGACCTTTGGATTAGCAACATGAGAAATATATTAATTTAGCTTTGTAAAAATAAATATAGTGCTAACAATAAATTTCAAGTCTTTTCGGTCAGGTGTATAACTTACACAAGGCAGTGGGCAATTTACCTACAATACCGACCGAAAAGATTAGAATTTATTTTTAGCAAACGTAGCAAGAGAATTACTTAATAATAATAATAGATAAATAAGTATTGGGTGGCAGTTGAAAAAATAATAAAAGCATTAACACAAACTGAAATAAATCATCCAATTGGAAAATTTTAGTCAGGATAGTAAATTGATTAAATTTATTTAAGCTCTTTGTTTTATAATCGAAATAATAAAGCTTGGCGTTGGTCAAAATTCTTCAGAGTCCAAGAAAATCAGATTTCATGATCACATGCATTTTTTGTATGTTTTATGTTATTAAAACAAATAATTTGACGTTATTTGGTCGCAGTTAAATAATTTCATATGAAATACTTACATTCAATTCCGTTTGTGGGAGAAACATCAATAATAAATAATAGTAGAAAGAGTGAGAGATCAAGAAGCAACAACCATATCAAGCAAATGCTGTATAAATCCAGATATACGTAGAAAAATTAAAGTTTAAATAAAAGGTCTATGGTTTTATCAAGATTTAGAAAATAACACAGAAAAGTCATTGAGATCAATATCAAGCACACTGCTGACGGTATAATTTTGAAGATACAGCGGCGATTGAGAAGGAAAGCAACAGTGAAATCCTTTGCGCGGAACTCAGGTACAGCAATTCACCAAATCGTATTCGCAGAAGTTCACTATGTTCATATTAACACGAATTATATATTCATCCCTTCGTGTTTGTTGGTTCATAGTACGGCGGCGTGAATACAAACCGGCAGTCGCTCATTTACTGATACTTAAGCCGTCACGTGCGTTCTTCGTCAAGAAGTCCCTTTAAAAGTAATCCCATTTCTTCAATTTTAGTAATGGGAATTACAAAATCACTCGCCGAAATGTCACTTTTAATAGAAAGTTTTTTACTTCTCACTGGTGAGCGAGTTACAAAAATATATCTTGTGTTTTCCTCGACGTATTCGGCGCAGTCGCAGTTACGGGATTTGAGGGTCACAGGGGATTTTCCTCTGACGCGTTTTAGTGATATTTGTCCTCGTTTTGACTTGATTAATTTCATGTTTCCCAACTTCCATTGCCTTTGTGTCTTTCGTTTTGATGGTGGAATTATTTCTTCAACAGTTGCGACGTACACTAAAAATACATAACTGTATTAATAATCTGTTTATATTACACAGCGTGCAATTATCGATATTTTTTATTAAGATCAAACCATGTTTCGTTAAAAATCAATTCGAAATTTCAATTAAAAAGTAAAATATGAAAGCAAACTCACCATAAACTTTTCCGCGTATAGCTTGGATTTTTTCTGCCGTGATTGTGCATTCTGAAAAAAATACAAACATTTTTTACAAATATAACAATAATTTCAAACAAGTATGATAAGACATTTCTTATAGTTATAGTTCTTATAGTTATCCTACTTTTCATTTAATGTTTTATATTACCATACAACTATACTCACTTTGTTCGAATAAAGGACATTGAATTTTTTCCACTGAATCTCCGTTACAATCATGAGTTTCTGGATAGTAAGGTTTTTTCCGACAGCATCTGTAAATTAAAATGTAATATTTTACAACCAGCAATTTAAATTTCATAAAAGTAGTGAATTAAAAAACAATTGAGAATTTATTTTACCTTGCTCCACTGTTGTACGAAACGGCAGCTGAGACTTCATTAACGCAGCAAATCTGTGTGTCTGGGTCATAATAGTTGGTTCCAGAGTCGCAGCAGGTGTTTCCCAATAGTTTCAGACCTTTATAAAATTTGTAACCGCAGCACAAATCAGCTGATGTATTGTAGATTTTACTGGAACCGCACATCGCTTCTTGAGGACCGAGATTGTAAACTCCTCCATTTACGCACACCTGTTGAAGAAAACACAAACTAAATTAAAATTCGATTGAAAACTAACTCCCAGGAAATCTGACAAGCCCAGTATATTGAGATCCAAATCACTCCGTTTATTTACACTATATATCCACTTTCAAAGTTAGTTGCACAGCAAGTAATGAAAAATTACGTACCGTTTTGTCATCTCTTGTGTAAGGGGTTACTGAAACACCTCCTGACCCTGCATGGAAACATATATCATTTTGATTCGGATCTGTTTTTTGATATAACTTGCCGCTGGCACACAGAAACGAAAACATGTCATATACTTGTGGTCGAGGCCCCATGCAACAACCATGCGTCTTTGGATCGTAGAGTGGAGCTTTTCTTGAACTACCGCAGGATTTGATACCGGGACTAGCTGTTGAAAATAACAGAGAATTTATATTTTTAATAGAAGAATAATTTTTAGGATAATTGTTTTTAATATGTAATAATAATATTTAGGACTTTGGTGAATGCACTTATAGTATTTATAATAAAATAGAAAATGAAAAAATAAGAAAAAAATGAAGGAAAATTACTTTTGTTATTGACTCGTAGAGCACCGTGTTCTGTATGGTCACAAGATTGCTTCAGGGGGTCGTATGGGACATCTAAGCAACACCTTCCGTACGGTAATGCCGTCAAGTTTTGTCTTCTTCTACGCGGGTCGTTGTGTGTCTGAAGACAGCACGTTTGTTCTGACTTTTTATATTTGACCCCCGAACAACAAGAATCATCTGGCCCAGTCAGATATTCTCCTAAGCAACATTCACCACCTGTGGAATAGAAAAAATGTTCGTTTCAATGCGAGTAAAGACAAGAACAAGAGAGCTATGCTCAAATATATGGACACGTAGCGCCACCCAATGGCAATAATTTTGATGACGTCATAGCGAAAAAAAAAGTAATAGCCTTCTGGAGAAAAATTTTATCTTCAACCACTGAAAATTTCAAAGCAATTGGTCCAGTATTCGAAGAGAAAAGCGACTTTTTAAAAACGTGTCAAAGAACAACAACAACAAGGATAACAAGAACAAGAACAACAACAACATAATATTGAAACGATCGTTATGTCCACTACGTGTCCAATAACGTTGTTACATTGTTTGCATTCGTTCTGTGGACGAATGATTATGTAGTAAATTTTGTAACAAACAGAACTTACCTGGGTGCTTGTTATGTATGTTTCCGTTGCAACAAACTTGTGATGTTGTGTTGTAAACGTTCTTACCGCAATTTAATTCTTCTGGTGCTCGCGCTCGTATTGCACCGTGAACACAAATTTGATCAAGAATGTTGTACATTCGTCCAGAACCTAAGTAACAAAACAAAAAAAATTCGATATATATCGTGTGCTGGCGGGAAATGGTACACAATTAATTTACAACGTATTACATACCTTGACAACATTCGAAGCCGTCCCTCATAGAAAGTACTTGGAAGGTTCCTGGATTGGGCCCGTCACAACAAAGCAGTCCTTGTTTTCGGCAGGAAAATCTTTGATCTCCTCGATAGCATAAATTATTTTTACACGACAAAACAGATGGACTTGACGGTTTGGCAGTTGAAGTTCCCAAGAGTAGGTACATCAAAACACATATCATCGCTGCAAATAACATTTTGTCAGTACTGTTATTGAATTTTAAAATCTAAATGTGCGGAACTTTGCCGGAGGTCAGGGTCTTCTAACAATGAGGTAATATCTTGTGACTTGTAACACTTTTTAACGTCACTCCCAATTACAGAAACTAATTTCGCAGAAATTTAGTATCTAATGCTTCCTTCTAAGAAGACAGTTGTGCAGGCACTGAGGGCATTTAAAAGCAGCCGCATCAATGTAACGCCGATTCCGGTATTTATATACCGAGCAATTAATCTTTTTACGCCATGAAAAAACGCCGGTTTTCGGCGTCATAAGGTATTTGTACGGGATGGTGCAATCCAAAACAACGATTAGGCAAGCGTCGAGTTGAAAAGAACGAATGATAACAAACGCACGTGTCTTTGACAGCGCGTGTTCTCTCGTTTTACCGTTCGCTATATTTCATATCCAATGCACAGCACAATCAAATGAAAGGAAGCTTATTACGTTCAACACAACATATTATAGCGTTCAATACATAATTTAATTGAAGATACGCAATTGTTTCTGTATGATTTCTGATATATACGCAAGGTATCTTAAAAATTTTTTTAAAACCTGTTGGCAAATAACTTTGTGATCGTATTTGTAGGTACAAGATATACCGATAAAACAACTTACCTATTTCACAGTTAGTCATCTTTTCTGTTATAAGTATGTTCTCAGTTCAGTTAAACAAATTTCTGTATATCCCAAACCGCTTGTAGCAGGACCTGTGTTTTAGGACGATCACTGTTAACTATTCTGCAAAAGGTAATGTCCGTCGTTTTTATATTTGTTTCAAAATATAGTCTGGGCCATTTCAGGGGACTTTTTTCGAGTGAGATCATTTGTCGTCATCTACGTATTTTTATTTTTTATTGTACCAATACCTCAGATGAGATGAAAAGAATCGACTTGAAATCGAGATATCTGTGATTTGTTGTTTATGAAAAAGGCATCTTTGTTTCACTTCAGTTTCGAGATACGCTAGACTGCACACCACGATTCAAAGAGAATGGAGGATAGACCATAACCACGCCGTGACGCGACCGGCTTTCGATTGCTTTCTGTCGGCGCTGTCTTTTACCTGGCGCTGGGGAAAGTTTTTGTAGTTTTCGTGGTATTGTGAGTGTGCTGAAGAAGTACAAGTATTAATTAGTATTCCACATGTGTTTTGGTATTTTTAGTTATTGTATTTTGACCATGAAAGTTGAGTACCTTTTAAATAAGTTTCAGTTTTAGCCGTGAATGTTGGAACTGCGCAGAATGGATTTTACAAGGTAAATATGCCGATACCTGTTTACACAGCCCAGCAGCTAGACTGGATATAATCATCGGTACTGCTGTACTGAATTGGTGCGTACGGTATTATGCTTGTACACGTGAAAAAAAACTTAGTTATACTGTTATAGGTGAATAGTTCGCCCAGCCCAAATACTGGATTAAGATCGTTGGCTTATGTCATGTATATTATTCATTGGCTATTTTTATCATATTTAATCACGAGTTCTTGAATTAAACTACATTTAACCTGACATTTTATAACCTTCACACTTATGTTGTAGTCTAATACAGTAATACTTGTATCAAGCTTTTTTCCAGTATTATCTGCGAACTTTTGGGTGTGTATGAGTATTATAAGTATATAAACACTAAAAATGAGATTGAACACAGGACCATAAATAACAATATCTAAAAATTGTTAGCTCATTTATTGTCATTTTTGTATTAATATAATTGCATTGAATTGAATACAGTATTTGGGTAATAGCCATCTTTAAACAGTTTGTTTATTTATTATTTGATGTGTTGCGATGTTGTTAGCCTAGCATATAAAATGTATTCATAATTAAAGTTTTGTTCATAACAATTCAAACATAATTTATCCTTTAAACATAAAAGTCAGATATATATCATTAAGCAACTGACTGACCTCTACAAGAATTTCTTACTGTTTGCCTCATTCTAGCACTGAAATGACAAGATGGTTTAAAAGTTTGATTAGAATGGAAATACCTCACTTGTGCTCTTCTCTATAGCTTTTAGTACGATCTACCTTTTTCGTTGTAAATATATGCAGTTGATATAAATTGCTGACATATTGTGCATTTTTCATAGATTTTGAGTGACTTCCATATCAAATGATAACTACCGGTAAATTGTATGAAAATTACCAAAGGTCATGAATTTTTTGCAATTTAGTTTCTGGGGAACTATTGGGTCATTATAGCAATATTCAAGATGTTCCACCTGTACCTGGTGGTTTGAAATAGGAAAGTCATCATATATTTTGTCGATACCTCTCATCCTAAAATATCATACAGGGTTGGGCATAAAAATGGGTTTGTATTGGGATTACTTTGTCTATATAATTTGGACCTTTGAAATTTTAAATTGCTCTGATGCAAAATATACCATATTTATCTATATAGCTTGTTGTCACCCCTAAATTTTTTCCAAACTGGTCTCACTCTCAGGAAAAAGGCCTGCCGAATCAATCATGACAATATTGTTTATTTATGGAACCGCTTTGTGAAGGGAGTCAAAAAAGTTTTTGGAATGATCTATAATAGTTTTCAATGATTATCTGTTGTGTCTGTATTTATGAATATAAATTTAAAAAAATCAACTGCAACGTCATTTGGAAATGAAACAAGTGCAATAATGGTTTTGACGAGAAAAATACTCAATAAATATATATAAATATTAACACCATTTCTGACCAAATTAAGGAAATATGCAAAGTAGTCCCTTGTAGGGGCTGATTCACAAAAGATAAATATAATTCTTACTGGTTAGAGAAGGGGGTTTTAATTTTATCAAAGTGGCAACCTGTTTTTTTTTTCATATCGCTATTTCTGTTCACTGAATTATCATATTTTAATTAAATAACCATTGCCCATAACACCTTACTCAGTTTCTACTCAATAGTACACACAAAACAGTAAGTATATTACATGGTAAATATTTTTGACATCTTTGGCAATAATTTATCCCTAAGCTAGGTGGAATAGAAATGTAGTTTAATTGGAGTTTGCTGGTTTCCAATATCTCAATAACTGACATTATTGCTAATATAAATATAATTGACATCTTTAAGTATTTCTAACATAGTAATTTTTGTGTTTTTCAAACCAATTGCCAATGGTAAAAAAAAATAATGCCACATTTTTTATTTCAAAATTTAATATGAATCAATGTTATCACATCATCATCATCTGCATTATAACATCACACAATCCTAAAAAACCTCTATAAAATTTATAAGCTTCAAATTATAAATTTGAACATTCAAATTTTAAATCTATATACACAATACTGACTGTTTCTGCTATCTTTACAACTTTCCTAATGGTGCTACCAAACTTCCTGCACTGCCTTCTGGGTCCTTTTTAATTGAATGAAGAAGGTTTTGCATTTTTATACAATAAAGAAACAAAACATTTCTCCTTCTTTCCACATTGGTTGTGTGGTCATGTTCTGGGCAAGTCTGGGCAAGATATCATGATTGACCGCCAATGTCTTGTTTTGTTCTCATGCTATTAGTAATTTTATTTTTTTCAATAAGCGATTTATCTCTAATAGTTCACTTACATATTATGAACTTGGGTCTCCTTCTCTAATTGCTGTACCTTTTTCTCTTCTTTTTGTTTAAACCATAGATATATTGTGATGCATTTTATATTTATCTATCAACTGTCTGTCTGAACCTTCATAACTCGGTTGTTGAGATTTTGCCGAACTACTAATTGGTCAGACACTGACTGAATTTATATATCTTTGGTCACTTTGGTTTCATCAAAATGGCCAATCCAGAAAAAGGTAAGTCATTAGGATGTATTATATATCACTAGTTGCAATTTGTGCTAATTGATCAATTGTCCAGTTTGTATGTACTGGAAGTAATTATCGTATTTTACAAAATGTTTATTTGTTTTGTGCTTTTATGGTTTTTCTTCAATTGAATAGGCGACTATTTACAGTAGATAAACTGTTATTATTATTAATTTGTCTTGTTTTCACACCTCGTTTGACGCCTTGTTCAATGGGCTTTTGATGGAATCAGACGGGTGCCTTTTCATGTAGTTGATATTTAAAAGAAAATTGTATCATTGAAGGTGTGAAAATGATTTGTACTTCGGGAAAACAATGGTTTTAAAGTGTGATTGGAGAATGCCGGACATTCTTTGTCTTTTACATTTAGTCATCCTCCAGTCTTCGAGGCACCAGCACTGGCATCATTTATTGTTTGTTTTATGAATGAAAAGATGGAAAGCAATGTGAACAGTCGTCCCATTTGTCGGTTATTGGTAGTTTACAGAGTGCCCATGTCTGATATTTTTTTTTATGTCTCCAATTATATACAGTGGGTTGTATTATTAGGCTTTTAGCATTTATCCAGTAACAGTTGAATTTGTCGCGTCTGATTGCTACATTCCCTAGACACTGGCGACATCTTTTCACACCTTTTCGAGACATTGGTGTGATATTACACATGTCCCAACACCTTTGATCTTTTGTCCTCTTATGTTTGTGTTTTTGTTTCTTAAATATAATCAATAATAATTATAATTAATAATTTAATAGAATTTTTATACATCATGAGGTCATTATATTTCGAAATTATTCTACATTGCAAGTATATCTATTGAAACTTTTTACTAGTTGTACACTAAGTGAATGTAATTCATGTTGCATCTGGTTTTTGAAATTATCTAAAGGGAGACTAGCAACTTTCATCAACAGTATTTTGATGAATTGTTTTGAGGAGGACTTTAATTATTTTAAGCAATCACCCTTGAATAAAAATCACTTGACAAATTTTTTTTATCACTTGAATAAAAATATACCAGTACTAGTTAAAGATTCATATGCAATGCAACTGCTTTAGAGATAGCTATAGATTTATCTTTATGACTGTATTGCCAGTAGATGAGTGTTGACACTAGACTTGAAATAATTCAAGTCAACACTGTCAATTTATTCAATAATATATATTCTCCTTTATATTGTAACAGTCTCAGCTGAAAATCCTCTACATTTATCATGGCATGACAGTGCTTGGATTCCTTTGTTGAACAGAGGAAATGTCCTCAAATATTTCTCCGAACGCAGTAACTCTTTTTATGACAGCCAATGCAACAATGAAATTATAAAAATGCAAGGATTAAGTCTGGATCACTTGACGTAAGATTGGGTTTGCTTTATGGTATTAGGCCTAAACTTTCATTTTAAAATCATTCCTGCTTGTTTTAATGATATTCTTGTTCATTGAAAAGTATACAAGTGATAAGGTAATTGAATATAGTAAAATGGTATAGTCACAATCACCAATCACAAATATAAATTTGAATTAATTTTCAAGTCGAAGACTAAAGGTTCACAGAATCTGGAAATGGGTAATTTCCAGAACATATTTCTTTTTTAGGAACATGACAGGTATAGAATACACATTGCTACATTGCCAAGAACCAATATTATACATAATCAGGAAACAAATGAGACATTCACCCACACATGGTAAGTAACCAGGTTCCTCTTTGCTAATATGACAATTTATCGATTCAAATTTATTATACTTTATTATTTTCTGTTATCATATACTAACTATGAGACGAGGGTTGGCACCTAATCAGTGATATAAATGCTTTGCTGATGTGCGCTGATGTCTATCTTAATCGCCACTGACCTACGTATTTGCCACTGACTTACATCACCACTGACTTACTTAATCATCTACTCCAAAGAAGAATGGGTAATTATTGGAATAAATTGTGAGATTAAAATAAGAACATTAGATTAAAATAAGTTCATATGCTTATCACCATGAATCATGTGTTAAAATCTGATTCAAGTACCAAGTATAAAAACAATTTCTTTAGGTTATAGCATATTAACGTTTTAGTAAAAATGGCTAGTCAAATTGTTCTTGATAGCCATTGATTTGGAAGTTTAATTTAGTATAGCTTTAGTTTTCTTCATTGAATGAAGATGAAAATAAGCTCTTGTTTTGATCATGTTTCCTATGCAAACTTTGAATGACTCCTCTTGACCATAGCCAGTATGAAACTTCATTTAGGATCCATTTCTCCTTTAGATTTAAAGTGTGCAAAAGTGATTCATGCTTCAGAAATGCAAACGTAATGGTATTAATGCGTAAGTATTGCCGCCAGCTTGAAGTGGCAATATTGCATAACATGTGCACTGTACGTATTGCTTTCTTGCCAAAACGACAAATAAATCTTGAGGCAAAATGCCTCATCGTGAAATACCGAACACGTATTGCTCATATATTTTTATCGTAAAGTCAATACAGCAATTTCTTATATAATATTAGCTGAAGCGTTGTTTTCCTTGAAACTCCCAAGTCTTCCGTAACCATATTTGGCATTTATTTGCCATTTATTTGCCTTCGCTGAACACCTTCAGTTGCGACAGGTTAAAATTGATAAAACATTAAATTTGATGGTAACAATGCACGTGGGCGACCAATAACAGAACAATTCCTAATTTTTCCCCGCCTACGATAGACTCAAAAGTCTATAGAACTACCTGTAAATTTTTTTCAGGGGTTTCATGAAGTGTGAAACTGTTTTTAAATACCCTAATTCTCTAACCTACGTTAGAATTATTCTTTGGAGGTTGTCTTATCACCGGCACATACTTAATACTGTGCAACATGACGTGAAAGCACTCGTGCCGGTGATGTAATATTTGATCGTCGGATTCCTGCCCAATGAGGTGAGATACCGGAATAGAACGACCGCTTCTTCCGTAGAAAAGTATCTCTCGTTCAATTTTGCATGCTCTATAACTTTGAATACAACGTTCGGTTCCATTGTATTCATTTTTTTTGTTGTGCCGGAATAACTTTTTTCTTGCGAAAACATTCTACTCTATTTAACGCTTTTCTCATTTAACTCTTTTGAGTTGTCACAAATATTCCCCACCCTATCAAGAATGTTTACAAAAATTATAGAATTATTATTGTTGTTTGTGGAGTAGGATGTTGCATTGGAAGATTTTCTTTCGAAACTATGTACAACTTACAAGTGAAGTCTCATTTAATATATAAACCATACAACTTTAGACTCGACACATATCGCATAGCTATGCTCGAATGCTTTGACCCCTCGAATTGAATTGTTGACGCCGAGGAAAGTGTTCGACCTATTGATGCAATCCAAACCGGCCCGTTTGATACACACGTTACAGGTTTAACGCTGACGTTGCCCTTTATGTCCACTAAGGCACGTTAACGTGTCCAACAAGAATGTCAGATTGCAACATCTATTGCCGACGTAGTTTTAAGATTGTTCTAGTGATCTAGTCCGCGTTCTTCAGTATTTTAAAACTGAAATCATTACATCCTGTACGGTTTACACCCGCAAAAGGATTGCAACATTTATTGCGGACGGAGTTATAAGATTGTTCTAGTCTGTTCTTTCGTATTTCAAAACTGAAATCATTACATCCTGTACGGTTTACACCCGCAAAAGGATTGCAACATTTATTGCGGACGGAGTTATAAGATTGTTCTAGTCTGTTCTTTCGTATTTCAAAACTGAAATCATTACATCCTGTAGTGTACAGTATCCACCCGCATTCTTTTTCGTGACTCAGTTGAGTTCAAATTCTCTTGGGTATGGATTGATTGCAAATGAAATATTTCGGACATATCAAGTGAAAATGGGTAATAATATTTAATGGGCATTTCAATTTGTCAAGTTTCATTAATCTTCACCTGTACAATATAACAAGGATTGTTGAATTAGAGTTCTTCCGGTTTACAAAGGTCGTTTTATACATACACTAAAAACTAGCCAGGTTTTGCAAAATACATATTCTGGATTTAGTCAGACCAGTGGTTTTCAACCTTTTTGCTGGAGTGGAACCCCAATGAAACATCACAGTTCACAGATACTTGAGAACCCCTGGATTTTACTGACGAAAGGGTGCAGCGGAACCAGGTTGAAAACCATCGAGTTAGACCAATAGTCCCTTGCTTATATTAATTACGGTATATTGGCTGCACGGGATTTTTTTCATGACCAACGTCGTTTTGGACAATGTTTATAAGCTTTCTTTTGTTGTATAAAATACCCTCCTTGTACGACGAAAAACTGCGCAACCCGTTGCTGCTAAAATTATACAACTGTTTATTTTGTACGCCATGCTCTTGTAGAGAGAAATATTTGTGGCTGAGGGGGCGACAATGTATATTTGTCCCCGGTACTTTCCACTGTTTGCTCTCGTGCGCGCGTTTTAGCAGTGAACAAATATATGCTGAGCCGAATAGAACCCACATTGAATTTGAAAAAGCTTCGAATTGCAAGTGCGGGAAACTTTTATGCAAATCTATTGAAACTGTTGATTACTTCTATGCAGTTTCTTTTTGATAATTTAGTAATTTCGTAGCAGAATTCAATTGAGAAAACATCCCCAATGTACGAATATTTTGCGAGAGAATGTGTTTGGATATTTTCTCATATTGCTTCTTATTGTGTCATAAGAGATTTGTATGCGCGTGGGCGCTCACCTTGCCAGGCTTATAGATATAAAACAAGGTGACTCTAAACAAAATAAACACAACATCGGACGCTCGATCCGTGGCCATTGTCCGTCCGCCTACGCATTATCGTTATTACGCTTCAATCATTGTATAAAATGAAAAAGCAATTAGTGTTTCTATAAACGCGAGTTGGAATTATACTATAATTTTTACATAGAAATTACTGGTTTATTTTGTACAACCATAACTCATTGGTGCTTCTTTTTTAGTGCTTGAACGAGCTTTTATGCCCCATACATCGCATCTGTAGCATCGATAGGTAAGCAGGTTAACTCGAGTAGCAAGTTTTAAGTTACGCTAAATTACCATTAATTTAATTCCTCTACCTATCGCGTGGGCGTTTTTAAACACGGTGTAGCGTGCAAGCGAACTGCTTTCTTCTCTGGCCTGACCCAAGGGTTTATTTCAGCAAGTGAAACTAAACAAAACCTTCCGAAATCTACAATTGTAATAACAAAAAGCACGGTTATATTGACATGAATCGTCCTGTTCTCCTCTAAAAATGGTAGCGAGTCTCAAGTATTAGGATTCGATATAGGATATCCCCGTATTGTTAGTTGATACAGCGTATAGCACCTGGGACTTATGTGGCTTAAAGAATACGTGTAAACAGTATTCGCTTTTGGAGTGTGTTCGTCGCAGTTCAAAGGTTTAAAAAGTCCATTTGCATTTCTCCTGTTCCATAATGCCTGGATATTTTACTCTATATTATATTCAGTTGCACAATACTGAGAAATTGAAACAATTTGATGCCTCTCACCTCGACTATTAATATACTATCTCATTGTATGATCACAGATTTTGCAAGAAATGGTTTATCAACCATTTTGGTTTTACTATTTTAGGTTTGAGTGTAAAGATCCGCCTCATTTGTAATTCTTAGTTTGCCACGACCCACGAGACTAATTCAAGTTTTGTACATACGTGTTGAAATGCTTTAGAGCTGACTCTGTTACCCGATGAGCTATTCTATTTTCGACACAGTTCGACGCCCATAGGGTTGAAAAAGCATTTGTCTTCCTCCTCGGTAACACTGCAGCACTTATGCGAAAGAAATTATTTGCTTGATGCAGTCTTGGTAAAAGCAAAATTGATGCGACGACAAAAACTGTTCCATTACAGGAATTAAATTCATTCGACTATCGAACAGGAACATTTTTCATAATAATATTAGTTTCGCCATATGTCATCCAAGATTAGGGTAATTAAACAAAAACCGTGAATCGTGAGAAAGTTCATAGAACCTGAAAATGCAAATTTTCGTTTATTTTTTGTTTTTACTTCTTCCAAAACGATTGGATCAATAAAATTACTGGAGGATTTGAGATAAATTTAGCATGATATTATTTTTTATTTAAAAAACTCTATAATAGATCTTAAGTAGCTGTTAGGGACTCATTACACGAACTTTCGTTTTGTACCGCAAACCGAAAATAGAAACACTCTTATCTTCCTTGAGGGCATCTCGACTCCGTTGGTTGGCTCTCAAGTCGCCGCTGGTTTTTGGTGGCGACGCAAAAATTTAAACAACCAAGTTTCAGTAAGGACTAATTATGAATTTGCGACCACGCATGGTGCTATTGCAAATGTGTTGTATCATGCTTGGTTGGTGATTGGTTTGGGGATTGTGTAAGAAAATCAAGAATCCCTATCGAAATTTGTATTTGTACTGTTAAATACTAATTCTTCTTGTTATCCCCCAGGTGACCGATCAAATGTTTCCCTTGAGATTGGTTGGGTTGTGAAAACAAAGAACTGAAGATAGACCCCGTGACGTCAATATGACGTGGTTAAGTTGCCGGCTCTTAAAATCTTGTCAATCGCTGCCTATTCTTTCTTTAAGCCGGTTGTGTTGGATATTTCTGAGTAAAATTGCTCGATATTTCCTTGGTGATGATGTAAACTGCTTAATCGCCAGTTGCGATAATAATTGATCCACACAAGGCGGGAACAGAACTGCCTTTGCTTATAGACAAGGGACATTCAAGCTGGTAACGGGAAAGCTAATTTATTTCGATCGGCGTAGAATAAAAGTCTGAACGCAAAAATCAACTAACGACTTTGACTGCACTACGCCGTTTTTAAATTTCCTGTGCGACTGAATATGCAACAAATTATTCTATATATGATTATATTTATCATTGTACAAACTATATAACCTTTTACATAGCTCGCACGCTCACTTTAAAGCCATAATAACGATGGCCAATACTACTGATTTAATGCATTGCGAAACTTTTATACATTTGGACTAAAATCATCGTCATTAGTTTATATCGAGGATATAATTTGTGCAACTGATATAGAGTGTGGTGTTACTGCATTTTCCACAGCTTCTGATCCTAAGCCCAATCGGACAAGAACTCCTGGTATCCATGAATCGATCTATCGTAACAGAATGTCATTTGTTAAATACTACTGTTCTTGCTAGTTAAATATACCAAATTTTAACTTTGATTGACTTCCAAAAGTGATTGGTAAAATCGACCTCACTGAGTAGTTATAAAATATCAAGCTGTTATTAGATGTGAAATATAGTGTGTCTTTTTTGTTTTTCATCCTTTATGTTATTTGGAGCATTTTCGTGTAGTCTCCCACTTCGATGTTTTCCCCCAAGCAAAGGTATTGACGTAAAAATCACGAAATAACAGATAAGAATAATATAATTGTTTATTGTTATATAATATTTGGGTGATTGAATTTCGTTTCACTCACGCATTATCACTAACAATAACGATTTTCGACCGTAAACACAGCAATTTCTTATCGATTTCACATAGAAACTGAACTTGACATCAAGAAATACATTCACGGTAATTCTAATTCTACCTTTGATAAAGCGTGATCAAAAGAATATGGTTGCAACCGAAAGTTGTACGTCCGAAAGCTGTTTTTTCGACATGATAATTTAATCTTAGCCTGGAGAACTGTCGTGATAAGATCTCATGCATTGAATATTTAATGAAAGTTTCAACTTCATACTAACAGAAAATATTCCAGAACTTGTTTGGAGTTTTCTAAAATCATTTGACTACTTTTTATTCTTCACGAAAATTTGATTTCAAATGTCAAGGAATCTGGGGTCATATGACGCAATATTGGCCAAGGTGATTCCTCTTTATTCCTCTAAATTACCCATTTTTCTCGCGCTTCGATGCTGATAGAAAAGTGCATAGTAATCTCATAATTATCTTGTACAAATTTTAACTAATAGACGAATTTGTTTCAAATCTTTAATACTTGGAGATGGAAGAGGCTGTTGAACGGAAATTACTTTTCAAATTTTCTATTATCAGTCCCCAATATTTCACCCAAATTTTGTTAGCTTTGGGTATATTGCACCACAGCGTGTCACGTCATTCAATCATGCTGCAAGACCCTCAAGCGGATGAACAGCTCATTGAAATCAAATTGCTCATTTTAAATCCCACATTAGTTATATATATAGTTTTTCATGTCCATGTTATTGAGCATTGCTCTTGTATTATAGTATGCTTGAAATTGCGAACCTAACAAAAAGAAAATCTTTAACCACGGCGAAGAGTATCACGTTAAGTCTAGAATCCCGATTTTAAGCGGTGACATACTCACGAATAATACAACTTTCTAATGTTTTTGCACTATGGGCTTTTTGTTAGATTTTATTATTCTTCTTTGTCGAATTAATCCATTACATAGACTTCAAATGGTTGCAATTGGACATTAACTTAACATAGTGTAGCATTTATAGTAGATTTCCACAGTTTTTTTTTTTGGTGGAAAAGTTCTAGACCGAACTTGCCCAAATAAATCAATGCTGTAACTCGGAGATTTCAATTGAAATTCCTTATGTGGATTGTATAAATTTGTAGCTCATAATATGTAAATTTGATTAAACAAATAATTTTGCCGTTCAACTTAAAATTCTAGCTTATTTTCTCGCGTAAAAAATACTGAGCCAGTTTCCAATCGCCAGCACTGGTTATTAATATTTTTTTGGAATACACATACTGTATTGAATAATTCACTTCTGCGATATACGAGTCTACATTATTTTGTACGAAAATATTACTGCGAAAAAAATTACCTGCGCTTTGTCCATCCGTTGCGACGCATTACGTAAAACCACCTGGTTACTAGCGTCGTCATTTTCACGTTTCTTTGCGGAAAACAGCTGAGAGTTCAATATTACGCCATAGAGACGAAATATATTTATACAAATAACTATTTCTACCAGTGGACTTAGCAAGCGCGTTTGTTACTTGATGCTATCATGCGGACTGTGGGTAAAATCGCGTCCCCAGTGTTTGCGTTGCCCAACCGTTGCTAACGAATGACCGTAGGTCGGCCAAGCATTCCCCGCATGTAAAGCTTGTTATCAAACGCAAGTTATGTATGGTCCGATTATGGCTATATCAATGATTCTATTTTAAGGTAGCTTCTTTTGAAGATTTGAAAGAAACATTCACGTGATTATGTAATGCTTACCGCAATCGTTTTTTATTACTCACATATTTGTGACGTATTTTGCACTGCGGTATTCCCCCAAATCCCCAGGGTAACGTCGTCGAAATAGACGTTCCGTATTTAGTTTACGCAAGCGAAATAATAAAGGTCGACATAGAGATATATAGCTAAAATAACATAAAATGTGCCAAAATGGGTAATGTTTCTATAAGGCAGGAGATGATATACAATGGTGAATGCCTTGCAGTTGAGTAAACTTTAATTTTTTATACATAATTTTAACGCCATATCACGATGGGCGCTAGTGATTCTCATTTTTCTCTTTTTTTAATTGTTCACTGTGTATATAAAACGATTTTTGAGACGTGTTGCGACGCCTTTTTGTGACCGATTGTACATTATTTGAGATGATGCAATTATCCCGATGTGAAATGAGATCATATTGATATATTTGGATTAGCGCTGTAATACCGTATGTTTATTTTTAATTTCTCTCGTAGCGTGCGCTATTATTCGTACAGATTGTGTTTTTTCAATATTTGTTTTGGCTATTTATTTTCCATTGTTTAAACGGTTACAGTTCTAACGCTGTCGAAACATGCAATTTAAGCTTTTTTGATTAAACCCTTTCAATGTCATCGGTTATTCTAAATATGGTATTGATGACACCGATAAGCTTCTCGATTCGAATCATTTTCATTGTGTTTTTTCAATATTTGTTTTGGCTATTTATTTTCCATTGTTTAAACGATTACACTTCTACCGCTGTCGAAACATGCAATTTAAGCTTTTCTGATTAAACCCTGTCAATGTCATCGGTTATTCTAAATATGGTATTGATAACACCGATAAGCGTCTCGATTCGAATCATTTTCGTTATCTGCCCCTGGCGGTATAAAAATCTAAACATGGTTGGAGTGTGGAATCGTGGCAATGTATTCTTTCTCTTTCATGTTGTTACATTTCGCATTAGCATACGAAACCGCGTGCCAGTTTGGGTCATTTCGTTTCTTCCTGAAGAAACCTGGTAAATCTCACACGAGAGGAGTAATTCGCCGTATGTCATATTTTTCGCCAGGACAGTTGAATTTGGATATTTATAGACAACAAAGACTGTTCGCAACCATATTGTAATGGTTTGTCGTCAATCGCCACAGGATCCATATCTATTGACCGTCACTTATCCGGTGACGTCAGAATTCACTTGTTCGATTATCTTGTAATTTTAAGGGTATATGACAGTTCCTAAGTGATTTTTCAGGCATTAAGGAAGTCATGACATGTCTGCGTTTTATTTCCCATCATTTAAACGCCGACAATAATTCTTGCTGACCTTGGCCATACATCAGTGCTCGAAACGAATCATGCTATTCGACGTCTATTGAGAGTTAATAGCAATTTTGTGGAAAGACTCCAGATTGATTCCTAAGAATATTAGACATGACAATTATGTAAGCTGCTGATAGTGTTCATTATTTCTCTCTTCTTTTTGCAGTGGTGAGCATTGCTGACTATTATATTATTGCTGGGATCGTTTATCAAGCACCAGATATTAAATCTGTGGTAAATTCAAGACTGGTAAGTTGAGAATTCCATTAATCAGCTGGCATGGCTTCTTAAGAAATTCGAGTGATAGCTCGGCACATATTTCAAGTTGAAGTTTGAATTGCGAGCTGGGAATTGCGATTAAATGGTCGAATCTGGCCCTTTTCATCTAATAACTGTAGATAAGTTCAATTCTCCTATCCAGTTTATACCAAATATATGCAATCAAACGGACTGATATGAAATAACAGAAGTTACGATTGTTGTTATTGCAATAACAAACTACTGCAGTGAAATATTATCAGACAGAAGCTCTGATTTACTGTGACAAATTCATTTTATTTTTTGTATACCTTGCAAATCTTCTTATCCTAAACAATATTGTTTATTAGATTTATGTAGTATTTTGATTTTAGACTTCAAGTCTTCATCACCTTGATAGTGCATTTTCTGAAGGTAAGTTGAGTGATTATATTCAAAACAGAATAACAGTGTGGTAAAATAATTAACATGAGCTGGATTCTCAACAAAAAAATCGGTGCAACAAACAGTCTTGGGAAATTGACTAACTGCAATCACAAGATACATTATAGAATTGAGCATTTTTCACATTCATGACAGACGTGACGTTCAAATGTTAAGGGTATGAAAGCAAACATCCCAACGACATGAAATAGTATTGTTGTATTGTGTATTGTTGTACAAATGTATTGTTGACTGTAATATTTCAATGATAAAATTTGGCCACATCAAAATTCATTGTTCGCACTCGTATAATCGGTTATTTGAGACCCCACAAGGTTTGATTCATTCCATATCATATGTCATGATTTTAAAGCAAATTAAATCCATTCAGGATGTGCGAATTATTTGCATGGTGGAATTTTTCGAATTTCTTGAGACTTTCCTAGTAATTTTAAAGGCAATGTGTATGTTAGGATGCATTAAGTAAATTTATATTTCTTACAAATACTTATTTTCTATCAGCCATTTCATATTCAAGATACCATCCGTCGAAAGGTTATTGGTGGCAATTCAATGACGATAATAAAACAGAGGGCAAAGAGAAAAAGACGAAAAAAAAGAAAGAAGAGCCCGGGTCATTGTTTCAATGTCGAAGAGTAGATCAATTACTAGATAATCTCACTTCGAAATTTCCCCACAAATTTTACCAAGTGAGCAGTTTTAACTTTCTTGGAAATGTTGTATGTAGCAAGGTTAAATGATTTTGAGCCGCAAATGTTACAACGGTTCGAATTTTCGTAGCGGTGGGCACATGATAAATAAATTAGTTAACATTTTCAGGTCCAACCGGGAGGACAGCCAGTTCCACTACAGAAGGATACCTCTGAAAATGCAGATGCCAAGGCGGAAAGGGTCAATCAACAAACATCTGCGGATGCAACTGCGAAAGCCACCACCGGCACATCGAATACTCCCGGCAGCATTACTGTGAAATCTTCGCAGTCACCAGCACCGAGTGCTACACAATTGAGAGTAAAGAGTGAGATGAGCGAAAATATGAAACAACCTTTTGAAAAAAGGACTAAATATGTGTGACAGAACTGACAATTGAGAAGGCGTGTAGCCATGTTAGCCACTATGCTGCTAAACTCAACACTTCCAAATATTTTTGCATTAGATATTTGCTTGTTCATGATTTCTTTTTATCAATATACAATGACCACAGTTCAGAAACATGACAAATGCAATGTTGCATTATTTTCTAAGACTTGCTTACAGTGTATAAAAAATAGTCCCTCACAGATGTAAATTGCTGACAGGAAATGCTGATATTAGAAGTAATATCATCTGGTAACCTTTTGGCAGCTTCTTGTAGAAGGTCGATGCGTAGTTCTGGCGGTTCGTCTGTCACTTGTATTAAAACTCCATCTTTGCATAATATTTTATAGATGTTTGCCAACGCTCTGCTTGCTAGTTCAGTTCCTTTAGGCTGCTTTAATATAGAATCTGTAGTACCTTTATCCAGTGCTGCACAGATACTTCCTGTAGGGAACACTTGTTGCTCTGCTATATTAGCATGAACAAGAGTGCAGTTTCTGACATTATCAAATTTTGAGTTTCCATCCATTTTGTTTTGAAGCCTCCACAGTGAATCGATTGCAAAATCCAGACAGTATACTTCAACATCTTTCAGATCATATGCAATGTTTGCTCCAAAAGTTGAGTCTCCACAGCCTATGTCCAGCAAGTATGGTTTTCTGTTACCTAGATTATCTTGGGCACTCAGTGCAGTTTTTATCATTGGTAGAATGGAATCCTTCAGATCATCATAGTTTGCAAACCATTCGAAATCTGGGTTAGGTTTAGTGGTTCTATAGAACTGATTCCATGTGTCTAACAATCCAAGAGATGAGTTTATGGAATCTGTGAAACAATGTGATTTAATAGTGAGAATTTGTGTGCAACAGAAACTAACCAACTTATATGAAATGTTTTAATGAGGTGGTATAGCCTTACTTTCATCCCAATGAAATTGTGTGTTTGTGTTATACTCTTTGGTGGAAGCAATGTCGACTGTGTTTTCCCCAAAAATTATCTCGATTTCTCTGTTGGCAGATTCTTCAGAATCTGATCCATGTGTTGAATTTCTCGTGTCTGTTAAACCATACTCACCCCTCAACGAGTATGGTTCTGATATATTTGCCTGTGAAAATAATTGCAAACATTAATAATATGTATCACACAGCCTGCTTATGTTGTTGTGGGAGCGAATCGAGAGCAATGTTTTTCTTTGGCCAACAAGATTTACCGGACTAGGTATGCAATGGATTTTCAAAAGTAAATTTCACATTGTAGTTACCCCCAATCCAGGAAAACTTGACCTTAAAAACTTTCGTTGGACCCATTAGGCTGCGCCAACCTTTTATAGAATCTTGTCCAGCAAGCACTAATGCGATTACAGGACCACAAGTGATGTAATCCAGAAGTCTTTCATAGAAGAATCTCTCTCTGTGCTGGTTGTAAAAAATCTCAGCATCTTTTCTTTTCCAGTGAACTGTTTTCTTTCTCAAAATGCGCAAGTTGTTTTTTGAAATACGATCGGTAACTGCTTTCGTTGCGATGGGATTCAGGGCAATATCTGGCTTTAACAATGCGAGCGTTAATTGTGTCTTTGATGACATATTTCATGACTACGCAGTAATCTATTATAATTTTAGGTCTAAATTCAAATATGAAGACAGAAATATTTCAATACAAGACTACAATAGTAAATGATATTTATCCAAATAAAGAAAAACCATCAACAAGGCAAATAAACCACTGACATTCATTTTTTTACATTATAGTTTGAGCATGCGATTAATAGATGTGCCAAATGGACAAACAAAAGTTCTATATCAACAGTCCCTGTGCATAAGCTGATAAAGTAATGGCACAACAAGCTTTTAATTTTAGATATTTTTGCTTAAACATGTTTTTATCAACAATTATCTTTGAAGAGTTTTGTCATACTCTGTAAACCAGCAAGCGGTGAAAACATTTACTTATGTTTGCTAACTATATATAGTGAGTTTATTTTTCTCTGCAACTGGAAAAGAAATAAATGCAAAAACATGTATAACACATACAGGGTGAGCCAAAAGTAGGGCAACAGTTATTACAATATCAACAATTTACTGTTACCTCAATTTGGCCCACCCTGAACATATATTTTCACACACACGAGGATATGTACTAGTCCATCTGGGCTCGACTATTGATACTGGGGTGCAGTGCATGAACATTCTTTTCCATTTTTCTTCGAAGTCCTAACTCGCTATAAGTAAAATACACAATAGTGAGTATTAGGACAACAAATGCTTTGAAGTAATCATTTGCAGACAACCACTTCGCTGGGTCATCCAGTGTGTAGTAAACACTTCTAACTCTGTTGAACTTTGCAAACATAGGATCGGAAGTGATAAGATTAAAATATCTCCAATTAGTGGGATGATACTTCTTTGTCCAAAATTCTCGCCTTAGTCTTCCACGAATCGCTTGCCTCTTTTGGTGCGCTTTCAAATCCTCCGGGGTCACATTTTTACAGTTTTCGGGGTCAATTTCAGCCGGCATATCATGAGCCCAATCAGCTCTGAAGTCTTTGGTAGGAGCTAAATATTTTGGAAATAGTTGTTCACCCATAACTTCCGAGTATTGCTTATAATCGATTTGTTTCTCCAACTTGCCATCTTTTGCAGTGACGGATGGTAATGTCGAAAATCTTTTAATAGAACAAAGATCCATCATGGCCCTGCAAGCAGGGTAAGGCACCTTCAATCTCAACATCCTCAACGGCTATTTTGTAACAGCGGTAACACCGTACCGTGCTCTTCGTACAAGATAACCAAATCCGTGAACACATCACTGCGGTCCTTGGGCGCCGCTAGTGGGCCAAATCAGACCCTTGACCCTAAAAAAATTCTTCCTGCAACCCAGAAAAATCGTCACTATACATAACTACGGGCCTTACGCGTTTTTCGCGATTTTAAATTCTATTCGTTAGTTTTCAGTTGTGTTTTGAAAACTTAAATATAAATCAGATAATTCAATGATCACTCTGTCTTCCTAGGAGTTTTAATTTTATTGCAGTAATAAAAAATCAGTGTAGAAATAGCTGTGATAGACTAGGCTAAAATTACCAGTACCTTTAAAAAACAGATTGTTGTATGCGATGAATCATAATGATGGTTTGAAACCTCAATGTTTGAAACACATACCCCATTTTACAGGCACCAACTCGTGGAAGCACTCTTAAAATAGCCCCGAGAATATTGCAATGGTAAAGTAAAGGAGGATTTTTCGAGGGTCAAAGGTCCATTGCAAAATTTTCGAAGCTTACTTTGAGAGTGTTTTAGAGAGTCAGCGCTTACAAACTAGTCTACCTATTTAAACCAATATTATTCTCTGTGACTGGACCACGTGTCGCTCACATAATCTGATAGCTATTTTTAGCCTAACCTATCGCAGGTTTTGCGTGACTAATTTTTAAAATTAAAACTAAACTTCTTGAAAGAATATGACAATTGAGTTATTTGATCTACAACTAATTTAAAATAAAAAGGTTAAAAACTGACATATAACACACAGAGCTACGATAACAAGGCAATGTTGCAATGTTTATAACCATGCTTGAATATCTGTCTAAATAAAATTTATAAATGCACTTAACGCCGGTAGAAAAGTTAGGATGGCCCTGTGAATCTATATCTACAAGGTTTGCATTGCAACTAGCCTTTTAAATAGAGTTTTAGGCCTATCTCAAATCCGACTTCTCAGTGCTCGAATAAGCACATGCTGTGGTTCAATGTACATATTCAAAAAGGCGCAGTTACTATCTCATAAAACGCGACTGACCACAAAGTATATATTTCAACTTTACCGCCTATGTTAGTTTAAATCAGGGTGGTTCAAGGTTGTCGGCTCCGCGGGCCACAAAATTATTTTTGCATTGTTCGCGGGTCACAATAGTGCCAAGAATAGGTAAACAGTGCAATACAAAACAAACACCTTTATTGTGCAAACACATAGTTATCAGGCATAGCCATTCTAGGCTAATAGAATCTGCATTCAAATTTTAGTTTTCTATGATGCCTATATTGTTTGCATATATTTCCGACCAAAAAGTTAAAAAGCCAGATAACAATTTAGACCGCCAAGCACATCATTCAACTTTGCTAGTTTCCCCAGCTATCCATAACACTATTTAGTTCAGTGACAATAGTGATGACAATACTTCAAAAGCTTTTTCTGATTTATTTTATGACGAAACAACACGAAATGCGATTTTTTGATTACTCTCCGAATGTGATGCGGGCCACAGATAATGAAGCGGCGGGCCACATGTGGCCCGCGGGCCTGGGTTTGGACCACCCTGGTTTAAATATTGCAATTATCACTTTTCAACCACATCCACTTCTTTAGAATACTAACGTTAGTTAAAACCGATTTGCATCATGTTAATAACCAGCGAAAAAAATTAATATAAATTCATATCATTCTGCCGAAATGAATGCGAGAAAATTTACACCATTACGACATTTGCATCATATTATCGGTACTTCATTACTAATATTTGAGGAACTACCCATCTAAAGGAAGGTCTTGTTGATGAAAACCCGAGACAGAGTTTTCATCTCTTTTATGTATTTTTTTCATTTAACTTTGAATTTATAATGATTAGAGTATTCAGTATGATATGATTCGCTTTCTTTTGGTAATAGTCGCTTCAATAGAATATCGCCATGGCTGCCCAAGAAGCCGAGCGAACTACAGGTGTAAGGAGTCTACTTCTAGACTACCCGGCACACTTATATTGCTAACCATTGGTGTAACCGCCACACTGATATGCCCAAACTCGATAGACGATAATTTGTTGAGCAAGCATATGTTTACCCACTCTTTACAAGATTTATGACTATTTTCTGTACAATAAATAACAATAGCTTTACTTCTCTCTCTGTCTAATTATTATTTACATCGATTCCTCTCGATTTGTATATTTTACTAATTTCATTATATATGTTAGCGAAGTTGCGCTAGCTCTTGAGTTGCCAAAAATATTTGACCTATAGTCAAAATGTGTTCACCATCATGACTATTGTATAGTCAATGTTTGTGGCGAATGTAAATATTTTTTACACTTAACCATATGTAGGTGTCGCTGCTCGAAGACCCAGTCGGGTCCCTCGCGACTGCTGTCTCACAATTAACATTACTAGTTTTTTATTTACTTCCTGTACTAATCTTTGTGCATTTGTTTTTATGTGACGACAGCTAAACGATTGATTGACTGATTGATTATATTAAAAGTATGCTATAAGATGCTGGGTAACATCAGCAGCTGTGACGTGTTTATAATATACCAGACAGACACCAGGTGTCACATGGATGGTTTCGAAGATATTGTACGACAGACTGCGTTTTGTGAAGTTGATCTATTAAATATTTGCGACACATAATTCGAAAATAGAACTTATTTATGACATAAACAACAGATAAATGATTTTGTTTATGTGTGTGCCGCAAACTAACTTCCTTCCCGGTCTGTGTTTGTGGCTACTGCGACATTACATACCCCCAATTATATTTTTGCGTTTGCCGTGTCGGCAACAAATTGGTACAATAAAATATTTCTTGGACAATTTAATTGTATTTTATATCTCCGAGAAGGTAAGAAATAGGTTATTCAGATTTTCGATAAGTGGAAATACGTCACCCAGGGTACCTTGTTTAGGATTCACAGAACAATGGATGGTTTCCGAAATTATGAAATGCTATAGACAATAAATTTCAGTAAAACAATAAATGGATCTGTACAGACGAGTAATTGGTTACTTCTTGTGGCTTATTTGTTGTACTTCAGTCTGCTGTGGATCCGGTTTAAAAGTATTTATTATCATGTTTTGTTTATTTTTTCAGTGTAATTCAGACATTTGTTTCGGACACAATTGTTGAAACACAAAAGAGCTTTCTAGATTTTTTATATTTACCGTGGACGAAAGTGAAATTTGCTTATTATTAATATTTAGAAGTTTATCGAATATTGCCATTTAGTCGAACCATTTTATAGGTTTGCTTATCATACGTTGACGGGAATTTCCCATCATTATCTTCATACGCAATTGTTCGCACTTCGCATACCGTAGAATACGAGACATTCTCGCACTATAACATCATTAAGAATAGAATATAACTCATCTGTATGCAGCATATATAGATATACTTACACTCAATTTAGCATGCGTCGTCTTTTGAAAATCGCATAGTTTTCATCGTTGCTCATACCCATTATCCTGGACAGTAATTTTTCATATTTTATTTATTTGCACCAATACGATAGATCATAACAACGTCAAAAACAAAAATGGAAAGAATAAACAGCAAACAAAATAACAATCCAAACATTGAAAAAGACGTCGAGTAGGCTACAAATTCCTACCAGAAGCGGGGTACCCGGGATTTTGTTGAAGAAGAAGGGCCAGCATTAAAAAATTGAAAATTCGCGACGTCACGATATGATGTCATATTTGCTATCTTACACAACGGAGAAAATCTGCTTGGGAGCCAAGCGGGTTTCCGTAAAATGACGCATGATGACGTAATATTGAATTCTATACGAGTCGGAACATCTATTATGTATTCGGCGCGGCCGTGTGGCTCAACGGGCTAAGCGTTAGGAATACGCTCGCCACCGCACCTCTAATTACTCTGCGTGGGTTCGCAGGTTCGAATCCCATGCAGGGATGGTTATGTGCGAGAGGATTGCTGGACTCCTCGCCGTCGTTGGGTGGTTCACGTAACCGCTGGTCGGTTACGGCTTCCTCCGCCACCAAGTCCATGCTTCCGGAAACAAACAATGTAACTAATCCCATACCCGACTTGGAATGGTAACCGGACGAGAGGGCCATATGTATAAGCCGTCTTATCGGCTTTCCTCTCTCCGGGATAAATATGTAAATCCTATCCTATGTCGTCATATCTCAACGTTCGAAAAGTAAGTTTTTGCAGTTACGGGCAAGTATATTTGGTTATAACTCGAATTTTAACGTGAAATATGTATTTCGTTTTCATACTGCTAATATATTTGATCGAAAAATCGTGTGGTGTCACTACGTACCTAAGCTAAGTTATTGACATATATGTATAAATTGGACAAAATAAATCCGGGACTATATGAACAGATTACACAAATGTATATTACAAATGAGTTCACAAATCATTAATTCACAATTCTATAAATTTTCATAAATCTATCTATAATTTATATGTAATTTATCTCAACTAGTCCAGGTACGATACATTGTATCACTTCTTCGGCCCATTGGCTAAGATCAAATAACGAGACTGCTCTCCAAATCTTTTTCAGCCTGTGGACTTTGCACACTTGGTTGAGAGGAATCGAAAATACTCAAATTGATCGTTTTTTTGTGTGATCATGTCCGTGCCTCAAGTGGGGGATTGCCTCTTAACCCAATCATACACTGGTAATCTAATGAGAAATCACTTAGCTTAATATATGTTTGATCAAGTATCTTGCTAAGCGGCTAGTATATTATGCTACGCCTTGAGAATACGTCTTTACCGTCTCTCTGCTTCCACACGTGGTCCGGAAATGAGAAGTACATTTCGATTATTGTATGAGGTTTGCGTAAATCGGCTTTCGTTCCCTCAATTATCGAAGTCCTAGCATATGGTACAGCAACTTAGTTACTACAGTACTTGGTAAATCTGCAGTGGAAATCTTACCAATGACACGGGTTCAAAATATACCTCTTATATACATCTTATCGGCTCTCCTCCTCCCATTTTCGAATGTTATGTTATATATACGCTGTGATTACGATTCACCTCTAGATGGCATACGTAGTTTGTTATTGAAAGTTTCAAATTTACGCCAAAGAGAAGTGACCTGTGACACAAGGCGGTCGACCTGCGTGTTGTAAATGAAACATTTGTTTGAAAAAATTGAAGTTCGAAAGATCAAATGATCCCGTAAAATTTAAATATTTTTACAAACTATATAAGCTTTATCCCAATTTCCAAAGTTGATGCCATTGTTATATATCGGTTCTACAGTATTGTCTATATTTCACTTGGTATCGATAAAAATGTAAATCTTTCATGTATCAAAAACTCCTCATACAGGTTCATAAAATTGTCCGATTTAGCGCTTGATAATTATGAGTTGCTGCCTGTGGATTCTTGATAAATTTTCCGACAGTTCCGATGGGATTCGTGAGATGCTGAAACTTGAATTCCAATTTTGAAGCTTTGAAATGATCAGATAAGAACTTAGTGTCGATCGCGTAAACTGCTGTCTGTCAACGATCCTTAACTTCAATTTAACTTCATAGACTCAATTTTTTTTTAAAGTGCACTTTGACCAAGAATGACCAGGTTTTTTTACTAGACGGTCCAAATTAAAAAAATATATAGACATTGAAAGATCATCTGTATTTTGCTCACAGATCACTTTTTCGAAACTGCTTCATTTACATGAAGGAATAGGATTATTATATAATTTTATGACAAATAAGTAGTACTTTTAGTAAATGCTACGTCAAAAATGCTATGTCAAAAATGCTACGTCAAAATGCTACGTCAAAAAACAAATTGCCAGTCGATGGTGCTTTGAACAAATCTATGTGTAGAACGATGATATTGATGCTTAAAGACTTGTTTAGGAATTTGAAAAGCACGATTCTCTGGAGCTATTGTCCCGGTTTAGAACTAAATAAGAACTGAATATTCAATGTGTTAACTTCAACTACTACAAGTATCGTCTAAATTAGCTATGAAGTAATGTATTACAAAAGATCTAAATAATTTCAATAGCTGTTACCAACTCATTGGCAGCCAGTCGGATACGCTGAGGGCTACTATGTTTTTTTTGCTGGCAACTTATCGTACTTGCTGATTAGCGCCCACCACCGACTTTAAAACCCCAATCGTATATTGCCCACGATTCTCTATCACCTGAGCCTGGGTTTTCCCCTGCGGGTTTTTTGGAGAACTCTTATACCAACTAAGGGAACACAACTGGAAGTAACCTGCAAAGAAGCACCCGGTAACGTGACTGTAAAATGTGGTCTATATAATGATCATAGCTAATTCCTGTGAGATCATATTGGACATCGCCTCAGTGGAATACGGACTACATCTTACTGAGATATCACTGAAGTAATGGCAAATTTATTGAAAGTTCTTATTCTTGGTTTAACAATATGTGGTAAGTTTTTTGTTATTAGTACTATTAAAATATTACAAGTATTAGCCTAATAACTTAAACAACATTATGTCGATTTGATTAGTATGAAACTTAAATTTATTTAAATTTGAGCCCGGCAATACTATGGTCTGTTACCCGCCCGATTGAACACTAAAGCGAGCAATTTATGAATCGGAGGTAAACAACGTACAATCATACGAACGAACAGTCGGTACAAACTTTCAGCTTAGAAGAACCCTTGTCGAAGTTGCTGTCAGGAATGGTGCTATGCTTAGCGATGTGAAATTTGATAAGATGAGCTCAAATTAACTCAAGATTCGATCAAATATTAAAATCAGAATTACTGTATTGTCCCTAGTGGCCATTTTTGCTTAATTACTATCAAATTTGACCCTGATACAAAATTAGAACAGCCTTGAAATGTATATTACAGAGTTATATTAGGATAGGATATACTTTGTAATTGAGATTTAAAACAAAATAGGGATTGCCAATTATTGCTTCCGTTGAATAAATAACGTTTGCTGGCTTTGTACCTTCAGAGTAGCAAATTAACGCGGTAACAATTTTCGTCTTTTCTCTGAAAAGAAATATTCTTTGTAATGAAATAATGATGAAGGAAAATTTGGCTCGTATCGAAAACTGCAGTTTCAACACTTGCCAGCAAATTTATCGAGTTTGATCATGTTCTGTGGAATATAGTAGCACGTCGGGCAATTTGGACAGAAACCACTTGCCGGCTATGCGGAAATTCCAGCTAGAAAGTTTTTATGATGTAATCGTAATGAATAAAGATTTCGCAAGAGAAGTTCCGTTCGTCAGAAGTCGATATTTCTGCGCTGCGTAGAGTGCTTTCTGTAAATGTTCACACCGTCTTTCATTCATAAAAAATCTCAGCGGCTTATTCAAGCGTGAATACGAGTGAAAAACCAAACAAAAGTGTAAAGTGTACTACGAATTATTGCTGTAATGAAGTCCTAAATTTATTCATGTTTTAGTGTGATGTAAGGTAATGAGTGCCGAATGGGGCCGACGTGTTTTTTTTGATATACCTGTTTTTAGTGTTAGGTCTGAATTAAAAATTTACCATATGACCCTAAGTTAAATTTATTTGAACTAAATATAAATCTGGTGAAATTTTGTATTTTAGGTTTTTTAGTGGCATCGACAACGGGTAACGAATCTTCAAATAGAAATGATTACAAATGTGCACGACCTGGAATTTGCATCGATGGTACGGGAAAAGAGTTCAGATGCGTCGTTAAAAATACGGAATGTTGCGTGAATTCACAAAACATACTCAGTCTTTACCATGCACCACGAGGAATGACATGCTGTGGCGGTAAGTTATACACGAACTAAAATTAAGGAGCTGCTGTTGACAGTAGTTAACACCGTGTGGGATCCATACGTTCAGCATTATTTCTTTCATAAAATCTCAGCGATTCATTCAAGCGTGAAGGCAGGTTATAAACAAACCACAATGGTGACGAAATATAGTTGCAGTAGGAGCTATAGCGAAAAGTTCACAAACTCGTTTAGGTATTCATGTACAATAAAGCATATTGTAAGAATTCTGTACAGAAACAAAAATTACCTATATTGTGATTGATTTTTTAGAATACAACAGCACTACTTTATTTATCTATCGAAATGTTTTTTATCGATTTTGATACTTTTGTGCTAAACATGCCGATCCTTTACAATTCAGGGGATGGAATGTTTCATGAACAAACACATGATTGTGTAATAAATGAAAAAGGAGATGGGAAAATACAACTTCGAGAAAATGTCATATTTTGCCCCGGAACTGAAATGTATTACAATCCCTCGAGTCAATTTTGTAGTACCGGAGAAAGTGGAAAAACTGAAGTTTTGATGCTGAAAGGTATGAAATATTGTAAGCCAGGCCAAGTCTTAACTAAAAAGAAATTATGTGTGCTAAGATACACTCGCTGTCCAGTATGCTTGATTTTACCGAAAGGCGTCTGATATTAATTACCCTTTGCTTTTTTAGATTATTCCCTCAACTCAGCATCGCCATACACCGACGTTAATAGGCCTTATACTTGCGTAAGCTCGCGAGTATGCTCCGATTCATCAGGACGACGGTTTAAGTGTACGGAGAAAAATGTAGAATGCTGTTTGAATAGTTTCAAACAGCTTGTTTTCTCCAACGCAAAAAGAGGAATGACGTGTTGTGACGGTAAGCATTGGCACCAAGTTATACCGTATATATCAACTAAAAATTTGTTCTTTTCTGCCAACTGCAACATTACTTCACAGTAACAATTTTTAAAGCAAATTCATAACAAAATGTCCTTTCGTAAGTTGATCCAAATGATGACCAGTTGTATCGTTGTAATACAGGAGATGGAATGTATCTGGAACAAACTCAGGAATGTGTTGATGGTAAAATAACGCTGAGAAAAAACGCTATAGTTTGTCCTGGCACGGAAATGTACCACAACCCCTCATCTCAGATCTGCTGTACGGGTAGCAGTGGACTAACTGAAATACATATGATTGAAGGTAAGGTGCATTTATTTTCCGTGAAATATCGAAAATCATTATTTTTATATTGAATTTTATCATACTTATTGTACCAACTTTGTAGATGGTAAACTATGTTGTGGCACAAACTACATTAAAAACTCTACTACGGGTTGCTGCTCCGAAGAAGCATATGACAGAAAGGCTGAATGCTGTAAAAATCGAATTAAGGCTCCGGCTAAAGAATGCGTTGACCCAACGGGAGATGATTCGAGAAAGAATTCGAGATTGAAATGCACAAAAGAAACAGGTGAGAGAAAATTTCATTGCAAACTGAACTTACACCACAATGTTTTTATTGAACTAACCCTATTATTGGCCTGAAAACTTGCAAGTCTTAAAAATGAAAGAAATTTTATTTTCAGTTTCGCTATTCCAATAAATAGATTCATAAATATTGAATAAATCTTTTTTTCTCAGTATGTTCAGATAGAGATATGGAGAAACGATCGAAGTCATTTAATCACTGGTCTTACAGTAAGTTTCATTTGATATTTATTTTACTAAAATAATATTTGAATCGCCCGAAAAGTAACGAAAACACTATTTTGAATTTTGAAGCGGGAAATATGATTGTTGTTTTTTCATTTTAAATAATTTTAATGAATAATTGAAAATGAAATTTTTTTTTGCATTTTCTTATATGTTTTTATAATTTTTCAGTGTACACATTCGAAGTAAGCAGGTTCAAGCGAGAAACTGAAACTCATCTAGTATACAGAGTTAAATTATGTAGACAGTTTATTGGAACAAGACGCAAAAAGATTGGAACCGAACAATGCAACTTGAAATATATTGAAATACCCAGATGTGAATGCCCAGGACAACTTGTGCCTGGCGTTAATTATGTTCTACGTACAAGACAAAAACTCAATTCTAGAAGAATGGTGTTGAACGGAAAAAAGTTTTATATCTCCCAAAATAAATTGTAGATAAAAAGTCGAAATGTATTTTTTCGACAAAGTGTATTTTATATTTCTTTGCCACAAATAAGTTATGAGACAATTTTTTTTTCTTTAAAAAAAGATGCATGTGTATTTTTAGTTATTTTGTAATTATATAATACGCTAATTTAATTTTTCTTATTTATTTGTAAATAATACTTTTCTATATTTTTTTTACCTTCCTACAAGAATTTGATATTATACTGTCACTACTGTACTGACAACTGTTATGCTTTTTTTGTGCAATTTTCTAAACAGACTGCTATAATCATTGTATTTTTTTTTCAATTTTTTTTATTTATGTGCGATCGCCTTGTTACAGTTTCATGATAAAGATGCTCCGGTCCAAACGTCTCAGCCATTTTTGCCATGTGGGGTTGACTAGTTTTAACACCGATATTTACAATATTTCATAACACTGAAAGTTAATCAAAAATTCTATTTTTGGAGCTCGGTTTACAAATTTGAAACATTATTATATTCAGTAAATATCAAACTAGGTTTTGAATATGGAATTATATATTAGTATTACAAATTGCCGTGTTGTAATATATTAACAATTGGATTTAAAAATTACATCATGGATTCTACAAAGCCAATTTTTTTAAGTTAAATAAAGTGCGATTTGGAAACTTTTCTATATACCATGTTACTATAAGAGAGTTGTATTTGAGCATATTTAACTTTAATTTTGATATAGATGAATTATTTGTCTTTCCTCGTGTTACATAATATATTCTACATCCAAACAACTTTGCTTTGTTGTACATATTTTTTATCACATATTTATTTAGGTGTACTTTATATCAAAATGTGTTAGCTGCGCTTTAAAATACGCGACCATTAGATCAGAATGGCCGCCAAAATATTTTTAAAACCAAAGAAATTTTCCAAAAATTATTCTAAACAAATTGGATGTGCAAAACTTGGTGTTTCATGAAATATTTGGTACACATTACTTCATATTTTTGATATTATTTTCAATATATCTTGATTGGCAATTAGGACTTATTTTTACTAAAATCAACCTTTTGTTTATTACTTTTTTAGGAAAATTGTAGTTTGATTGTAAAGTTTTTTAAGCACATTATTTATATGTATATTTTTAGAAATTTAAGTTTAAGCCTTTAAGACAATGTAAATGGAATAAAAGTATTGTACATAGCAATATTGAGTTTATGTATATTTGTTGTTATACAATGGTATAGAGTAGAGGCGGATAAGGTTCTTGAATCAGGGCCAGAAATTTTGCCCATCCAGACTGGCGGGCCATGTAAGTGTGGTTTAATTTTATGCGAATAGTTAGTGTTGTTACAAAGCAAAGATGGAAAACAATATGCCTCGTGCCAAAACTAAATTTAACCGCAATCTCAACAAATTCCTCGAGCTATTTTTATCTAAAACATAAAAAAGTTGGTTACAGTTTGGTTGTGGTAGTATCGGGCGGGCCAGAATAAATTACCTAACAGGTCGGAAATTGCCCGTGGGCCGTACTTTGCCCATGTCTGGTATAGAGAGACCAGTGGTTTCCGTCGGGGTTCCAACAGTATATATAGTCCAGTGTTTCTGCAAATTTCCATTCAAATCCGAAATTTGTATTTTGTTTATTTAAATATAATCAAATACCGTAGGTTTGCCACTATATTTACAAATGCTACATTTCAATAATCCTTTTGTTTTGCCAATATAGTACAATATATTAGGTCAGCTTTTATATTTATTTATAGTTGATACAATTCAGAGGATAAAAGACAGTTTCAACGAAGTTAGGTAGAGCGTTTCGACCAAAACCGTCCTTAGAAAGTTTGGTGGTTGAACACTCCTATAATTTAGATCGAAGGTACGAAACAAACTCGGGATTTATAAGTCCATAACTTGTGACGTGTATCCTTGTGTCTACCCCATCTGTTTGTTTTGGTCAATCAGAAATAAAGGATCGTATTCGAGTTAGAAAACTTCCGATCGCGCTTGGACAAAACAACCATTTCAAATCGATAGGCCATTCCATTTCATTATTTCACTGTGTGACTTCCAAAGTGCGGTGCTATTCCTCTTTCTGTCGGGGTAAACTGAGTTAGGGTAAAGCATCAGGCTATGTTGCGATACAACCACCAATGAGTGAATATGTAAAGTATGCTCATGAGGAAAATGTAGTTGTTTTCGACGCACGGGAAATCACCTGACGCAATCTTTACTTCTACAAAGCGCGACCTTTGTCTTCCATATTGCTCAAAAACGTGTTTTTCAGCATCCGTAGTATCACGTGCTAGTATTCAATTAAATATATTTTTTATGTTCCTGACGTTCTTTGTAAGTTAGGTATCTTTTGGTGGTATTTTTTCGGGACAGTGAGCTTCACGGGCTATTCTGTCATAGATCATAACATGTTTGTCTATTGATTTCAGTTTTATATTACAAAGATTGAACAAACATGTTTTTTAGTCTAAACTGAAGAAATTGCGTCATCCTTACGCCAAGACAAACATGTGCGCAACGAACAACGTTGTTCATTTCTTGTCAAAGAGAAAAGTCATTTTGATATTTTGGTTAATGATGATTTATTACAGGTTATATCCTTCTATTGAAGAATATTTGACGGATTTCTTTACTCCACACATTTTGACACGATAATGTACATTATTATGGTGAGAACAGAAACGTTCTGTCTATCTTTCACTATATATCTGTTTTAAATTTCAAAATGTCATAAATTTTTCTCTGTTTGTAAAATTATTTCATCGGTCAACAAATGCAAAAAGTGACTACGAATTTATTGAAAATTGTAAACACAAACGTGCAGAATACTAAATCAATAAGAAAAAGACATTTTCCAGAATATAAACCATTTTTAAAAAGAGTCTCGTCGTTTGTCCCCTGTCAGTCACACATGCCAGTACTACCACAAATTATAAATAGAAAACGCCTTATCAAGAGTAAATTGTATATGAAATAGAATATGGCGGATATTTTAGTAGCAAACAACAAGAGCGATTCTTGATATTTATTGTACCTAATGTGTTATAATAAATCACTGGCAGTTTCACTAGTATGAACAGATAACGCCTTTGCACGAGTTAACCGGACATAATATGAATTGGAGCTGTTTGTGGACTTGACGAAATTTAATTTATCCATACCATACGTATTATTGGCTTATATGAATAAATATTTAAAGTGTTAACAACTAACAAGTAGAGGCACAAACTATAAATTGTACTTGAAAGTGTTATAAGTGAAAAACTTTCGCAAAAACATCTGTTGAATTTACGGATAAAATAAAGTATTTATTTCCATGCAAAAACAATTTCTTAAAATATACTTTTGTTTTTGTTATTACAACATAATCAGTCCCGATACGGAGATTTTTAGGACACCCACATTTAGGTAAACCAACGATTTTTAAATTCTTTTCTACCGTTTTAATTTTTCCTTTCTTCCCGAGCAGTTGTTTTCCGTATTTTACTTTGTAAATTTGGTGAGATGATGTTTCGCCTTTTATTCTTCCTACTTGAAATGTGAACACTGGGGAATAAGATATGAAAACTATTTTTACCATTTTTCAAAAACTTAAAACTCGCGCATGATTAATATATACAATAAAGTACTCACTGTACGCCGCCATATGCCGATGTAAATCAAATCTTTTTTCCATAACAAGTGAAGAACAAACTAAAACGTAGAAAGCATTATATAAAAAAGATTCCAGAACATGGTTTAAAAATTAATGGGAATTATGAGTCAAAAGAAATCATAGTTATGGTTTAAAGAACTAAAGAATAATCGGATAATTTAGAACCCGTTATGTATAAAATTAAATTTATTGACACTTCTGCCTTTTTGAGTATGAAGTTCCTAATCCTTTCCGTTACAATGTCCAAACAGCAAAATGATTGACAAAATAATCGCAATTTATCCCGTAAGTTCAAATGAGCTTGATATTCATTCACGATATTCAAATGAGCTTGAAAGCATCAACTCGATTTTGGTTCATTAATAGGAATTTCCAGTAAGTTTTTTTTTATTATTGATTGATTAAACGGAATAACTCGACTGAAATGTTCAATTTAGCTGCAGTAATGAAGAGCGGCCCAAAATGACAGAATTTCAATATGAGTGATGTAGTATGTAAGTAGAAAGAAATTTTCATGTAATAATGGACTTGAAAATATCCATACGATGTAATAAATATTCAAATTCAATAGTATAGAAACTAATTACAAATGTAGAAACCGCTATCGATTATAATTTAATCTTACTATACCTCGTTTTGTACAGTTTGTTTCACCAAAAATGTTCGAATAATTTTGAGACTTGGTATTTGATAATCCGTGACACTCTCGTATTGGTAATATCAAACTTTTATTTTTGCAACAGAATATATTTTTATCGTAGCTTGTACCATTACAACATCCCTCATAATCAGAATGCACGTATTTAATGCCACAACACATCTTTAACCCTGTATACATAAATAAGTGCTACTTTGGTATGCGATCTCACTTGCTTTAACGTTATCCTAATCGCATACCAAAGTGGTATGAATTGTGGTGCCACTTTGGTATGTCTCCAATCGCATAAAGACATTCTCATAGAATTCAGTTCCCAATCCGGTCTGAAATCACACAGACCATACCGAAGTAGCACCCATAAATATATGTAAAGAAACTTAACATTTTAACAATATAATCACTTTGAAAATTATAATAAAACTAATGGATGGATGGTTGATTAAGAAACCAGAATGGGCTCATATTTGAATTGTCTGTAATTTATGTTCGTATTCGTTTATATGTATATATATTATTAATGTTAATTCAGTAATTTGGAGGGAACATGACCATATTTACCGTATTTGTCAATCTTGAAATTTTCATTTACCTTCTGTTAGATATTGCATTGAATGATTACCCCCATGTAACGTGCAGCATGTCTGCGTATCTTGATTATAGAAACTATTTGATCCGCATGGTAGCACATTTTTTCTGTTGAGTAGTGCTCCATTAACACATTTGTGAGTTTGAACGTCGAATATGCCCGCACCTGAATAAAATGTTGCAATTGATACAATATTTTCTTATATTTAAAAAAAAAACCTAATGTTTAGTAGAGTTATGATAAACTATATAAATAATTTGAATAGCACTTCGTCAATGGTGTTAGTTGTTCAATTATATTAACATCAAATTCTAAAATTGTGATTTAGTTTTATGCTTGGGTCTCAATTATGTACTTTAAGCACCTTCACAACATTCCTTTCCTCGAGGATATTCCTCAACTGCTAAAGTTGCATTATTTTTCCGACAACATTCAACATTTTCTTCTGAGCATCTGAATGTATTGTTGTTCACATCAATGCAAGAAAATGGTTTCAAGCATCGAAAAGGTTTCCGTCTAGCAGAAATGACATTGCTTTCTGTATAAAATATGAAAAAATGTTATTAAGCAAGGCAATCCTTTACATTGAGTACGAAATTTTACTCGAGAAATTTGTTTGTACTGTGACGAGATTGCTTGCCCAATGCCCCACGGGAGAGAGTAAAGGAGAGAACAGTCAACCGTTACTGGAAATCCCCGTCAGTTCCCACGCATATTTATTATTGATCAATAGTTTTACATCTTGCTCTCAGAACTAGACTTCGTCTTTAATAGGAAATTGCATCTTATTTATGCAAAGTTTAAAAATTCTATAAACATGCATATGAAATGCGCTTAGTCTTGAGGAATAAGATTCGTGAGCTTCACGGTTTTATTTTTCAATTTTAACATGTATTTGTATATTTTAAAATAAATTTTGCATTATAGCAAAAGGAAAATTAAAAAATATTGCAACATAAAATCTTATGATTTCAATGTTAACGTGCACTAAAATTAATTTCTAAAATTTGTAACAGCAATCATCGTTATTGTACAATTTCAATTTGTATCGCGCAAATTCGATGGAATAAATGTATCATTGTTAAGAACAAAATAAGCATATAATAGACTAGACATAATATCAAACACTAAATAAATATCCAGAACTTTTGGATTTTATTTTATTGCCGTTTTGCCGACTAATATGTGTCTAATTTTATTGAAAATTGCATGTGTGAATATTCCACATGAAGCAAATTTCACACAGACGTATATTAAATATTCAGTACAACATTGACGTACCTCCGTATATCCACAGCCCGCAAAATACAAAAATGAAAACTTGTTTGAATACCATTTTCACACTACTATAAAGTCCTGCAAGCTTTACCCAGTTGAAAATCAAAATTGATTCAATAAACTTTATTGTCGTCCTCATCTACTTATATATTCTCGATTTTTCTACTTGTCGATTTTACTCTCAAGAGTCCAGATTGATATCCCACGTCGTTAGATTTTGGAAATAACGTAACGGGAATTCTCTTTTCAAGAAATGAGGAAGAGTGGGTGTCACGAGCAACGATTATTTTACAAGCATCAGGGTCATTTTGATACATACATAATGCGACTTCACCGTTCTAAAAAAAATCAACTTCCAATAATTAAAAAAGTTATATAATTTAACGCACATAATTTTTGCAATTTCAGTTTAAATTTAGAATTCTTATTATGTAACATAACATTTTGATACACAAGCGAACTATTTCTTTTAATAATTTCAATAAAGATTTTAAATTTAGATGCATAACGGATTTTATCGTTTTAATTGAACGAAGAGCAAAATGCCCTCACTACTTTTATGCAAATTATATGTCAAAATAAACCATGATGCTCTGACGACGGACGTAACAACTCACAAGTTTACTTGCAAAATTTGAGTCTTTTTTCCCTTTTCATTATTTTCTTATTTCTCGTACATGCAGGAGAGACCTTGACGCGCAGGGAGTCGTGACCGACTAACTCACGGGGAAATTTGCTTTTTCGAGAAGTGGCGTGACCCAACATACGAGTCGGTCAGTTCGTGGGGAGGGGTCTTTATTTTTGTAAACCCCCTTCATTGTAATTGTGGTATTATAACCGGTGTGCGTTTTATCACAAGCCTTATCACGCACGTATTTTTTATATAAAAATTTCTGTTACTTTGAGTGGAAGAATAGAAATGCAATTTCCAAGTTTGTTAATTAAAACGCTTGCCATCATTAGTCAAACTTCGTGACTTATACAGAAGAATAAGTGAAATATCCATTTGTGTATATGCCTAACAATGTAAATTTTGTTTTAAGACGTCTTCCGGCAAATCTTAATATACAACTGGGGAAAACATTATTTGGGAAATTTTGTTATCTCGCTTCAGCATGAATACACACTCTGGTGTGTGACTATTAAGTCAATCCACCAATGTAACAGGCCCACTGGTCGACTAATATTCTCTTTGAAAGCAACCCTGCTCTAAAAGTTTCAATCATACATTTTTATCAGGTGTGTCATTTTTCCGAGAAGAAATTTTGCCAATACGCATTTTGCAAATTTCATTCTCAACTACATCTTTTGTTGATCATAATTGATGGACTTGTGCATGTTTTCGAGGCACAAACACTAAAACTAAAAATACTTGTAATGGGGAAATAAAGGAGTGAATGTATTTTAACAAATATACAACGAATATTATAAATTTGAGTGGATAATAGTGAAAGTGGACTTTTGTACATTAGAAATTTTTTAACATTTCAGCATTTATTAGTCAATATATTTTTGCATCGTTTCTTATTTATCTACAATACGCATAAAGTACTTTAAAGTGTTTCAATTTCGCCTTTTTGATAACAAAAAATCTTTTATTATTGGGGTCGTATTTTTAGCTTTTTGAGCGCAGAACAAAAGATTTTTAATAATGAAAGTATTTTACTGAAATCCCATCTTAATATAGCTGTTTTAATATAAAATATAAAAGATTTATATTTATTACAACACATAATCATATTAGGCTGAATGTACAAAAATAAATAAGTTAGGCTATTTTAAAACGTATATGTTAAGTGAGTGGTATATGAGACACTATTTTAATACATACAAACAATGATCATGTGATATAATATGTGTCTATAATTTTCATCTTTATATGTTGGTTTTCAAGCTAGTAATATCATATGTAAAAAGACCCATTCAATCACGATATTTTATTCAAATGAACAAAAAAAACGACACTATAGTTGAAATAATTGTGCTAAATATACACTGGGATTTGTAAAAAAGGTGCATCACAGAAGCAAAGTTTGAAAGAATATTTCATATTTATAAACGGTGAAGAAAAGTGGATAAGAAAGCATCATATGATGAATTATCGACTCTCTCCCGGTTTCGGTAAACAGGCTTCAGTTGCGTGCTATTAGAATGTGGACAAAGCCGTAATTATTTGGTAGTTACGTACGTCACCCTGTTCTTGGGCTATCCCTATTTTTCTGGTTTTCTTTGGTTCTGATTATGTTCGGTTAGGATAAGTTAAAGTCAAATAAATCAAATATAAAAAATATTATAAAATAGGTGATGGGCAATAACGGCATAGTACCCATACTTGATACTGACTGTTAGTTTCACACAGATAAACACCCTCGCATTTGTGTTTGAGGTTTTGTGTGCCTATTATTTCTCCAGTATAGAATTGTGTAATTTGAAATAGCAAGTGCGATATTGTACTCTTCTGGTTGTATATCATGTGCAATCAAGCAACTATATTAATTCAATATAAATCAGTTTATGGGCACCACAAATGGCTGTTTTTGTTATATTTCTGATCATGCATATGTGCGTAGTCTGGTCCACGTAGAAAACGAGACCAACATACCGGCTAATCGTTGCTCTCTCCTATTTAGATAATTCTCTCGTTTCAACAAACAACCTCGTGACTCGGACGTAATCACGAAATTTATTTGATCATAATAGCGGAGAAGAGAATAACAATACATAATATGGCATTTCTCTTTGGCTTCAAGTCTTTTCAACATGGATAATGATTTCAGCACAACACTTAATTAACCCATTAAAAGCAACTTTACAGTGAAAAAAATTACAACTGTGTACAGGAATCCGTAATTGCGAAAAGAATTCATGTAACTTGTTAATACTTAGATTTTGTTGTGAAATCCTTTGAATTCGTGAAAACCTACAATTTCCCCAACTTTCGCACCTCGGGTAGTGCTCAGGTCTCTCTCCGTGTTTATATTATTATGCTGATAACTTGTTGTTTAAATTGGCAAAAATGAATCACTGATTCCAGCGGATTTCATCATCATCATATGTTGACGAAAGATAGAAACACGAAACCCATTGTCTATTGTTACGTCAACCGAGCCGCATCTAGTGCATACTTCCGAGACGAGACAATCCACGAAGGGCTTCTTGTCGATGTTCCTGTCACAAACGGTATAATACCACGCCCCCTTTGAACTTTCGCTGCGTATCACGCGTATTATAACATGTACCTTTTAAATATCCATGATTTTGAGTTCTGCGCCGTGGAAATGTTTCTATAATTTTCCATGAGCATGTTTTCGTAATTATTCCTAGCTTCGGCTGCATATTGGAAAAATACAAACTAAAATATACTAACGTATACATCTAAACATAGATGGTATAAAAATAACTTTACTTGGTGAATATTATGTAATGTTGTCATTACAAAAGCGTAAACTACCCACATTAGATTTGGGGATCATGTTTAGATTCATTCTTTCTCGTCAATCTGGTCAACGAAATGCGATGTTCTTTTTTCTTGTAATTTTCAATCTTTGATTGATACCACCCTATTTGCAAATTAAAACAGCATTTCAGCGGATCATAATATGATGCAATATCATGCAAATCTCAGTGTATGCTATCAGATTTATCAGATTTATAAAATGGATAGGAATTCACAATCTTATATATGGATTCTTCATATGTCTTTGTGAAAATTATTGAAGATACTATTATATATAGTCTGAAGTAATAATTATATGTACTATATAGCTTGGGAAGTATGGTATTTTTAATTTTTCACCTATTCATAGAAATTGCCTCATTCTCACGATTTGATTCTTGTTTAACATAAAGTATAATTAATTGTAATTAGCCCGACGCCCTTCTTATTCTTTCTCGCATTTTTAATTACTATTAAAAACATGATCTGCGTAATCATGTGATGTTCTTGTTCCTTGTAATTTTTATTTCTATTCCAATACTTTCGGGGAATTGATTTCTGGGGCCTCTTAACCGGGCTTAAAACTCAAAAATTTATATTTCTTCTATTGTAATTATGATGCCTGCTTTAGAGTGTCCTGTCTTGGTAGAACATTAGGGACCTTAGGGGTCGGTCGACCTTGTTGACCTTGGAAGTCTTGCCCGTCCCCTTCCGTATACATTTTTATGCTTATTGTTATTTGCTCATGCTTATTGTATTATGTACTTGTATCGGAAATAAATTATTATCTATCTACCAGAAATGGCGCTCATAATCAACAATCAATTATGTGTTTGTTTAAATTATACCAAAAATTTTTCGAAACAATCACAATAAAAATTGACAAATTATTGAAAAATAGCAATTCCAGCATTTTGAAATCTATTTACATAAAAAGTAAATTAAAATTAGATGTCATATTTCGTGAGAGAAAATATGTGCTCGGTTTCGAAAGATTGTTGCAATAATTTATCGCTGGATTTAACCATTAACCAGACCCTTCCTAACAGGAGTAAAATAGTTACTTGTTGTGCTCATGTCGTTTGGGAGAAATGTTTGAATGGTTTCGGCAAATGTTTTGAAAGTAAGCAAGCCAGGCCTTGGTTGGATAATGCTTGGAATAAGGATGGATATATGGACCAATAATCACCATTTGCATCTATCAACGCATAACGCGGTCTTATACTAATCTCAATTCAGTGTAAACAAACCTTTCTTCCTTTTGTGATCTCATATGTCGCATGTAAAATTTATTTGGATTGAAATTGGTCGCTCTAATATCCCAGTATAACAAAGCGCCGACTCTCGACACACTAGCAAACAATAATAAATCACGCATGCCATTTGAATTTTGCACACTATTGAAAATAATTCAAAACAATTCGGACCATAAAACCAGAGAACCTTGAAACCGAGATTAGATTTTACGCCTTTTCATCACGCATGTCGTCTTAAATATCCCAACACATTAAACCCGCCAGTTACTCAAAGGTCGTCCTGTCGTACACAGAAGGGTCATTCCCGTGGGTCAGTTCTACGATATAAATGATTCTATTTAAACAATTAGTCACCTAAATTCACGTGAAAGAATCATTACTTCCGCAGCCGTTCCGTTTACCCTACTTTATATCAGGTATTGCATCACTGAATATCCGTATGTCGAAAACATTAGAAATAATAAATTTGTTGGTTGCGATATTACGTAGCGCAGAGTTGTTTGTAGGTTGTTCTTTCACGTCATGCTAACTGTAATTTTCCATTAAATTTCCTAATCAATTTTTTCAAACTGAATTTAAAGTATATTACCGCACTATTCTCACGAAGAACTTTAAATCAACCACATATATTTCTGTATTGATCGTGTCACTTTGGCGTGATTTGCAATGCGAACAATAAAGGGCTTAAATATCTGTAAATCCCTTTAAAGCCACTAAGAAAATACAAGGATAAAGTAGAAACTCCATGCGAAAATCTACCCAGCAACCTACGAAGATTTTCCCAACAACTACAACGTGACAAATTTTTTCACTGACTAATCTTGGGTATGGTCATCCATTAATTAAAACACAGGGTCGACATAAAACACTGCTTACGCGTGGTATTTACCGAAAATGAATATGCTTCGTCGCACGACGCAGAGCTGAACTAATTTTCTTAGTATATATATTCAACACAAGTTGAGCGTGTAAATATTTTTATTGACATAAATATAAATTAAAAAACCCCAAACACATTGGCACAAAAAGCAATAATAAACAAGTTGAACTAATGGATTTTATATTGTGGTTGGAATAGCGAGTTCAATATAGTAGAAATTACCACTAGTAGGCCTACCAAAAACTTGTTGTTTGAATATTCAATTGTTTAATGTTGTTGGACATAATAAACATCGTTGTTCTGTCGAAAATTATGACTTCCTGAGACAAATATACTTGACCAGAAAAAATGAGAAACCTATGATTCATGCTCTGAGTATGTAGATTATATTCGTAGTATTATAAACACAATGAACAGAATAGCATTTTAACATTCTTTATAACACCAATACAGAACTAGAAAAATTAGACGAGATGAGAATAAAAAATGTGGTGTGTGAAAAAACATCTACTATGTGGGATTGTGAAAAATAATCAAAGCTGTAACCAAAATATATTGAAGCCTGAGGTAAGTGTTATGTTTAAAAGTATAAATACAACTGACAGGATGGAAACTAATTGATCGAGAAAATCTTAGGTATCGCATATTGTCAAACATTAATCACGATTACATACAATACAGCTAATGATACGCAACTGCTATGGATCGTTGTTTTATTTTTTTTTCAGGCGCCAACCTGAAACATGATTGACTAGCATATATATGTACATGGTTTAGTGACAAAAATAAATAGAAAATAAAAATTAATTTTAAGTGGACAACAATACATATGCGGATTTGACATAGAATGTAATTTCTATAAAAAAACATTGGAAGAAAAAATGAAATATTAAAATGACGAGATACTAGTAACTTGCTGTCCAGGCGAGTATCTTGTGTCCGGAACATATATATATTTGACTTTATAATATAATTATAAAACCAATCTATCACAATCATAAATAAATTACGATCGAGGGTAAGAGAGGCCGAGGTCTAACATATTAATGAAATATAACAGTGGCACAAAAATTCTTTATGCAAAAATGTTGCTTATATATATATGCTATATTTTAAAAAAGGTTATTGCGGGTAATATAGTAATTTTTCCCATCCAACATCAATTTTTTCATAACTATTTTTTGTCTTGTTTTTAAAATATAATTGAATCCAGAAACAAGCTTTCCAGGGCATTCGCATTTTGGAATGTCGATGAATTTCAAATTGCATTTCTTTGTGCGAATCTGCTTTTTTCGCTTTCTTGTACCGGTGTATTGTCTGCAGGAATTTGCTTCATAAATAAGATGAGTTTCCGTTTGTTGATTGAGTTCACCAACAGTGAATGAATACACTAAAAAGAAAACACAATTTCAGTTTACGTACACCATAAAATCATGCGGGACAAATACACGAGAAAAAATAGCTAAAGAAATTTATTGAAGATAGAAGAACTCTTGAGTTTTCACCAGCTGATACCGATTTGATTAAAATGTTGGAATCTGGTAAAACTTGATTATCACGCAGCTGAAACAAAATGAATAAAGAAACTAGCTTTACGGTAATTCAAAATAAATTAGAATAGCCAAAATCAAACTTACTATATGAAGGCTTGTGTGAATGAGAGTGAAATGTTTTCTCCATAAATTCCTCTGAACATTCTGAAATAAAGTTTTATTTAGGAATTCTGATTAGAATATTGCATTAAATCAAGTAACGGGAAGTTTTAATATAATTTATATTTAATAATTACTATTTTAGTGTAAAAAAAAATCAGATAAATTTATTATTCCATAATAATTCTCTATATTTTTATAACTACTAGGCACTACAGTAGTGGATACGAAAACTTCTCTTACCGAGTTCTTTGTGGCATCCTATTTTTTCAAAAACTTCATGTTCTTTCGAACAATCTTGAGCTGAAACTATCATTCTGTTTTTGCAACATTCTGATTTCCTGTTGTATTCTTGACCATTACAACATCCCTTCGTTGAGTTTTGTATATAATTCTCTCCACAGCAAACTTTACCATCTGAGTTTAAATGAAATTTCATTTCATTTATAGTAATATATTATTCAGTTAAAAAAAAATACGGAGTATATCACAACTAAAAGATATTCTCTCAAATACAAATCCCACACAACAGAAAATTGTTCGACATAACAGACTATAAACCGGTGGAAAATTGAAATGAAAATCGCTTCACAATGGGTAGTTTAAAAAAAACGGCCTTATTTTATCTTATAGGGAGAGGGCAAAGTATCTACAATGAAGAAAGGTAAATCTATACTAACAAATTTAAGTTGATTCAATCATTCAGCGTTGGTCATATCAGTTAATAGAGAAAGATCTCGGGCCTTTTTTCTCAATTAGAAAATTGTTTCATTCAAAATATGTTTCGTCTTAATTTCTTACCTTCAAGTAAATGAACTTTCGTCTTCCCACTCTTGCTTGTGCAGCATGTCTGTGTTTTCGTGTTGTGCCATTCATCTATTGTGTTAGGACAAGTTCTAACATTTAGCCGTCGAACAATTTCGCCATTAACGCATTTTTCTATTTGCTCGTCAAACATACCGGCACCTATACACGAAGTAATAGATAGGTAGATAGTAGTTAGATTGGTGTGTGAATGAAATATTCAACGGTGGCCGGAAATTTGTGCCGCGTCCACGTTAGTCGTACAAATGAGAAGTTATATGAAGTGCTGTTAATTGAGTATCAGGAGATTTACAATTTTATATAATATAGTGAGTTAGCATGGTGATAATATACATTTATTTCATGCACATATGGCTGATAATTTTTGAATATATAAGTCAAATCTTACCTGGGCAACAAAATTCCCCTCGTGGGGCATTGAATAGAACAAATCGGTCTTCTGTTTTTATATGGCAGCATTCAAGGTTTCTTGTAATACACCTGAATTCGTTGTCATTTTCATCGTAGCAAATTCCTGCTGATTTACATTTGTATACAGAGATATTATCTGAATCCGGTCGAAACGTAGGCAACGCATTGATTCCTGAAATGAATATTTAAAATAGTTCAAGTGGTCGGAAGATTCAAATTTTAAAATAGCAATTAGATATGATGAATTGTCATAATAATAATAATGGCGATCTTAATTATTATCACTGCCATTTATGTCCATGGCAATATCAGGTACAATACGCTCTCACATCTCGCGGCTGTGAGCACTCGAGCGTAAAGAGGCAAGCAAAATTCTTCTTTGAATGGAAAGTACCGCTAAGCGAAAACGTTATGTTAACTGATCTATACCAGAAGTTGTAATCACTTGTCTAGCTTAATGAAATTTAAGTTGAATCGGCAGCTTTTACGATAACAGGTAACGGGCGGATAATATAATAAATCTGACTTCAGTTTGCTTATACTTCGCTAATTTGGAATAATCACAATGCTAGTTATGTGGCAAACACACATACGAGTATATAGGCCTACTGCGAAATGGCAGTGAAATGTCACTTTCATATTATCGCTATTCATTCAAGTCATTCGCCTAACGTTACTCTAATTTTGACGTCCTATGAATTGTAACGTTTCTAAGTTGGCCATTCATTTCTATACCGGTTGTAAATTTTCCGCCCCATTTTAACGAAAAACATCGAATTAAAAAAAAATTATTCGATTTCAAAACCCTTTTAATGCCATTTTTTAAAACTTAAATAAACCATCTGAAGTCTTAGTCTCTGATTCGATCATTACCTCTGTCACTCGTTTTCAGTAATATATCGATGAAGATATCATTAACAAACAAGATTTTTCGTATCGGCCACGGCATTTCCAGAAAACAATTGAATTTCGTCCGTTCGGTACAATATATATCACAAGAAAATGTCTTTTCGAAATCAGACTCACGAGGTACATTCTTTATGACTCCAACTTTCGAATTTCGAGATTTTTTGACTTTTAAAATTCGTTATAGACTGGCTGCTCACGATATTTTCGACTGCGAATGTCAGATATAATTTTCAAAAACCTCACAACGATCATACCGGCGCCAGTATACTGGAAGCAAGCAATTCCTACATTCCATAAAAATCTCAGCAAAGCATCGTTAAATATCGTACAGCGAGACACTCACATCTGCCCACCGAGCGCGGTTTTTGCGAGTGAAATGAATTTATTATTCGTCAAAGCTCGCGGCGAAGGAAGTTTACTTTACACACAGCGGATTTGCGCTTAACCCATTGAGTCGTGATGCGACGAACAACGCTTGTCGGAACTTCATGATAGAAGATCCGAAGTGTTATAAATAATTTAAAACAAGGCAATGGCGACTCACCTCCCAATAAGATAACCATGAATTTGAAAACGTCCATGATTTTTTGTAATTTCGTACAATCTCGACGATGTCGGGCCTTAGTTGTGAGTTGTAGTTGGTCCATTCACGCGATTTTAAAGACTCTCGCTTTTCGTTTTTCTTAGTTACTTCGATTTACCAGGGTCTTCCCCAGGTTTTGATAAAGGTGATTCAGGTAGTACCGTGATGCGCTAGACGCCACTTAAAATGTGCTTCACATCGAAGAATCCACAGCTATACACGTGACATGCTTTTATCACCTATATTTTATTATTGTGTTTGTTGAGCAAGTTCAGCTTAAAAACGTTAACGAAAACAGACTTTTCTCAAAACATAAGCTATCATTTATTGAACTTAACTCATCTGGTCAACGAACCAATGTTACGTTGGGTGGAATATTACTTGAAACTGAATGTACTCCAATGGGTTGATTCGCCTGTTTGAAATATTGAATACCTTTGTGGGAAGATGGACACAGCGGAAACATGCCCAGAATCCTTTATCTGCTGTCCCCGTGGTTTACTCCCGTTGACAACAACAAGAAACAAAACAAAAATCGAACTGTGTGTTTATTAATATGGCGTTGTTATTGTGATTCAGAATTACCATCAACTTTATATATATTCTGCGGCTGCGATAAAAAATTTAAAAATATGTCATAGCATTTGGTCGTCATCGAATGGCGGATTATATATGATGAACGAAGACTAATGTTTAAAACTACCATGCAGAAGCCTCATTTTGCAATCCAATTGTAGTTTGACTATCAAAAATAAGGTTCATGTAATGTTTAATATAGGAAATTAAACGAGGACTGTATGATTCAACTTTTCTCATGTTGTGTTAAACACATTTCTAATAATGGGACATTAAGAATGTCATCGAGCAATTAGGTGTGATATCCACGCTACGTTTTGGCTCAATTGAACACAATTCTGCGCGAGTGAATACCCGCCGCTTCAGACCTAATCATTTCGTGCGGGTCATTAAACTCTGGTTCATAGAACTATCACCTCGAACTGGGTTTATTAAATGAGGTAATCTATATCTCAAACCCAAAAGCCTTCGGCCCTTGCAAGTACAGATGGATATACTAAACAAATATACACTTTAATTGTGTCTACTTAATTGGAATCTAAAAATAGTTTCCGATAACTCGAGGAAGTATGGAAGTGTTTTATTTTGGTAAAAAATTTCACATGATATGGTAAACATTGCGCTATTTTAAAACTGTATTTGATTATCAAACAATTCCGTTAGTAGACATTATCCATGGCAACTTTTTGAGTTCTGAGGTAAATACATTTGTTTAGTTCAATAGAGAATTCCATGGAAACCCGTACACCCATATCATATTGTTTAGAATAGTCAAATATCTATATAAAACAGGAAGATGGTTAAATGAATGTATTTGAGAGGCCCCGATATCACACGTAATAGTGGGCGAAGAAATGTTCGTTTGCCAAATCGGGATTGCATAGGAGGAGGAGATATTGAACGGGGTAATTTCAGAAAACTTGTAATAGCTTGATTTCATAGCGGTATTATTTTGATTTCATAGCGTAAAAGTTTGTTATCTATTTGCATTTCTGATAACGAATTGTGAATTGCAATATAGGACGCATCTCCATAACATATAATTTAGCATTTTCAGTTTCATATTGTTTCCCCTGGAAATACTTCATATTATATTGATTGTGCTTCGACAGTTACTCAACGGTCATAATGCTTGGTCATACTTACGACGCATTCTTCGTTGTCAATAATAATTTAATGTTTACGGGCATTTGCTTAGCCCTGGTCGTCATCTACTAAGCGTGGGAAAATTGACTCTTTTTGACTCAATCAGACCACGAATCTTGCCTAAAACAAAGTATTCATATTCGTTATGACTTAGCTCACACGAACGGCGATTTGGTTCCACTCTCCATCCATGGGTTAATCGATGACGTTCGGGCGCGATGGTGAAATAGTTGGGCCCAACAATATTAGTGACGCATGTGTGAGATCTCGTGTCTTACTTCTGTATCAATCAAAGTGTTAGGGAATGCAAAATAAGAAAGATTCTGGTCTTCATAGAAATAGTAGATCCATACGTATCAGCGGCTGCTTGTGTTGAGTCATGTTCGTAGCGAACGTGATAAAGACGTCTGACTGTGCTCAGAAGACGACGTGCTCCGACTAAAATTCTTCCTTAAAAATTATACCTGCCCGCGTATCAAGTGAATATCGTATAGCGCCTCGCTCAAAATAAAGATGTGAAAACGTGGGACTGTCTGTTGTTTGAGACGTTACTTATTTACACTATAATGCTATAAACCTGTTTTTACTTACCATGTCCGCATAGATTGCGACATATATGCGCAAGACAATCGCAGTAACCAAACAACAGGTCTGTTGATGCGAAAGAATCAACAGGAGAAATTTAAAAACTGACATCTGGCGGGGGAGTTGTCACCTGATACACCACCCCTACAAGAATGACGGGAAATTTTTATGTGGGAGGTGGGTGCGACTGCATATAACACCGAGTATATTCTACAAATTCATAGCAATTGCGCTACAAGAGTAATGTCTATTTAGTATGCTTTTTGTGTAGGCACCGGGCTGCAAGACCTAACCACGCTTCGCGTCAACATCCTAACCATTTTTCACAAATACAAAACACTCGGGAAATTGTTATTGTGTGATACAGCGAACTTTCATGGGCACATCAAGGTTATACCAAAATTCACAATTTTTAAGTCGCGTTTCATTTCAATAAACAAAAAAAAAATGAAATAAATTTTAGAAATTCAAACCACGCAACACATAAAATCATCATCATCAAATGGAATATAATGAAAATCGAAGTGCAAGTTCAGTAAGTGTATCAATATGCATTAAACGCCTTTAGAGATTATCCATTGGTAATAAATTATTAAAAGAGTCATGAAACGAAACGTTCCAGTTAACATTGTGGTAGAACATTATTATTTCTATCTTCGTCGTTTGGGTGTACCACCCGCAACAAGAATCGGCGTTGTTCCAGCCATACTGGACGGCTTTTTCACAATGACACGTCCTTTAGAAACCTGGAAAATATAATATTGTACTTGTCAATAAAACATCAAACCACACAGTGCTGGACATTGTCAGCTCGCTTCGAGCGTCTTGTCAGGAATAGGCTTGCCACCCCTCCACTCTACGTGGGTTCGCAGATACGAATCCCGATAGAGTATGAATATGTGCCACAGATTGCTGGACTTCTCGTCGTCGTATGGTGATACACGTAACCGCTAGTCGATTACGACATAATTCAGCACCAATTCCATGCATCTGAAACAACTGGTATACTCGATTACTCGATTAACTGGTAACCAGACGAGAAGCCTGTGTTAGCGATTGAAATAAGTCATTTTATCGGCTTAATAAGGGTACCTGCCACCTTCCACTCAAAAGTAGATCAGTGGCCAAAGGTAACAAAAACTTAAAAAAAAACGTTTCCGGTTGTGTACCATAATAAAAGGAGCTTTATCGTCAGTATATCGCGTAGTTGCAATCCATAGGAAATTTATCATGCTGTAGATGGGACGTGCCGTACATTATTCAGTGAAGTTGTGCGAGAGAATGCCATGCAAATTCTGCACAGCCATGCTATATAGTAGCAGCAAAGACGTATTCTCAATGGTATTTCGTGATGTAAGCACGTCAATAACTTTCTCTTTAAAAGTGCTATCAACTTTTGAAAAGTGCGCCAATTTGACAGCAATTTTGAGGTGGATGCATAATACAGTTACCCAGCGATTCCGATTACTTCGACTTAACATTTATACTCGGCATACAAGATAAAAATAGCATATAAACGCATGTGAATAGAATGAATAAAATGTTAAGTTTTGCGATTATTTTTAAACACAATATGTGAGTCTGGAATATGTCGTTAGTGACGGATTGTGGCGCCATAACTTGGTGAACCAATAGGCTACTTTCTGTAAATTTTCACACTGTAAAATATACCCAAATATGGTAACAGAAATATATATTTAAAATTACGTATTTAATATCTTTCTGGTGATGAAATGTGTACAATAAGAAAAGATTTTTATTCGAACACAAAAACGAATTTTACAAATATTAATTCCCGAAAATGATCCCGTTGTCTTTTGTTATTTTCCCCTGTTCCTCTGTTACCTTACAAAAATATTTTGAAATGGATACTTTTGCAAACGATAACATTGGATTAAGTAAGAAACTAGTTTCTATTTTATCCGAGAATTTTGACATTTTTTAAATGACTTAATATGAGAAAATTACGGGACGAAATCAACCGAAAAATATATTCAGCCCATACTTGCCCACATATTCCAGGGTACATATAAGGAGAATTTCCCATATACAATCTTTTAAAAATCAAAAGCCTGCAATATTATTGAAGCGAGCAAAGCGTGTAATATGATGGAACACACGGCGAAACGCTCGCAAACATTTTATCACAAATAAAAACGGCTATTGGAAGTTAGGAGAAAGTGTCAGAAGTACCGTTTGGGGATTTCCACGCGATCAAATTTTTGTTTACCCTTATTTGGTTGCAGTTTTCGATGGTCACGCAACCCTATTGGACGACATATGATGCAGAAATGATAAAAAATTATTGATACATTAATGAACAATGCGGAATAATACCGATAAATGTGTTTCTAATATCTTAACAACCAGTTTGAGACCAAGGTGCTTTCTCTCGGGTGTAAAATCTATCGAATGGGGTTCTAATTTAACCTTTTCGATTTGTTAAAAGAGTGTTTATATGGATGGATGTTATGCTCAATTATAACAATTATCAAAAATTTTACCCAGTTATATTGAAAAGCGCAAATAATTAAAACGACAGTCTCGTAATGTCAGAAATTCTCATTGTTGTTTTCATTGCAGCCAAGTACGTCATATCAACTTGATGAGGGTAATGTTTTTTTATTGCGACATTGCTCCCACGCGAAATATGGGATCGGAGTTGAACGCAACGAAATTTTTTAGTTATGTGTGTGGGCGATTTGTCCAAAATTCGATTGCAAAACTAAACTAGCATGATACAATTGAACGACACATGATGTTCAACGATGTATCATGCATAGCCATCTATCGACTATCAATCAAAAATTTTGAAAAAACTTCGAAAAGTAACTGGGTTTATTGTTTTTTTGCGGCAGTAAAAAATAAATAACTTGCCATGCATGCATTGGTTTTGTGTACCGTAGATCTCTATGTAGCGTTTATCTTTGATGAGTAAGTACATAGAAAACTCAACCAACTGCGAGCAATGACGCAATTGCCGGCTAAGTAAAACTTCCACCGACAATTGTCTTGAACACATGTAAACATAATTCAACCCACGCAAATTCCATTACCCTCAGATATTGTTCTATCTTTATATTTGTACTAAATCGGGTATGTGCCAATGATAAATCGCGCCGCCGAGGCGCGGTTTATCAATAGCACATAGCCGATTAAAACAGTTTTAACTGAATAATTTTCGTAACTTTACTGTATATTCCGCCGCCTTACTTGGTCCTTAATTAAAGCACCTGATATGGCTGACATAAGGACGGTTATTTTTCGCGTGCAATTACACATTATGTTAGCCGGACAAATAAACGTGATGGATTAAAATTGGAATTCGACGTAATGTGTCGTTTATGAAAAATTTCGATAGAGCTTCATATCTACCCTACTTCCTAATTTTCAATCCCTTTGTCATGCCGATAAAAATAATTGCCTTACGCAAGGTTCAACCGCTCAGTCGTGAAATATGGAGCGTGATAAAATAGGTATTGATGTAATAAAACTGAGGACTATATGAAATTTAATGAAGAACTATAAATACGTGGACGTGAATTACAGATATTAATGAATGGAGTATTGGACATGAATGGATCGTTTTGTTGTTGTTATTGTTGTTTAGTGGTGATATTCTTTTTCTTGTTGTTGTTATTTTTGTTGTTGTGAAACAATTCTATCTTTAATTATAGACCAATTGCTTTGACAATTTCAGTGGTTGAAGATTGTATTTTTCGCTGGAAGGCTACTTTCATTTATTTCAAAAATTTCTGTGGGCTTTATGAGATTTGTCATTTGTGTGCGATGACGTCGTCGAAATTAAAAACTGCGAACCTTGTGGCGGTCTAGCGTTCGCGTTGGTTGTTTTCTAGCGGTCAGGCAAAGTCGTGAAGGCTGCGGTAAGGGTACTCTACTGTAAAAGATCGCATACCCGTGGTATTCGTGGTCGTTTTGATTTTCGTGTCCGCATATATCTGAGCATAGCTTTTCTTGTTTTAAATATAAATTTTTAATTTGCGTGAATTGCGCGATATGTGTATTACTGGACTCACACTCAATTTGCCATTCCAACATTACCATTACCGTATTATCAGATTTGATATTAACATGAATGGTCTTTCATTAAGCGCTTTACTTGCCCAGGCCAATTTAACCAATTAAATAGGGTGGGCTCTCTCAATATTGAAAACACATCCGGAAAAACTAATACAAAGATGATAATACTTCACACCAATAATTCAATATTACTACTATTGACTAAACATCCGATTTGAAAATTTCTCCTTATGAATTTTACTTTAGATATCAGAATAGATTACCGGTCATTCTGAATAATAATTGACTTTGATCGGCTATGGGATTGTAATATGAATGCGCTCGTGGAAATTTTTGATAAAAGTTTTATTGAACAAATTTCCCGGCACCAAACCTCACACGAAATAACATTTACGCAATAGAAATCTTACAAGCAGCATATCCGGGGATACACCCCTTGTTTTTACTAAACCATGATTCATATATGACAAGTTTTTGAATCGAACATAACAAATTATAATATTTTATGGACACTTTGTCATGGCGCCGTCGCGATTGTACCACATCGTATATTTGATAAAAACCAATAGATAAATCAATATGAAAACATACACTAAAAAACTCCGCCTTGAGGTATTTCCACGTATAGAGTGGGAAATCATACAAGACACGCGTTTTGAGAATTTTCTAATATATCTGCATTACCTACTGTGAACAAATAAAGTCGCGGCTAAAACTCGGGCCATGAGTGATGCATACTTGACATTCAATATCGGTGAGACAACAAGTGACTAATGCGCGTATGCTTGACAGCTACTGGGAGTAATATAATCAGTGGCATATAGCTAGCCATCTGACTCCATCTTTTTTTTCAACTATCCTAAATCCCCGTCGTATCATTAACAACCTGGGGACACATTTATATGAATATTTTTCTGACAAACACAGATGAAAATTAGAACGTATACGTCATCGAATGATGTCACCTTATGGGGTTTGTAATAAAAAATTACCAGTATCAAATTAAAAAATTCAACCAAGGAAAATAATCTATTCATGAAACTGACAAAACCAGAGTTATGTAAAATATAATATTGTTTGTATTACGTTGTATTTAAACAATAAACTTTATATTATATAAAATTTATGCTAACAGGTTTATCAATTATATCCCCTGGTTGACGTTTTTTGCGCCATCGGTGATTTATAAATTACAATACCCTGCGGTGACATCAACCAATGACGTATTTATTTTGTGAATCTCCGTTGCTGTTAGTTGCTAGTTTAGTTTTGAACACAAGATGTCACGGGTTGTTTATTATTTATTTAACCACAGTGAAATACGGTAGTTTAAAAAACTGAGAATGACCATTGACGTCAATGGATGATGTAAAGATATTGAGTTTGTATTCCTTCACTTCTGTATAATTTATAATAAAGTAATTGTAAAGTCAATACAGTTTTATTTCGCTTTGCTTTTCATACAATCTATCGACTATCTATACATATGTGACACGTTATAGTGGCGCTCATTACGCGTAATTCGTCCACACTGGGCCATTTAAAATCAAAAATCAAAAATACGTCACTTTTATGATGATTACAACCAAGTACAACAATACTTCTATGATGCATTGAGGGTTTGAGGCATTTAAAATATTGTATTGGGACTATTGAATATGCAAACAATTGAACTACTGAGCATATAAAAAATGTTTTTCCGGGGTATTTTATTTTCACATGAAGCAAAATCTAACGACTTGCTTATCATCACGCCCCGTCTCGGGGTACGGCACCGTGATCATTATTTTAACCCTACAGTGTGAGTGACATTAATTTTACAATTTCGAAATTGCAAAACATGTATTTCAACTACAAATAATTCAGAACATTTACAGACGAATTTGTTGTACACAATTGAATGTGGAAAGTGTTGCTGAAAATAGTACGCCTGCGGCGTGTGCTAAAATTTAATTGTAATAAATATTTTTGGAAAAAATATTCAACTGTATTTAAAAATCATTCATCTGATAACCATAGAGTATTTTTTAAATTTATTTTAATATGCTATGTTTTATCATGTTCCGTTTTAATACAGTCAAATACGTAATTTGGCATCGGAAATTCCGATATGACGTTTATGAGCGAGAGAAGTTATCAGAACAATTATAACGAGATTAAATATGTGGATTTTACCCCAACGAGACCACGATGCGGAACTGATGATGTTCAATCGCGAAATGGTGAAATTGTGGTCAAAGTTTAATTTTAGCTTTTTCCCAAAATAGCGTAAAGTCACGAATAGAAGCTTTTTTTTACCTCATAAAAATTACTTTCCCGTATTTATATATTCAACTGTCCTTTATGGATAAACTTTATTAAAAAGTTTGTGAGCATTTCATTCACATAGCGACTATATAACTAGCATTTCAAAATACAAATTGCTGGAAAGAAGCGTACAGCGATATAGATTACAGATAGTTACGTGTGGGTAGTAATTCAGATCGCAAAATCACTGATATTTAGGAGTAATAATAAACACTACTAAAATATCAGAACAAATATTAATCGATTTCGCTATAATACAACCAAAATACTATTTTTCTCACCCTAATAAACAGTCAAGATGATATACATATTGCTCCAACACGTTCAAAATATATTTCACCAACCCCAACAAGAGTCCCAAATATTTGGATTTTATGGAACAATTCTTTCCGAGGTGTATAAATTGGTAGCTTTAGTTTAGGCTAAATCCCTACCATCTTTCCGAAAAGGGGCCAGAGATAGGACAAAGCATAGCGTCGTATAGCAAAACAACGACGTCATAATACGAAAATATGGCGTCACCATTCGAATGCGCCATCAACGAATCTCCCCCATATATTTTACTAGATCCAACGAAGGGTCTCAAGCTTAAATTTTGAGTGACAATAAAAGAAAGTGAGAAGTGATAACAGGTTTTTTATCTGGCACGAAAATTCCGACGGCATACATTTAGGTTAAGTCTCCTCGCGGTTTGAAATCAAAACAAACAGAGGTCTTTCAGAACGACACGCGCTTAATACGTGATTATTATGGCAGCATCCCTAAAATACCACCGCAAGCGTTACAAAGGAAAGATTGAGATATTGTACGTCATCCGTTTATGTCATCTAGTAATTCAAAATTACGTATTTCATAGTTGTTAAGTTGAAACCTGGGGATATCTTCTGTAAAATTAGCGATGTGCGACAATAGGGATTTTGAAAATGTATACGTCATTATTGTGATGTCATTTCAGATTTTGTAAATTGACTTTGTTATACTGAAACCGCCCACCTGGTTTAATCGTTGATTAAAGATTAGGAAACTAACAAGATTCAATTAAACTAAATTAATCATATATATCGCTAGCAAGAGCCAGAGTAAAAATTTGAAGCCTAAAAATGAAACGGCGTGTTGGTCCATTTATTATGTTATTTGTACTCGTTTTTGTTGTGAAAGAAACAACACAAAAGTAGTATGTATAATGCAATATAGCCAGGGTTGGGATTCAGGGGTCGCCAACCCTTTCTTGAAATATCGTAATATTAGCGAGCACATTCTCGCATTTTGTTTAAACGATCGCAGCAAATTTGTAACGTGCCTTGCATCTGATGACCAGCGTTATTTTTGCTGATCATCCAAAAGTTAATTATATGTTTTATGTAAACCATGCCACGTTAATGCATTCACACATATTTTCTGAGATGATGGAACTTGTTGTTGGTGAATTAGATGAAAAAGAGCACCCGTTGTTAAAAATAAGAACTGTTTAAATTGACAGTTCGATTTACTTGTTTTATCACGCTCATCAGAGATGTAGATCACGCCTTTGATGGGGAATGGTTCTCGTATACATCATGCATGAAAAACAGATTTCTACTAAGTACGTAGATTTGAATAAAATAATCATTACTGTGAAATTAACCAGGGGAAACAATTCATTTATATAACTGACAAAAATAGATTCCTGACAGGTCTAATAAAATTTGTTCTGTGTTGTAAAACAACAAATTTTTTGAAACTTTCATACTTCTGTTTTCGGACATTTCAATACTGTTCAAGCCTAAATTTTCCACTCCATTTTTAATAAATTCAAATCTTTACAAAACTCCACAAGTATAAATTGAAAAGTTTCGTTACTCTCAACAAACATTCACAAACCACGAAAGCCTCTTCAAATATTGCTGCGTGACGTATTAACTTTGCTCACTATTTGCAGATTTGTTTGATATAACGCAATACATACGTCGTTGGAAACTCCGATACAAGATTTCGTAGGTGAGAGTAAACATCCGTAGAAAAATAATGTCACTAATTTGTGTATTCAATGACCCAAATAGTTATGATCTAAACCAGTGACGTTGATGAAGTAGCTTTGATTGGCTGAATGATTTTCAAGAGGGAAAATAAACTTTTATTTATAGACCGCCTTTCGAGTTCATTCGCTCAAAATAACATTTATCAATTAAAATAATAAACGCGTGTTCTAAAAATAACTTGAAGATTGGTTAAGCAAACTCAAAATCAATGCAAGCTTTAAACTGTTTGAAATAGCCATGTAGACAAAAATAGATTTTCGTAAGCTAGAAACCCAACGTAGTTAGTCACTTAATCTCTGATCAAAGGTAGACAGCAGAAAGATATTAATATAAAAATAAAAATCACCTTTCCGGTTGCCACTGATTTTCCCGGAGATTTTGGCGTGCTTGGATCGTCAGTAAATGATGCACCACCGGTTACAAAGTCCATCGATGGTGCTCTAGGTTGTGGCGGAGGGGTTTGGAGTCGATATACCGGCAACGCACGAAATATAGCACCACTTTCTGGCTCAGCAGGTTTCGAACTTTCGAGACTGCTTTTATCTGCCTGTGATGACAAAAAGAAAATAGTCATTTCGAGGGAGCTAATTTTTCAGCCTAATCGCATATTTGGGCACTTTTGAAAATTGCCACTTGTGTTTAAGCAAAATAAAAAATCTCACAAAAAAAGCTTCTTTAGAAGCGAAATTACGTTGATAATTTCATATCTGTTTTCATCGTTTTAGCTTAAATCTTACACTATGTTACTTTACCAAATAGGATAAAACTATTCGACAGCCAACCGCGCTCATAACATTGATTCTACTCCTTTCACTTTTTGAAATTCATGTGAGTCATGCGTGAGTCCACTAGGCCGTGGTTCCAACAGTCATTACTATGGGTTTTATATGGAAAACTTCATTTCTCTTTCTAAAATTAATATTGTACAAACTGACCTTTGGTTTTACTAGCGCTTTAAAAAATTTCTTATTTCGAACTTCCAGGACATTTGGTGGTTGGGTCATATTTGGTAGAATTTGTTGTCGTTGAATTAAATCACGATCATATGCAGATCTTCGGAATGGTTTCCATCTGGAAAGGATACACGTATGGTGTTATGTTGTATTAGGATATGGGACTGTTATACCAGGCCCAAATTAACTCGAGTTAGAATCACTCCTTGAGTTTTCAAATAATAATGCAGAAAAGAATAAAATTGCATTTGTATATTACTATACTGTGACTATTTATATTATTTCCTTATTATACTGTTCGAAACGAAAGCATGTTTCCATTGACAATTTTGTTCAAATAGTTTTAACTATCCAATGTGGCATAACAGCATATGAAGAAATTCGCTCTCTGGCCCCAGCTAGCGGTTGAAGAATATGAATCATAACTCATTCGCAATAACATATTATATTTGAATATCGGTCTAGCGTTGAACTTGAAACAAAGACTATGAACATTTAGAAAAGTTTGTCAAAAAATAACGGTCCGTAAAACAAACCTCTAGCGATCTTATCGTTTTCACACCTAATAACAGTGCTGTAGAGCAGGGATTCTCAAACTTTTGATGTTGCGGAGCCCTTGAAAATGTTGACTATTCTTCACGGAGCCCCACAAATAAATTTTGAAAATAACGCAGACAAAAAACACATATCATTTGCTGATAAATATTCCCGAGTAAGTTAAAATTACTTTACCTAATTTAAATGCTAAAACTTTTTAATCTGCATTTCACAGATAAATTATATATATTAGGTCTGTAAAATTGAAAACTTGACAAACACATTAATGAACTCGAAATGAGGTCGAACCACCTCACTTTTGATATTTTTGGAAGACTAAGGAAGTCGCTCCTAATATGCGCGATTGCATTTTGTCAAAATGCGACTTTTTTTCGATATGTGACAATATATAAGGTAATTGTGAAGATTATTAATCAATTTGTTATTGCGAACAAAATACATTTCAATCCTTCGTTTTTTCGTTCACTTGACTTTGTTGTTTCTCGTTTGATGTCCGCGGATTGGCATGGTAATTTTGGGCAGTAATGATTTTATATTGTCGTAAGTCCACGCACCCACAGGTTACATTGAACACAATGAAGCCAATAAACAAGGCATTTTAACATGCAGGCATCGGTCAGGGATTGAGCAATTGTAAATTGTAGTCTTTGAGATTTTAACACAGCTGAGAGAACAACTCAAATTTGATGAATCCCAAGATCGCAAAAATAGGATTCCAATCTATTTATAGTTGGCAGTTTAGCACTTATTTTATATTATTTTAGAATGTAGTAATAGTATTTCCCATTTTGATAATCGTAATTGTAATCTAGACTCATATGCAAGTAACGAGAAACACAAATAAATTATTATGACACGACATTTTGAATGCTCGCATCGGCCATGGATGGAAACTCGTTATCCACTGAAAAAGTTTTTTTTTTATCGAGTGGCCTAATAGCGAGTAGTGGTGCCAGGGAATTTTTAATTCCAATTTTGAACCCTCCCCTCTCTCTTTTAAAAATCCTGGCTGCGCTTCTACTTATAGATAATGTAATATATATTTGAATTACGCCTCGTTGCGATATTTCGACGCTATACTGTTGTCAGATTTTATTAATGGTGTTATTACTTATCGATCTTAAGATCGGTAAGTATATTGATAGGTATTTGTCTTTATGTATGTCTGTCTGTATGTATGTCTGTCTGTGTGTCTGTTAGATGAACGCGATATCTCGCGAACGCGTGGTTGAATCTTGCATGTGCATGCATCTTACCTCGGACCAGAAGCCTATAGATTTTGGGTGAATTATGTCGTATAATTAGCGAGTTATTAACTAATTACCGATCTAAGATCGATAAGTCTTCGGTCTCCGACCGATATTCTCGTTGCTTCTTTGAACAGTTACAGAATAGCCAAGATCATATTTTGACAAGTAATCGAATAGCTCGCGGAGCCCCTAGGTTCCTCTCGCGGAGCCCTGGGGCTCCGTACGGAGCACTTTGAGAACCTATGCTGTAGAGGAAGCATGTTCAAAATTATATTTTTAACATCCGACGAATTCAAACCTTTCTGCATCAAATATGAGAGGGTAATCATATTTTTTCGTTTGTGGTTTCCTTCTACCACTTCGTATATTGACAGGTTTGACTGGAACTTCGTTGATGTCGTATGGAAGAACAGGACTTGAAGGTAGAGAAGGATTAGGTGATAAATACCAAACTCTATGCTGTCCGAAATACCCTACGTAATGAGCACGTTGCGGATACCAAATTCTAAAAAAAATTAAAAAAGTTAGTGAAACCCTACAACAAACAAATCAGTGAAAAAGCATGATAAATTATGTATAATTTAGAGTATGAAAACAAAGGGAAAAATCGTTGAGTTTGTTATAAATACTAGAAAAAAAAATTATGCCAACATATACAGGAATGAGCCTCCATTTCTGCTAACCTGACTGATCCATCGGTAGAAGCGGTGATAAGTGCACCAGCTTCATCGCCATAAACTACGGATACAATTTTCATAAGATGAGCCCTCCAACTTATTATTTGTCGAACTAGTTCAGTGTTAGCTTGAACTGATGTACCGGTGTTTGATTTTTGAAGAAATTCGGAGACGTCCCACATTGTAACGTAACCCTCTGGCAAAAAACATAAAAGTTAAGGTTGTAGGGAAAAGAAACCATGATTTTTTATTGTATTCATTCACGTAGACTAACTTATAACGAAGATCAACAATAATTTTGCGCTCATTTCCATATCTATGTAATGTTCATGTTTACCGGTAGCCGATGTAACATCAAGGTAATATTTTATTTTTCAATCAATAATAAGTAGGTTCTTCCGGTATCAAAAATATACCCCTTATCTTGTTCTATATTTATACGAAAGAAGGAAGAAATACAACATAGCACGGGCTAAACAGATAGACTCCCAAGACAACACTATGGACCTTTCCCTCCTTGTTTACTTCATGACACTGGCCAATCAGCAAGATGCAAAAAGTGACGTAACAAGGCTCCCTTTTCGCATTCGCTTAGGCCTTAGACACTTTTCTCACTCAGGCAGATTTTCATGCGTGGTCGTAAACATTACCACGTTTCCGCGTTTTTGAACTCTATTTGTTAGTTTTCAGTTGTGTTTCGGAAACTTAAATATAAATCAGATAATTCAATGATCACTCTGCCTTCTTAGGAGTTTTAATTTAATTGCAGTAACAAAAAATTAGTGTAGAAATAGCTGTGATAGACTAGGCTAAAATTCTTTACCGTCACTTTCAAAAAACAGATTGTTGTAAGCGATGAATCATAATGATGGTTTGAAACACATACCCCATTTTACAGGCGCCAACTCGCAAAAGCACTCTTAAAATAGCTCCGAAAATTTTGCAATTGTTAGGTTTATAGGAAGAATTTTTCGGGGGTCAAAGGTCGGAGAAAGGTCCATACATGTACATAATGTGGCAACAATGTCATGACCATTGCCACGCATGAAGTGAGTTTGCTCACATGAACCGAATGAAAAATTGAGATATTATATGCAAGAAATAGACGCGTTTACATCAGAGCTATACAGTATACAGTATATGTGAGTTTTACATTTGCGGCTTGGGGAGTAAATTTAGTATTTATAACGCGACTAGGCTTTTAGTGATATATTTCAAACCAACGCAAATTAGAATTGTTAAACGAATAGAGATATGTGATTAAAACTGAGTCCAATAGAACTAAAGACAAGGAAACTGAAATTTTTCACATCTAACAGTGATATGGCTCAGATCGCGATTTAAGAGTTTTTGAAATTACAGGCACATATCTTACTTGTATCGCCAACGATAAGATAGTTTGAATATTCGTCATTACACATAGTGGTGATTGGTGAAACGACTTTGGTCATTGGTACAAGAGATACAAGCAATTCTCCTGTCATTGACCACAATCTGTAATACAAGAAACCATTTCAAAAAATATGTTTGCAACGAATGGAATCTTGCGCTAATGATTTGATAACTGCTTATCCTTCTTCTATGCTTTTGTGTCAGTCAAATATATTCCTGTAACGTTTCGCCTGGCCCAGGCCGGACTTCCTCGGACATACATAGCTCAACTATTCTCAGAATTCCTAATTGCTATAATTATGACAATTCATTATCGTGCATTGCATAATAATAACAATAATGCTTTGGTACCATTCGGCATAAAAGTCTTAATTCTAATTGGCGATCGTCATTACCTCACGTTAGAATCTTGATGACATGATGCGATAACTGGTGGGAACTCAACTTCTACTTTCTTGATGGGTTCCGGATCAATGTCCATTAGTTGACGCTCCTCGAAACTTTTTAGATCAAAATCGTCACCGTCTTGTTCTTCATCTGAAGTCTACGAAAAATAGGTAAATAGTACAACACATCATGCGATACATCCCATTTTATTAAATCTCTTTAAGACAGTTAGAAAATAAATATTTCACTATTATTAATGGATGTTTGTCCCAAAGCATCAACTTCCTTGTTTACTTCATTTACATTGGCTAAGCAAAATGTAGGTGACGACGTAACAATTAAATTTTAGCAGTGACTCGGGCACTTTTTTCACTCAGACAGTTTTCAGTTACGATGACAAACATTCGATTTTTCGTGGATTGTCAAGTTTTAGTTGCATTTCCGAAATTTAGGAGCAAATAAAGTTTCAGAGTTTTAGTTTGGCTGCATTACCCAAAAATTAATCTGCTATAACCTAAGGCCTGGGCTAAAAATTTTACCGGCACGTACCGTATTTTTAAATGGTACGCGGTTGAATATTTTGAATAAATATGATTTGAAGCACGTAAACCAGGTTGTAAACGCTAATTCATGAAAAAAAGGCAAAATAAACATCAACAATTTTGCAATGGTAAAGTATCGGAAAGATTCCGGGAAAACACCCATAGAATTGAATTTTCTTCCATAAGCATAAGGCCCTCCTTGGGCATATGTGGGACCGTGTTTTGGGCAGTCATTAAAAATAACTAACCTCAACGTCAATCTGTGCTTCTTCAGCACGATCATCATCAACTTCTTCTTTCTTTTCCTCTTTAGCATCATCCTACCAATGGAGTAATTTATACTTTTTATTGTTTTTTTATTTATAGAATTTTGGTATAAACATGAGAGTATAATAGTGAAGCATGTAATTCGATACAATATACATTTTTATAACAATTACCTATTTAAAATGCCTTTACAATTATGTTTATGCTGATATTGGAAATTCTGATAGTTAGTTTTCTTGCTTTTCTGCATAGCTCACACCAAAGTCTAGAATGGACTTGAAAGCAGCAGTTGTTAGTCAAAAGTGGAATTCTCTATCTATATTGGTGAATTTCACCTTCTGTTCTTGCTCTGTCTTTTCTTCCTCGTCTTCTTCAGCTTCATCGTCTACCAATCCACCTTCGATCTCCAACATTTTCTTTTTTCGTAATTTTCTCCTTCTTTTTACTTCTTCTGGATCGGGTACAAATATTTTGTGACACAACCCTGCTACTTGGTTCACGCGATAAGGAAACATTTCTTTCATTCTTCTCTCACGACTGTCGTAACGACTTGGAACTTCTGCCTTTTCGAGTTCAAAGCTGTGAAATAAGAGAAACGCAGTAATAGACGATAATATTTTCAAAAAGCGTAGATATAAAAATATTGTGTTTTGCTGGCATCTGCAGTTTCGAACTTCACGCCTTCGTCATGTGATCAGGGTTTTTGACAAAGCCTTGACGGCTTCAGAAAGCCTTCCGATTTTGCATAGTTCAACTAATATATGAATATCTAATTCAAATCATGACCAATTTCTACCAAAAAGCGAAAGGGAATATTTTAGAAATAATCATATATTGTTATGAAGTATTAGTTACGGTTTACATGCTCGGTAAGTTATTTTACTTTATTTCATTGATAAAATGTGTATCCATAAAAAACTAGTTATTCAGGTGACCGTTCATTTGAAACCACGTACAGTTGAACCCACGTACAGTTGAAGAGTTAGTATGGGTTCAAATATGCGTAGGTGCAATAGTATGCAGGTGCAATTGTCGTGGGTTCAAATGTTATGGAACCCGTTATTCAACGTAAGAAGAATAAAAATTAACACTCACACATTAGATACTGTTCCTTCCTCCGGATTCCACAGAATTATATTTCCATTAGAACATCCGGTAACAAGTATACTTGAAACAGAAGGCAAACGAACGTCCATCATCGAGCAGCAAGTGATTTCATGGCGAAGAAAGAGGTCTTCCTAAATTGCAAAAGTATACTAACGGTTAACAAATTTTGCAATAAACATTGAAAAATATTTGATGTGGTAGTCAATGTAAATTATAGACTTATAGTCTTATCTGATCATGCTCTAAATTTTCTAAAATATACATTTTGATTTCAGAGAAGTTTAAATTAGCTTGACTTGTCTGTCAACTATTGTAGGTGACAAACATTTTTCTCGTGGAAGTTTCGATTTTACGATATTAGAAATATTCTAATATTCCTGTGCCAACTTGTGTCTTGTAACATTTCCGTAGCAATAAAAATCTTTATGTATATACTCTTAGCTCATCAATTGACAGTTGTAACTGGCCTGTCAGTAATCTGGTTAGTTCTAAGAAAAAAGAGTCTGATCGCTTAGAGCAGTGGTCGGCAACGGGCAAACCGTGGGTCGCCGAGAATTTTCTGGTTGGTCACCAATAGGCTTGCACGTAATTGACAAAAATCAATTCCGTAATTACGGCAAAATCAATTACGTAATGACCCCGTAATTGCGATATTTTTCCACGCATTTAAACCTATCATAACAACCAATTAAATCCACTTCTTTTCCGAATGGAACATTGAAGTTGGGTTTTCATATTCTTGGCAGTACTACACGCCGTCGGCAGATGTTAAAGACAAATATCAAGGGGTGAATTCAAATTAATTTTATTCTGATTTTTATATTTTGTGTTGGCTTTGGTTTTCATTTATCACCTTCGCAAATTAACCGTCCCATTTTTATGCTATCAATTTTATTTTATCAATACCGACACTGGTATACGGATATTTATGGAAACGATAGTTTTTTAAAACCACCTTAGTGCTGAATAAAATTAACTAACGACGAGCGTATTCTCTCGTTTGATTATACTTGCGATTTCCTCGCGACGAAGACTTGTTTTTGCAGCGTCTTCTGCATTATCCGACATTACTGCCTTGTTAGCATTTTATAATAATAATTATTGATGTCGACTTATTGACGATATTCCGATTACCATGCTTCATTTTACATTTAATCATTTCGCGGACTGAATGTTTATAACATTATTTGCGATAAATTTAGATCAAATATTATTTATTTGAGTATAATTTAAATATGGAACTTATATGATATGCCTTCTCCGAAAATACAAAGTTATATCGCAAAACAATGCATTTTGTGACATTTATTTTACACTCACGATATTTATTTGCTAACTCAAGTCGGCGATCCTATCGGCCAAGATTGACACAAGTTTGGTCGAGTGCCGGTGGTATTCAAGTCGACGATAAATCAAAATAAGTTGCCGCATTTGGTAAGACAGTTAATCATATACGGCCGAAATATTGAGAGGAATTGTGAAAAACATCATGAGCAGGGCCAAGTCCGGACTGATATATAACGATAAAACCGTTAACAGAAAACATAAGATTTTGTAATAGAAAATGGATCTCGCACAGAATAAACACACTGGCTCATATTTGATCATATATGATAGCAGGTAAATTTTTAGCGGTCCGCGAGGAATCCGTCGTTTTGCTGTTTTTCTGCCGTCTCAGTCGCTTTACCGATGCCGAGGAGACGAAGTTGCGTTGGTTCATTACGCAATCTCTCTTTTGTCGTCATATTGCTATTTGATAAGCGCGACATTAATTATCACGGCGAGGTATTGGTGCGAGTGATCAATCGCTCTTTTCGCTTATTTGGTTCCAATTCGTCGCGAAAGCTCTTCGTTAAATTTCACAAGATCGTCGTGTTGAAAGGTTATGGATATTTTCCTGTTTATACCCCAAGTCTGAAATAAAACAGCCAAAAACAGTATGATATTCCATGTTCATATATTAAGTGTTGATATTAACAATAACGAATGGTTAAGCATTGCTAATCCACACTTGGTGGGGAACTCCCACTATTTAACCGCTTGAACCCGGCAAGCCGGTTTACCGGCTTGTTTGAGTACGCTCTGTGCCCCGGCAAGCCGGTTTACCGGCTTGTTTTTCGTGTCGGAAGGAATCAACTTTATGATCTCGTATCTCAAGAACCACAATGAGTATTTAAATAAATTTTATATTGCATGAAAGCTTGTTATTGGGACTAATTATATTGTAAATATCGGTGCTCTAATATACGATGTTTCAGTAAAATTGGCAATTTGAAAGTGCGTATGAAATTATTGTATGATAACAAATATTTAATATAAAGAATTTCGACTTCTCGCCTGAATAGCCACATATTCAATCGGCAATATATGTGGAGAATTTGAATAGCTTTTTATATACGTATCCAAAACGATTTTACGATGAGCCATTCAAATTTTATGGCGAAATATATTAGATTATCTGTAGATTTAACAGCGACGCTGCGTCAAAATGATGTTCTCGTTGAAGAGAGGCTACGTCTCGTCACGCACAACTTTACGTATATTACGCAAATGCAAATAAACGTGACGATATCCGCAATAACGTTACGTCGAGATGTTATCATTTAAATGTCCGCAGGAAGTAATTAATTAACCCGATGCTACGCATTCAAAATTCGCACTACGCTTTGACTTTGACTGCCCGCTCAAGCCCCATTAAGTTGTGGTTATGTATACGCAATATGAACCAGATTGTGATTTTATCAGCAAATAACGGAACAATAAAGACCATGAAAAATGTATGTACATAAAAGACTGCTTGCTAAAATTTTTAAATTGAATATTGCACTTTGTTGTGCCCGGAACAATGAAGAACATGAAAATATTATGCAGATAAAAGACACATTCTAAATCCAATATTGCACTTTGTTGTGCCAGTTATACCAATGGTTGTTGGTTTCGTTACCTATACATAGGTACTCATTACAGTATTTGTACATATATACTGTCTCGCATCGTTTCAGCAACGCTTTGTCTTTAGCAGCTGGATTGGTTTTTTGGCAATAATGTAAATTTTGCTGCATACGACGCATCTATTATTAGAACTGGCGTTTTGCGGTAGGGTATCTAGTTCTGGCGACGCATATAATCTTGTTGGAATAAGAGTTGCTCTTTCTGCATTATTAGTTCTCTCAGATATTGATCCATCCACTTGCTCCGCCTAACATTCGTACAATCAGATATTTCGATCTGCAGAGCAGGCAAGTACTTATATTGGTTGATATTTGAACAAATACTGATGGGCGAATAAAACATTTTCCACCTGAAATTTTATATGACGATATTAACTTCCCTTCACTTCGCTATTACTGCACGCATTACTCGACGTCGGTACTTCAATCCATACAGGGTTAATATCATATTGAAACTCGGCGACCGATGTCCCGCTGAAAACGTCGTCGTGGAAGTTATCTTGCGCATTTTGCCACGCAATACGTTTCGAACGTACTTATCAACATCTTCATGACGGTAGTCACGTGATCGGCTTTTGCGTAGCTGCGTAATCAGTGCGTCATGGCCGCTTATCGAAGTTGTTCACCCGACACAATGATACACAATTAAATATCTAAATATAAAATTGGTTATATGGCAGCCACAATAGTAACTCGAATATCAACAAAAAGCTTACAAAAAACTCTTTACGAACATCAAATATTGGCAGTATATTTTGTACCAAAGTAACAAAATTTCAAGCCAAAACTCACATACATGCAGAAAAGTCACTGTTAGATTAGGGTCAATTTTATTAATTTTGACAAAATGTATTTCGAAATGGAGAATACATTCTGAATGCACGATAAAATTTCCTTTCGATTGAAATGTCACACAACGTGCTACCTATAATTGGTAAAAAATTATAAGCGTGTCAAATAGCCAGTATTTAGACTTATTTTATTGTTCTAACAATACGGCGCCGCGAACCTTCAGGGTGAGCGAGTAACTTCGCTCAGAGCCGTCAGAGTTCAAAGAGTTAAACGCGTGACTATAAAATAGAAACGGAACATATATATTATATACCACAAGTATCGGGAAACTGGAACAAGTAAATAATAAATAAAAGTAAAATGAATACAAATGTTTGATAGACCATGTTTGAAAGATTGATCTCCTGTGTTCCTTAGTCATTTCACCCGAAGAAGTTGAAACCGGGCGTGTTAGCGTCCATCGGTTCAACACAATTCTTCCCCCTATCTACGGTTATTATGTACATTGGCCATGGTCATGCTAGATAAGAAGCGAGAGAAGTTGATAATAGGTTAGTAAATGGCAACGCGTCATGCCTTCCTTCACCTACGTAACAAGAGAGAGAAAAACGGCTGCGAATACCGGAACTCTCTTCTACTTGTTGAGCTTCCATTTTTCGCAATCGACGAAATTGACTGCTTTGAAGAAAGCTCATTTCAATGCAGTAATTACGACTTTACGTAATTCGTAACTTCCCTTCCGTAACTCCAAATAATTACGTAATTCCGTAAATCCGTAAATTACGTGCAAGCCTAGTCACCAATAAACTTCAATTATAGCAGTGATACACAAAAACATTTTAACTACAAAAATGTTTTCAGTGTACTTAATACGGGGTTAAATTTAAAATTTCCAACGAAATTGTTGGGTCTTGAAACATTTTCCATTTTACTATTTGACCCTCACTTAAAAAACCACCGGTTTAGACAGTCTACCGGAAAGAAAGTCGTCAGTATCTCTTCTGCATATCAGAATCTCTCCCTTTTTCAGTTATTAGTGATCTCCAGCTAAAAGAATTTGTTGGCAATCAATTTTGATATAAAAGTCAAATTCGCATAAAGTCAGTTGCAAACAATTAGTATATAATCACTTTTCTAAGAATCCCTTTATCGTCGTCGTCTTCAGCAGTTTTCTTCTTTGTCTTTTTGTCGGAATCACCTTCTACACTTCCTGTCAAACTTGCAGTCTGAAATGAATTTAATCTGATATATTGCAAAATACTTTGTATTATGTCAAATAATTTACATATGAATAAAACTTCAGTATTCGAACGCCAAACATAATTGTTTGTTTTTACATTTATCTAATTCAAACAAAGAAATTAGTCAACGATATATGTATCCCGTTTCTATATGAAAGAAGTCGTGATTCACTTTTGTTGTTTGAAATGATCACCAACTTCAATCTTTTGGTATTATTCATATTCTAAACAATCACGAATTTTGATTTATTCCATCTACAAAATGTTAATTACAAATGTATAAAATAATTATTAAAGACCATCGGAATACTTTTTAACGAGTACAACAAGGTGAAAGCTCACAGATGTAGATGCGCAACCTTACCTCTGCGCCAGGTTCGGGTGTAGTCTGTGGTGTAGGAGGCCACTCATATGTTCCACTGAACTCACGTACAAAACGAATGTCATCGTTTTCATCACTATCCTGAATTAAGAAATATCAAACAACTCAAATAACATTTGTAGCATGGTAAAATTATTGTTACTGTTCCTCCGTTTTAATTTGAACTCTAATATTATAATAAAATAAATTTCAATTCATAAAATAGGTGAAAATATATGGAATTAGAGAAATAACACTACCTCAAATTCTTTCAACCTATTGTTCCATCCCAATGCTAATATTCTCCGATTTACAATTTCATCTTTCTGTTGATATTCTGTAAAATATATATATTGACAGGTCTCGATGGCATTATCTAGCGATTTCACAATATGACGTAGTGGTTGGCGAGTTCGCAAACTGATGATGTCATCTTGGGGGAAAATCTTACTCATTGTATAGTTTGTGACAAACAAATCATCTCGCCAAGAGGGCAAGATGTTGGGTGGATGTTGTGGTACAGAACGGGTTTATGTTCACGCGATTTCTTGCAACGTGACTTTTCCGGGCGGAAGTGTAAAACACCCAATTAAAACACTTGTTCTGTCAATAACATGAATCGAAGTTATTTGAGCAATTGAGCAGTTTATATTGTTATTCATTTTTACAATATTATCAACAAAATTAACACATTGGTACAAGTTTATATCCAAATACTATACAATTCATATGTGGGAGAGTTTTAGGCAAATTATCATTCTTCCTTCAATATTACATGTATACCTATTATAACGTACCATGCTCAAATTGCTTGTTTTCGTTTTGCTCATCAGTGTCTTCATTTTTCTTCTTATCTAAATAGGAAATCCACAATATGGAATTATCTTCCTCGCTTGGGGGATCGAGTTGATATGATTTCATTTCTTGTCCGCTGCTGAACTCCCAGATTTTGATCGATCCTAGTTCGAAAATGAACGAAAAATTCAAGGTTATCATTATTTAAACGAGAATTAATAATTTAAGATAGTCTGTAACATGTTATCCTGATCACTAAATTATTATATATACTCATGTTATTTTTGACAGCCTGTGCTTTTGGTAATTAATATCATGCTAACTAACGTTGAAATCTGGAGGTTTAGTCCTTACGCCTGTGATTAAATTCATAAATTCCTCATTACTCAAATTCAGTTATTTCAAATAATCACAAAAAAAAATATTCTGAAGGACAATTATTCTTACCATCATAGGCTCCAGTGAGCATGCGTGTACCGGTCTCATCAACGCCAGAAGCAGTTACTTCGATTCCTAAGCCATGAGCTTCTAATATTTGATACATTTGTCTTCCGCTGTCAATTTCCCAAACCTTTGGGGTAAGCAAGATTATCTTATTACAAGATTACAGGTATAGCACTTTCGAAGATTTAAAATTTCTACTAGTCTGTATTACTATCATTTCAGATTCTTATGAAATATTCGTTGAATTGAATACGGCTGCGAATTGGAAGGAAAATTTGATCAGTTACACGAATCGTTCACACACATCCCAGGGAGTCCCAATGTAATATGGATCAATGTAATATACCCGTCTATGATACTTTTTCATCTTTAGTTAAAGAAAATTGGAAATAGATTAGCTCACTAGTGAAAAAGGAATGCAATTTCTGTCCTAATTACAACAACATGAGCACCTCCAAGAATAACAAATTAGCACGATCTATAACCGAATCCCATGAAATTTTATCGTCTGTGATTATGCAAATACGGTATGCATAAAATTATTAAAAACTATAGCCATATTCGATACAAAGTCATACAATAACTCGTAAGAGTTTAACAGTTTGGTATAAAAGTCGACCCGCTCTCGGCGGGCTAAAATCTTTCTAAATTCTAAAATTTACTCACTTTGACGATTGATTCTGAACATGCAGTGATAACTTGATCCATTGGTTTATTTTTAACAACAAGAGTTAGCGGATGATCATGGGTGTGAGGTACAGACATCGTATCTTGAACACTTCGTGTCATTGGCCACAAGTCTATACTGCTTGAACCTAAAAATGAACGTCTGAACTACCGATTGTAGTACTAAATAACTAGGAAGCAATATAAAGAGAACGTTTGAGTCACTTGAATTCTTTGTGAAATTTGCAATTAATTTGCAGTTTGCAACTGTTGTGGCTCTCATAACTCGAAATCACAAAAATTTGCTTAAAAGTGAAGACTTTGATTTTTAAATATAGCACGGTGATAGTTGGAAGCAACGATCATGAAATTGTTATATTATGTTGGAATAAGCTTAAGAGGAGTACAAGAGAATTGTAATGCGAATCGCATGAAAAAACTAACCTGTGAATAGTCTGTCGTGTCGGCTGTCGAACAGCAAGCAAGATATTCTCTTGTCTCCTGACCTCTGTTCTGTATCGGTGAACACCTGGTTATACAAGATAATTTGATAATAAATAGTAATTACATCAACCCAATCTCATAAAGAGTCAGTCTATTTCTTAGTGAATCAAGAATAAATAAATTTAGAGCTAAATGACGGATAGCCAGTGTTCGCGAATATTATCCTATTGGCGTATACGCGTTCTTCAGGGGGCTAGTATTGCCATTTATGAATTTGGCGACTGAACAGTGAAGTAAGGTAGAGTTAGGAATAGCCATTATATATTAGATCAAGGTGTGCAATTTTTGACGTCATTACGCACAAAGCGCACATTTTTGAAAGAAATAATAGCCTTCTTTCACCACTGAAAATATCAAAGCAATTGGTCCAGTAATTAATGGAAAAGGCGATTTTTTTCTGAACAATAAGAAGGAAAATACAAACAAGAACAACATAAAAACAAAACGATCCACGTTCCATGTACATTTCGTGTCCAAAAATTACTCCATCCGAATATGTGCAATGGTATATGGTTGCCTCAAGAAGTCTGACCTCCGCCGGACGAAACGTTACAGAAAGAAATTTTGGTTAGTGTACAGAGGAATGACTCTTGATTCCCATTCGACCGTATCCGATTTGGCGCGACAATTTGTTTTGAATTCCGTGTCCATATATTTGAGCATCGCTCTCTTGTTATCTTGTTATTCTGCTACAGAACCGTAACCTTTGTATATATATTCATCCGTACGCAATACGCATTGGTGGTTGTCGGCTTTATTTGGCGGAATGCTTGAAAAATTATAAATATGTAAAACTACCACATATTTTCTATTATGCGTTTATTCAATGGCTTAGATTTGAGAATTGCTTATTCTTGGCATCTTTGTAGACAAGGAAAATATATCACCTTTCTTTATATCAAGTTTATTGAACAGAATAGGTTGAAAAAAGTACTAAGGATAAAAACAAACAAACTACGATATTTTAGCTAAGAAAAAAAATAAAAAACAAAACAAATGAAATAAGAAAATAACTAACAAATGAAAATGATTTTTCAGGAGTAAAAATATTATCAACAGAAACATTTTATCGAAAGTTAGAAATGCTCGAACTTGGTATGGAGTAATTACAAATTTCTGAATTTATACTTTGATTAATCGAAGTATCTGTGTAAAAGTTATCGATATATTCTAGAATTTCTTGGAAGTCGACGTCTATATCTTCGTTGTTTTCGGACATGATGTCATCGCTTGATTCTTTGCCATTCAAATCGGCTCCTTCATTTTGATCCTTCACAACTTTTGTCAAGTATGAAATATAAGAAATCGCGCATCGCAAAACTGAAATTTTAGAGATTTTTTCTCCCTGTTGTCTCGGCAACCAATCATACGGAAGATGATCACGTAAAACATGAAGCTGTTTCGTAACAATTTGAACACGTTTCTTTTCTCGTTGGCTTGCGATTGTTCTTTTTGATGTGAGATGTCGATTTTCACATATAGCGTTGTTTAATGCGTATGGATGCTGTCTCGATCTCTCTTTTGTGGAGAATTTTCCGTTCAATTTGCATTGTTGATTTTTTGGAGTCGTGAATGGAATATTTTCGTTGTTAACTCCTGTAGATTGGCATCGATATTTCACACTTCGTGGATCACCTGATTTCATTGGAGCGGAAACCCTCTGCCCGAAAAACTCGTGGCTTTGACTTTGAAATTCTCTGTAGTTGACAGAACTATTCAACACATTCTGGCCTGTAAAGATGTTCATTGTGGAACGATGTAGTATAGCAATCAGTTTTCAAATAGACAAGGTTATTAAATTTCAGCAAACTCTCTTTCGGAACAATCGAATAATGAGATTCCTTGGAATCCAAATAGGACAAACTACATTGATAATTCATTCTGGGATGAGTTTATATATTCTCGTTTCCATACAATTAATTAAATTTTAGCAAGATGTTTTCTCGTAACGCGATGAAGAATATTTCACTCATTTTTCCTGCTACTTTAGCTGCCAAATCGGAAACGTTCGTAATACACAAACCCACAATAAATGAATTTTTGCGTCGTGTTGTATCTTGCCTGATCCATATAATAAGGTAATTTTCGAACTACGATTTATCTACAATCAACAATGACTCGTGTGTGATCACTTCACTGATTTCTGATAAGAAAAGGACTAATTTCGTCGTTGTGAAAAGGTGTGAATACCCCTTTGGGTTCCGATTTTGATAACGCATTGATGCTCCGCTCGACCAGATAAGATAGATAAATTACATCTCCCAGTTCCGATTCCAATAAAATCAGTCAGAAAGTGCAAAATTAAATGCATTAAACATCGTATCAAACTTGTAGCAGCGCACTTTGAGACAATTTTAATAAATCATATGTAAAAAAGTATACCGAAAATTAAAACCTAACCCTTATACGTATCACACATTAGTAATGTTTATCACGTTAGTAAGAGATAAGTAACTCGAATGGACAGTGTCACACACATCTTCAGTCTCTTGTCCAAGATGTGGCATCTGGTCACTGACGTAACAAAGCATCGTTTATTTTCAACATATTGCGCATGATTGCACATGGAAATTATTTTATTGAATCAATCAAAAATTACCTGTAAGCAGCTTAGTGTATGTATGTCCCAGACTCTAAAAACGCGAGCGGTAGATAAGCTGATAATATGCCTATCTTTATCGTTGATAACCACAGCTATTATTGTAAACAAGTGTCCCATCATTTTACCAGTTGGCCTCGTGAGAATGGTTGGGTGCCAAACTCGGATAATTTTGTCGACTCCACCTAAAAAAATAAAACAGGTTTTGTGAATTACTGATATAATTTGCATTGTTGGTTCATACTGAATATGTGATCTTATCAGATTTTTGTATCTGATGACAATATCAAATCATCACTGCGAGATTTATGTTCTATATATTTATCTATAAAATGCCACCAACTGAAAATACTGAATGGATGTTCTTTTTCTTCACATTGCTGTATTTTATACCAACAACAGGGGTACCCATTCTTTCCCATCATCTATCTATATGGTCATTACATATGCTTGATTAGAAATCAGTATTCTACAGTGATTTCAAAATTAAAAATCATCTTTCATGTCTTATCTATATTTCTATATCCCGTGGGTTTTAGTCCCTATGAAAATTATTTTATAATAAAAAATGAATTTCAAAAATCTATTTACGTTTTATGCTTAAATAGTTAAGTGTTTTTAAATATACCGCTTTCCTTTAGAAAAGAAAAAAACTTGATCACAGGTTACAAAAACCAATTAGATTTAAGCAAAACTACACGAAAATAAAATCGTTCGTTACCTGTTGCAAAAATATTGGACTTTTCTGAATAAGCAAATGCGTTCACACCTCGTGTAATCGTCAATTCACTGACTGGTCTAAAAAATAGTAAAGAACCAAAATAGTATCAACATCGGGTGACGAAGTTGAGAAGATGATCTGATCGAACCACCACAATATATAAACTCGGACAAATGTAAGTTTAGCTTTGTATCAATAGACCTGGTAATTTAATCTTATACTTGATCAGAAATGGTGATTTATAACCAGAAGCCGCGATTTGCCATATGGATAAGCTGTTTTGTCGAGTTTCGGGTAAATTTGATAAATATATCACATCTCCGCACATCTGCTTGTGTTTACAAATATAAAAAAAAAACGTTTATATGGACATTTTATATATATATTAAAACAAATTTCTCGCACAAATGTTTGTGGTATTGCTTACTGTGTATCAAAAAGTCTTCCCTTCTCTGCAATAACAAACGATGTTTTATCACTTGGCGAACATGAAGCAAAAGATTTCAATTCAGAAATATATTCAATCTTCAACACCCAATCTGGATGAAATTTTCTCCGAATAATGGGTCTGAAAATATATAAAAAAAAAAGATTTATCTCACACATACATTTAGCGTAACTGACAAATTATCTCAATGATATTATCGTACTCATACCAAAAGTTGATATGACTCAATCAAATTAATTTTGAGTTCAACCCCTGAATTACCAATACGTATGTTATATACTCTCAAAAATATGATCATGATATGATTCATATCCGAACTTGAATCGTGGCAGCATTGCACCTTCACAGGAAATGAGGTCGGTCGGTAAATTTCCACCCTTCTGCATCGTACTGTTTTAGGACGTATTGCTTGAATATACCGCAAAGAACAGAATCAAATTTTGTAATGGAACTGATCAGGAAAGGTTAGCTTCAGATTTTTATTTAAGTTTTGGAGCACAGTCGTATCAGGAAAATATATGAATCGACACGAATTCAATTTTTTTCAAATTTAAATTTTAAAAGTTTTTTTTGTAATTTATTGTGCTTTACTTACAACATCAGATTCATTGGATCGATTACTTGACTCATCATCGCACGTTTGGGATCTTTATTTGTACTTGCAGCAAAATCATTCGGCGTCAGACGAACAAGATTAACATATCCTAGTCGAAAAATAACACATTTTAATAAGCTATGCTAAAAATATTACAACACGACAGTATTTCAATTTTGATAAACGTTCTAACATTGGACGTTATTTTGGCATCCTGAATACGCCTTTATATGAGTTACGACATTTTGTGGTAAATCGTTGAACAGAATCTAACGTTGTAAAGAATTAGAGATTATAATTGATAAGAGCGATGATGAGTAGAAAAAGTGAAGTTTAAGTATATAAATTAATAAAACTTATAGTTTACATTTGATATCCCAAGATGATTCAGCTGAATAAGGTATTTCATCTCTCTATACAGAGTCTATAGCGACATTGACAAACACGAGTGCTGCATATAATACACACATTTTTTAAGTTAAGTCCGTAATTAATACTGCAAAACCGATATTAAAAATTCGTGACAAGGACACATGTGGTAGACTTGTTTTAAACAAAATTTAAAGGATAACCCAATTTCAGAAAAAAAAAATAATTACCCGCGTCATCGCCAATGAGTACTGAATCCGTGTGATCATCTTCAGGGGGAAGAAGACACATACATTGGGGCGAGTGTTCCAGTGGCTTTATAACATAGATACTAGATTGGTTATTTGCTTTTGTTCTGTGATCCCAAATAACAATAGTTCGTTCTGTTGTTGCCTAAAACACACGGAAATATCACAATAAAATTTTACGAGTGAAATAAATTAAAAAAAACTGTCTATTTACTTACTATTACTTTTCGAAGTCTTGGTAAATATTCGCAACTAGTCATCCACGCTGGTTCCTGAAAAACATTTGTGTGTTAGTAAAGTAAGTGGGATGATGATGAAACGATGTTTTGAACAACATCATAGTTTAGGAGTGTAGATCGCCGCGGTCGTAGGACAACTAATATTACATATATAGCCAAAAAGTAGTATTAGTCGTACTTACGTTAACATCGATGCAATTTTGCAGACGCAACTAAAATAAAAACAATATCAAATTACAATTCATTATCTTCTGAATAAAAGTATAACATTTAATAAAAAAGCAAATAAGAATAATAAATTATAAAGAAAAGTGAAATTAGAATTTTTGCATTATAAATCTAGTTGCAATAATTTTTCCAGTTCTGTATAACTGTTGCGTTTATTTTCGGGTGATTGATATATTCAATTGAATACTGTACTGTTGAAAGTACGGAATGGCTAAATTTTAGCTTAATAAAAGCTTTTTAATAATATGATTAAGAAAAATATAGAAAAAGGAATAATATAACAATGAAATGTTTTACAAAGGATTTACGTGATAGGCATTTATTGGTAATTTCAAATTATTCGAGAGTAAAATATCACTGATAGCATGTATGACAAAATACGAGGCGCACATAATTGACCAGTTTGTTAATTTTTCAGCAGTTCATACACGTGTGATATTATATATGCTATGTTTGACATGAGACAAAATTTTTATATAAAGATGTGATCGCGTTGAGTTTTTGTTTCACTTCCTATAGAAAATACCTTTCCATTATAAATAGAAATAGCTCCTTTCTGTGACGCAGTGACAAATAAATCGTATTCTGGAGAATATGAAATACACTGAATTATATCTCGACGTTTCTTGTCACCTGTATCGATAAAATGATGAGAAAATTTATTGAAGGCAAACATACAGCATTATTTAGACAAAAATTGATGTGTAATATTATCATTAGCATGATAAAATAGGTAGCAAAATATCCTACTCTATCTTCCGATAAATTGAATTGTAATTGCAATGGTAATCGAATTTTCAAGAGAAATGTTTCAATACCTGCCGCTTCTCCAATTTTCTTTCTTTTCGAAACAGTGAAAACGCTGATTTCATCAGAATTGTCCGTCTCTTCATTTTCTGCTTGGAAGTATCCAAACACCTTTTAAAAATTAAGTGTGTGATGTGAGTGTGACTAACAATGAGTATATATGTAATTATTGGTACTTGGTGGTTCAGAACCTTTGAATCAGACTTTGACAACTTCTTTTTCATAACATTTCATCGGAATAAATATAATCCGGCAGGCAATGATGAACCCCCTTAAGAGTGCAGATAATTGTTTTCTATAATGAGCAAATGCAGAAAGTATTCTCTTATTCAATTTAGTTTTATATGTTCTTGGTATATACAAAAAAGGCGGTAGAAATTGTGGGTGATTATTACCTCACTCCAATCAATCTTAACTTCTGGATTCGTGCTAATTTTACGAAAAATCGCCTTCATGTCTTCCGTTTTTATATCCGGTCCAAAACACAATCGGATGTTTTCACAGAAAGGTTCGTATCGAAGTGTTTCTGAAAATTAAATACGAAAAGTAATGCGTTTTAAAGCAGCGTATAGTATATATTATTACGGACTTGAATGAAAAAAAAACGCGATGATGTGATACAATCTGAAATTGTTTAACCAATCAGCCATCGGCATTAGACATCAGAGCACCAATTTAGTAAAAAGATAGGCAGACAAGCGATACGGTCGATTAAATTAAATCGGGAAAATTTTGTATGAAATATCGGGTACAATAAGACTCAAAGGAAATCAAGAAAGAAAAATAATAGCCTTCTAGCGGGATCAATCATCTTTGAGTAATGAAAATTTGAAATCAAGAACAATGTCCGTTGGCCGAATTAAATATCTCAATTATTAAATATCTATACTCTATATACGAAAGTGTTCACGTATAAAAGTTTCCTCAGTGGTATTAAAACAGCAGTGAATTGTTACGAAAGATTTCAATGCAAGCAATACAGAAGTGTTCAACATAACTTTTGATATCCAATATTTGCTCTGACGACAATACTTTTGATTTGATACTCGTTCGCGGGCCCATAAAGTGTCAAACAAGGATAGGGCTATTCAAAATCTTTTAATTGTTAAGTATTTTGTTCAAACATGAATGGATGATAAATAGTAACTTGCAATTGCAATATGGAGTAGACGTTTCATGGCCATCTATGATAGATTGTAAAAGTATTGTTTGATGTTAAACTATATATGGTTTCTCCATAAAATTTAAAAGCCCGCCTCTCCGATCTATTTAAAAAGCCATTCTAGTGTTTGATTTTGGGACTCTTACTCCTTTTTACTGTTTAGAATTAGATTCTTTTGACGTTGATTCAGAACAGAAAACTTGAATACTTCTGGCGCCACCGATAATGATATCTGTCTAACTCTTTTGTTGTCAAACATGGATAGAGTTTGTGGTGGAATATTTAAATACAAAACATATTCATGCGGAATACCTTTCCCCATAAATAGCACTAAGCTCCTGGTAAAATAACCATTGGAGCATGGAGTCACGGAAATCGATCGTTGCAGTGGTCGCAATTAATAAATTAAACATTTTCGAATATATATAAATAAATCACATTTATCTCACCATTTATTTTCTGTCTTTTTTCATCAACACTTGCATCCGAATCCTGCATGGTAACTTCAGCAATGTATTCTTCGAACATTTCCAAATCTCTTTGAAAACTAGTCATTGAAAGTGGACGGACCAATGGCTCTTGCTGGTCCATTGTAGTCGCCATTTCTAGCAGCCTGTAAGCAGCACTAATACTGGTCAGAACTCCACTGATACGAATTAAAATTCTAATTCATAGGCAGTAAATGTAAATAATTTCTACATCCACGCCAGACCTACAATATATATATACGTTTGACAGAAGATGCCCGTTTTAGTAACGACCAAAGGACTAGCACTCATTATAATATTTGACACTTGGAAACGCCGAACATTAAGAGTAATTGTTTGTCGCGCGACTGAACAACAAGGTATCATATCTTTTGTGCGTAATTGTGTGTGGAATCGCTTTCAAAAACAAACACTTCGAAGAATGAAATCGATACTTTTACGCGTATGTCCCGAATTTAATACTGATGAGGCTACATATAGTTGTAGCATCGCAAATATATAAAACAGTAGGTACTTATACTCTCGTATCTAAACAACCGACTACTTCTAAGCAATAACTGACTATAAATTTCGGAGTATCGGTTATAATGTTGTCGTGAGTCGGAAACGACTGCTGCATAATTCAGGTTGCTGATGGAGATGTTTCAAAAATCTTTGTCACTCACAAAAAGCAGTACTTATCTCACAAAATATATTTCATTTCTGAAAACTTTATGTATTTGTTCAAAGAATAACTTTCATCTAAAGAGGGTATGTTTTTTTCCCTAAGCAACACCTCTAATAAATCTAATGTATAACTTTCGGAACGCAAAATATAATGCTGTCGTCGTCGAAAACAAACAAAAAAAAACATGAACGGGTTCACTGATTTCATGTCATTTAAGTTCGGGCGCACCCTTTCTTGGAATACCACGATACGAAGCGAACTTGATTCAGACATCAGGCGACTGCAGCAAATGGGTAAAGTGCATCGCAGCTGACGACTCGCGTTATATTTGGCATTATTAGATTAACGTAAAGCATGCCGTGTTAATGCAGCTCATGTAGTGACATATATTTTATGAAATAAGGGAACCTGTTTTTGGCGAGTTTGATACAAAAGAGAACCCATTCGTAAAATTTTGAATCTTACCCACTGGTTATAATCCTACTAAAAAGTTACCCCTCAAAAAATCGTTACCCCTATCTATGCCCCTTGAACGGGATTATAACGTCCAAACGCCATTGATTGATTTTTTACTGGTTGGAGTATATAATGTTGAGCAATTTTTTTTAAGTGGATTTAAAGTATTCGGTCCAAGATGACGCACATCCTGAACCCTAACCTGGTAAACATACAGTGTTCAGGTTGTGCGCCATCTTGGTACGAATACTTCAGGAGCGCCTTTTTGTTAAAAACAATTAGTCCATAACTACATGGTTTAGTTTTGCATACATAGTAACATTGAATCTCCTTACAATGTCAGAAATTCAATTTTAGTAGAATAAATGGTAGTTTATTTCACTACTACAAGCCAAGATCCATCGACAGCATCTAGCCACTTTCTATTGCGCTCTTCAAACTACATTTGCGTTGCCGCGCGCATTTCGTTTTCCTAGTTTAAGCTTAGGGAAATATTTTATTAGTTGAATTGGATTGGAATATTTGACCTCGTCTTTCACTCCGAACAAGGCCATGTAAAACCATCCACTGGTATCTAAAGATGTGTAACGTGTTTTCTTTTGGAAGAACCGCAACCTTTCAGTGCTGCATTGACTTTGGCAAAATTAATATATCCTTGTGGAGATAGAAGGTATGCGTATGCGAAACCAAGATGTGCACCTGTTATGCCAACATAGTTGAGTCAAACGTTTTGAATACTAGTACATCACACACATTTTCCTGCGTGCTCCGGTTCTACGTAGTAACGCGCACATTTTTGCGCACATGCATCAAATTCCACTTGATTATTGAGCTGTAGGTTTTTGACGAGCTTTTGTGTATGATTTCGATCCATAGAATTTGTATGCTGTTCTAAAGAATACTAGTTTCAGCTTTTTCATTCATTCAAACCGCGTGTTGAAAGTAAGTTTTGTAATATTGCGCGTTGGTTTCCAACATCCTTAAATCGGTGATGCCAGTAAAACTTCAATATATACAAAAAGATCAGTAACATCTGCAATAAAAACAGCAGTACCCACTCAAATGACAGCTGGGGGATGGATACTCTTAGTATCTGCTCCATCGCGTGCCTCTTACAGTCTTACCAGTTTACATGAGTGCCAATTGGTATCTAAGCTCAGCCAGAGACAAAAAGTTTCGGACTGCAGTTGGCGTGACGAAATGTTTTTAAATATATATTCTACAATAAGATTATTTGATTGCATACTACTGAAAGTTCCGCCTTATATGTCTTTTCCCATTGCACTATTCCTTTACTGATATTCGATAATATGACGCTCATCTGACATAGTTCTTAGTGTGTGTAAATGGGTATAATCTTTTCCACGCTGTTCAAATGGGAATGCGCGAATATATATAAGAATTGCTAATATTGGTTTGCAATGCGATGAAATCTCATCTTGGCATTTCTGCCTCTCGCAATTGCTACGTATACTTATCGGGGTAGTTCTGTGGCGTGGTTATCAAATGAAAAAAAAAACATGGGTGTATTTTTTCTACTTCTCTACTACTATCAAACCTTGACATTTTGTGAAAACTTTTTTTCATGCAACTTTTTTATTAACACAATTAATTCTGTTATTAAACTTCCGAAAGAAACGCATAAAATCATCAGCAGATGCATATCACCAAGTAGATATTGCTGAATTGATCTTTATTTTACCATTTTTCATGTAATTCTTTTTGGTAAACCTGTTATCTATCGTAAATACAGCACATTTGACAATGTTGTAGTGTGACTATTTGGGCCGCACATTTTTGATATTTGTAGTTAGAGCTCTTGGGGCTCTGTCAAACAAAGTTACATACAAAATATTGGTTGTAAATTGCAAAACATGATCAAGTTGTTGGAATAATAAAAAGTAAAAATAACATGATCTCTTTTAACGAAATAGTAAGTATATTTGTGAGCTTTCGTTAGATCGTCTAACTTCTTCAAACAATACAAGATATAACTGTAAATATAAAAGATCATATAAATTTGGTTGTTGGAATAACTTGGCATTTTACCACCCGTATATCATTCATTGTTGAGAATATTAATAAAATCATAAAATTTAAAAATCCGTTTTCGTTTAATTTTTGTTGTAGCTGAATTCCAGGGACAGCATGACAACAGGCAAGAGAAGCACGGTCGCCTCTTTTAGTTTATGACAGGGTTTCTTAAAAGAGGACCCCGTCCTCCTTGGGGCCGCTGATCGGTTATCTGGGAGCACGAACAAACAGATGGAAATGCGAATATATAATAACAATGTATTTTTATAAAAGAAAAGAAGCAAAAGTGTTGAGAGTCTTTGGTAGTTTGAAAAGCATTGGCATGGAACATAAGAATGAACTACATTCTTTCCCAGGGATATACTATAAAATGTAGCAATTTTCTCATTCTTGTTCTCGTGATATCATTATCTTTCACTGCGTCGTCGTGATCATCCCGCTGCATAATAATTCTCGCTAACAAATAATTGACTGTTCTCCACCGGGTGTATATCCACTTGAACCACTGGCGACTGCATTAGCAGGCTTGTATTGTTAATTGCAACAAAAACGGGTATTTTGAAATAGTACTCTTTATATTACGCGTATGTTTCGACAGTATTCACATATACTGTACAGTATATGGGTCGCGACCCAAAGCTGGGCTCAACAAATACCTAAAAGTTATTGATTTTATTTCCTATTAATTTGGTGATTGCGTAGTTTGTGCACCAAGATTGCGCACAACCTGAACATAGTATTGTAACAGGTTATGGTTCAGGTTGTGCGTCATTATGATGCACAGGTTTGACGAAAAACTAGGGTTGGATTATCCGGATAGCGGTTAACCGGATAACCGATTAACCAAGAGGTATTTTGCTATCTGATAACCGGATATTATTGTAACGGTTAACCGGATAATAGAGCAGTATAAATAATGCATATGCGCATTAGTGATTTTTATATTTTTTGTTGAGTGGCCAATGACATCTCTCAGAGCATATAATATTCACTTATATCCACACCACTCTGCATATTTTAGTCATCCGTGTAATGCTGGAGTGAACTTGACTATAGTATTACATCACAAAACGCGCAGAAAAATGTGATTATTGCGTATTTGCGGTATAGAAGAGCCCGACTTACCTTAAAATAAAAGCATTTGACTGGCAATAAGGAATTGAATGCTAACGAAAATACCACGACTCTTGATTTATGAGCCAGTGATAGATAAAACAAGACTCTATTTTAGGCGCTGTTGAATCGCCAAAATTTCGTAATAATCGTATTTACTGAATTTACAACAAGGGTAACTTTTCACGGGATGTTACTTCTTTTCGAATTAAAACTGGCATAATGCCGATGTTAATTCCCCAAATAATAACGCGATGCGGAAGAAAACGATCGGCGATGATAACACAATTAGCCTGTAAAATTCGACCGCCTTTATTAGTGACGTTTTCGAAAATTTCAAAATGAGGAGGAAAGGCTGTTATTACATTTATGGTTTTCATGGAACTTTCACAAACAAATTTGTTTGCAAAATGGTCTATAATATTTCAGAAAAGTTTAATGTGACAGACTCTGTATCGTGTCATGTTTTTCGTTTACTCATTTAGGGTGGTAAGTAAAGTTGTTCAAAAACTGGCGCAGCATTGTTTTGGCTCTGTTAATTTAGTTTAAAAGGTATTCGAATGGAAATAGATTTAAAGTTGTGGCCTAATTAGTACAAACGTGAGAATATTTACAGTGACATGTTAAATAAGTGAAGTTTTCAAATTAGAAGAAATTTCTGACCACTTCAGTTTTTTCATAATCATCAATTTGCTTTGTTATTAAAATTTTTGTTCAAATGACTTATATTTTCCTATACACTTCACAGAATTTGTTCCCCCTATATTCTATTTTTTGGATACTTCTCTCACCGAAATAAAATGTTCGAAATGCACGATTTTTTGTGTTCATGATTTCATTTATATGTATGCTCTTGTGGTATATATTAACAAAGTTTATTTCGTCGTGCAAGAAATCACCAAATATTATAGAAAACAAAATACTATACATGACAATATTAAATTTCATTGCAATTGATAGGAAGGTGCGGATGATCAGAAATGATCATTGTGAGTCTGCGACACTAAAATTTAGTACGAGTCAAAATTTAAAGAAAAGAGGCTCTAGACACAAAAAGAAACTTTTAAAAAACTTTACAATAAAGTAGAAATAATATAAATCTTTACATATTATTTGAATAGGGAAAATAACTTAGCAGTTGGGGGAAAAAAAATTAGGACACAATATTTTCAAAAAATGTTTCATTTTATTATTCCGCTGTACATCGGTACGACTACTGAGCTTAAATTATTATTTATTGACACATGCAATATTAAAATGCACAATAATCCATATTCAAGAAAAATAATACATATGTGAGTATTTACAACAGAACTGTGTGGTGGTATTCGTTCAATTCACCGCGAAAATCCTGCGAAATCGGTTCTCTAAAATCAGCAGTAACTATCCGGTTAACCGTATATTTAAAATACGGAATACTCGGATATATCCGTTATCCGGATAGTGAAAATTATAGGTATCCGAACTAACCCTACGAAAAACACTAATACAAATATCGAGCCGCTGCTCAAGGCTGCAAACTCCACACCCATGTAGAAATGATGGGCAATGACCCCAAGATGAATAATCACAAATAAAAAAAACTTTATGTCTGAAATCAAACTTGGCCAAAAAGGTCCCCTTATCTGCCGGACTATAACATGTCATGACTCATGGCGGGCACGTATGCAACGTTAACTTGAAAGGCAGCAGTCACATATTTTGCTGAGCAACACGGCTGACAAACGCGACGAGGGCGGTCATGTTTGGCGGGATGAAAAGTGTTTTTATCAATTAAAATGAAACAATAAACTTTTCGGTACAATATCGGGTTCCAAAGGACGGATAGTCAATTGAAATATAAGATAAATGAAATGAAATTCTGATGACTGCAAGCACGTCTATCTTCAATTACAGATAATTTGCTGAGGACTCTGATGACTTTAGATAACGTATCCAGGTATCTTAGATATTGCCCTAATAAAATTAGTAAAAGATGTCAAAAGAATCTGCATATTGAATGTTTCAATACATCAGTATGTCACTTGTCACTCATTTCTGCATTTAATTGATTGATTGATTGACTGATTCATTAGGCATCATAGCCTATAACAGATTTTTGGTGTGATTGGGTTGATTGTCCGTTAGTCAGTTCTGTTTTATGATCTTCTGTTCTTTATGGTTGATTTAGTAAACAATAGGCGCTGCTTTACTGTATGTTCAGTTGTTCAATGGTAGTAAAGATCAATATTTTTGTACAATATACAGTTAACTAGCTTATTGTTAAAAATTTAATATCAAGTACTGTACAACAAAACCCCACATTATGGAAGCTTTTCGGAGTCTCATGTCTTTTTTAATGACTCCTGTGTGTTATGAGACCCTTTTTACTGACTTCAATTTTCTCGACGTACCATGTCTGAAAGCAGTGATCAGCAAATGCTTAGGATATGGTATTATCATGGGAGCAGTTCTTGTAAAAGTACCTCAAATTCAAAAGTTGGTGAAGTCATCAAGTGCGGTGGGAATGAGTTTTTCTTCTGTACTGTTGGAATTGTATGCAATCACTTCCATGTGTGCTTACAGCATTGCTAGAAGTTTTCCATTCAGTGCATGGGGTGATTCATTCTTTTTGCTCATCCAAGTCACAATTATAGCCTGCTTGGTACAATACTACCGAGGTAAACCTCAATTGGCCATCGTCTTCCTTGTAATTTACTCCGTCATACTGTTCGTATTGGTATCTGGTATCACTCCCACAAATGTTCTTGCAGCGCTTCAAGCAAGCAACATGCCTGCCATAGTTATAGCAAAGATGATTCAGGCAGCTGAAAGCATTAAAAATGGACACACTGGACAGCTGTCGGCTATAACTGTTTTCCTGACTTTCATTGGTTCAACTGCCAGAATTTTCACTTCAATACAAGAGACTGGAGACAACATTGTTATTCTTACATATATAGTTTCTACAATCGCAAATGCAGTAATATCTTTTCAAATCATTTATTACTGGACAGCCACTGAAGAATATGTTAAAAATTCTATGAAAAAGCAGCAATAAAGACGAAGGATGGCTGAAAAAACTTCCAATTTTTATTAGTAGACCAATCGGGTGCAGATGAAATAACACTCTCTTATACATGGACTGTTGTAGTTATTTTAGAAGAGATAATATTTTATTGCGCAATGTTTTCGAAGTATTTAAAGGCATAATGTTTTTATTTATTCATTTTTTCCATTCGGTCAAAATCTTACCCTGCATATTGTTTTTGCATGCAATGTGGTACATCACATAATGCTATAATAAATAAAAACAAACTTGTTTGCGATGATAACCAAATGGGTTTTAGAATTTTTTGGCATCTGATCAAAATTATGCATCAAAGTTGTTGTATTTTTAACTGAACCAATTTCTTTTATGAAGCAATATTTGTATTTGTTATTGCACACGTCATATTCCATTTCCTGCATCAAGCAAAGCAGTAAATTAGAATGTTTTCCTTCAAGTATTTTAGCAAGTATTCATGCATGTTTTCAATAATTTTAGACAAGAGTGCTATGTAAAATTTTATTTGTGTGCCCTTTTCAATAGAAGTCTGACAAGATTGTTTTTTTCCATTTGGTATTGAATCTCGTACCTGATGAGTAAATTAGAATGCTGTTATTCAACAAAACTGCAAAAAAAGTGCTATTTTTATTGAACAATAAGACTAATTTTGCCAGTAATGCTTCTTGTACAAATACTAGTTGCTTTGAAATCGAGAAGAATGAAATTGACAAATATTGAAATTGAACACCAAGTACTTCAACAATCGATAGCCAATGTAGCAACAAGATATCTCGCTATTTGTTGAATATTTTGTATTTAAATCGGATTCATTTTTGCTTTTTTAACAAAATTTGAACAAAATCATTTTAGAGTACTATGTAGTACTTGTAAGCTTTGTACTATGCATTATCTGCTTATTACAACATGTGATTTGAATTAAATTGTTTTCTCAGTTTTTGGACATAGTTTTAGTTATATATTAAAAGCATGGCCAGTTCATCTGAACCAAATGATATTGACGAACAGTTGATGAGCTTTGAAAAGCTTGATAGAGCTTCTCCAGATCTATGGCCAGAACAATTGTCGAGTGTGTCAGATTTTATGTCTGCGTTACGAAGTCCGATGTCACCTAAATCACCGCCAAAATGGATGGCAGAGTTAGAAAAGGACGATATTGATATGCTACAGGAATTTGGTAGTTTAACAACTGCAAATTTATTGGAAAAAGTTCGTGGATTACAAAACCTTGCTTATCAACTAGGACTAGATGAATCTCGTGAAATGACAAGAGGAAAATTTTTGAACATTCTCGGAAATGGAAAATTGTTTGGGAGTTGATATATGGAAAAATCATAAATATTTATATGTTAAAATACTGGAATTTAGTGAGAGGGGGCTGTTTTATGCAAAAAATGCTTTAGTATGTTAATATCGTATATGGATATAAAAATATATGAGACTATCTCTATCAGTTATTATGTGCTTATCACATAAGTATGGACGATTGCTGCAACCTTCAATGCATATATCTTGACAAAACAAATTTTCACTGTATACTGTAATATCTTTGTCAGCCAGCTTGTGAAAGCGCTGTGATTTTGGAGTATTAGAAACTTGTTTAAATACCGATGTTGATTGTAGACATTGACAATTTGGTTAACATACCAAATCTAAATATTTCAAAATGTGATGCACAAAAATATAGTTTCTCATAAAATGAAGCATTTGAATGTTTATGATGATGGCTTCTAATTTGAAATCATAGAGCTCTCTATTCATAGAGTTGAGGTAGAATTATTTATTCCATTAAGCGACGTTGCCTGCAGAACATGTTTTATTACGAAATCCTCATATCTCGCTAGCTCACTAAGCTGATGAAACTATTTGCATTATTGTGCTATGCTGTTACTGCAGGCCTCATATTGTTTACTTTATTTGTTGATTTTCTCTATACCAAAGAAGTGTGTTTTAAATACAAGGCCTGGGTGGCAGAAATTGTGTCTGTTATATTTTATACTCAATACGATTTTATAGGCAATATTTTATCTGTTGTTCTCTAGCTTTGTTTAAGTTTCATAGCCAAATGCTGATATTATGAAGGCCATTATTCAAAGAGTTATGAAAGCAAGTGTCACGGGTGAGAGTACAAGTCTATTCTAATTCTTCCACATTGCTAAAATACCTTTTTTAAACAAATTTTAAATCACAATACCAGATAAATAGATAATTGTGCCATCTCATTTCTTGAATGACATCTATCATTCTGTAACCCTCATAACTTTCTACAACACTTATTTGTGCGTTTTGCTCTTAACACGGCCCTGTTAAAGCAGCCAGTGATATTTAACATAACATATATCGACACCTCAAAACCAAACAGTGCTAAGTCCACTTTTCCAAAAAATGACATTTTTCAATTGCTGATTTTCCTGGACTTAGCTCTACATTTTGGTCTATTTGCCTTATCTCTAGGTGCTCTAGATCTCAAGGCAGCTATGGACATAACCCTGCTTTTTTTAGGGCATTTGAGAACTAAACAGAGCTGGGTCTACTATAGTGAACTTAGCTCTGGATAACTGCATTGTAAGTTGGGGTTAAGTCCGTTTTTTGGACATAGCTCCTTTCAAAAAATATAATACAAAGCGCTAAGTCCATACCAGCCTCTAAAATAACATAATAAAGAGGCCCTAAGTCCAATAAAATTGTTTCTGGTCCAGAAAATTGAGAGCCAAAAAGAGTTAAGTCCAAAAAAAAACCCCCCAAAAAAAATTGGGGCGGAGCACAAATTTTTTTATACCATCTAAATATGGCCTTCATTGTAACTTTGGTGGACCATAAAAACTAGACATCCTCGATGTGAGGTATTAGAGAAATAAAAAAAAGAAACAAAAAAAAACGTTTTTTGCGTTTTTCTCAAAACTAGAAAAATGGACTTAGCCCAATTTGGATTTCATGCGTCGATATAGGGTCTAATGTTTTCGGGAAGACCGTAATCTATCTGGATTGGCATTACCTACTCAATTTATTACACAATAGGTAAGGTGGTGAGATTCGAAACAGAGTTGTGTAAACTGCGATGCCAGCACTCTCAAGCCTAAGGCTACAACCACTAGGGTTTGTGCCACTCACTCACAAATTGTAAATTTCAGCTTGATCTTTTTTCATTAATAGATAATATTTTATCTATTCATGGCCTTTTACATATTGCATGTTGAATTTGTAGAAATTTCCACTTTCAAAAAATGAAAAACTGAGAAGTTATTCAGTATAGAGATAAAGAAGATTCTAATGAGCTATATTCCATAAGAATAACTGTGGTAAAATTAGAAGAAAATGTCCGAAAAACATTGTTTTTTCACAATTTAGACTTTTAAAAAATTTCATGATCTCTTTAATGTTGAATTGTATATATTTTTTGTTTTCAATTTTCACAGTTGGTGATGAAACAGTCAGTTCGATTGGAAGTGGTGTTTGCGTCTTACTCGGAATATCACGATATGATACTGTGAAGGAGATGGATTCCATGTAAGGTAATGCTTCTTGCCTAACAATTTTTATTTAATACTATGTTGACTGATTGAAGTCCTCCATTTTCCTTAGAATCAAAAAGATTTTAAACTTGCGAATTTTTGAAGATGATGATGGTAAAAGATGGAACAAAAGTGTTAAAGACAGGGACATGGAAATTTTGTGTGTGAGCCAGGTATTCTAAACTTCTAATAAAACTTGTGTGAAAATCGGACTTCTCTTCTAGCCGCTCTCAATACCTTGTTAATAATAAAATTGATTATGCTTTCTGAGCCTCTCTTGTCTTACTAATTTCCACAGTTTTAAACCACTTTTTACATTTTTAAACAGTTCACCTTACAGAGCATAATGAAAGGGAACAAATTGGATTTTCATCGTGCAATGTCAGCAGACAAATCTGAAGAATTTTATAATTTATTTTTGGATAAATTGAGAAAAAGTTACAAAATAGATAAAGTGAAAGGTGAGTAAAATGTTTGGATTTATTTTAATCATCCTTCTTGTCAGTTCAATCATATTGTCCTGCGAGAGAGGTTTTACCACAATGGACATTTCAATAGAGGTTTTTTATTGGTAAAAAAATCAATTCTTCTAGATGGAAAATTTGGAGCATATATGCAAGTTCATATTCAAAATGATGGACCTGTAACTGTTGAACTTGATTATCCTCCCACAAAACCTGACAAAGCTGATGATGCAAAAGAATCTGAAAAGGATTGAAATCTCTTCAATAACTTCTCGATACAGACTGAGAAGGTTAAACAGCAAGATTTTAGTGTAAATGCAAAGTTGAAGAATTCAGTTCATGCGAACAATTATGGATGATACTGCAGATGGAATTACATACATTATAATAAAGGAAATATCCTAGCAACTTTAGAAAATTGAAACATTCAATATGGGAAAATAATGGAGTACATGGTTTATGCAATGAATTTGTATAGTCTTTTCACAGTTGCAAATTTGTTGTCGACGGACTTGCATAGGTTAATTAATAGAACTGGGTAGTCAATACTGGGTAGTCATCCAATACTATGTTGAATCAAATTTTTATATTTCTTGAAGTTGGTGTTTCATTAGACATTGAATAATAATAATATCAAATAACATTTCAAAAGTATAATAATTTGCAACAAGTAGAATGATCACGGTCTGCTGACCGAAACAAAATGGCAGCTATAAAAAAAAAAAAATTAGTCTTTACTCTTGAGCTAATTTGGAAAGTTAGGTATTCCATTCAAAGTGACCACCCTTAGTAATCTGAAATTTGGCTAATATAATATAGAGTGTATCTAAAATTGAAACAAAACTGTTGTCGATTTAATGTTTTTTTTATGATATATCTGGCATATATATATATATATATGATTTTAAAACTCTCATTGATTGAATGAGGTAGTGTGAATATCTGGGTCCCTTCATGCAATTCTTTGTTTTATGTAAATTCTGAAAATCTATCAAATGGTAATTAGACATTGATCTTAATTTGTTTAACAATCCACCTAACCAAAGTTTCAATCTTGTTTGTTTAATGGTAGATATGCATTAGTAAAAGTTCAATAAATTAGAATGGCGATAAATATATGTATGCGTAAGCTCCAGCAGCATGTTTTAATTGGGAATTGCAAGACGATAAGGATATTTGAGAAGAAGATTTTGCCGTCTGTTCGAAATGTAAATTACCTTGCAAATATGGGACCTATTTCAGAAACACATGAAATGCTTCGAAGGACTTGTGCTGATTTTGCAGAAAAAGAACTCATTCCAATTGCAGGTGAACTTGATAGGAATCACACTTTTCCACGGGAGCAAATAAAGAAAATGGGGGATATGGGACTAATGGCACTTGACACACCTGGAGAATATGGTGGGGCTGGATTGGACTACTTGGCATATGCTATTGCTATGGAAGAAATTAGCAGAGGGTGTGCATCTACTGGTGTTGTTATGACAGTCAACAATTCTCTGTATCTTGGTCCAATAAATAAATGGGGAACAGAAGAACAAAAAGAACAATTCATAAAACCTTTTACCGATGGCAGTAAAGTTGGTTGCTTTGCACTAAGTGAACCTGGTAATGGATCTGATGCGGGCGCTGCGTCGACAACCGCTACATTGGATGGTGATTCATGGGTGTTGAACGGTACGAAAGCCTGGATAACAAATGCTCATGAAGCATCTGCCACCGTTGTGTTTGCAACTACTAACAAAGAAAAGCTCCACAAAGGGATTAGTGCTTTTCTAGTCCCAATGCCAACACCTGGTCTTAGTCTTGGGAAGAAAGAAGATAAGTTGGGAATTAGAGCTTCTTCTACCGCTTCCCTTATATTTGAAGACTGTCGAATACCCAAAGAAAATCTTTTGGGAGAGAGCGGATTTGGTTTCAAAATTGCAATGCAGACACTGGATGCTGGCAGAATCGGTGTAGCATCCCAGGCACTTGGTATTGCTCAAGCATCATTGGATTGTGCAGTTGCTTATTCTAAAGACAGGAAAGCATTTGGAATGAGCATCAACAAACTGCAAGCCATTCAATTCAAGCTTTCTGAAATGGCAGTCCGAATAGAAAGCGCACGATTGCTGAACTGGAGGGCAGCTATGCTAAAAGACGCTGGTAATAATTTTACGAAAGAGGCAGCGATGGCCAAACTAGCATGCTCAGAAACTGGCACCTATGCTGCTCACCAAGCTATGCAAATATTGGGGGGAATGGGCTATGTTACTGACATGCCAGCAGAACGTCATTATAGAGATGCTAGAATAACAGAAATTTATGAGGGCACAAGTGAAATTCAGCACCTGGTTATTGCTGGCCAATTATTGAAGGAATATGAACATTAAGTGAATATCTGTTTAGGAAATTTGGAGATGATAGATTTTTCATTCTGTATTTGGTGAAGCTAAATAATCTTTATACTGTAAATTTAGTATTTATTGTTGTTTATATTTTGCGCGATCGATTTAATCGTTAGATATTGATTTGAATTATTTTGTTGTTTATCTTCAATTACTTGATGTTAATTGTAGTATCTAGTTGGTGCCTCACATTACTGGAACAATAACCCTGAAATTCGAGACACCATGTGTAGAAAGTATCTTGTAGTAATACATCATCAAATAAATTGCCTGGTATTTCCAAGAATTTAGTTAATTACATATTAATTAATATAGCATATTGGTAAAAACAGTCACTTTGTATTTGTTGTTCCACTTTGATTTTCTAGAATGTACCAATTTCTCACGGTTCTTATTCAACTTAAGTACATTGGTATGTATCAAGCATCATGATTAAAAAGTATAGAAGCTTGGTGGTTGATGCAATTGGCGAAGGGATTTAGTGGGGCAGAATAATGGACTGTGATAGATCCCTTAAGCAGCTAAATTATCAGCTACATAGTAAGTAGTTATTTGTAATTAAAAACAATGAGGCAAAGCAATGCTGAACATATTTGAACAAAAAAAAAAAAACTTGTTTTGAAGAAAAACCGGTGAACATGAAATATAATTCATTGTCTGTAAACGCGTTATGCACGGGTGTGGTAAGACGTGAGAGCACAGAGTTTAGCGGAAAGATCGTCGGACAAGCAATTCCCAGCAAAAAGTTTCAATTTAAATAAGATGAACAGCAAGTCCATTTTCAAGTACCAGTGCTGAAAATTTGGAATCGATTAGGTGGTTGCTGTTGCTGGAATTCAGCAAAGAACAATATTTTAGAACAGGTCCCGAGGTTATCCACCTCGTGATACGATTCGAGAGAGAGAGTTTCTTTTTCTAGTATCCTGCTGTTTTCCCAGTCGATGCTATGGTTTTTAGAAAGGGCGTGTTTCGAAAGGGCCGACTTATCAATTTTCTTTTGTTTATCTCTTAGATGTTACTTGCTGCGAGTTTTCAAGCTTCTTTTGGTTTCTCCAATGTAGACTGAAGAACAATCGCTGCATGGGATTGCATATATAACTCCGTTTTTTGTTAAGGACATGGGCGGTCTTTGACGTTGGAGAGCAATTGGCCGATAGTGTTTTGGGGTTTAAAACTTAGGTACTCTGATTTTAACGTCTTCCAAAATTCTTCGAATTTTTTCACTTAGTCCTTGGACATACGGAATGGTGGTAGATGAGATTGGTTTGGGTTTATCAGGCAGTTTTTGGAAATTTACATGATTTCTGAACATTCTCGTTGGATATCCATTTTGTCGTAAAGTCTTCTTAATAAAATTTAGTTCTTGTTTCTGCTTTGTTTCATCCGATATAAGAGTTTTGGCACGATTCATAAGACTACTAACCACTGAACGTTTATGGTTAAGCGGGTGGCTGGAATTAAAATTAAGATACCGATTTGTATGGGTCTTTTTCCTAAATATATCAGTCGTCAATTCCCCATTTTCTTCTCTCTGTATCTGGACATCTAAGAAGGCTATTGTCCCATTGACTTCTTTTTCTATGGTAAATTTTATGCTTGGTTCGATCGTGTTGATGTGGTCGTGGAACGCGTCACAAAATTCCTCTTTGATTATGTTGAACGTATCATCAACATATCTTTCCCAGATTCTTGGGCTATTTGGAAACGACATTAAGGCTCTTTCTTCCACATCTTCCATGGCCATATTGGCAACAACGACCGAAACAGGAGAACCCATGGCTGTACCGAAAATTTGTTTATAGTGCTTCCCCCCTAAAGCTCAGATTGGCCGCACTTAAGCAAATAGTTAAGGCTTCGTAAATTTGGTCAATTGATAGTTTCGTTCTATCTTTCAGGTTATTATCATCTTCTAGTCGTTTCCGAGTTACTTTTATATAGCGCTAAATCAAAGAGGAATTTTGTGACGCGTTCCACGACCACATCAACACGATCGAACCAAGCATAAAATTTACCATAGAAAAAGAAGTCAATGGGACAATAGCCTTCTTAGATGTCCAGATACAGAGAGAAGGAAATAGAGAATTGACGACTGATATATTTAGGAAAAAGACCCATACTAATCGCTACCTTAATTTTAATTCCAGCCACCCGCTTAACCATAAACGTTCAGGGGTTAGCAGTAGGGTTGGGATTTCTGGACCAGTTTTTGAAATCCCGGTATCGGGATATCCCGGGATTAAGCCGTCTAATCCCGGGATTTTTCGGGATTAAGTAAAAGATTGAAACAACTTGCGTGACAATGAAATGACGTCTATATTTCATGTAATATCGACGCAGAAATATTAGAGCATCTAGGGCAGTGGTTCCCAACCTTTTTTTTTTATATCGCGGCACACTACTATTTAGCTCTTTAAATATTCGCGACACACCTATCACAAAACACGAACATTTTCTACCCATAAAGAGTGCGATAGTCGAACGCGAAAAAATGGTAAATAGTTACCAATATTAGAACTGTTTTCTTATATTATTGTAAACGAGAGCGTCTTCGGAGCATCTCACATTATTGTAAAAGTTGCGCGGCCGCACGGGTGATAGGTAGTCTTCAAACGCACCGCTGATCACGCGCTTCGGTTTTGCTCGCCGTTCCACGTTACGCCCTTATTATTATCGCTTGTATTCTCACTTTTTCACAACCCAATTCATATTTGTTACAATTCAATATGTTTCTCTCATTGCTAAAATCATTCTATAGTGTTATAAGCGGCAGTTGCGAGAGAAATGAAAGTGGCAAACAAACTGTATTTCATTACAACAATTAATAATTATCGCTAATAGCCTTCACTATGTCGAAACGCTTATTCGGCTCTTCAGACCGCAGAAACTATCCGAAAAAGAAAACCGTTTGGGTGTTCGAGATATGAAATAAATAATCGTCAATCCCACCACGCTTTTGTAAAGTAGTGCAATTTACCAAATATATGAAGGTTTTATTAAGTTTCATTGCATCAGTGTTTGGACTACCACGCGTTTCGCCAGATTACAGATCGCAAGAGTGGTCAAAATAGTATATTTTCATCGAATCGAATAATTTGAACGAATCGTCGAATATCGGGTTGAATTCGGGATTTTAATTCGATGTTTAACTTTTGGGTCGGATTCGATCTTTCTTGTCACCGTTTATAAATTACCTGTCCCAATTTTAAGCTAAAAATATTATCATTTCTGACGCAGGAATGCGGATATTGATGAAGACGATAGTTGACCTTCTTGATTCATTTTTTAAAAGTGTGGCTGTCTTATTTTCGTATTAAATAGTGAAGCCTTAACATCCCGGGATTTTTAGGAAATAATTGCGGGATCGGGATTGAAAAAAACAGTCCAAATCCCGGTATTTCGGGATCGGGATTTCCCGGGATCCCAACCCTATTAGTAGTCTTATGAATCGTGCCAAAACCCTTATATCGGATGAAACAAAGCAGAAACAAGAAATAAATTTTATTAAGAAGACTTTATCCAACGAGAATGTTCAGAAATCATGTAAATCTTCAAAAACTGCCTGATAAACCCAAACCAATCGCATCTACCATCATTCCGTATGTCCAAGGACTAAGTGAAAAAATTCGAAGAATTTTGGAAGACGTTACAAAACACTATCGGCCAATTGCTCTCCAACGTCAAAGACCGCCCATGCCCTAAACAAAAAAAACGGAGTTGTATATGCAATCCCATGCAGCGATTGCTCTTCAGTCTACATCGGAGAAACCAAAAGAAGCTTGGAAACTTGCAGCAAGGAACATCTACGAGATATTAAACAAAAGAAAATTGATAAGCCGCCCCTTTCGAAAACCATAGCATCGACTGGGAAAACAGCAGGATACTAGAAAAAGAAACTCAATACAGAAGAAGACTATTTCTCGAATCGTATCACATAAATAAAGAGAAGAATTCGATGAATGATGAATGACAAAGAAACCACACTTTTCCCGTCTGTGTAAAAATCATTGTTTAAATAGTCCCCTTTTGTTTGAACTTGCGCTAATTTGTTTATTTATATATACGGTATTATCTTATCATCATCCTTTTAGATTAGAGTTGACGCCATGATAATTTTTTCATATTTTTTTCTTGCTTTATATATATTTACTTGTGTCCTTTCTATTTCATGCCCTGATGAAGTTTGTGTCGGCTCATGGACCTTTCCCCGACCTTTGACCCCCGGAAAATTCTCCCTATACTCTACTACCCAACGACTAACATACTCTACCATTGCAAAATTTTCAGGGCTATTTTAAGAGTGCTTTTGCGAGTTGGCGCCTGTAAAATACGGGAATGTGTTTCAAACCATCATTATGATTCATCGCATACAACAATCTGTTTTTTAAAAGTACCGGTAAAGAATTTCAGGCTAGTCTATCACAGCTATTTTTACACTAATTTTTATTACTGCAATTAAATTAAAGCTCCTAGGAAGACAGTGTGATCATTGAATTATCTGATTTATATTTAAGTTTTCTAAACACAACTGAAAACTAACGAATAGAGTTCAAAATCGCGAAAAGAAAAATAATGTTTACAACCACGCTTGAAAATCTGTCGGAGTGAGAAAAGTGTCTGAGCGAATGCGAAAAGAGGGCATTGTTACGTCACTTTTTGCATCTTGCTGATTGGCCAATGTCACGATGTAAACAAAGAAGTCGATGCTCGGGGAAAGGTCCATTACATCGTTTTGCTAACACCAGTTGTGCTTCATTTATTACTTCCATTCATGAAGTCGGCTCTTTGGTGCCCTCGTGTCTCTACGGACAGTTTTGCGGTAAATTGAATTTTGTTTTTATTATTATATTGTCGTCGTCGCTCATTCGCAAAGTTATGTGTCACTGTACCCTCAGTGTAAGTAGGCTAATATCGCGAGGTGCAGATTGTTTAAAATAGGTGCCGTAGCTGGCTATTTCAAGTCAAAATTCGATAATGCCATAGTTAAGTGGTCATTTTTAGATTGAGTATTTTGAATGTACATCATTCCGAAAGTTTAACAGTTGGGGTTACGTGAAACTAACTACAGCACCTTTCCTTGCTCTATACGGTACCGGTATGTCAGGGCTACTCAACTACTTTTACCGAAGATCCGCATACAAAACTTCAAAATTAATTGGGTCCGTCTTTCCAGAATTTATATAGTCTATCGGCATCCTTAAACGCATACTTCCTCGACCGGCTAATGATTGTTAGCTAATCAAAATTGCTTATTATGGTGTTATAGTTCTTTTCATATATACTTTAAAAGTGGGGCTAATTATCTAAAATAAAGAATTAGGCTAGGTGCGGTCCGAATCAAATACTCGAAAGGTCCGAATTCGGACCACAGTCGCCAGTTGGGTAGCCCTGCTCTTTCCTTTCCTATGCGCAGGTGGATCTGTATGCGTATAACGCAAGGATGCTATAGCAAGAGTGAAAATAACTATTCTATTTAATTCAAGAGTCTTGCTGCACACTTACACAAATATATTTCTGTAACATTTCGTTTGACCAAGGTCAGACTTCTTCAGACAAGCATTTTGTATTTTCATTTCTGTCCCAAGCTCTGACATAATTCTTAACATTTTCGCACACGGGTAGCGAAGCGACTTCCCCCTGGATGAACAATCTATGATTTTTCTTGTAGTTCATTTGAATATGTCTCGCATAGCATTTCTGTTCGGATTTGCTGTGTTTGGTATTGTTCACAAACTTATCACAACAATGTATCTATGGAACCAATTTACTGCCCGATTGTAAATCGCGTTTTTCTGTGTTTGTTTTATTATTTTTTTTGTTTCAACTTTACTTAGAGTTAGGCCTACTGTATGCCCGTTGTTTTGTCCAACGAAGATAAATGATTGATTGATCATTTTCATTTGTAACTGGGAGGCGATATGTGCGTATTTGATATTAAATAAACCTGTGATTTTCTTTTTGTCTCAGTGATTTTAGATTACTGCTATCTAAACTGAAATGGAAGACTTACTCAGATATGTGATGAAAAAGACCAGTGTCACCGTTTTGGAGCATCTGATTTTGGATTGGGGCAAGATCCCATTGAAAACACTTGACTTTACTCTACAAAAGTCCATTTTTATGGAAAAGCTGATTAGTTTGTGTGATGAATATCAAATTTCCTATAGCGACACAGCTAAATTAGATTTATTGCACACCATGAAGTTTCCAGAAAAATATACATGGATAGCACATAAACTTGTATTCAGGCATAGAAGAACCACTGCCTCAATTACAGATTTAAAGCATTTTCAAAATCTTATATCAGAAACTTTGAACAAAACTACTATTTGTGATGTGGCAGCAAGGAAACACAAATATTCATTTTGGTGTAGAATATCCAAACCAGAATCCCATAATGCTGTATACATAATACATTATCCAGAATCTTGTTATTTCTTAATGGCAAAGACTGGTACAGCCCTTATTAAATCAATTGTCTGTACAAGCCTCGCAGAGTGCTTAAATGCAGAATCATTTACAATGTTGCCTTTGGATGGTAAATGTCCAGACTCACTTGCAGAAATTCTGTTGCATCGTGATGAAAATGCATCACACCTATATAAATATGATCAAGGGTATTATTTACCTCGGAAAATGGTCAAAACTTCTGAAAAAATAAACAAGAATGTGTGGACAGAAAATAAAGAACATAAAAAGAAGAATGAGAGAGCAAACACTGAGGCTTTTGGTCCATTCGTACAACCCGTTATGGAACATCTTACTGTAGATATTCACACAAAATTCAGAGGTAGAAAAGTATTGCCTGAGTTGGCAAAGGATACAGTTGTTAATGGAAGACTAGAGTTTTCAGGTACTAACGTTTTACAGGGATTAAACAACTTGGCAAAAGAGAGTTTGGCAATCGTACCCATGCCATTTTACTTGACTAGTGTACCAAGTTTGGGTAAAAACTACATGAAAATTTATGATAAGTAATGTTTAAAAATAGTATTGAACCATTTTTTATACAAATAATTTGAATTGTTTTTATGCTTTTTTTATTTTGTGTTTTGTTCTATTTATGTAGATTATGTTAAATCGTTTTTTGTTTACATACCCTTTTATCACTCACACCTAATCCATAACAGACTGAAAATACCACAACTTTCTCAACAAAGTTACAAACTCTAAGACTACTTTAATTTTTGCTAATGTGTACTGGGTTTAAAATTGTTTCATTAGAATTGCGTACAAGTCTCTGGTTGTAGAGTTACAGTCAGTAGTATTTATCTACAACAGTAAGGTAGATGAATAAATAAGAGTCATCATGGATTTGAGCCAACATCATTTTAAAAATCAGTCAACCTGGTGAATTTTTTAAATACAAACTGATAATCATGGTAAATCTCATTGCAAAATTTGATTAAAATATCATGGTCACTTATTTATACAAGACAGATGTTTTATTCTATGCTTTCCGAAGTAGTCAATGATGTTTTGCTCAATCCTTGTATTTAGAATCAATTGTCAATTCAGTACTTTCTACGGCACTGCTACTAATATTATCATTGGTGTAAACCCATCATACATGCTTATTGACGACATCTCTGATAGTTGGCAAATTTCTCAATGAATCAAAAAATCACTGATCATGGCTAGAATAACCAACCAAATGTCCTTCCTTGCGAATGCATTTTTGTTGATTTAGCTGGCAATCTAGATTGACCACAGCTCTCTACAGTTTTACACTAAATTCTTGTATTCACATAATAATCAAATTTAAAATTGCACAACATAACATATTACACATAAACATTGATTTCATTTGGATGAAGTGCTACAAGCACTGGGTAAATTCATTTCCTTTTCTACTGGTCATTTCCCCAGTGTTTCCTGAACCATAAGATAGGATATGAATATAATATGACTTCCAATTAGAATTTTCCAGTACCGTTACACGTGCCATTTTACCATACACCTCTAGCTTTCAGTCTACAAGATTGCATAGGCATACTTGACATTGCCTAGTCCAGTTAAATACAGTGCATGATACAATCTATATACATAATCATTTTACATACATACATTAAAAGAATTAATAAGTGCGTATCAAATAGATATGCTTCTACTAAAAAAAAGGGAAACCATCAATGCTGTTTGTTATAAATCTGAATTGCATTTTGGCACAAAACATGAACATCACCTCGACAATATTATCTTTGTGCAATACCATATTCCACTACATTTTACACCTATTGAATCAAAATAGGACAATGGGCGCAATAACGAGGTAGGAGCTATGTACATTGCTCATATATGTATACGCTCAAAAGTTGCAGCATAACAGCCAATGTACCATAGTCTTTACTAAGTTGCACATGATTGTGACGAATGAAGCATTCCAATGTAAATTGAGGCCAATGATAAATATTCAAATAATAAAAATCTATTAATGTGTGCAAAGTAGTATCCCCTTCTATATCTATGGGCAGCTTTGGTATAACATTACCAGCAAAGCTATAACATATTATGCTTTTGATTTCTTTCTCTCCACCTGTCGTTCTTTACTTGATTTGTCGAACCAGGATGGGTCTTCTTTATAGCTCTTAGGAACTGAGAAAAAATCATCGTCAAAATCGTTTCTAAACTGAAACTGTGGAAAGCTCACAGTGGCTTTTACCGTAGGGAAAATAGGTAAATCTATTCTGACTGGAAATCCTGGAGGCAATTTCATGGTCACAAAGTCTCTAAGTTTGGAGAATAGTTTAGCTTTTGGGCCAAGCGCTTCTAGGATAGGTAGCAGGTTTTCCAAAGTGACAGGGAATTCTCTACTCATTCCAAGTAGTGGTTCAAATGTTTTCATGCTCGTTTTCACTTTCGTTTTACGACCTAAGCACTCGTAATCACCGGGTGGACTTTTAATATACTGATCCCAAGTCATCTCTGGTTTAGATGGAACGGGAAGAGATTTTCTCTTTTCGATCCCTCCTTCAGCTTCTTCCAAAACTTGTTCTGTATTTTCACCCCTACTGAAAGCATCTCTCAATGCCCTATTTTTACGTATATCTTCTTCAGAAAGATGTTCACGACGCTTACGAGTTTGAAAAGTAAGTCCTTTCAAGCGATAAAAGTCAGCTGGAAATTTGCCTATCTTTTCACATTTATCCTGTTTAAAAATCCAACCTTCTTGAACCCGATCCAAAATGACATCCCGAGTTTTTATCGAAGCATCTACAATGTCAGAGCTCATTGTGATATCAACTTCATCTTCGATAGATGCTTCACGTTCCTGTTGTGACACTTTTTTCATACGTTGATAGACCATTCTCTTATTGTCCATCAAAGTTATTTCCGGCTCGGGTTCTGTGCTGAAGTCAACAATGAAACTAATGTCTCCTCTTACCCATCGCATATCACTGAAGTCTTCCAGTGTGGAGTCCATTCTAACTTTGCTTCCCTGACGATATATTAGGCATGTGTCTGATGGGAGTATTCTTGAAACAAATGGAACCCAGCTTTGGAAATCCCAATGAAGTTCCATTTCAAAATCCCCACCAAGTTTATCCAGGGCTGAAAGCAGTTCACTTCTTTTCTTCTTGATTGATTGCTTTCCTTGCTTACGCAATGATTTGTATAATGAGGTCAAAATTTGCCTATCTCCATAACTTATTGCCTCTTGTAAAGGTGTCCAACCTAATGTATTTTTTACAGCAATAGGATGATTGTGTTTTAGCAACAAGTGTGTGCATTCTTTATGTCCCAGAGATACTGATAAGTGCAAAGGTGTATTACCATGTAAGTCTTTCAATGAGTTGGGTGATAAGATATCTTTATCAGAATTAAGTAAAGATGATACTTCTGATATATTATCTTCATACACATATTTGTGTAATGGATACATGTTAATTTTATCTGCATTTTTAAAAACAGAAGAGGATAGGTTAGAGTGATGTGATGCTAACAAGAAAGTAATAATGCGATTGTATCCATATAAATCTATTTGAAATCATTTTAACACGAATTTGAAAGAGCTACCGTACAAAAACAACTGGCTAGTCGGTTCGAATTACAGAACTAGCCTCGGGCTTCAAACCATCCCTTGAATAGAATGTAACCTCAACTTCTGAAAACAAATAACTGGCTAATTAATCTCTACTGCTCTAAGGGACTGGTGGGTAGCCAAATGATTAAGCTCTGCCATTTCCCTGTGTTGAATATGTAATTCTTATCCTTTCAGCCATGCTTTCGTTGCCAGCCTTGACAAGATGTTTACCGGTATATTGCTAGCACAACTGCATAAGCACATTACAGTATATCAAACCGAACCCTGGTACCGACACCATCGCAAAGTTGTACTTGTAGCTAACTGCTTACCGGTAATTTCGGCTGGCCGTTACCTGTGACTGGGGGTAGATCAAAGTTGTCTATACCTTTCTTATGTTGTATTTTCGTTTTATCATTATGTATGGTACTATATTACCTCTAATTTAATCATGCAGTTAAAAATCACGAACTAAAAACCATATGGAAGCCCCTAAAATTGTAGAATCGCTTTGTAGCCTCATAAAAGACAGCTGAGACGCCATAATAATAACGGTGGTATGTGGAGTCAAAATACTGAAAATTCGGAGAAATTATGCAAGTGTGAACATTGAGCTTTTGGCGACTTTCAGGCGTGAGTTGAGTATGAGATATTACATTAAAATGAATCTCAAAAACTTGACATTGTAAAAATATCGTACCATATCATGTTGACATATGTACAATGAGTAGTGAGATATTTACAGGTGCTCCAAAAATTTCTTCAAGTAGAGAGAGAGAGAGAAAGAGATGTATTATTTTGTTAACTAAAAATAAAGTCATCGATACAATGAAAATTGACGGAAATAAAATTGTTTTGCTAGGAAGGAAGCAACACAATCATCGATGCCAACACATGCCGACCATATTTGCTGGTGTGATCAGGTTGGGGCAAAGAAAATCAAATGATATTTTTACGAATTTTTTAAACAAAATCGATGAATTCTTATGATAAATAACAATATATGAAAACATTCGATATGTGCAATATATATATAAACAATACAATCAGTGGATGAGGTGTTAGAGTAATGTGGTGAAGATGTGTCATCAGCATTAGAAATATTTAAATTCAACTCAGTACTATTACTAGCGAATTTTCGCCAATAATAAAAACTACTATTACAAAACAATTGGAGAATAATTTTTTGATTGATCAACAAAAGTAATATTAATAATTTAAATAACAAAATATATGAATAGGGTACTATAAAAATGACTTTCATCTTCATTCTACCTTGACACAGAAATAAACTTGGAACTATTCGGAAAAGGCGTAGTGTACCACACATACCTATAGCAATAACGATGTAATGAAATATTACAAATGATTTTTACTTCACCACTGCTCAAATATTTGGGGTGTTTATTTTGAGAGTTGGTGCGTACAAACCGATTTACCTTTTTCATTAACAAGATTTTTAATTCGACAACCAGCTTTCCAGAAGAAGTACCTTCTGTTAGCTAACTTTATTGTAGTCTATCGCGGATTCTAGGGTTTAATATTGAAATAACTGCAACTAAGCCAAATTCCCCGGAATACAAATTCACCATTTAGTTATTTATACCCAAATTTCGGATATTTATGAAAGCTCAACAAAGTGAATGTTCGCCCTGCCCTGTAAAATTCTTCCGGCACATTTCCTCCGCAAAATTGGGAAATCTGCGACGCTCATTTAAAGTATTATTGCGAGTTGGCGCTTACTCGATTTATAAACACCATTTTGATTCAACATGTTTCAACTCAATTTTATGGTACTGACGTCCGCGCTAATTTTAGTGTGTAGCAGTCTTTCGGAATCAATTTCTTTACGACTGAACGGACTTCACTGAAGACAAATCGACCATTTATTTGATTTATACCTAAATTTCCGAAACAACTAAAAACTGACAACGCGGCATGTAAACACGAAAACGAGTTAACGTAACGTTTACAAGCATACATTGAAAAACAACAAGAGGGTAAGAAGCTGCTAAACTTCCAACTGCAACGTCGTCTTTAAAATCTTGCTGATGAGCAATGGAGCGCGGGGAAACCTGCATTCAGACGCTTAAAGCGTAAATATATTGGAATGCTTCATGTTATTCAGAGGGCTTGGCAGTCACGCACGTAATTAATAAAACAAACTGTTGCATGGTGACACGAACTCCAAGATCACTCTCCGCTTTCACACACTATTATAATCATTATTCATACATATTGGTCACTGACTGCATCAAAAAACCACTGTATGGACGTTCATCTTGATTTACGATTGCCTTAATGCAGTTTCAGCATGTGATATCCCACATTACATTTGCGGTAGAATTCAATGTGGTTCTTGAATACAAATTTTCTTCACAACTTGGGAATACAACTGGCCTAATTACAGGACAACACTTCAAATATCATATGCAATATCTTCTGCCCGAAAAGAAACAGATACGCTTCTAACAGAGGGTGCACAGAACCTGTTATTTGGCACATAAAAGGTATAATTTCACAGAGATTGGCTAAAAAACTTGTGTAATACGAGTGAAAGAACACTTCTTCATGCCAGTCTTGATGAAATTGAGATGGAAATCCATTCCTACAATTCATCAGTAAAATATTGTTCTAACAAGATGAAAAGGCAAATGATTAATTTTTTCGCGATGCTCACGGGCATAATCCCAAAGAAAATTGTCAACAGTAATAGAATTGACACCAGATAGTTTGCTCTCTTTAATGTCATCATCTGCCAATAATTTTCTCACTTGAGATGTTAATCTTTCAATTGCTTCTATTGATGAACCACGAATTTCCAATTCAAACCTAAAAAAGTAATCAGCATTGCAAAAAAAGGAAGGGAGACATGTTTTTATAATAAGGTAAGAAAAATAGGCAATATAATACAGATTGAATGCACCCACCTATGTCCTGGTGGGAAAACGATTCTTTGTGAAAGAGCCTTCTTTAATTCTTCTGAATATTTTAAAATTTCAAAGTACTCTAGGCTTTGAGGTACTCTGTAATCTGCGAACATTGTGATTTCATCAATATTTGTGAATTCTCCCAGACCTTTTCCTGAAGTTATTACAAAGCAAGTTTATATGATATTATTCTGGGAATTTGGCATCTGTGAGAGACTTATATGTCAAAATCATATATAACATTAAAGAGACGTATTTTGACAAATAAAACACATAAACTATTTGAATACAGTTTACTATCAGCCATATTGGGCCGGTGGGGAACAATACAACATAATCAAGAAATTAATTTACCATAAATTTTTGAGGGTGAAAAGAATAAAACTGTTCTCCCAACGAAAGTGGTAATTGACCAAACTGAAGAAAATTTTAAAACCCTAACCAAGAATACTCAAATGAGTCGACGCATAAAGAATAACAAAAACTACCAGTGCTTAACCTTCCTTAACAAAATTTAAGTTTACCTGTGGCCACTTAACCATAGTGTATCCAAACGTGACAAAATAATGAACGAACAAAACAAATAAATATGTATTTTAATAAACTTGTCATGAATTTCGATCAATAATACATATGCTGCAACATAACAAAATTATGACCTCATAATGATGCTTATACAGATGCACTGCTGCTCTGGGTAATAAATGACCAGATCTACATCAGCATGATAAAATTCCAAACCAAACATATTCAAGTATAAATGATGCAATACTTAAAAAAACCACTAAATAAATACTAACCTTCAAAGCAACACCAAATATCAGCTACTAAAATCTGAGCTCTTTTATAGAATGCAACTCTCTGATTTTGAAATACAGATTCATCTCGAAAACTTGGAAAATTCTCTACTACGAGATTCATCAAAGTGACAGCATCTCTTTCACATTGCCTTAATTTAAAATTCATATCATTCAAGTGATAAATTACAGAAAACTCATAACCAGTATTTAACTCCATCATAAGAAAGTGAAATATTTCTTGCAAAAAATAAGGCAGGCGCTATACAAATAAAAACAATGTGAGTACATATTTTTTTGATTTTGAACAGAACTAGAACAAAGAACAATATAAATGTTAGAACTAAGTTTTTTTTATTTATTCCTGTATCCATAGACACATTCTAAGAACTAAAACTGTTACCTAATGCAGTTGATGAAAGAACCATTAAATTTCTCTAACAATATTCTCCCACTTTCCTTGAACCCTTCAAATCTTTTGTCCAACAATGGTATTTCAATCTGATTGAATGAATACAGTAATGTTGTTTTATACTTATCAAAAGGTTTGAAAATAGGACAATTTCATGTGTTTTGAATTGAGGAATAAGGGAGGAACATGTAATGGGAATATCGGTCCGAAGACTTCATCCGCTCTTGCTTCATAGTGATACCGTGTGTCTCATCACTAACTAATTAATAACTCGCTAATTATACGACATAATTCATCCAAAATCAATAGGCTTCTGGTCCGAGATATGATGAATGCACATGCAATGCACAATTTGGAGCAGATTCAACCTCGCTTTTGTGAGATATCGCGTGCATCTAACAGACAGACAGCCAGACAAATACCTATCAACATACTTATCGAGATCGATGAGTAATAAGGATTTGCATACAAAAAGGATAAAACATTCATGTGAGATCTTTGATATTGTACATATCTTGTTTACTTAGCTTACTTTGCTGAGTTTGATTTACAAGGCCAGATACAAGGCAACACCAATATATGAAAACAATAAATATTATACTATATCATGTCAGCATCAACAGTTAACCAAAGATGATTCTAAATGGCAATAACCTTCGAAAGGAAAACCCCATAAACCATAACATATTCCAAATAATACATACATATCACACTGCACCAATGATAAAAGTCACAAATTACTTCTGTGTCTGATCTGAATATATCAGAAAATTCTCTTTTTTCAACTTCAGCCATGAATTCGGAATCATAAACAGGTTTGCCTTCATCTTCGGCACGTTTTAATGCTGCCACTAAAGACCAATACCCCGTCCACAGCTTCCCTCCATACTTAACCTGAAATAAGTATAATCAATGAATTCAGATATTAGAAACAATTTCATCACCAACCAATACACTACTTACATGGGGTAAGAGTTATATTTATTCACAATGAAAAATAAACCACCGGCAGTGTGTATCAAATATTGTTGAGGAAGGTATATTCAATAGGTTATAAACATTTATTATTGTAAAGAAAGACTAAATAGATGTTTTGGTATGGACTATGTTTCTTTTTTACTGCTTTCTGTGATTGACACCGAACCACTGCAATATTAAAAGTTAATAGCATTTTATATGGACTTTGTCTTTGAGAAGCAACATAACTTACAGCATATTTCTTTCCAGGAATATCAGGCCAAAATGAGAAGTTGAGAACATCAATTGCGAATATTATATCAATTGCTTTTTCATCAGCTACCTGTCACATGATAGAAGCATCAGTTAAATGAAATTGGTTCTGAACCCTTTTGAATCAATTCATATTTTGACAAGACTTCAATTGCAGCAACAATGAATTCACTGTATATCCAAACATGTCTGAAAGATAACAAAACTCCAAATACTGCACCTATTTTTATGCATAAAAATCTGGTTAGTACTAGGAAACTTAGCACACAAAATCACATGCCGTAATACTTTCATATCATGGATGAATAAAAATAGGACCTGTTAAGAGTTAATCTGAATAGGACAAAATGGAATGGACATTCAAAGTTCCCACCTAAATGATCTCCCATGGCTTATTTTATGAACCCATAATCAGGAATTTCAAAGAAACCAAATTTTATTGCACAGCCTTCTTGTCAAGTCAACAAACATCCCATATTGAAAAAATTTATCTTACCTTTGGATGCAAAACATGATTTTTCCAACCTTTCAAAGAAAAATCATTTTGTTTGAATGCCTGCATAAGCACTTTAGCCGTCTCTGCTACTTTTTGATCATCAATAAATACATCTTCACAATGTGAAGCTATCAACTTTCCAGTTTTCCTAGGAGGTAAAGCCATCACCTATCTGTCGTATATATAACAGTGAAATTTACATCCATCATAACATAAGATATATTTGTAAGGATTTAATAAAATGAAATAAATTTGAACACTAACATGACAAAGAAAAACTTGAAAACAAATTATGTAAAATACAATTTCAATATCAACCAGTTTCCCTGGAGTATTTAATAACATCAATTTATTAAGAATATAGAAAATGACATTACTCACTACCTTAAAAATAAGTTTAGAGACATATTTAAAGAAATTGTATTGTACTGGAAACAATGAACAATTCCCTTTAGCAGCATGTTTTGTTTCATTTTTATTTACATGTTTTTTCACATCATCATAAAAAATATTGTAAAATTCATTAGAATTATTTCAACACATTAATAGGTTGGATCAGGGTTTCCCGAACTTTTTGGGCCGCAGACCCTGTTTGTGAATCTTATTTTTGACGGCCCGCCATCATATTCCATATCAATTTCTGTGCCTAACCAAGAAGGGGGGATATCGTTTCATTTACAACACAAACGTCATTAATGTAATAGATGTTGCATACAAAATCAGCATGCTGTTTTTCACTGCACAATTTATCAATTCTCAGGGCAATTTGTTACAAGCAAACTAGGTCCGACTCTACAGTAAGTCTCGAGCTGCATTTTGTCATTAATTGTTAAGAGCCGAAATTGCTGCCTCACACCTGTAGGTCGTTGCAGAAGGCAATATAATTTTAATTTTTGACAGCAATGGATATTTGTCACATCGCTCAAACAAAAAGACGCGAAGGCTTTTTGACTGAAATCAATCATTAAAGATTGATCACACTCTTTTCATATCATTGCATTGCACCCCCTGTGCAGTTATCATGGACTCCCAGGGGTCCGCGGACCCCAGTTTGGGAAGCCCTGGGTTAGATGAAAAAAATCATAAACAATTCATGAATATACACATAGGCATGTATAAAGTTGTAAAGAAAAGCACACCATTTTAAGTAAATTTGAAAAATTAAGACCTGCTACATAATATAATTCTACATCTGAGATATTTCCGACCGGGTAAACCGAATAGTTTACACCAGGGGTGGGCATTTAAGACCGTACTGCAAAGTTTATATGCAATCAGTCCATATTTAAATATGAAATGGTGAAAAATAGAATCATAAAGAAACAGTCTCAATTATATCATGGCTAATTATTTTATACTCTAAGAGGATTGTCGAGTTGCACAAGAAAGTAGAGTATTTCTCAATTAACAAAAGCATATCTAAAATGTGCTCAGGAAACACAAATTTAAATTTAGTAAAATGTACTTTTGGTCAGAATATCACGAAAAAGTCCAATCGTTCAGAATAAAAATAATTACATATGAAATTAGTAAAGTCTTTTTTCATAAAATCTCTAGAATCTCAAATTCCTCATCAACATCATCCAAATCTTCATCGGAATCGAGAGTTAAACATGCATTTTCATCCTCAGTCATATCTCCAGTTCTTTTTTTAAAAAGGTTATGAGCCGACACAGAAACCACTTTCGATTCTACTACAGTACATGTTGGAAATGATTCAACAACACCAAATAATGGTAAGCTTTCTTTAGATGACTTCTGTGTTTTTACTCTCTCACATATTCCTTCAAATTCTTCCTTAGTTTTGCATAGAAATCCTAACGCTAAAGAAGGATCAAGGTGGGACATTGGCATTTTACTAGGATACTCGCAATGATAAGAATTGTCATGTTCTATTTCAACTATTTTATCATCCCATACAGCAGCTGGTTGGGTAGTATGTGGGTCAAGGAAGACCATGTAATCAGTGTTTGTATGTCCAATGAAATAATATGCATGATTGGGCTTTCCACCAATTATTCCAACACTCTCTTTCCAAGTTAAACATTCCTTGATATTTTCAAAATATACTGGATTTATCTCTGATAGTCCAAGCCGTAGGGGAATAAATAAAACTAAAGGTTTCCATAATTTGGCTGTATTTGTAAGACACGATGATGAAGGTTGATCTTCCTGTTCATTAGAGATAGAGAACGAAGTTGCACTGTTTTCAACGGAAGAGTTCAGACATAATTTTTCCACATCTTTCGTGCATATTGTGTTGTCCATCGCAACATAAACAGTGATGTCATTTTTGTTATCAAATGCAGACAATTTTTTTAGGACCTGAGCAATCGTGTTCGGGCCAAACCATTGACCGACTTCTTTTCCTTCTTGCACTCCCATTTGTGCAATTTGATGTATTGAGTAACAACTTGTTCGTTCATCTGCAAAATCTTTCAATACTTCATAATATTTAGACGACTGAAGTTCGTTTGGTCGCCACTTCCATTGTGGAGACATTTTTAACCTAAGCAAAGTTTGAGCCAGCATCATTTGGCCGCAGCGCAACATACATCCCCAACCTGAATCACTGGTTGGTCCTGTCCCACCAATCGAATCAAATCCTTTTCGATATGTAAACCATAGTTTGGATTTTGCTGCCTCGCAAAACTGTTCTCTATCATTTGGCAGGACATATTTTTTCCCCATTAACCAAATAATTTCATTGTCTGTCCACGAATCTTCTTTTGACAAAACATTTTCATATGTTAAGCAAGAAAAATTGGAGTCGCCTTCCATGTCTAGATATGCAATTACATATAGTATGCAGGTAAGGTATGCAACTACAGAACTAGGAATGAATGTAGATGTAAGTTAAGATGGAGGAGTACTAGGATTCTCCACAATTACCCTGAGGGGAAGAAAGTGGAATAGACGACCTAATTGGGTCAATGCCTACTGGCACACCTTATTCCCTCGCCGGGGCTGCATTTCAGATTACAGGATTACCGTAAGCAATTACCTTGTCTGCAATGAATAGATCAGTATGCTCCCGTTTATAGGTTTATGCTATCATTGAAACATCTAATCGAAGATTTATTTCTCGTTTTTCGCAATGATTAAATGAAGGAAAAACATTAAACAAAGACTCTGATAATCTTCCCTAATAATTTCGAAGTGATCAGGACTGTTAATAAATAACAATCTTAATTCTTCCATCCTTTTTTGAAGTTAAGTGACTGAACTACAGAACTAGGTGCGCTATGATAGTTTATTTCAACTCTAGCTCCTACAAGTGCGATTACTTCAGAGACGAGCAAAATAAATCAACTTTTTTTTTTAAATATCCCAGTGCCAATAAAGAATATAATAATTTTGTATTTTTTGTCCATATAACAGTGTATTAGATAGTTTTGGATGCCAATTCTAATTTAGGTTAATATTGAGTTCGGAATACAATTGCATTATTTGAATTCCGTTTAGGTGGAGAAAAATAAGTATACAATACCCATACAAAAATTACAAAATATTTCACACATTCAATATCAGCAATTCATTGTAGTTCCAATACAGTCGATCGTTGTCCCAATGGCCATCATGGTGAAGATTATAGGATATGTTTTATATTAGCATGGAAAAACAAAATTTATAAAGATTAGCCAGCTTATTTGAATGGGGTACCTATCATGACAATAGGATTTTACTATTTCTGTATTTCCTGTCTACTGGTCTATGTAAAAGGTTTTATTCATATCTAACTAATATTCAACAGAATCCAGCAAAACCCAACTGATAATATCCTATAAAACTAAGGTAATGTTAACACGTCGATCGTCGTCGACATCACAAAGAACAGAAGAATACATGGGGAAATACCGGTAATGGCGAAATCGGTTCAGCGACCAAGTTTGCAACTCGTGACAGTACACCTAACAAGCCTCCAACGTTGCAACAACCCAAATTATCTAAATATTTATTTATTATTTTTATTTTTTTCTATGGTTCACTCAATGAGTGATTTTGAATAAATATAAAATAAATCGGCTAATGCTAAAAATAAACATAAGAGTCGAAACGTCACAACTCACAAACGAAATGAAATAACCTTTAACCCGCCAGTCGCGGTTCAATCATGACCGTACTTAAAATATAATTACGGTTCAATCGTTGTTGAGAGATTGATTGATATACAGTAATTACAGGGTTGCCAGATTGGCTTTTTTAACGCCAAATCTGCCATTTTTGGCTTTTTTCAAACACGTTTGGCGTCAGAATTTCCGTTTGGCTTTTTGGCGTTTTTCAAGTCCAGTCTAGTGTCTATTATTAAAATCATATGAAATACAATATTTAATGTGTAACATTAGCCTATTACCGGTACTGGTACGGTACTTAACATTAGGCTTTCCCCGAGCGTCGATTTCCCAGTTTGTTGTCTTAACGCTTAACCATACCTACCCAATAAGAGTTACTTGCAGTTTCTGCTGCCGCTCAGACAGATGTTCAAGCAGGGTTGTAAACATTGCCTCGTTTTTATAGTTTTGCGTGTTGTTTGTCAGTTTTAAGTTCCGTTTCCAAAAATGGTTATATAACTTAATTTCCATTATGCCCGATGTGGAGCTTTAGGTAAATTGCAGTAGGCTAATCAAAATTTTGTCTCACGAACGATGTGATTAACTACAGTAAAAATTACTGAATTAGCTATTAGTAGTCCACCTGTAAGCGGTACGTGGTTAGATAATTTTTAATAAAGTTGATGGTTTATAAATTCTAAAATTTCGAAAATGTAGGTATATCACATACTGAAACGGTACCCTGTATTGTATATATTGAATGGTAAAATAATGCTGTTCGCTTTAATTTTTATTTGGTTTTTTGATTTTTTTAAATTGTTTCATATAGATGTCAGCTTGATTGTGTTGTGTTGAACGTCGATTCTGGTTCTTTCGTTCAATTAATCCTTTTTACTTATAAACCCTTCATCCCGCTGAAGTAGAAATCGCCATGATAGCAACCGCAAAAACACCTTTCAATGGGAAAAGACAATTGTGTGGCGCACTGAATGAACTGATGGCTCTACATCATCATCAGTATTGTTCCAAGAGCTTAAAATCTGACAAATTATGGGGTTTTTGTACTTAGTAAAATTTTTGGCTTTTTCTGGCTTTTTTTATATCCTGATTTGGCTTTTTTTCATCGCTGGGATCTGGCAACCCTGAGTAATTAGCTCAATCGCTCTACCGAGTTGGTTGTATGTATTCTTGCAGGGGACGGTTCGCCCTGTTATTCATTATTTACAGATTTAGGTGCTTACAGAATTCAGCTATTTCAATATTTGGCGTTAGCTTAACTAAACATTCACTGCACTGTATTTTCATAAAAATCCGTACTATTGTCTTTTTTTAACATTGTTTTGCGGAAATAAAATCTAGCTTTCGCATGTTATTTGGAAGTACATGTGAGGATGGCAATTAAAGGTACATAATTTTTATTTTACCATTAATATTTTAATTCCAAACAAGTTCCAGAATTCAAAAGGTAAAGTGATTGACTGTAGATTTTCGCGCGGCGGTGTGGCTCAACGGTCTAAGCGTTAGGAATACGCTCGCCACCGCACCTCTAACTACTCTGCGTGGGTTCGCAGGTTCGAATCCCATGCAGGGATGGTTATGTGCGAGAGGATTGCTGGACTCCTCGCCGTCGTTGGGTGGTTCACGTAACCGCTGGTCGGTTACGGCTTCCTCCACCACCAAGTCCATGCTTCCGAAAACAAACAATACAGTAAAACTAATCCCATACCCGACTTGAAATGGTAACCGGACGAGAGGCCGTGGTTCGCCATATGAATAAGCCGTCTTATCGGCTTTCCTCTCCCCCGGGATAAATATGTAAATCCTATCCTATCCTATCCTATTTTCAAATATTATTGCTTTTTGTGTTATTAAAAAGGGCTCAAATTGTCTTGTGGAAAAAATTTCATTTATGAAGTATAGTATAGGCAGTTCTGACGAAAATAATTCATGGAAAATTATGGCGAAAAATATGGCAACTATCATAGATAAAAATAAAAATAATCAGGCACTTGCGAAATTGGCCATGTCTCCACAAGTCTCGATCGTTTTTGTTTTATACTAAAAAGACATAAATTCAATCATACTATATGCCTATATTTGGTTTTTGTCTTCTGAGGTTAAAATAAACATTGGGAAATGATTTTTCCAAAGTGACTAAAATTTTACAAGTGCCTGGTTTTTTGAATTTGCGATCAGTCTTGCCATATTTTTCGACTAATATTTCACGTCCAAATAGATTCAAAAAGTGAAGTGAGTCACCATAGATTACCAAACAGTATTGCTCCTTGTGTTGTTGAAAATGCACAAATTATCTTAGAATAACAAATTTCATTTAGAAAAAAAATATATAGTAAGTTATGACGAAAATAATTCATAGCAAAGTATAGAGAAAAAATATGGCAACTGTCATTGAGAATGAAAAATCAGGCACCTGCTAAATTTGACACATCTCCACCTCTCAGAATCGGTTTTGTTTTTTATCATAAAGTTGTAAATTCAATCATACAAAATGTGTATATTTATTATAAGTACAGAAGTAATTAGAAACTTTGGGAAATAGGTTTTTACAAGTGCATGATTTTTTTATTTAGCGTTGCCATATTTTACCTTTGAAAAATGGAATATACTCATTAATTAGAAAGTATATTGGCCTTTTGCGATATAGAAATGCCCAAATTTATTTAAGATCCAATAAAACTGAAAACCAGATGATATACGGAAAAAAAAATCCAAAGTGCCCGAAATGGTGTCTGAAAAAGTGCCTGAATTCGCAAGTACCTGGTTTTAGGGAGACCTAATTTTTCATTCAGGCCACGCCACCTGTATACTGGTATCAGTTCGGTGCCAATACCATATAAAAATTAGCCGTTTATATATCAAAAACTTGTACTTACAAACTATTTTTTGTTTTTTATGTGCTTCTTTGAATTGAAATGCTTCATTAAAGGGTGAGTACTTGCGAACTCAATTATTTCTGTGGGTATCTCTAGATTGGTAGTGTTCTTTCATCTCACACTAACAATTAATTGAATTAATCTCATTCTGTGACACCTTTATAGGATCAGGGAGGTTTCGAGCATGGCATGGTTTTCTAATTGCCTACTCGTTTGTGGGACGAATATAGTGTTGGTTTTGTAGATGTTATTTTGTTACATTATTGGAATTGGAGAACTGTGCCCTACTGTCCAATTTTGGTGCTCATTCAATTTATTTAGACAACCCAAGTCGAGTTTGTGAAAAATAGTTCAATATACCAACTAAGGTTTCATTCTTTTTTACCGACTTAATGACCTTTTTGTATGAACTATTTTCTTATTTTGCTCTTTGTTATACAGTTACCAAAGACCCCGATTAAGTGGTGCAAAAATATTTAAGTCTCAAATTGGATCAACTGAAGACCCCCCCCCCCCGGACCGGCCTGGGGAGGAGATTCTTCAGTTGAACTCACCTGGGGGGTGGGGGGGGGATTCTTGTTTCCCTATTGAAGAATATCCCCCTCCCCCAACCGATAATACCAAGTCGATAATACCAGTTGGTCCTTTATTTGACCTGGTGAATACCAATTGATCCTTTATTTGACCCGAAATAATTGTTTGGTAGAGTTAGGATTGGATGGTCTTAGTTGGGGTGGAGATCCTACAGTTGGTCTAACTTGGTGTGGAGTTTATTCAGTTAATCCCTTAAATTATTTTTGAAACATGTATTCAACTTTTATGAATAACTTTTAACTTACTTTCAGACTTGTTGCGTTGGCATTATGCGGTTCTGTGGCTCTCACATTTCTCATGCTGGGATGTACTCTATATAAGTAAGTATGAGCAAATAAGAATGAGTAGAAAGATGTATTATGATTTGGTTTCTCTTGGGTGAAAAATTTGCTGAAAAATGAATGCAGATTCGTGCATTGTTTTACTCACCTGACACAAGTGTGGTGTCTGGCGTGCTTTATCACTATGATATCGTGTCACAGTGGTTTATCTGACATCGATTTGAATGCTACTTGCTGCACACTAAGTCCATGCATTTGAAACAAATAAATGGCTAACTAATCCCATACCCAACATAGACTGGTAACCGGACGAGAGGTCGTGGTTCGCTATATGAGTAAGCCCTTATTCGCAAACATTATGTGCTTCGAGAGTAAATAAGATTGAAACAAGATTTCAGGGGTTAATTGTAACAAGTCTTTATCATTTTTAGCTTTTAATTTCTGTCAGCGCAGAAAATTGTTTTGCTGTACAAGACTTTAATTCAATTGTATTTACATATATATAATATGGGTTGTACTGATATATATATATATTTTCTAATAACTGTCGTTGAACACTCGCTGGCTGAAATTGGTTGACAGAAAATCTACATGGTGGCCAAGTTTAACAAAATTTATGGTAAAATCAAGAGCTCTGAATAGTTCCGAGAAAATGTGAAAAATTATGAAAGTAATACCATTCTTCAATATCTTATCTGCTTACAGTTTGAAAAGGATTGTTTCAGTTATTTGAGAGGAACAATAATTTATCCTAAAATTTTTCAAATCATCCATAAGTCCACTTAGACTATTTACCGAGCAGTACTAGATGAACGAAGTATAATTAAAAAATTGGGTGTATTAGGTTGGGGTCGAAATGTACAATGCCTTATCAATAATAATTTGATAGCGACTATCAGTTTTCTTGATCAATTGATATCTCTAAATTCTAATCATTGCATATTTTTCTCTTTTGTTTTAAATTTTCATCAAAACTTTACATAGATCATGGCACATTTATCGCTATTTTCAAGCTTGAGGGGCTATCTAATATAATGAGCCTTATATGAAATCTGCTTCCTTATAGCTCTTAACGTCCCTCTAGGAGCCCATTTAAATGATGATAGGGAGTTGACTTTGGACCATGTATTTATGCAATGCTACTCCTTCATCTTTTGTATACAATGATAATATTTCGATATCAGTACTATTTATGTCTGCATCATTATATAATGATCCACGAACCTAATCCATAATACTTATAAAATATGAATTTACAGGTGCTATTGGCCTATGTTTGAGTTGATGTTTTATTTCTTGGCTCCACTTCCAATTGCGATAGCTCGAAGATTGGCAAATGACATTGATTCCACAAGCACGGCTTGTAAAGAGTTGTCAATATTTCTCACAACTGGCATTGTAATATCCTCAATGGGGCTGCCTATTGTTCTGGCAAGAACTGCTGCTGTAAGTACATTAGTTTGTGTGGTTATGAGACTGATTTGACGTTTGCGCATTCGAAACGAAGCCTTTTTTGTCACTTTCTACCATAACACAGAGAATATTTCTATGTAACTTTTTTCAAACATTACTAACAGGAATAATTATCATGCATGGGGATATTGGGCCTGTGTTGGACCACCCTGGTTTAGAGTAACTAAAGCTTCAGATTCGAGGCAAATCTAAGTGGTCAGACCTATTTTTAGTCTAATATTTGTTTTTAACCTGATGAAAACTTAAACAAGTTAGTTGTGTGGTACAAGTAATAGAATCATTCCAATTTTTTAGATCGGATGGCCAGCTGCTGGATTCACCCTCGCAGCGAACGTTGTTGCCTTTCTTACAGTTTACGGATTTTTTCTTTATTTTGGTGACGATTCCGATTATGAATTTCAAAGATGGTAGTTTTGGATGTGCCCCAATATTTTTGATATACATTACTTGTTTTTACACACAATTATTATTTTTTTGAAGACTGTGGCTGATTTGCGGTGCATATCATTGCGGTGCATATCATCAAAATTAAATAGTATTTCCTTGTTTTGACAAATTAGAATATGTGTCATTAATATCATAAAATCCTTCATTCTTGACTGGATTTTATCTTCTAGTATGTGCAATAGATGTATTCCAGTTGATGTAGAAAAAATGAGATAAGATTGTTGTATGGTCGGATTAAATATATTTTGGCTGCCCTAATAATTTGTGAACATTGTTTTATGTGTTTGTGTAGGTTTTTTGCTGTTCTTTATTAAACTTGATTTCATATTTTTAAATCTGCATAAAAGCAAAAGATAAGGTTCTTCAGTGATTCATATTCGGAAGTTTTCCATTGCTAAAAACTGGGAATTTGAGATTAAATCTTCTGCTAAGTATGAAATGAATATATTGATACTATTTTCACCACCATTATTTCAAGTATGTTTTTTGTATTGTTAATATATATTAAATGTTCTTCAGATGCAATGTGTTGTTATATGACTTTTGTTGTAAAAAGAGTACATCAGTTTTTTGCGTATTTAATCGACCGAAAAATGTAGTTTTGGCCAGGTAGAAAGCAAGGTATTCCATGCTGTCAAGTACTTACAAGGTAGTTGTTACATCCCTTGGTTTTTAACTGTACAAACGTTGTGAATCAGGTCTTGTGAAACAGTACATTAGTAATATAGTTGAGATGGACCGCAGTTCTCAGATGGCATGCATCTTGAATTTGGTTTCACTGCGGGTCTTTAGACCATGAAAATGAAAATTTTTCAAATGAGATTTGGTAATTTGCATTAGATAGAACTATTTCTGAATTGGTTTGGATGTTGAATACATTTTGGACATCCCTGACAGTGACAGAAAAAAAAAATCTTTACGATGTTTTACGAAGTGTTGCAATTTTCTCTGCCCAATCCCCTCATATCTGTGTGTTAAAAGGTATAGATGACCCTCAGTTTCATGTTACATACATGACATATATTTATATTACATATCTTCAGATTCTTGAATAAATAATGAAGAAGACAATGAACAGGAGTTCATCATACTAAATGCAATTGCTAAAACTTATAAGATTGTGCAAATGTTTCGCCTGCATCGTCATTGGTTTCTTCCCCACCACATGTGTCGGTCTCTTGCAAGAGATCAGCACTGCTGTCGGATATCAGTGAGTCCACAATTTCTACTTGTTGATTTTCTTTTCCACGTCCAGGATTTGTCTTAAATTTGCTATATATTAAAATAGAAGACAATGTAACAGTTGTATCGAAACTGCCTCGCAAAGCAATCCTCTCTATTAGGCATCCGACGACAGGAAAAACTAGGTACCGATTAAGCGTAATCAAAGAATAGGATAGTTATTATATATTTATGCCGGACAGAGGAAAGCCGATAGGACCGCCTAATGGCCTCTCCACCCGTTACAAGTTCAAGGGAGGGTATGGGATTAGTTAAAGCCGTGACCGACCAGCGGTTACGTGAACCACCCTACGGCGGCGAGGAGTCCAGCAATCCTCATGTACATGATCATCCCCGCATTGGATTCGAAACTGCTAATTCACGCAAGATAATCAGAAATGCAGTGGCGAGCGTATTCCTAACGCGCTTAGCATGATGCCCCACATCGCCGACAATAAGTTTTGCCGTGATCATGAACATATAAACATTATCCAGTAAGACATGACACGAACAAAATCTCTCATGCTAACAGATAATTGTTGAACAAGTGAAGAACGCAGAAATACAAGTTGTGTTTATGTAAAGCAACATGAATCATGTGTAGGCTACAACATATAACGCGATAATATTCATACTTTCGATCCTCCTGACTGATACAGTAACTAATATGAAAGTTAAATCTAGCATTATAATTGGAAGTCATCTTCATGAAATATTTTAAGAATTGCTCTCAATCATTTCAATGGTTTGAATATTCTCAAATGATGAGGATTGATATTTCATACCACTGACACTAACGAGAGTTTAACCAATTGGAGATAGAAAAATTGTTAAGATGTCATCTGATTACAACGGCAGGAGAAAGTTTCAAAGTCAAAGCTTTAAACGTGTCATCATTGATGGCTTTAATCAAGTAATTATAGAGTATTCAATAATTGGCCAACCAGTGTCTTCACAATATGTAATTATGGAACTGTCATGGCTTACCTCAATGTCTCACTTGATGTGGTTTTAGGTGCCGAACTAGCAGTAAGATTAAATAACACTTCAGTTCTTTTTCCAACTTCATCTCTAACATCCCTGCTTCGTACAATATACAAGAGGAAGATGAAGAAACCTGTGAAGTAGTGAACAATGTTTGATAGCAGGCAATAAACATATCATGTGATGTGGGCTTTGACGTTGGTTTCCACAAATTTGCAAAATGCTTAAGTCGGCAAAAAGTTTACAAAGGGAAAAATTGTACAAATAATTCCATATCTTTGGAGTAGAACCTGAATATACGAACTCTGAATGAGATTCCAGTAGAATGGCTTACCTGAAAAGGATAAAATGAGTGATATTTCACCTATTTCCCATAAAAACAGAACCCAGAACATAACTTGCAAAATGTTCTGTATTACTGAAACTTTTAGGTACAATCATACTTAAACAGAAGTTCAAGTGTTAAATAAATTTTTTTCTTCGTAAAAGTGATTAAGAAATTTATGAAGCCTGTTTTTTTATGTCACCTTGTATATTGATATTTCACATGTTCAGTTCTGTTTCAAAAGCTTTCTGTATCGATATCAAAGCAGAACATTATTTAATGTTTCTTTAGTTATGGTTACCTTGGAGTGAATTCAGTATTGTAAATATGTAGGCAAAAACAATAGCGGCCGTTTCATTATGAGAAAATATGTTAATGAAGAAACCGAACACCCATGTTACACCTACAACCATCATGATGCAGATGTTTGTAATTACTTTTTTGGTTGGCAAACTTCTGTTGTGAGACATTTCCCGGCTTTGTCCCTAAAAAAGGCATTTTTCAGTTCTATGCAAAAATAAGAAATGGCTTGGTTGGCCAAAAGCATTCCATGTTAGTAGTGTTAAACTTATATATATAGAACAGTGATAAATCATGTCAATCTGTAAACCTAATAAGAGTTATGTCAGAATACCTCCCACAGAGATTCACGTTTCCTGCACAGCTTATATGTCAAAATGCCATAAAGAATGAGATTGAATAAAATCAAGACTGAGACGGGGATTGCCGCCAGATATAAAACCAAATCAGTCTGAATCCAGCATCTGAAAAAAAATTTTGCTTTAGAAATATTTTCACTCAGGTTTTAGCGAATGAAGCACATATTCTATATCACTCACGTCTCCCCTTGATACACAGATGCATCCCATATAAGAACTGCACTGATAAATACGAAAGGCATAATCCATCCCCACACAATTGAATATGATGCTACCCTGCTATCACGAACTTGCATTTTTGAATATATTGGCTGAAAATTTAAATACAATATGGCAACATGTTTAGTACATTGCATATTAAAGGACTATGACTTTTTATTATTCTAATTCTAATTTTTTTTCTACAATTTTTGGTTTTTATCCAAGAACTATTTACCATTAGTATTGCGATACACAATGCCACGGCTTCACAATTCATCCACCCACAAGCACTCATCATAAAGAGATGAAGCAATGCTGCAATTGAAGGGCAGGATGACTCATCAACGTACTCACTCACAATTAATGTTATATTGAGGCACAGTAATGCTACGGAAAGATTAGATAACAAGTATGCTGATCGATACCTAGCACCTTTCCTCATTTTCCTGTAAAAATAAAAATAGATGAGTTCTCAAAAAGTCATATTTGAATAGTGAATAGAAAGTATGATATCTCAGGGACTGGGCCTGTTATAAAAGTACGTTTTAATATTAGACGTGACTACTCTAGTATATCGGTTGCAGAGCAATTTTTGTTGAAAATGTGAAAGAATATTTTTCAAGATACCATTAAAAAAAAACGACCCGTGTTTAATAAACGAGAAATACCATGAACAAAAATTGCTTTGAACTTATGTGATGTCATTGCCGAGCAACTCAATTCTGGTAAAATATTCCTTTTCTAGACTGTATTTGTGTCCTGAATTTTTTTTAGGTGTACTCAATTTGTTACTTGATAAATCTTAACTTACCTGTAAATGACTATTGTTTTGTAGAATTAAAGAGTTTGAAAAGCAACTTTACTTACGGTATTAAGAGGAATGCTGCTATCACAAAAAACAATGCAACAGAGGATATTGAACAACCCACAACAGTAATGATTCCAAGTGATTTATAGTAGTTTGCCAGTTTTCCTGTAGCATCCTAAGAAATTCATTAAATTACACAGTGTCAGAATAAAAGTTTTCATACTTGCCAATTGGGATTTATTTCAATTATCAAGGAAAGTAGGAGTATAAGTTTCATTAAAATGCAGACTTTAACAATAAAACAATAAATTTAAGTGGGTGCAAGTCATTTAGTTTCAGTAAAAAAACAACAAAATCCAACTACAATTAAAGTTGCAAAACTGGTCATATGATTGCATGAACATGAAATTGAAGTATTCGAGGTTCGATTATTGTCCACAATACATCCTGATGTTGACCAGTCATCAATACTTTCTTTCCAGAAGGCACATATTGATTCATCATTTCCTGATGTCTGCAAAAATGATGGCTATTAGATTCAGTTATAACCTCGAACCAAGTGTTTTTGACAAAACACATTGGTGACTACATAACAGGTTTATTTATATTATATAAATTATCTGAATAACAATACCGAAAATGATAATGAATCATTCCAAGGCAAATCAACTATATCTTCTTCTCCTGTGGAAGCTGTCAGAACCATGTTTGTTAAATTCCAATTCGTTGGTACATCTCCAGCTGTTGCATTGACCAATTCTGCATTTCTTTGTCTTGGAAATAAATTGTCATTCCCAAAAACGTATACAACAGTTCTTGAATCTGAAATGCAACAATTGTTGAGGCTTTACCAAAAAATTCTGCAAAACAAAAACAATCGTTGAAAAGATAGTGTCAACTTACATAAATTTTTTTTAAATGAATATGGATGGCTATGAATGGAATAACCAAATGGTCTTCTCAATGATTAAAATAATGTCAAAGATATCAAATAATCGATACCTTGTAAAGGATAGAAATTAAATACTTCAATTTGAATAATATTATTTGTGCTATGATGGAATAATAGTATGAATCAGGGGTCTCCAACACATGGCAATTTTTTTCGGCCCCCCTCATGGTTAAGATTTTTTCACAAAAATCTGAAATAGTACGATGTCAACTATGAGTAAGTTTTAACATGATATTTAACATTAAGGGTTTGATCCGACAAACTGTAAAAAGTGAAACAAAAATTTTCCCCTGTTATTCCACTTTACCGCGTTCATATTTTATTCTATTGTAATAATTGAATTATAAATTAAATTAAATTGTAAATTCAATAATTCATTTCGCTTTATTAATATGATGAAATAAACAAGTTTCGGCCAGGTCATTAGATTGTGCAGTTATGATTAAATCTGCATATGTGCAGTTGAAGCAAAACTAGATTATTATAAACATTTTATAAAGTAGTGAACCACAGGGATGAAGGAAAGTATTCAGAAGTCAATGTTCCAGAGTTTTACTGGTATGTGCCCAAAGTTAATTGAACACTCGTGTCGCATACTTGCGATGTTTGGCAGTACTAATATTTGCGAGCAGTTTTATTCAACTATGAAAGTTAACAAATCATCCCTCCGCACACGGCTAACAGACATATCTTAAGACTAGCAAAAGATGTTTCATGTCTTGTTTGATGTAAGATTCAAGTGTAATTTCAACAAATACATTCAGATATCTGTTATTTTTTGTGTATCAATTTTTTACCTAATTTGTTGATTTGTGGCCTGTGTCGTCAATAAAGTTCAAAAATTGGCCCATGACATATTTCGAGTTGGAGACAGACCCCTGGTATAAATGTTAGTTGTGTTTATTTAGGTAATAGTCGAAATGCTAGACTATTGTATTTTACTAATCTTACTATTTCTCTGGGCTGATACAGGAACATATATTGAAGCTTCAATTGTATTCTTGTCAATTATGTCTCCTGCCGTTCTTGATTCATGTATGATTATAAACTGATCAGATCTAAAACCCAAACTAGTACGATTTGGCCTGATAAAAACTGCAACTCCAAATCCAAGATATGGGCTATAATTACCTGTCAAGAAATTTGTCAATACTAAATGATAATGTTAGGAAGGTTAGGAATCCATGTTTATTGGAGCGATGATAAAACACAACAATAGGGTCGAAACCACTAAATAATATAACTTGAATATTTATCAAATTTAAGATGATAATTCAGATTGATTAAATAAATCTTTAAACTGAAAAATCTTTACTTATCAACTCAACATTAAAACTTACTATTCACTGATGTCATGGATACATTGTTGCTAACAACTGTAAAAGGTTTGCCCTCGAACAATTCAACTTTGGTTGAGACTTCATCCAACTGACGTAATAAACTGTATGGATGATAGAATAATAATTAAATTATAAGCAATTAACATGATATATTAATAATACAGCCGTATAGGAGCCTGTATTCATGTAGTGTTTGTTGACTCAATGAATCGAAGGTCCCAAATCATAGAGGGACACACAGAAATAGCAATTATTCATTTTGTTTACAGTATATTAATTTGTATACATGCTCAATAAAGTCATAAAGAGAACCAGCTGTGATTGTCTTACATTGTATTGCATATTAGCAAAGGCCTAAATGTACACTGTGAGATAATAAAGTAGCTTTTTCATCTAAAATAGTTTATTTCTGTAGGAAAAAAAGTCAAAAATATTAAATTGAGTAGAGATTATGCTACATTTTAATTTTATATTGAACAACATACCTAGCACATTCACCACTTTCTTCTAAACTTGGAGATTCCATTATATTGCTTATTGCTGAAACAATTGAGGTCGCAACCTGGTGATGGAAGGTTAATAAAAGCTTATCACTTATTCATGGATAAAGTTGTAAAATATGAGATCATGATAATATATACTTCTTGAGTTAAAATGTCAGTATCAGTGACATTTTCGATTACATCTGTTGTGGTTTCAATATCATCTGAACTCAGTTCATCGGGAGTTGATGTAACCATTTCAAGATTTGATGAGACTTCTTCTCTGTCTTCCTCAGTGGAGATTTTTTGTTCCAATAATTGCTAAAAAAAAGTCATTACTTTTACAGACAAGCAGCTTTTTCTTTACCATGTATGATTTCAATTATATTTCAAGGGAATTGCAGTTTATTTGGTGATCATTTCTAAGTGGATAGGATGTAACCTAGGGAATTTAGGGTGTGAAGTAAGTAAGTCACACACAACTAACTTATTGATGTATTAACAATGTATTTATGCTATTTATTGAAAATACAAGTTATTTCACATATAGGGATACAAACTATAAGTTCATATGGTAATTGTAAAATTGGTCCTACCTGAAGCCCCACATAGCATGATGAAAGCCAATTGATTTTAATAACCCAATTTCCATCGAAGTCACAGAGTCTGGTTCCGAAAGGTGTTCCAGCTTAAAATTTCAAAATAATACATAGTCAGGATTATTTTCACTTTAGTAAAATTTCAGAAAATATACAAACCATTTGGAGTTTCTTCTCCGCATACATTTATCGTTTTGTTGGAATAACCGAGTAAGGTTGTTGGAAAAGTTATGTTGCTTGTTACATTACAAGCCCCATCTGGACCATAAACACATGAAACACTGGTTTCTTTGCATTGATCTGAAAGAATCATTGTAAATAATACAGATACATGAAAAGTTCAGGCACGGTAAATAAAATAGCGTAAATTTCATTTCAAATATAGGTATAACTTTCAGAATTAATTCAATTGAATCAAATTTGGAAAGAGAAATGTGTGTTTTGAACCAACATACAAAATAGTGCTACACTACATACTATAACACTCAGTGGATTGAGTAACTGATTTTAAGATTGATGTAAAATGCAACATGAAAGTTTTAAATCACAAGTTTAATATCATAATAAGTGAAGTACATTTATAAACAACAACTATTCAAATATATAGGTACCTGGAATACATTCATCTATTTCAGTTTCTCGATAATAACCTGCGATACATGTGCAATAAAAAGAACCTGGTGTGTTTGTACATAATAAAGTTGGCTCACTGCATTCATATAAACATTCATCTATATCTGCAAATACAAATAAATAATCAATCTTGCCATATTAATCTTGGATGAGTTTGCATATGTCTTACCTTCACATTTATCTTTATCTCCGCCCCATCCATCAGAGCATTCACATCCACGGTTAGGATCTCTACATGATGCATGTTGACCACAAGATGGTGGACATTCAGGAGACTCTGCAGTGAAACATAATATACAGTTACTACAATTCTAAATTGTAATGACGATGTAAGGAAAGATCAGTCTTTTCGGCCATAATTTTTTACAACTTCCAAATAACAGTTCTTGTTAGAAGGTGGCTTTAGATAATGAGATATCTTAAAGATTTCTTAACAATTTTGGAATCAGAATAATATTCGAAATATAAACAAGCTTTGATTTAAAATTATAACTGGTAAATTCATAATTACACATAAACAATTTAATAATTGAACAATATGAATACTTTAAAAGGGTTAAATTAGCTAAGTATACGTATATTAAACAATATCATACAGCAATATTATATACACGCACACAAGTCAGTCTTACGTTTTTTGCATTTATTTCCTTCCATATAATATCCTTCTCTACATTCCAAGGTATAATGCCCAGGGTAGTTTGTGCAATTTATTCCTGGTTCATCTTTTTTACTTTCGCACTCATCAACATCTAGAAACAAAGTGTCTTTTTAAATTTCTTTTAGTATTCAAAATAGTTCTTATGTTGAGCATCTGTTTGATCAGACACAAATGGAGCTTTGAATATATTTTATTTGTTAGTGGTGTTTGTGTGACTTGAAAGGTTATCTGTAACAAAACAATTGACCTTTTCGAATTTTGCAAAAAGATTTAATCTCTTAGTTTTCCTTCATATTATTTCATTGAATCTGACAATAAAAACGCTGGCAAAATAACAGCAATAATACAGTGCACATGACACAGCTGAACTTCTCTACAGAGCAATATTCATGACATAAAATTCAGTCTTTTTTTAATATTTTAATGCACTTACTTATACAACGTAATGATGGTTAGAATTCGCAAGAATCAGCGTATTTTTCATGAGTTTTTAATTTGACTTACACTAGAGCGTAAGCCAAGTAACTTTAAAAAACATTAGTGTTGCCATATAAATGTGACTTTTTTTTTAATTTTACCACTAAGATTTCTGGAACATTTTCAGGTAATCTGGAGTATTTCAATATTGTAATCAGTTGAATAGACTAATCGCAACTTGATGACTTACCCTAACTGCCCTTATGTATCAATGCTGTCATTATTCATAGCAAACAATCTATAATTTTTGTTTTCTTAAATAAAAAAAATTTGCACCCTCGCACAGAAAACTGTCATCATATTCTTTCTTCGTGTAACCTTCCACACATTCACATCCTCTGTCGACATTATAGCATTCAGAGTTTGCGGTGCATGATGTCGGACAAACTGGAAATATTATAATCGAAAATTTATCGAATTTATGCATTTGGTTTGCAAATTATAACATTTTAGAATTATTGTGAGAGCAAAGTTAACATATTAATTAATAATACAATTTGAATGTGAAGTCTGCGGTACAGAAATTGTCTAAAAAGAACAAGCTACTAACTATATCATACCTTTTATACATGTTCCGTTAGCGTTTTCATACCCGTTCATACAGGAACAAATATCATCGATACAACCCTGATTTGATCCAGTGCATATTACATCACATGGTAAGGCTGGAAAATATTATGAACAACTTTATTTTATAGTAATTTAAATAGGAGCAATGGTTTTCGTTAAGTATTCAAATTATAATATCGTTTACAGAGTAACTATATTTGCAATATTCACCATAAAATATTATGAAATTAAAATTATTTTCAGTCTTTTGCTTTCGGTAAAATATGAGTGAAGGGAAATGTAAATTGTTCTATTTTACCAGAACAATCAACTCCATCGCCTGTGTATTCTGGTTTACATTTGCAACTGAAACTTCCATCAGTATTTCTACAATCAGCATTTACGTGGCAGTTGTCTGTCTCCTCATCACATTCATCAATATCTGGAAAAGTAATATTAAAAACATTTACTTTCTTTGTTGCTTTTACTACAATTGTCATATAAACAAAAGAATTGGTCTAAACTTTGTTGAATCGTTTGAATTAACATTAATGGTAATTCAATTAGTGTTCAAAAATACATAACCAATGAACAACACAAAAAGTCACTATTTTACTTTTACCTTGTATAAACTAAAACGATGTTGGCACAACTTTTCTGCATTTGTTAAATTGAATATTAAAATACCTAATGTTAGGTTATTACAATTCACCTTCACAATATATGCCATTTTCAACATATCCTATGTTACAGACACAAAAGTAACCTGCTTCAGTATCAAAACATTCTGCATTTACATCACAATCATCTATTCCAACAGCACATTCATCAATGCCTGAAAAGATAATAATATTTCTAATCAACTAATATGAGGGTTGCTTAAATCAGGTGACCGGCCTTTTAAATATGAGAAAACCAAAAAAAAAAATATTTTCAAACTATAAAAATATTGAGCAAAACATTCAAACCCATCATGAGTACCATATCTGTGAAATTTTGTTACGAAAATTTAGACCAAGTCAAATTAGCAGTAACTGCAAAATTATAAAAAAGTCAACATTCTAACTATTTCCATATTCAACCTGGACTAGCAACTAGACAAGGGGATATAGTTTATCATATGATGAATGAATACATGCCAATAAATGCCTTCTAGTGGATACAACTTTCCTACAATAGTAAAACTTTAATAATTATCATAATATAAAAACGAGTTAAAAACCGGTGATGTTAATAAAAATTAAGATCATATAACGGATATCCTAATATCAATCATACTTAGGCATGAAGCACTTCCAGTATCCCAAGTTCCTTTGGAATTGGTGTCATCCACTGTTATGTCCAAACAAGTTGCTTTGTTATTACCTTCTATAGAATACCCAAGATTGCATGTAAGACCACATTGTTCTCCACTTTTAATGCCAGGCTTACATGACAAAAAAAATTTTTGGCTAGAAAAGTCTGTGTCAACGGGACAAGTAACAGCTAAAATATAAAAAAGGTAATAAGTTCAATAACATTTTTTGAACAATATTTCTTTTATACAAGACTCTGGTAGATATAAAGTCAGATATGGCTTCAGCTAAATGGTCACACATCATATTTTTATCTTCAGAATAAAGAAAGTGAGTCACATATTTAATCATTGGCTGCATCATCAAGTTGTTGCATCTTTTTTATCACTGAAATACTTTTTGTCCTTGACGAATTAATTTAATAATCCTCATATTTCAATAACAGGAAGCATGTTATTAAACCCTTTCCTGAAAAATTACATCTTTTCTGCCTGAATTTAGAACTCAATATAAGCGCTTGTGAGTTTGAAAAAAAAACCTCTGCATAATGCTGTAATCCCTGAACACTATATACCTGTGCAAACCTAGAAAACCTATGCATACATGTATTCCAATGTTTAAAATGGATTCAGGCAAATTACCATGTTATATTAGCGAGTATATAATGTCTAAATGGCTGTCAAAATTACAGTTTAAATGAATGTGTTACCAACCTTTACACTCTGTTCCTGTAGTATTCCAAGACCCTTCTATATTTTTATCATCTACTGTATTGTCAATACAAGTAGCAGTTCTTGATCCGGACAGATAATATCCTTGATTGCATTTTAACTGACATTGATCACCATATGTTTTATTTTGTTCACAATCTGGTGAAAGTCCCCCATTCAAAAGATCTGTATCATTTGGGCACTTGACGGCTGTAGAAATATTGTCAAAGTCAAAATTTTAAAACTGTTATTTATAGTCAATAAACTTCTCTAATGAGGTGCCAATTATCTGCACCACAAATTATAAAATAATTTTTGTAACATTAAAAAAAAACATCTTAATTGAGATGCCGTAACCAGAACTTGTAAACTAATCATACCTATACAGCTATTTTCTCCAGTGTCCCATGTTCCATTTGTGTTACCATCATCAACTATTCTATCAATACAAGTTGCTATTCCTGAACCTGACAAATAGTAACCTTGATCACATTCTAGCTCGCATACATCCTGGTATATTATTTCTCCAACACACGATGAAGTAAAGCTTCCATTTTCAAACTCCAAATCAGTGGAGCAGACAACAGCTGAACGAGAGATAAACAAAGTTAAATTAACACTTACTCAATATGCAATGAAACATTAGTAAATTCAAACTCATTTCACCTTCACAATGGCTTCCTTGAATATTCCAAGTACCATCGATATTAGAATCATCAGCACTGGTGTCATTGCATATAGCTTTTCCTATTCCCAACATATGATATCCTTGAAAACATTCTAACTCACATTCTTCACCATAAGTTTTGCGTCCGGTACAACTCGATGAAAGATTTCCATTCAAAAATGCAACATTGATACTGCAAGTAACAACTGTAAAACAAATGGAGAATATTTAAAACTGTGAAAAATATCTTTGAATCTGAGTCATTTAATATTTTTTATATTAATATATACATGTTAACTTGATTAATTATAATTTTTACTTTCGCAGACTGATCCAGTTGCATCCCATGTTCCATTTTTGTTATTATCCAAAGTAGTTGAGTCACTGCAAGTGGCGATTCCAGGGCCTGACATGTAGTAGCCTTGGAAGCATTCTAGCTCACACTGTTCCTTGTAAATCATACCGTCCATGCATGATGGAAGGATTTTTGCGTTACTCAAGGTGAAATCCGTAGTACACAAAACGGCTTGAAAAAAAACATGACATTTAAAATCAATACAGTGCTCATAGGATAAAGAAGTAAAATTTCCATATATCCACCAAGCAGAGTAAAGATAATCACCTCACTCAGTTACTGGTCATAGACAGGTATAATAATATTTAACTACAAGATTAATCTAGATCGTGGCAAAAAAAAACTGAAAACCTTAAGTGTACTTTCCAGTGTGTTAAATAATTCTCAGCATAATATGACTCTAAAATAAGTATGTATAATACTATTTTCAAAAATCCTACGTTCACAGGAACTTCCATCAACACTCCAATAACCATTTTGGTTAGTATCATTCCTAGTGATGTCTTTGCAAATTGCTACTCCACTCCCAAACATGTAATAACCCTGCTCACAATCCAGAAGGCATTCCTCACTGAATGTTTTGTTTCCAACACATGATGGGGATAATCCACCATTAGGGAAGTCTGGTTCTTCAGAGCAAGTTACCACTGGTAAATATCACAAATACAATATAAATTTGTTCGGTAAAGTGAAGCATTTAGGAAATAAGGATCGATCATCAAAATACACCATAATGAAAACAATTTCGTAATACAATTTTCAGTAAAAATAATGAGAAATTTGGAAGAATTAGGTAAGTGAACATGTACCACTTTTTTCACAATATTCAGGTCTGTTTGCTCTCCCGATCCTGTGATCATTTTTTTATAAATTACTTTATGATTGGTAATGCTGTTATGGAGTCAGAATATTCTTATACTCATGCCTAATTGATTTCTAGCACTTATTAAAGACGTAATCATCAGGGACATGGAACTCAAACAAAAATATTGAAAAACATACATAAACATTCTGTGTCACCAGTATCCCATGTATCATTATGATTATTGTCATTAATTGTGCTATCATAACACGTTGCATTTCTCCATCCTGACAAATAGTATCCCTCATCACATTCAAGATTGCATTGTTGTTGATGTACTTTTGTACCAGTACATGATGAAGATAGTTCCCCATGTTCAAAGACCAAGTCAGTTGAACATGTTACAACTAAAAAATTGAGAGTAATTTACAATAAACCGTTTAACAATGTAAAACTAACCAAAACTGTTAGTGAAAATTTACAATTATGCGTTATTTGCAATCTACACATGTTAGCTTTTTTACAACTATAGCATCTTTTCTACAATTTATTAAAGCCGTCTATTTATGTTGCAGTCACTGTTCTAATCGGCCTTTAGTTTGTTTGCCAGAAGTCGGTCAGTATGAAACTTCGTGCCTAATTATTTTTGAATTGATTTATAAATATGGTGATACCGAAATTTATAAAAACATATTTATAAGATTGAAAAAGTTGTAGATTTTCACAAAATGCCATTGACCTTCACATATACTCTCTTTAGTGGACCATGTTCCAATTGAGTTTTCGTCACTATATGTCGTATCATTACAAGTTGCTATTCCTGTTCCTATCATAAAATATCCCTGATCGCATTCCAAGTCACATTGTTCGCCAAACTTATTGCTATCTGGGCATGATGAAGAAAGCCCTCCATGAACGAATGTCAAGTTGGTAAAACAAGTTACAGCTAAAACGAAGTTAGCATGTATTAGACATAAAGTTTTGTTAAAAAATATATATGAAAAATGTTATGGACAAATAAAACATTGAATTTTGTAATCTCCATATTTCTTTATGTTAATTTTTCCCTGTTAATGAAAATTGAAAATAAAATTTTTTTCATAAATTACCCAGACAAGATGCAACAGACGTATTCCATGTTCCATTGTTATTACTGTCTTCCACTGTTGCATCGTCACAAGTTGCGACTGGTATTCCCAACATATAGAAACCTTTATCACATTCAAGATTGCATGTATCTCCGTATGTTTTTTTTCCTACACAACTTGATTCAAATTGTCCATAAGGGAATTCCAGTTCAAGAGAACAAGTAATACCTTTAAAAAAAATAATAAAAGCAAGATTGAGTATGGGTTGGGGTTGATAGTCTGGAGAAAATTTGATGAACATTTGATATTTGTTTTCTTCTTTGCTAATCGTGTCGCCCCCTATTACTGCAATGATGGATGTAAAGAAAAATAACTAGGTAAGGAAAAAGTTATAATATTTTTGACAGTTCCATATGAAACTTCAGAGAATTTAAACTCATTTTTATGTGAATAATATTTAGCTTACTGTCACAGAAACTTCCTTCAATATTCCATGTTCCATTTATATTATCATCAGATACAGTTGTGTCTTCACAAGTTGCTATACCTATTCCTGACATATAATAACCTTGATCGCATTCCAAATTGCATTTTGCTCCAAATGTTTGGTTTACGGAGCAAGATGAAGAAATATATCCATGCGGAAATATTGGGTCAGTAGAACAAATTACAGCTGAGACAAGAATAATACCGGTTTATAAAAAATATTGTAACCCGAAAACATGATAATATTGTATATTTATTTATTTAAACTTTGGGTTTTCATAATGGGTTATTGTATTTAAATATATGATATTATATTTATCAAATCAAAATAATATTCAACCCTATACCTTTACAAACAGCATCTCCTACATCCCAAGATCCATTTTTGTTGTCATGGCCTTCAATAGTATCATCACAAATGGCTGTTGGTGTTCCAGACATATAATATCCTTGATCACATTCAAGAGAACATTCTTCTTCATATATTTTGTCTCCCACACATGATGAGGAAAGATTTCCATTACTAAAATTTGCCTTTACTGGGCATGAGATGACTAAAAGGAAAAAAATTTAATTTAAACACAAAAACGTGATAACCAAAACAATGAAGAGCATTTGTAGAAATATTTTAAATAAACGTCTTATTATACTAATATCTGATAATAGTATCAGTTGCAAAATGTTATTGACCTTCACAAAAGCTTCCCTCCGTGGACCATGATCCAACTGTGTTGTTATCATCTAGTGTTGTATCATTGCAAGTTGCAATTCCTGTCCCGATTATGTAATATCCTTTGTCACATTCTAAGTTACATTGTTTTCCAAACTCATTGCTTTCTGGGCATGACAAAGAAAGCTCCCCATGCTCAAATGTTAAATTGGTGTAACAAGTCACAGCTAAAAAAAGAAAAACAGTATGATGCATTAAAACTACATGAAAATTCAATGGACACAAAACTTCCGATCAAACAGTATTGCTGTTTTTCATACATAGTGTTTATTACAATACCCAAGCAAACTGCATCAGATGTATTCCATGTTCCATTTTTATTATTGTCTTCAACTGTGGTGTCATCACATGTTGCAATTGGGGTTCCCAGCATATGATAACCTTGATTACATTCCAGATTGCATTTATCCCCATATGTTTTGTTACCTACACAACTTGAAGCAAACCATCCATAAGGGAAATCCAATTCAGTAGAGCAGGTAATAACTGTAACCAAATTAGCAGAGAGTAATTAGCCATATATTGCTGCAAATTATGAAAAAATAAATACACACAAAAATATATGTACATGCAAATGAATCAATCGATAATGTTCTGATTATATAATATCCCTTATCATATTACGTAAGACACTCTTCTTTTCCTAATGTATTTTCAACACGAGATGAAGAAAATCTTTTGTTGGAAACATTCAATACCAATGGTATGTTACAACTATAGCAATAATTATTTTTGTTTCTTTAAAATCTAAAAAATGGGTATAACAGAACAATGGAACATGATGTAAAAACTATATTTTTTAACTTACTTTCACATATGCTTCCGATAGTAGACCATGTTCCGATCGAGTTGCCATGGTCTGATGATGTATCATTGCAAATGGCTTTGCCTGTTCCTATCATATAATATCCTTGATCGCATTTTAAGTCACATTGTTCTTTAAACTTAATGCTATCTGGGCATGATGAAGAAAGCCCTCCATGATCGAATGTCAAGTTGGCAAAACAAGTTACAGCTGAAACAAAGTTGGCATGTATTAGACACAAGATTTAGCAAATGATATCTATCACAAATATTATGCAAAGTGCATTCTAAGTTGCACTTTGCTCCAAATGTTAGGTTTACGGAACAAGATGAAGAAATATATCCATGCAAAAATATTGGGTCAGAAGAACAAATTACCCTGAATAAAAAGTAATAAAATACAGAAACAATGATAAGAAAGTATACCTATTCATTCACAATTTAGGTTTCGATAATGTATAAGTTTTTTCTATGTACGGTATGATACTATACTAATGAAATGAAATGTTCATTGCCATACCATTACAAACAGCATCTTCTACATCCCATGATCCATTTTTGTTGTCATGGCCTTCTATAGTATCATCACAAATGGCTGTTGGGGTTCCAGACATATAATATCCTTGATCACATTCAAGAGAACATTCTTCTTCATATATTTTGTCTCCAACACACGAAGGGGAAAGATCTCCATTACTAAAATTTGACTTTATAGGGCATGAGATAACTGCAAAGATCAAAAATCTGATTTATCTCAAAAAGCAGTGTAACCAAAACAATAAATGTCATTCTGAGAAATTTTTTCAAATTAACTTCATATTACAATATATGATAATATAATAGCCTTAGTTGTAATATGTTATTGACCTTCACACAAGCTTCCCTCAGTAGACCAAGCTCCAACTGTGTTGTTATCATTTGATGTTGAATCATTGCAGGTTGCAGTTCCTGTCCCAATGATATAATATCCTTTGTCACATTCTAAGTTACATTGTTCTCCGAACTCATTGCTTTCTGGGCATGACAAGGAAAGCTCTCCATGTTCAAATGTAAGATTGGTGTAACAAGTCACAGCTAAAAAAATTAAAATTGTATGATGCATCAAAAAACTTTATATAGATAGGTCGAATGCAAAACTTTCGATCAAACAGTATAGCTGTATGTTATACATAGGGTTTATTACAATACCCAAGCAAACTGCATCAGATGTATTCCATGTTCCATTTTTATTATTGTCTTCAACTGTGGTGTCATCACATGTTGCAATTGGGGTTCCCAGCATATGATAACCTTGATTACATTCCAGATTGCATTTATCCCCATATGTTTTGTTACCTACACAACTTGAAGCAAACCGTCCATAAGGGAAATCCAATTCAGTAGAGCAGGTAATAACTGTAACCAAATTAGCAGAGAGTAATTAGCCATATATTGCTGCAAATTATGAAAAAATAAATAAACACAAAAATATATGTACATGCAAATGAATCAATCGATAATGTTCTGATTATATAATATCCCTTATCACATTACGTAAGACACTCTTCTTTTCCTAATGTATTTCCAACACGAGATGAAGAAAATCTTTTGTTGGAAACATTCAATACCAATGGTATGTTACAACTATAACAATAATTATTTTTGTTTCTTTAAAATCTAAAAAATGGGTATAACAGAACAATGGAACATGATGTAAAAACTATATTTGTTAATTTACTTTCACATATGCTTCCGATAGTAGACCATGTTCCGATCGAGTTGCCATGGTCTAATGATGTATCATTGCAAATGGCTTTGCCTGTTCCTATCATGTAATATCCTTGATCGCATTTTAAGTCACATTGTTCTTTAAACTTAATGCTATCTGGGCATGATGAAGAAAGCCCTCCATGATCGAATGTCAAGTTGGCAAAACAAGTTACAGCTGAAACAAAGTTAGCATTATTACAAATATTATGAAAAGTGCATTCCAAATTGCACTTTGATCAAAATGTTAGGTTTACGGAGCAAGATGAAGAAATGTATCCATGCAAAAATATTGGGTCAGTAAAACAAATTACACCTGAATAAAAAGCATTAAAATACAGAAACAACGATAAGGAAGTATACCTACCTATTCATTCACAATTCGGTTTCCATAAAGTATAAGTTTTATTTATATTCGGTTTGATACTATACTGATGAAATTAAATTTTCATTGCTATACCATTACAAACAGCATCTCCTACATCCCAAGATCCATTTTTGTTGTCATGGCCTTCTATAATATCATCACAAATGGCTGTTGGTGTTCCAGACATATAATATCCTTGATCACATTCAAGAGAACATTCTTCTTCATATATTTTGTCTCCCACACATGATGAGGAAAGCTCTCCATTACTAAAATTTGCCTTTATTGGGCACGAGATGACTAAAAGGATAAAGATTCAATTTAGACACAAGAACATGATAACCAAACAATAAATGGCATTTGTAGAAACATTTCAAATTAAAATCATATTACACTAGGTTCTATTATAATAGTATCAGTTGTAATATGTTATTGACCTTCACACAAGCTTCCCTCAGTAGACCACGCTCCAACTGTGTTGTTATCATTTGATGTTGTATCATTGCAAGTTGCAATTGCTGTTCCAATGATATAATATCCTTTGTCACATTCTAAGTTACATTGTTCTCCGAACTGATTGCTTTCTGGGCACGACAAAGAAAGCTCTCCATGCTCAAATGTTAAATTGGTGTAGCAAGTTACAGCTAAAAAAAAAACAGTATGATGCATCATTACAACTATATGAAAATACATCGAATGCAGAACTTCCGATCAAACAGTATTGCTGTATTTTATACATAGTGTTTATTACAATACCCAAGCAAACTGCATCAGATGTATTCCACATTCCATTTTTATTATTATCTTCAACTGTGGTGTCATCACAAGTTGCAATTGGGGTTCCTAGCATATGATAACCTTGATAACATTCTAGATTGCATTCATCTCCATATGTTTTGTTGCCTACACATCTTGAATCAAACTGTCCATAGGAGAATTTCAATTCAGTAGAACAGGTGATAACTGTAACAACATTAGCAAAGAGTAAAATGAAACAAGTAAAGGAGAATTGCTATATATTTTCTGCAAAGTATGAAAAAATAATTGAGCACAAAAATACTTGTTTACAGAAATGCGAATCAATCAATAATGTTTTGATTATATAATATCCTTCATCACATTCCATGAGACACTTTTCTTTTCCTAATATATTTTCAACAAAAATATAGAAAAAATATTCTGTTGGAAACATTTAATACCAGTGGTACCTGACAACTATAGCAATAATTAATGATGCTTTTTTTGAAGTTCAGAAAACATATAACAGAACAATGGAACGTGATGTAAAAACGATATATTCTGTTTTGATATAATTCATAAAACTTAACTTACTTTCACATATGCTTCCAATGGTAGACCATGTTCCTATCGAGTTGTCGTGGTCTGATGATGTATCATTGCAAAAAGCTTCGCCAGTTCCTATCATATAATATCCTTGATCGCATTTTAAGTCACATTGTTCTTCAAACTTAATGCTATCCGGGCATGATGAAGAAAGCCCTCCATGATCGAATGTCAAGTTGGAAAAACAAGTTACAGCTGAAACAATGCTAGCATGTATTAGACACAAGGTTTTGTTCGAAAATATATATCACAAATATTATGGATAATAAAAAAACATCAAATATTGTAATTCCCATATTTTTTCATATTATATTGTTCCTTGTTGATGAAAATTAAAAATAAACAAAATGTTTTTATTGATTACCCAGACAAGAAGCATCGGAGGTATTCCATGTTCCATTTTTATTACTGTCTTCCACGGTAGTGTCATCACAAGTTGCGACTGGTATTCCCAACATAAAGTAACCTTGATCACATTCAAGATTGCATGTATCTCCATATGTTTTGTTTCCATAACAACTTGATTCAAATTGTCCATACGGGAATTCCAGTTCAAGAGAACAAGTTATGACTTTCGGAGAAAAGGACAAAAGCAAGTTTCAGTGGACAAGTGTAATTTTCACAATTATGGGTAGGGTTACTGGTCTAGTCTAGTCTAGAATTCTATGAAAATCTGATATTTGTTTTTTTCTTGTTTGCTAATCATGCCTTTTCCTATTATTGGAATGATTGATTTGAAGAGAAATAATTGGTTAACAACATATTTGTGATATTTTTGAAAGTTTAAAAAAAAATTTGATCAATTTTAATGTAAATAAGTTTACTTTCACAGAAACTTTCTCCAATATTCCATGTTCCATTGACATTATCATCAGATACAGTTGTGTCCTCACAAGTTGCTAGACCTATTCCTGACATATAATAACCCTGATCGCATTCCAAATTGCATTTTGCTTCAAACGTTTTGTTTACGGAGCAAGATGAAGAAATATATCCATGCAAAAATATTGGGTCAGTAAAACAAATTACACCTGAATAAAAAGTAATAAAATACAGAAACAATGATAAGAAAGTACACCTAATCATTCACAATTTGTATTTCCATAACGTAAAAGTTTTTTTATATAGGGTATGCTGCTATACTAATGAAAATAAATGTCCATTGCTATACCATTACAAACAGCATCTCCTACATCCCAAGATCCATTTTTGTTGTCATGGCCTTCTATAGTATCATCGCAAATTGCTGTTGGTGTTCCAGACATATAATATCCTTGATCACATCTAAGAGAACATTCTTCTTCATATATTTTGTCTCCAACACATGATGGAGAAAGCTCTCCATTAGTAAAATTTGTCTCTATTGGGCATGAGATAACTAAAAGGATAAAATTTCAATTTAAGCAAAATAACATGATAACCAAAACAATAAATAGCACTTGTAGAAATATTTCAAATAAAAATCATATTACTCTAGGTTCTAATATAATAGTATCAGTTGTAAAATGTTATTGACCTTCACACAAGCTTCCTTCGGTAGACCATGATCCAACTGTGTTGTCATCATCCGATGTTGTATCATTGCAAGTTGCAATTCCTGTTCCAATCATATAATATCCTTTGTCACATTCTAGGTTACATTGTTCTCCAAAGTCATTGCTTTCTGGGCATGACAAAGAAAGGTCTCCATGCTCGAATGTTAGATTGGTGTAACAAGTCACAGCTAGAAAAATTAAAATTGTATCATGCATTATAGGTTTTTGAAAATGTTTTTTAAAACGCAAAACTACCAAAAAAACATATCACTATAGTTTATGCATATTTCATGCTAATTTCATGAGATGTTGTAGTGTTTATTACAATACCCAAGCAAACTGCATCGGATGTATTCCATGTTCCATTTTTGTTATTGTCTTCAACTGTGTTGTCATCACAAGTTGCAATTGGTGTCCCCAGCATATGGTAACCTTGATTGCATTCCAGATTGCATTCATCCCCATATGTTTTGTTGCCAGTGCAACTTGAAACAAATTGCCCATGAGGAAATTCCAATTCCAGAGAACAGGTGGTGACTATTGTCAAGATAAAAAAAAACTAAAACTGATTGATAAAAATCAATGACTGCTCGAGTACAAGATTATCGTGTCTCAAATGCAATAGAAACACATGCACACACTTTTATATTTATTTATATATATTGTAAAGCAAACTAACCTAATCATATTTTAGGTAATATTCTATACAAAATCTAGTCTGTGTATACCTAATTAATTTTCAGACTTCTAATATGGCATTTAGGCTTGACTATTTAGTATGACAGTGGCGTGAATTTAGGCTTTTTTGATGCATATATTCGCTATCCTAAATGAAAGGCAGTTGATCGGTAGTTGAAATAAACATAACTAAACATTATATATCAAGTAAAATTTTAAATATTTTCAACAGCTCCACGGTGATAGACTTCATGTGTAAACTATTTTTTGTGAAATTTCATTATAATATTTAAAGTCACATACGGTACATAAAATGAATTCCTATGTCTCCTGATCAAAATAAAAGTCAATAAGCATTTGTCAAACAACAATCTCCTACACAATTATTAACTGTATTCAATTTCGTGGGAGGAAAAGAAACAACCAAAGCCCTCGCAATGACTGAAAGTTTGTAAATATTCATTATTTAATTTGCGTTCATCTCCAAAGCGGATGTGATGTTGAGCATGTATTTAGGTATCATCTCTGCTGCTTGAATAAACTATTAATTGTGCATAGAAAATTCAATTTACTTTTACATAAACTGTCCTCAATGTTCCATGTTCCATTAATATTATCATCATCTATCGTTGCATCTTCGCAAGTTGCTTCACCAATCCCAGACATATAATATCCCTGTTCACATTCTAAATTGCATGTTGCACCAAACGTCTGGTTTTTAGAGCACGATGAAGAGAGAGAACCATGTAAAAATACCGGATCAACCAAACAAATTACACCTGAAGCAAGTATATGAATACAAACATAATATTGTTTCTAAGCTAATGGATAAAAACATACCAAAGCCAACTAACAGCGGGTATTTTTTTTAATTTTTATACCGTTATATTACTGAAAACAATAGTTAAACTATACTTTTACAAACAGCATCCCCCACATTCCAAGATCCATTTTTATTGTCATCGCCTGCTATAGTATCGTTGCAAGTGGCTGTTGGCGAGCCAGATATATAATATCCCTGATCACATTCAAGAGAACATTCTTCTTCATAAAATTTGTCTCCAACACATGATGAGGAAAGCTTTCCATTTGAAAAGTTTAACTTGAGTGGGCATGAGATAACTGAAGAAATCAATGGTATAGTTTTTAGAACGTATAAAATAAATAAAACAGTAAATGATAATGATGTAAATCTTATTTTTAAAAGAATAATTTTATTTTATTTGAAGTCAATTTTTTGATAATAAATATTAACCTTCACACAAACTCCCTTCCGTAGACCATGACCCAATTGTGTTGTCATCATTGAATGTTGTATCGTTGCAGGTTGCTATTCCCGATCCAAGCATGTAATAGCCATGGTCACATTCAAGTTCACATTGTTCTTCAAACATATTACTCCTTGGGCAGGATGATGAAAGCTCTCCATGCTTAAATGTCAGGTTGTTGTAGCAAGTTACAGCTAAAACAAATTGAAAATGCTTCACAAATTATGTTCACCAATTCCCATGCTTTGTGAAAGTTGCGAGTCAACTAAGGTTTAAGTCAAGTCTGAGTCCCAAGTCGAGTCGAGTGACTGCATCTAGACTAAGGAAAAATATCAAGGCGTGTTGCTGCTGTTTCAGTACAGTATGATTTCATAAATAATAGGTAAAAAATGAGCTAAAATCACATTGACACTGAAACTCCTCTCGAGTTGAACCAGGGTTGCTTTGAAAATCAAAAGAGGATTTATTTATTCATTCACAACACTTACCTAAGTATCGACATGGTTTATTCATAGTAATTTGGGATTTTTCAAACTGAATTATGCAATAACACATAAACGGGAAACTTAAATATCAAGCAAATATTGTATTTTTCCTTTTAATTTTTTTTAGCCCATGTATGAAATATATAAATAATATTGCAAAACACAATACCCAAGCAAACCGCATCAGAAGTATTCCATGTTCCATTTCTATTGCTGTCTTCTATTGTAGCATCATCACAAATTGCAATTGGTGTTCCTAACATATGATAACCTTGATCACATTCCAGATTGCATTTATCTTCATGAGTTTTATTCCCAATACAGCTTGATACAAATCGTCCATGAGGAAATTCCAAGTCAAGAGGACAAGTAATGGCTATAGCAAAAAGGAAGGAACAAACAAATTATTGAATAATTATTACAAAATTATTAACGTGAGAAGGATACGATTATGGATGCAATTTTGTCACCAATAGATGATTCTGCATATTCCTATGTTAACAAATAAGAACAAAATTTTAAAATACTGTGGTTGATAAATAAATTCAGTGAATAGTTAATTTGATGAATACTTTTAATAGCTCATTTTAGTGCGATATGATGTAAATTTTTTTACCATCTAGCATTTAGAAAAAGAATGTTCCTGTATCCACTGGATGCAGGACAAATTTCCAACAAATTTTGAAACATTTCATTCACTGAAGATTTTTAAATTGCCAAATGATTGCAATAGTGAATGAAGTCACCTTCTAGTGATAAAAGCTCAAAAAACTTTATAACGATGTTTACAATAGATAAGACATATTCTCATGCATTTATTGAGATATAAATAAGATTCGGTTTACCTTCACATGAACTGTCTTCAACGTTCCATGTTCCATTAATATTATCGTCATCTATTGTTGTATCGTCACAAGTTGCTTCCCCTATTCCAGTCATATAAAATCCTTGATCACATTCCAACTTGCATTTTGCGCCATAAGTCTGGTTTTTAGAGCAAGATGGAGAAATAGCTCCATTTGAAAAAAGTGGGTCAACTGAACACACTACACCTGTAAATTTAAATATAGAGTAATTACATGACAATAAAAGAGTAATTTACTTTTTTCCCACACATAATCAAAAAATGTTTCTGTTGACATCATTTCTATTTTGCAAATTGTTTCTAGGGTTTTTAATGTTATTAAATACATTTATACTTTTACAAACAGCATCCCCCACATTCCATGATCCATTTTTGTTGTCATGGCCTTCTATAATATCATCACAAGTAGCTGTTAGTGTTCCAGACATATAGTATCCTTGGTCACATTCAAGAGAACATTCTTCTTCATATATTCTGTCTCCAACACATGAAGGAGAAAGCTCTCCATTAGAGAAATTCAACGTCGGTGAACATGAGATAACTAAAAATGAAGTAATAATAATTAGCAGTTTTAAAGATTAGTGGTATAGTATAAATAGTTTGCTGTTTGATAGTTTATACGATTTAATATTGTGAAACCGTTTATGAAAATAAAAATAAAATATTTGGAAGAACTTTACTTTAATTTTTTAATAATTACCTTTACACGAACTGCCATCGAAAGACCATGTTCCATTAGTGTTGTCATCTGTTAAGATGGTGTCATTGCAAGTTGCTACCCCTGTACCCAACATATAATATCCTTGGTCGCATTTCAAGTCACATTGTTCCCCAAACGTGGAGTTTCGGGAACAAGAAAGTGAAAGCCATCCATTCTCAAAAATCGGGTCGTCATAACAACTCACATCTGAAATAATGTAATATTATATCAGAAATTTTACTATTTATAATATCTATCGAACTATAAGAATAATTTTTTTTTAATTTTCAAATGGTCCAGATTTTTTTGCCGTTGATTGCATTATTACCAAAACACGCAGCGTCGCTTGTATTCCATGTTCCATAAATATTATCGTCGGTGGCATTAGTATCAACACAAGATGCAGTGTATGTTCCCGTCATGTAATATCCCCGATCACAGATTAGATCACATTGCTGTTGATATGTCTTGTTTCCAATGCATGTTTTATCAAATCTTCCGTTAGCAAACTCAATGTCGGAAGAACAATACACGACTAAAATAGTGGTAAAACAATTCAAGATAAGAAGAAAATTTTTTAATATATAAGTAGCAGACAGAAAAACACCGCATTCAAGAGGAGGGCAGTCGATTATCTTAGCTAAGAAAGAAAAAATGGTGATAGTATATATAGAGCTAAAGTCGCATTGGTTTTTTGTATAATTTAATATTACATCAGAGGCAATGAAAATTGTATATAACTAAACTATCATAATATATAATTGCTATTCACTTTCACATGAACTTCTTCCAAACTCCCAAGTTCCAATTGTATTGTTATCAGTTGAAGTGGAGTCATTGCAAGTTGCTATTCCTATTCCCGACATATGATATCCTTGATCGCATTCCAAATCACATTGATTTCCAAACGTTGTGTTTTCAGTACAATCAACGGAAAATTTCCCATTCGGAAATTTTTGATCATTACCACATGTAACAACTGAAATACATCCACGAGTTAGGCGAAAATAACTTTTTATACTCAATAATTTTTTTTTTCCTATGTATTCATGTATTCAATACATATTTTCAATGATTTATCGCATCATTACCAATACAAGTAGCATCGCCAGTATTCCACGTTCCATTTCTGTTGCTGTCTCCCTCTATATTATCGTCACATGTTGCTGTTGGAGTTCCCATCATATAATAACCACGATCGCATTCTAAATTGCATTTTTCTCCAAATGTTTTGTTACCATCGCATGTTTCAGTAAATTTTCCACCAAAAAAATCAATGTCAAGAGCGCAGGATACAGCTTGGGAGAGACATTAAATACAATTAAATGCTTTATTCTTTAGCAATTGCACATTTTCGTCAACTATAAATTTATACATAGTCCAGCGTATAAAAAAATTAAAATAAATGTACTGAATAAATATTTCAAATTATAATAATGAAGAACTTCTGAGAATTGGAATGATAATTCACCTTCACAGATATTTCCCTCGACAATCCATACTCCATTTGGATTATCGTCATTTATTGTTGTATCATTACAGGTTGCTTTCCCCCTTCCCGACATAAAGTAACCTTTGTTGCAAATGAGATCACATTCGTCATCAAACTTGTTGGTCCCGTTGCATGTTGATAAAGCTCCATTGGGAAATGTAGGGTCAACTGAGCACACAACAGCTACAACAAGATTTTTCATGATAATCGACTCGACTCGATAACGTGAACATAAACAGAAATCTGTTACGAACTGAAGAAACACGAGGATGGCATATATGAAGATTTAAACTTCTAGATCAGGAGTTCTCAACCGTTTTCTGTTAAATACCCCCGACTCAGGAAAAAATCAACCCGAACCCCCAGTAATCAGACACCAAACGAAGTTGTAATATATTGACTAACAAATCTTCGTGTTGAGGTTATTGCCCTTGTTTTCTTTGCCTAACTAATGAATACTTAAAATCTCACTCTTAATTTTCTAGCCATGCTTGTAGCACATTGTCTTTTGGGATTTTACGATTTGGCTGCAAAGCCGTTGTTGCGTCACAACAAACAAGACCAGGGAAAATCTACGCTGAGTTTCAATCGGCACGCATTTTCTTCTGGTAGTAAAGGATATTAAAAAATAGCAACACATGAAAATACAACTGCCATCCAAGTACCCCTTGAAATCTTCCTATGAACCCCAGGTTGAGAACCCCTGTTCTAAATAATTCAAGCCACCCCATCAGATTTGCTGTCACTTGGAAACAAAGTTAATCGTTTGATTGCAAAATAACTTGATATACAGCATTAATGATTTAATCAAAAAACCCTAGGTAGAGTCCAACTGAAATGATGTTTCGCGTTCTTCTTTCGCCACTTGTAAACATATGAAGAACTTATACATATAACGTCGCTCAACCTGCTAATATTTTATTTTGATTTCAAAATCTATCAACAAAACTTCAAATTTTATTCGCAGGCCGTACAATTTGAAAATTCTGCAGCTGGAAGTTTTATGACTTGCAAATTAAAGTAAACTAGATCAATTCGTTAAATTCTACCTATTGTTGAAACAATGCTGAATTTACCTTCACAAACGCTTCCCGTGGTATTCCATGACCCGTTTACGTTACTGTCATCTACTGTAAAATCGTCGCAGGTTGCTTTCCCAATCCCTGACATATAATATCCCCAGTTACATTTCAGATCACATTCATTTTCGTATATTTGGTTCTCGCTGCATGATTCATCCAAACTGCCGTTTGTAAAGTTTAATTCCAGAGGGCACGAGACAACTGAAACAAATGATAAAAATGTGGGATGTTAAACATCGACATGATGAGTTTGATAAACAGAGAAGATACATTCATTTAGTAAATTACAATATATATCACGAAAACGCAAAACAGAACCCCCTACCTTTATACTGTAGAAACATAAATTATACTTATAAAAATGTGCTTATAAAAATACTCGACATACAATTGTCAATGAGAGATTGCCAACGACAGCTCGAATCTCGAGTGTGCTTTGATCATGTCAAATATCTTTGCATTTTGTTATTACTTTGAAATATTTCGTCGCCCCTGACAGGCCCACCATTTGAGAAATGCTTTTAATGCAGTATTTATTTACGCTTGTACCTTGTCTAATTGCCTACCCTTTCTTATTAAGTGAACTATTATATCACCTTGGCAGTAACTTCCTTTAGTATTCCAGGCCCCATTTACAGTGTCATCAATCGGTGTTGTATAATTACAGACAGCTATTCCTGTTCCGGACATATAATACCCTCGATCACATTCCAGGTTACACTCCTCTTTGTACGTCTTGTTTCCAGAGCATGACGAAGATAATTGGCCGTGTGGAAATATAGGCTCAATTTTACAGGCTACAGCTGAATGTAATTAGTACAAAAGGTTGATATTGCATAGCAATAAATATTCAAGATGACTGTTAGATATATTAAACGAATGTTGTTATTAGTGGATTTCTTTTTGAAACATAAGTTTGTTGTTATCGTATGTTTGCATGCGGGCAGCACTAAAGCCATATGAGAGAATTTAAGTATGTATACCTTTACAAACAGCATCTCCCGTGTTCCAAGTGCCATTTTTATTATAGTCTTCAATTATGGCGTCATCGCAAGTAGCTATTGGTGTCCCAGCCATGTAATACCCATGATCACATTCAAGTTCACATTTCTCTCCATAGGTCTTGTTCCCAGTACACGTTGGGGCAAATCCACCATTAGAGAAGTCAATATCGGCAGAACAAAACACAGCTAAAAAGCAGTTTTTGATGAAAACGGCATTAACAATATAACCACTTGACTTTTGAAATAAATTTTCGGGGCTTAAAATATTGACTACTCAAAGGCAATTGCTTAAAATCTTTTTTTTATTATTCAATTATAAATTTGACTATACAAAAAATTTCCCTTATTGAAACAAATGTTTTTGATTAATTCAAATATATAACCTGTTACATGTTTTCATTTCACATTTAGGAATTAATAAACCGCATATTTTAATTTGCCAAAACTTGTAGTAAATTTCTCAATGCTTTTTGAGTCTCGCTGATTGAAATGAGTTTCCCAGCTATTTATATACCTTTTTATAGTTATAGTTTATTCTTAAACAAAAATATGTGCTAAAAAAATGTGCTAAAGAACGAGCTGAAACATTGTGTACCTTTGCACAAAACTCCACCGAGTGCCCATGTTCCAATCTGATTATCGTCCTCATTTGTTGTATCGTTGCAGCGCACATTTCTTTTTCCTGACATGTAGTAACCGATGTTACAAATCGCATCACATTCATCGTTGAAGTTGTTTGATTTGCATGACGAAGAGATGGATCCATTAGGAAATGTTACATCGAGTGGACAAACTACGGCTGTAAATGATATCAACCATATGTTAAGTTTGTTCAACATGTTAACTAAAATCTGAAGATAATAAATAATTATGATGAAAATTATATTGATCTCGTTTGGGTTGATGGTTAGAGTTTTCGGACTGCGCTTCCTTCTAATCTAATTTAGCTTGAAGAAAATAGACAATTCGCGGAGTTTTCAACTTAATTTAAAATTCAATTATTATTTCCATGCTTCCTTGTACAAATGCGTCAGTCACCGCCAGATAAAAAATATTATTTGCAGAAACAATTTATTAATCATTACTTCGTTTAAAAGCACATCTTGTTTTCAATAGAAGTAACGTGAGACAGTGACTAAAGTGGTAAAATTTTTATGACATGATTTTATCAAAGCAAAACATAAATATACATTCACAAACAGTCCCATCGCTGTTCCAAGATCCATTCCTGTTATTGTCATTTGTTAAAAAATCATCGCAAGTTGCCTTTCCTGTTCCTGACAAATAATAGCCTCTATAGCATTCTAAATCACATTTTTCTCCATATGTTTTGTTTCCATTACATGTTGCTGCAAGCGTTCCATGTGTAAACTCAATTTCAGGAGAACAAGATACAGCTGAAATGTAAGATACATCGTTTGTGAGTCAACTGTGAAGGTTAGTTTGTGGACTCTTTTTCATCAACCGAACAGCATACTAATGTTGTTATCTTTGTAGAAATATTTGTATTTACTTTCACACGAAGCGTCTCCAACAATCCATACTCCATTCTGATTATCATCACTTAAAGATGTATCGTTGCAGAGTATTTCTCTCGTTCCTCTCATGTAGTAACCCGTGTTACAAACCAAATCACATTCGCCTTCATATGTGTTTGATCCGTCACATGCCAAAGATATGGAACCGTTTGGAAATGGTAGGTCAAGTGGACAAACCACAGCTGTAAAAAATTTTATAAAGTTATACACCAGTTGTAAATATTTTCCACCACCAGTTGTTTTAACACAACCAAAACTATGGTGCAATAACATGATCATCATACGATCGTAGCATAAGATCATCATTGATTTCGGCTACACTTCAGATATAAATATTAGCAAGACAATTTCAAATTCAATGAAATAATAGTAAATTCAATAATCAATATACCTTCTTGATAGTTTTTACCATGGAACATTTTCATTTTCAATTATTAGCCTTCGGGTACAGATTGATTTTTAGCCAACTTTTAACCTATTTAAGATCAATCGTGTGAAATGAAAACGCTGATCTATGTCGTTGGATTATTAGTGTCTGTGAATAAGTTGTTCGAGTCAGACTTTTAATTTGATATAAATGAAATTTTTTTCTCCACACTCGCTTTTGTAAGGTGTATACTTTAATGTGGACATACCTTCACAAATACTCCCGTCAGTATTCCATGAACCATTTAGATTGTTATCATTGATGATATAGTCATCGCATGTTGCTATTCCAAAACCTGACAGATAATAACCAAAGAAGCAAACAAGATCACACTCTTCTTCGTAAGTCTTATTTTCGATGCACGATGAAGATAGATTACCATTCAAAAAGTTGATTTCCAACGAGCATGTCACAGCTAAAATGCAGGGTATAGTGCGTTTAAAATAAGAAACCAAGGTATTGGCCATCGCTTCACTATTTTAGGCAGTAACTATTTTTATACAATTAATTTCCTAATTTGTGATTTTCTATTATTCAATTGACAACTCATTCTTACGTGTGCCGTATTTGCGTTAGTACCTTTGCATGAATTATTATCTACATCCCATGTTCCATCTGAATTGTCATCAAGTAATGTCAAATCGTCGCAAACTGCTTTTCCTTTGCCCGACATGTAATAACCTTTATCACACTTCAGATCGCAATCGTTTTGAAAACTGGTGTTCGTGGAACAATGAGTAGAAAGTTTTCCGTTCGTAAACATTGGATCAGTTGAACAAACCACAGCTGAGTGTTATATCAACCAATTGATTATCGAGATAAAAATAGCACTTTTGCAAATTCAGATAAAATTTTGAAAAATATCGATACCTTCACAAGAAGTGTCACCTGCATCCCATGTGCCATGCTTGTTACTATCGCCACTTGTCGTATCATTGCAAATCGCCATTGGATTTCCCACGATGTAGTAACCCTGATTACATTCCAAACCACATGTTTCAGTATAAACTTTATCTCCCGTGCACGAAGAAGAAAGTCTTCCGTTAGACATTACATTATCAGGAGGGCAAGAAATCACTAAATGTAAGTGTTGTTTTTATTATTATATTGATAAATAATATTAATAGACGATTGAACAAATATTTTCATGGGAACGAAACTGCGTTTTAGGGCATTTTCCTTCCCGAAAAGCCCCCACCTTCACAAGAACTTCCAGTGGCTGTCCATATTCCATCAGTGTTATCATCTTCTACTGAGATATCATCACAGGTCGCTTTTCCCAATCCAGACATATAATAGCCTTCATTACATTTCAAATCACATTGCTCTTCGAAAGTTTTATTGCCAGTACAGCTTTCATCAAATCTTCCGTTGCCAAATACAAGATCGTAAGAGCAAGAAACAGCTAAAATAAAAAGTTAATATTCATATATATACACATATTAATTTTTTTAAATTCAATTTAATTAGAATAGTTAGCAAGACTTTTCCTGGTGTTATTGTGTTACGTATCTGAGCAAAAACTGAATTAACTTGGCTTTGTCCAGATATTTACAGAATATAAAAATTGTCTAGCAAGTAATAATTGTTTATTATATATAAGGCTCTAACCAATGTAACTGTTGTGAATTAGTAAATTAGTAAAGGCATGTAAACTCTGGTGCCTTTGGTATACGTTTGATTAGCTAGCTGATATACTTTTAGGGGAGATATAGTTGAGGTAAATAGTGAAATTTTGTGACCACCTTCGCAAAAACCGCTTAACACAAGCCACGTTCCGACTTCGTTGCTGTCATCCACCGTTGTATCATTACAAAATGCCTTGCCGGTTTCTACCATATAGTAACCACGGTTACAAACAAGGTCACATTCTTCCTCGAAAGTATTTGATCCGTGGCATGTTGAAGATAATTTTCCATTTGGAATCAAATAGTCGAGTGGACAAGCTACAGCTACTCGAAAAAAAAACATGCGTATTTTAGTAATATAATACCTTGAATTGAAAAGAGGTAGAACAGAATGTCTACGTATTATTATTATTTGAAAATGGGTTACCCGCACAAACTGTTCCAGAAGTATCCCAAAATCCATCCATATTGGTGTCGTCTGTTGGTGTCATGTCATTACAAGTAGCCGTACCTATTCCAGATACATAGTATCCCCAATTACATTCCAAGACGCATTCCTCTCCATATGCTTTATTTGCGCTACATGACGAAGAAAATCGCCCATTGGAGAAGCTTAGCTCCAAATCACATGTTACAGCTAGATGTAGAATACAAAAGATAAAATTAAAATAATGTTGTTAGCAATAAAAAAAATCATCCCGATGATGCAAAATACCACCTGTACATTCTGCCACGCCAATGCTCCAAGTCCCATTCTGGTTATCGTCTTCTATAGTTGTATCATTGCAAGTTGCAACATCTTCAACCGACATATAATAACCATGATCACATTCCAGATCACATTGTTCTCCGGTCTTTTCATTTCCAGTGCATTCAGATACCAGGTGCCCATTGTGAAGAATTTGTGTTATTTGACATGTAACAGCTAAAAATTAACCCCGACATTAACGTATTGGCCATTATTTTCAAAATTTTGTTCAGCTATTTTACAATATCTTAATGATTTTATGATATCATCGTTATTTAGATTGAGATCTCATTGAACACAGTGAAAAGGCGTTTGGACGTCCCCTCGTCACGGATCGCAAACATTTTTATGCATATGGATTGCCTGTGAATGAAAGTACGGTTCACCCAGAGAAGTTTTGATGGATATAGTGTGAATAATATCTAAAAACGTACTTGGGCAAAAATTGTCTAAAGCATAAACAACAAAATCTTCATATATATAGGCGTCAATTACTTTTAATGGAAGGCCTGTTGGAAAACTCTACTGTGAAACTGTCACCCGAAAATTTGATATTCTCTGAAATTTTGCCTTTGGGAATCTAATAAAAAAAAAAAAAACTAAAAAAGGTGTGTGGAAAGGTTCACAAGATAGTAATGTACTTAGTAATAACAAAATATGGTTGACAGTCTCTAACATTCTTTTCACTCATTTAGCGAGTATAACATTGAATATAGGTACAAGTTACGGAGATGAGTGTCATGTTTAAAAATCGGAAGTTATATATAGAAAGATTTGATTTTGTCAGCCTAAGTAAACATCAAAGCAATAGCAAAATAAAAAAAAAGATACTGAAAAAATGTTGTCTATCCTGATGTAACGCAATGCCACTCTTTAAATGTCAGCTCTTACAAACTCCATCTAAATCGTGTTTGCTCGTATAAATTTCAAGATAATAGGTATTAGTACCATTTTCTATACGAAGTGAACCTATGTATCATTTTTGTTGTAAAGTTTTGTTAGAAACAAATATTGCATTTATTTCAACAATCGTGGTATCAAATATTCAGTAGTTATAAATAAATCTCGCTTCTAGAAGATACAGTACATACAACCTTTGAACTTTGCTCTGAACTCGCCGAGAACCGATAGGGTTGGTAATGTACCATAAATATACAGCCAAATTCTGCATATACCGCAATATACATATCATATACAGTCAATACTATATGTACGTACAGAGAACTCAACTTTTATATTTACATCATAAATGGCTGTGCTGTATTTGTCTATTGAGTTGGCTGTTTGTACATATGACATTAACTTTTAATTGGATATTTGATTGGTTCTATATCTATATAAGGCTGTACATGCATGGTTTAGCTGTATTTGTATATCAAGACCTGATGTTTCGTCCCCAAAGTTTGCTAGTTTTAAAATACAACACTAATATGTGCACTTTGCTTTAATCAACTTTACCATGCCCCTTTGCTTATTTATAGAAGATGTATGATGTTCTTCTTTGCGTAATTGATCTATTGGTATCTTCGAGCACTGCTGCACACTTCGCATTCGAACATTGGGCGTCGTAGATACAACCCGGATTCAAGCATTCATTTTTTTTTTATTATAAAATTTTTCAATTCTCACCCTTGCAAATGGAGCCATCGGTATTCCAATTTCCCTCTGGATTACTGTCGTCTATTGTGAAATCGTCGCACATTGCTTCTCCATCTCCGGACATAAAATATCCTTGATTACACCCTAAATCACATTTTTCTCCGTATGTTTTGTTTGCAGTACATGATGGAGCAAGCCAACCATCTGAGAAACTTATTTCCAAGGAACAAGTCACGACTGTAATATATAAATGGAATTCGATTAAGAAAATTCAAAGAATTTGAGGAATGATTCGTTGAAACTTCATTTGTTTGGATTTGTCTTGCGTGAACTATAGTACATTGAAGCTGCATGAAATTGTAAAAGAAAACTGAAGTGACTCACGCACGATGTCGCATTTTCGAACAGAATTTATATCTCTAATTTATAGACGACGAAAATGTGACAACTCGACTCCGTGCCAACTCCTCCATAAACTGGCCCTATTACTATGGGTATAACTCCAATGACGTAGTTTTGACAATTTTGTCTTTGCTATATATTTTAATTGCTATAAAACTCAACAGTTTCCGCTGAAAAATCTCACATAAAAAAATTCAAGCAGGCACGGAATTAAAATAAATATTTTACATAAAATACACTGAATTTCGTCAATATGATTTTACATAGAGCTGAAATATTGTAACATTGTTTATTTTTAGCTTCGACAAAATACCAATATCGGGCAAATAGGGCTTCAGTAACTAGCGATTCGCTTTTATTAACCTTTGAGAATCAGAAATTTAAATTCAATTGAAATAAGCTATGCTATATAATTTAATACACCTAGAAGGTTATAAATGTTGAAAAAACTAATATGTTCGTGGGTGGATCATCTCCGTCCAAAAGCCTCTCATTTTGATAGTTTGGGTATTTCAACAGCCCCGCGTATAGCTATTTATTGGGCAGTCACGATTGAAAACTGTTTTCAATTTCGTGCGAAGAATGCTATTGTACCTGCACATTCTGCACTACCAATATTCCATGTTCCAAATTCGTTATCATCTTCGGTAGTGGTATCATTGCAAATTGCAACACCTTCGACTAACATATAAAAGCCCTGATCACATTCCAAATCACATATATTGCCATGTATCTCTGCACCAGTGCATGCCGAAGCGAGGCGGCCGTTGGAAAGTACTTGCGACCGACTGCAAGTGACATCTAAGAGCAAAACAAATCCTGGTTAGTTGAAAACAAATATATTCTAATAATGCTGAAATTAAGTTAGTTAGCACCGTGTGGTAATTGGGTCGGATGTGTAAGGCAGTAGCCTACTTATTCAGTTGTGGGATTCAGGAGGTTCGCGCTATCCCGTTCGCGGAATCAGCGAACGCGTCTTTGTTTTTTCGTTTAAGACATTAGACTGGCCGACCGCAGCAATTGGACAACCCACACCGAGCTTGAAGTTTAGTGTTATATTAGGCGTTTTGAAAGTGATTTATTTTATTTGTGTAGAGTGTATTATGTTAACATGTATTTTACGCAGAAATATATATACATACTATTCCAAAATGGAGGAACCTGTTGTCAGTGAGTTCAATACAAAAGAAAACTCATTTTTAAAATTTCGAATCTCATCACTGCTTATATCAGTAGTTTTGGCTGAAATGTTTAGATGTATTTTCTGAATATCTGACACTGTTACCTGATACACTCCTATTTCCGAATACTATTGGACAGTTACAAATACAGGCCAGACATGTTACAGTTATTGATAATGATTCCACGAACGAGCAACCATGATGGCTCAATCGCTTTTCTTTACTTCGTAAAGGCATTAATATCTTATTAATAGATTTAAGTCCGAGTCCCGGAAACATACTGAGTTTCCAATAAAGTTTAGAATCTTGAAGTAAACAAGAGAGCAATGCTCAAATATATTGATACGAAGGTCAAAACGAAGTTTTATCGAATCCCATAGAGCCCACAGAAATTCGAGTGAATAAAATAATACCCTTCTAGCAAAAACAACAATCTCACTGGAAATTTCAAAGAAATTGATTCAGAAGCTAGAGAGAAAAGATGTTCAAGAAGAAGAATATCAACAATAACATAATAACAAAACGGCCCATAGGTCCACTGAGTGTCTAGTAAATTTCGACCTCATTGCAAAAATTTTACCTTTACACGAGCTTCCGCTTGTATCCCATATACCTATTGCATTGTCGTCTGCTGTCGTTGCGTCTTCGCAAGTCGCAATTCCATTTCCTGACATATAGTAGCCTTGATCACATTTTAAATCACAAGTTTCCTTAAATATTTCATCTCCAACACACGATGAAGAGAGGTATCCATTAGCAAATGTAGGAGGATTAGAACAAATGACAGCTGAAAATAAGATTTGCAAATTTATTCAAAATCAAAATGTACAAACAAACGTAACAGTTCTGCGTAACCTATTTTGATCTCATGGAAGCGGGGTTGAATCTGCTCCAAATTTCGCATGTGCATTCATCATAGCTCGGATCAGAAGCCTAGGGATTTTGGATGGATTATGTCTTATAATTAGCGAGTTATTAATTAATTAGTAATCGGACACACGGTGTCACTATGGAGTAAGACCACTGTTTTAGGGGATCACCTAACCTTCGATCGATAAGTCTTCGGTTTCTAACCGATATTCTAGTTTTTTAATCGTTACTTCTTTAGTGAGTTTCCTTGACGTTCATTGAGCTTTGGTTTTTGAATAGGTTGCACAATTTGTGACATAGGTCAAACAGTACTATTTCGTTAGGTGTCTACAGTATTCATGTACACATTCTTGACAATGTAGTGGTTTTAATGAGTTCAATTTCGTCCGAGTAAGGGTATAATTTGCTATGAGGTAAATTTGGGAATACAGGTTTACCTGCTGTAGTAAGTATCTTTTCGTCGCGGGTTAATCGAAAAAATAGTGGATATGTGTTTTGAAAGTACCTTCACAAGAACTGTCTCCGAAATCCCACCTTCCTATAGCATTGTCCTGGTTTGGCTGTTGGTCAATACAAGTTGCTGTACCTATTCCAGTCATGTAATACCCCTTATTACATTCCAAAGTACATTGGCCACCAAAAGGTTTAACACCTGCGCATGATGGACCTCCGTTGATAAATACCATCAAGTTTGTGGTACACGTCAGAGCTAAACAAAATTGTATATAGTTAGATGGACTAGAGCAGGGGTGCGATGACGCCACTCGTTGAAAAAGCCAGCTTTTTCAGCGAATAATGATTTTTTATGTTGCTTAAGATATTCAACCAATGACCGATACGAGAATTTTAAATGTCTCTTTATATCGATTTATTTGTGCTCGGCGTCACTCGGTATTGCGTAGACCTACGACAAAATAAAAGAATCAATTCTACAGTTAAATACCACGGCAATCTGCAGACTTGAACATACGTGGTAAACCTGTCCGATCATCATAATCCGATAAAGAGCCGAGTGCGACCCCGACGGTAATTCAAGAAGAAGTAAGAAGGCACAACGTGGGCATAAATAATTATTTCACATCGGTAATTGTGATATAGCTTCCAGCAGAGCAATTTAATTGTTAAATTTCAGCGATTCACGATATCCAAATTTTTATCTGTCGCGGAATCCGAAAACAAAAGTTACGGTGATAATATTTTATAACACCGTCCTCAGTTTTAGTAACTACTCTCTTATTTTCAGTCGCAGATTCATTCTATTATTATATGAAGCGTCTCGTCACCGATGATCGCAAAATAACGAGTTTTTCACTCTGGACGCACAAGTCCGGGCGGAAAAAACAATTATTGACGTATTTGAGACACAAAACAACGTACGTGTGTGAGAGGATACTTGTGAAATGGGGAGAATTTCCAAAAATATAGTTTACAAACACAATATCGATGTTAACGGCCTAAACGACCACATCAAGCTGTCCAAAACATTCAGTGACTTGAATAAAATTAGCAAAATCATTGTCAAAACTACGATTCTTTAATTATCCCTGAAAAGGCCTGTTGTCGATGATCACTTAACTTACGGTTTTGTTTGATTAAACGTGCAGTTGTGCTAGAAATAAAAAAATTTATATCCTATGTCCGCTGCGGCCTGCAAAGTAATAAACGTTGATGATTAATATCAGCAATTATAACGTAATGGGCAAAAGTTAAAAAGACGTTGCGCTGTCGCTGATACTAACCACTAAAAAAATTTATTTTGTAGATTTGTTTAAATTTCACCATTTTATGAACGTTTTTGACGAAAGACAATAACACATATCAATGATTACCAATTCTATAATATACATACAGCTCATAAAAGATCTCGACCCACTGGCGGCCCCAAGCCTTTTACAAAAACGTAATGCGGCCGTCTAAAGAAAAAGGTTGTGCACCCCTGGACTAGAAGATTGATATCTAAAATTTGTGCGATTTGGAAACATACCCAGTCCTTCGTATTTGAGAAGACAAGGAAAACTTGATCGATGAAAACGGAATTTCAACCCAATTTTACTGCTTAATTCCACACATCCTCAGTGGAATTGCGCCTTTTTAGGGATAGATTCAAAAAATTCAACATTATGATAATAACAATACAATAATTATAATACAATTGATTATCTAATCAAATAGTACCTCGACAATCGGAGCTGTCGACATTCCATTCTCCAATACCGGGAGTTGTTTCCTCGCAAGTTACAGCAGCGGCTCCTAACTGATAATATCCTTCATTACATTTGATTGGGCATTCACACCCGACTGTCGCATTAGCACAACTCGCAGAAGGCCGTCCATTCTCGATTACTGGGTCAGATGAACAAACAGTAGCTGAAATGAGTGTAACAAAAAAAATTCGAATTTATAACTCAACTACGAGATTATAACCTTTAAGAATAAGCTTGCTATACTAGGAAATGACACATAGGTTAGATCCAACTGTATAAAAAAATTTCATAACCGAAGAACTAAATTTAAAGAAATGACATGGCAATGTAATCGTCTTTACGTTTTTTCTTTTTTTGATAAAATTTTATAGGTCGTCTTTGATCGGTGAAAAGATGTTTTTTGAAAATACTTAAACTGCAAAAGGGTTTTCATTTCCCATTCAAACACGTTCTAAGGAGAAGGATGTGAATGGTGAAGGTATAATATATTCTGTTGAAGCAAGGCTGCTTGCTATAAGGGGGAACGGGTATGGATAAATTGAAACGGAACACTGGGTATCTCGGAAAGGTGTTATATATACAAAAAACAATGCTCTAATATATGTCCATATATTACCATGGTCAAATAACTTTCCAAATGTCAACGCAATCCCAGCTAAATGCTGAAAGCAATTTATCAGATGTCATATAGCAAGGCTCCCGTGAATTCAAATAACAGCAAAAGTTTAGGTGCAATTCAAAAACTAAAAAAAAGTATCAGTCTTCTAGCGAATTTTCCATATTAAAATTAAAAATTTGAAATTGATTGTTCCATTAGTTGCGAAGAAAGGCGACGACAACAACAACAAACCCAAGCATTCCAACAAGGCTAACAGAAAAAACAACAATTCAGCAAGATAATCCACATGTCAGCCCACTTCGTGTTCGATAATTGTAAAAGCATATATATATAAGACAAAATAAAAGAAAACCTTGAATTCTTCCGCTGAACAACTTTGTTATAAATATCACGAGAATGAAAAGTCTTGCTGAAAGTACATTGTTGCTGTGCATCATCTCATTCCTTTGTCACTTTAATACATTTAAAGTCATACATAGTAATCTGAAATACGCTGTTTTATTTCAATTTCTTATTATCGGTTATCTGTCGTTTTCGTTGAATACCATATTGAATAAAAAAAAAATAACAAATGATTTCACATTCAAGTTTATGCATTTATGGGTATTGTTTTGTCTACGTATACTCAGATATACGTTTGGCAGGGGGTATTGTTGCATGACTCGAAAAAAATAAAATAAGAAATCGGTCCATGTTTAATTAACTGTTTCAACTCTAATTTCTTTTCATTTTAAATAAACCAAAAATTCGGGGCTATTTTAGTCATTTTAACTTTTGCAGCTATAATGATTAAAACAATATTTTTTAAATTAAAATTTTAAGGTAGTTGATAAAGCTTTGGTATATAATAAGTAGCCAAATTATCTGCTCATAATATTTCTTTCCTATTGCTGCCAACACAAAGCAGTATATTCGTCGTTCATTTGTAAAAATGATCTTCAGGTAAACCGAAACCTTTTTATTCTAAGAATTCATCGATATCCTTCCCCACTTGCATCTTGCCACCCACATATACCTAATCTGTTTGCTTCAAGAATATTATTTTTCAGAACATGCCTACATATCACACTGGATCAACAACAAGAAATCAACAACATGGTGATAAATAAGCAATACAGATTTTAAAACATCTTTTGATTGTGGTTACGACATAAGTGAATATACTCTTATAAATAAATACAATCGTGATATACACAGCAACCCCGCAATCTATTTGTCGTACGTAAACGATTAGGCTGCTGGTGAATGAGGAATACGAGTGAAAGAATACAAATATTACTTGAAATAATAAATGACAAAGTTTTTGAGCCTTAGTTTTATGTTTTAGTGTGAAGTTTTCTTATTTAACGGCGTCGTGTTGGAAAATCTTTAGATGCGAGATTTGATCTTACAATGTTAAGCACGCCAACTACACCCTAAACATCTCGTTTAGCTATGATGTAAATGCGATATATAAATTGCGTAAATATTGCAAAAATCTGAACATAGCGACTAAAAATAAGGCACACACAAAATCTAATAAAGACAGTATATGCATTTGTTCATCATTGGCGACATATCCTTTTCTTTGTACAACCATAATTTTCAGAAATTACTTTCACTCTTAGTGTTTGTTAGACAAACAATCTAATCCTTACCACGATGAGTATGTCAGTTAGGAAATACGATAATTTAAACAAAAATGAAGCAAAATCAATATCTCTGGAAGATATTATATTTGATCTGCAATAACATTGGGGTGCATAGCCTCGACAAAGCACGCACGAGACGCTAAGAATTCCCGAATACATAGTGTTTCAAAACAAAAAACACAAATAAATATGAAATATTGCGAACAAAGTACTGACACAAAATTGTCATTTTGAATGAGGATATTTGCTGCTTATTTTGAAAGCAGTGAATCGTAATCTGGCGTTTAATTCAAAAACATTCAACCTCTAAACTCCAATAATACATCATTTTTAACTTATCGTTCTTTCGCTTTTGATCATTTTTAAATCTATTTCACGCTGATGATGTACACCACCAAGTCCAACGCGAGAAAGATATGACGATGACAACTTTCGATTTTGTACCAATCTTACTAAAGGTAAAAAATACTCCTGTTTCTCCTCAACAACTGCTTTTTCAATAAAATAAAGATATTCTGATTTTTGACACTGAAGCTTTTTGACTGTCCATCTCAAGCTGAAGATCGTTATATTTAAATAAATATTTACTTATAATATAATATATTTATATGTTATAACCAAATTAATAGCTGGAATTTTTCTGGCTAAATAGATTTTCCAACCTATGACGTAATATTAAAAACTATATATTTGAAAATGAAAGCAGACATTTTGTAATATCGATATTATGAAATACTGTATATTGTTTGAATTCGGAACGATAAATCGTGGTATATCATGGAGGTGTATAAACACCTCAATGACCTATTTTCAGCGTAGAAGAATTTCTGGCTTCGAAAAACGTCATTGTTACATTTTTTAGACCAAAAGCGTAAATTAGATTGGTTGGAACACGAATCCAACTCATATTTTTTTGTTGTTGACCCTTGTCCACATTCGAGTCAACATTTCTCTCTTTATAATTTGTCTCCGAATACTATGACAAGTTGTCCCTGAAGTTTGCTACCCATACGACATCTTAAAATTGATGAGATTAATGTGTAGAAGTCTAAAACGTTAAGTTGTGGGGTATTTTATTTATTACTTTTATTATAGTCATTATAGGTACATAGATGTGTAAACAAAATATTGTTTCTCGATGATGTATGAAATGTACTTAATCAGCGAGAAATATGTTTGAAATGGACTGGAATACAAAACAAAGGTAGAGATTTGGATAGGGAAGGAAAATGATATGCTGTGAAGTTGACTGTTTCCGAATCACACGCTAAAACCTATTTGCCATTCAGATTATATTTGCAATTTTTTGCCATTAATTTGTTCGCAATAATATCTTAGTTATTCGTGGAATTGTATTGTGTATTTTGGCATTCGTTTCCTTCTTGTCTTCACATGTTTGGACACGAGTTGTACTTATGAATCGTTTTGTTATTAATATGTTGTTGTTCATGATGTTGTTAGCGTTTTTTAAGTGAGGAGCGCTTCACAATCACAATAGTGGGTGCCACCCTTTTATTGTGGCCTAAACCTAAACCTAAACTGTTGATAAACGACAAAAACGTCGCGCTGCTGTTGCGGATATGACCGACAAGGTCATTGAATATCAAATAATAACATCTTGCGGTAAATATTTATTTGATCTAGTTTTTATTTGAATGCCTTACTTATCTAACAAACTGATCTCGGTGGGGAATACGTTGTTTGTCGAACAAACACCAAATAATGAAAGTAATTATTGAGATTCATGCTTGAACGTTGAAAAGGTCACTTTGCCAATGGTCAGGAAATGAATATTCTGTTTTTACTAGATTTGATTTATGCGTTGTTTTCGGTCAATATGTTAAGATTTTTTATAGCAAATTTATATTATATTATTATATCTGAAAACGACAATACTGTCTCCTCAATTAAGTACCTGCCAAAACATGTTCTATTGGAGGGCTTCCAAACTTTTGAGCCCGCGGCCCCTTTTGATATAATAAAATTTTCGCGGCCCTTGTCTACGTTAATTATGCTAAACAGTTCGAAGTATGCATTTTTGATATTTTACTGACACAACTTTTAGTAGGCCTACTCAATAACAAAAACAAGCACATGTTTTCTCAGAGTAAGGTTATTCAATTATTCAATGTAATGGGTGCAAATGCTTTTCGCTGCGTAGCAAGTCCAGCCGTGGCCCAATGTTTGTTTATGCAGGCCTAAATGATGAATTACAATGTCAGGCCACCGACGGTCTGATCCTTATCCGGAATTGTTCTCTCTTATTGATCAAACTTAGCATATGGCATCGGTTTGTGGTCTGTGCGAATTTGATTTATATACACATTATTTGCAATAATGAGAAACATCAGAATATGCATTGTTATGCAAGCGCGATGATTCTACTGTGTTTCCCTAAAAATATGACCAAGACTGAATTTCAAAAATGGTTTTAACATAAGCGCTCCCCTTAACAAAGACTTCGTCGATAGCGCAATTGTTTTTACCTAGTCCAGTTTCAATTTTGCTAGAGCGTCGCAAAATTTTGTGATGGTGTTATAATAAATAAGTATATTTCTAAAAATTCGTTTTTTTTGTAGATAAAGATTATTTTTCTTTTATTTTTCAAGAAGCGTTGCGCACTCCCATCCCAGGCTTGTCCATAGGACATATTTTTCTGTCTCATTCCCATCCCATTGCAATTATGCTTGTCCCATCCCATGGGATTTGTTAATTTAGGTTTAGCGTCTACTAAATAGGACTATATGTACGATGAAACATGCAACACAACAAAAGTTACTTTAATTCAGATTTATCATACCATTATCATATCATGTGTCCATCAGCCCCTTCACGAAACATATTGTTAAGGCTGAATATATTTGCTCTTTATAACTAACAAGAAAGCTATGCTCAAATATATAGACACGAAGTCCATAACGAAATGTTTTACCATCAATTCCTGAAAATCATACGGCTTTCGTGTCCATGAGCAATACAAATGTGTGTCGGTCCATCCCATCCCACGGGACGTTTACCATGGAAATCCCGTTCCCATGTACAAGCCTGCATATTACCGAATACCTCATTATGGCCGGATTTAATCGGTGACGCAATTTCAATTGCAATAGTCTCTTTTGCCTTGCGGTGTCGATAGGGAAAATATTTGCGAAGAAACATGAGTACAGTAGTGATCCGAATCAAGAATTGATTGCTATTGGGTTATGTCAAATAGTGTCAGGATTCTTCCGTGGTCATTCGGGTGGAGGTGCATCAGCAAGAAGCGCGGTGCAGGAAAGTGGCATCGATTACTTCGCTTGTATCTTTCTTAGTGATGCTTTTTGTATTACTAGTTATCGGACCAGTTTTTGAAAGCTTACCTGTCGCTTGTCTAGCCTGTATAATATTAGCAAACCTGCATAATCTTTTCATGCAGTTTGAAAAATTACCTCGGCTTTGGAAAATCGATGAATATGATTTTTCAATATGGCTTCTCACATTCCTATTTGTCGTTCTTCTTGGCGTGGATACTGGACTAATTTTAGGAGTAATAATTTCTCTTTGCTGTGGCGGACTACGACAACGTATGGTATCGACCAAGTTCGTAGGTGCTCTGGATGAAACTGGGGTATATAGAGATGTGAATTTCTATCAGGATGCGCATGAAATACCAGGAATAAAGATTATACAATTTACGCAGCCTCCAACGTATGTCAACATGTCGTCATTGGAAAAAAATATTAGTAAAAAAGTGTCAAAAACCAGTGATTTCGAAACGATCGAAGGTGAAAATGACACTCCCATTAGCATCTATACAAGAAGATGTGCTCATGAAACTATCGTTGTATGGTATAGTAATGATGATGAGAAATTTGCAATAAAAATATTTCCTACAGTGTCGCTGGCTGTAGCGACCGCAAAAAGTTTTGCTGGAGTCAGAGCACCAAATATTTGAGACAGGATATATTCTTGAGTGAATATTGTTATGAAATATTGCAATATTTCAATTCTATCTCGGTAAATATATGTTAAAGTACTATATATATATAGAAGTGATTTGTATACATACTAACTATCAATATAGTATAACTGAGCTAACTCGAACAATCGCTGAGCTTTTGAACAATCTTAAAAAATCAGATTTTCATTACCATGCGCAACTGATGAATTGTAGCCCACTATAAAATGATGTAACTGTTTTAATCATGCAGAGAAATAACTCTTATATAAAAGGTTTTAAGAATATTTTATTTTGAAGAATTGTAATAAATTAGATTTATGTAGAAACTCTTCGTGATTTTTCTTAAAATTGTACCACAGAAATTTATTTGTTGTTGTTATGCAACTCTTCACGAACCAGATTAGAAAGTCTCTGAATTCCCTGTAAAATTTGAATTCAGTTTTTAATTCCTATTTACATCAGATTCGAAAACAATCTGTACGACCAGGGGCGAAAATGTTTTGTATTCTACCCAAGAAATGTTTGATTCGATAATTTATTTTCAGATTGAAATGCCAAGAAACACGGAAGTATATATGTGCCCACACATTATGGCGGTTGTTATATATATATGAAGCAATGTCTGACAGCATTGTGTTTGCACACTGCTGTGGTAGACTCTGTTGACATCTCCTATTTTGTTTCAGTTTGTTAAAATCTATGTTTCAATTGATTTTAACTTTTTATTCAAGATTAAAGGAGTAGCCAAGATTTTGGATGAGGTTTCCACAATTTAACTCCCATATTATCTGGGAAGATTTCGTAAACATTTGAAAATTGCTGCAACCAATAACTGCATAATTTTATGCGTAATTTCTCTCAAATTTGCGATATTTATAAATTATCCCGTTGCCTGATTTTCAAAAATCATGGAAGAACCTCATGTAAATCAGATTACGCTAGGTCGCTGGTTATGAAAGTTCAACACACCTCCTCAATATTTTCAGGTGATATGAGCGAAAAAGATAGTCTGCAAAATGATGATTTTGTGTTATCTTCTACATTAAAAGCTGATCCCGGAATCATAACAATCTCTTTTTCTATTATACCCCTCTGAACCAATTCCTTTGTGTCATCGATCCCGAATAATTTGAGCCACAAAAACATTCCACCTTCGGGAACATTCCATTCCGCTAATCCTGCAAAAAATGGAAGAAAATCAGTCTCAAGCTGAATATCACCATACCAGTATATAACATGAACTTTAATAAAAGATAGCAGTCCTGCTTTTACAGAAACGTATACGCAGACAAACATCAAAGACATTAATGCCTTCCTGACAGGACTTCGAAACATGTCACTGATCGATCAAACAAAATACCATTAAGAATACTCCAGAATATGACAATCGATGCAAAACTTCATATTTTAACTTTGAAGATAAATCATTAAAAAAATACCTGTAAGCCACTTGTTAGCGCTGGATATGATAGCATCTCGTTGTGATTTATAAAACTTTTTGATATCGGTTAGGTGATTCTGAAATCCGACAAATTTCCATTGTTCCAAAAGTTTCAATACGATCATCTATATGTGATAAAAAATAATTATAGCAATAGCTTTCTTCAGTATTAGTGGATAGCTGCTACAAACTCGCATTGGATATTAAAATATGTACCTGGATTAAAGTACTGTTGTGTTGCGTTGTCACCTCTTGATTGAGTATCAGCTTTTGAATAAAAGGTTTTGCTCCAGATACCCATCCTAGGCGTATTCCGGCCGATAACACCTTTATTAAATTAATAAATAACAAAGAATAATTATAACTTTAATTCAGAAATGCTAAACATATAGGTCAGGTTGAGGTTTGGCATAACAAAAGCGATTTAAATGTGCAGCAGCGTATAGAGTTTACATCAATGCGTTGCAATTCTGCCAATTAGAAGTCCAATTGTTTAGGAATATAGTGAGAGCATGATTGCGCATAACAAGTTCACCACTATTGACAGTACACATTCAAAATTTATTAAGCATTAATATGAAGTATTTACCTTCGACATTGAGTCACTTCTGAGCACGCGACCATCGGTGTCAAGAGCTTGATAGCTTGAAGCAATGTCCTTAATTAAAATACACTAATGTATCATCTTAAACTTGGACAAAAATATAAAAATGAATATAAAAAAATATATCTTACATCGCCGTATTGCAGAAAATAATACGGATCATCCTCGACAATCACCAGATCGTATTCTTGAGCTATCTAAAATGAAATACCAATCAAGAGTCATATAACTACGAACGTATTTACAAATTCTGTTTGCGCAAACTCGACTCATTTCTGACTGTTTTATATGTGCGATGCAAATGTTTTTTCAACAGAAGAACTTTAATAATATCACTAACCGACTGTGAGGTGTGTAAGGTAGTCACACTCAAGAGTACGAAGTACGAAGGACTAAATTGATATTCATACTTTATGTCTATTTATTTGCCGTTTTCTCATCAAAATTACATCTTACAACGTCAAACTAAGAATGACAGAGAACCTAAGAATATTTTGATGACTAGCATGCACATGCTAAATTTATAGCCAACCTTATATATTTCTTTTTTCCTTTCTGCCGAAGCAGTTGCACCAGTTGGGTTACTGCAGTTAGGAATTGTGTAAATAACTTTGGGCCGTTTTGATTCTTGTTCAATGTTCCAAGTTTGCATAATTTCTTTGAGTCTGCAAGCTTTCATTCCGAACTCATCTGTTTCTACAGGGATGAGATGAATTGGGAGAGGCTTTAGCTAAAGAATGTTATATTGTTATGAGCATTAAATTATATGAGAATATATTTTCAATCATAAAGGTAGCCATTATTAATACAGAAAATGTTTATCACTATCATACTAGATTTCCATTTTATAGAATTTAAGATAAAACTCACAAATCCAAGAGTTCCTGAAAACACGGGATCATCAATTAAAATATTATCTCCCGGTGATAGAAGCATATCTAATGTTTGAGCCAGGCCATCTTGACTTCCAACTGATACATATAAGTCGAATTCTACTTCGCTATGTTTGTTCATAAGAGGCGGTTCGTGATAATGTTTTTGAATTTTCCGCAGCCATTCCTTTAGCTCTTCAATGCTTGAAAATAAAAGTGTATAGATATAAGCATTAAAATACGCTTATTACTAATATTGTATATGGTTACAATAAATAGGTATATATAATCTAATCCAAATTACATTTTGATGAAACTTTTTTGAATGAATGCATAGCATGTATGACTAACGGAATATAGGAAGCGAGTAAAAGAATAGTCATTAGTTATTTGAAACACATACGCAATCAAGTGAACAAACTTTGCTATGCACTGTTGCAATGAAAACAATTGCGCTCGTGTCTGAGTTGACATAGTGTCGCGGAACTTACAAAAACAATCATGGGAGCTTGCTTCGTATTCCAGACAAAATAGAACCTTGCGATTCAACTTCTCAGAAGATTTGTGTCTCTAAATATACTCACCCCCCAGACTTCGAATATTGCAAAGCTCTCGCAAGTTCCTCCCCCTCTATCTTGACTGTTGAACCGTTTTTGATTTTGACATCAATACTTTCAAAGGGAAAGGTAGATGGGTTCGGCATACCTGGGCCAAAGGAAATATTCGTCGGCGAACTTTTTGCTAAAGTGGCAACGGATTGTCTGAAATTAGAAGATAAGTTGGCTTATGCTCTGTGTTTTTCAAGCGCATTATCACTATTTCTGTATTTCGGGTAAAACAACCGATTAAATGGGTATGAGCTTTGCAACTGCGATAACTGATTTGCAAACCATCGATAGGTAAACTATGTTTCCAATAAACATATCTTATGCTGTCGTCAAAATATATCAATTTAAATTCCGTGTCCCAAGCACACATACTCACACTTGTACACACAATATTTTATATTTCAACACACAATATTTTTTTTTATACAATTGTCTTTCAATTTCATTATCTAAGCAAGCCAGAGAGCATGCATAGACTAAGGTAAATTGCTTTATTCTTCGTACATGAACTTCAATTATCAGGCAAATGCTTCGTTAAAATCGCGCGCGCCTTCAACAAACTGCGACTAAAAAAAGTAACGCATCAGAGTATAGTTTGAAGCAGAATGTGCATTTCGATCGCGTTTGCGCTTGAAAAGATGAAGCAATCAATCAAGTCAAGTCAAATCAAGTGTCAAAGAAATTATTTTTAATTTCCATTGGTTTAAATATTAAAAGTAATCGTAAAGTTATACCTGATCCCAATAACACTAGTTTTTTTGTGAAATGTTACCTTATCGCACATGGTCTTCGTCTTTTACTTACTTCAGAAAAGAATCTACAAACAAAATAACCTTTATTGGTTATGTGAATAATTATTAGACCAGATGAATGAAATATTAAATGATGAGCAATTGTAGCTATAGCTACTATTACTATTGAGAGGTATTGATATATTGACACTGAACCTGGTATTTATTTTTATGCTTATTTAATTGAATTGAATTGGGTGGTAACTGACTTTGATGACCCCCAAAGGTCGTATCGTTGCCTCCCAGTCATATACCGAAAACATCTGTTTATTTGATATTTATATATGTATGTATATATTGTTTTCTCGGTTTGACAAAACGAAATAAACTCTCTCTCTCTCTCTATTAGTTTATTGTGTTTTCCTAGCTTAATATATTATATATATTACAATTTTGACGGTTGAGATGCATTTTTTATAATCGTTAATAAAATCAAAAATAGTCGACTCATCTCTAAGTAAAACAGGTAATTAGCGATTCAAATTTGCTTAAAGTTGGGATTAAATTTATCAAAATCATTGTATATGTATCAAGTGGACACAATACGTCTTTGTAAAAATATCTCACCTGTCAAAATCTAGCTTTTGTGGAGTAGTCATTTCGAATAAAGAGTCTTTGAACACCCCGGTTTCAATTATGAACAATAAAATTACATTATAATAATACTGAATACAATCTAAAAAATTATTAAACTAGAATAGATATCGAGCACAAAATTACTGCGACAAATATAACATAAAGCATTTTTAAAAAGATGGCTGAAACTTGGTATTTGACACGTTCGTTTAAATAATACGTTTTGCACACTGTTGAGTCCTGATAAAAAAAAAAAAAAATAAAACAACTTACCATTTTTTGTGGTACGTTACCGATGCCTACAATTTACTGTATATTAAAATAATAACTATACGAAAGCTAAACATTATCACGGTCATAATCATAACTAGTCATAATATAGCATACCAAAATTAACGTAATCCCCTGGGTAAGTAAACCTGATTGTACTTTCAAAGGTGGCAGATGTATGAGTGTGTAACTAGCGTAACTCCGTTTCAGTTCTCATGTAGGTAGATAACAAATTCGTTTTAATTTTCCAATACAATACCGGGCTTATTATGCATTGTGCAATAGAGTTTGCTTTTCGCACATGTTTAGGAAATGAGCTGAACTTGCCGACTATTTCTCTAGCATTTTCTCATAAATGAAGGCTCCATTGCACATAACTTTTATGCATGAACTAAAAAGAGAATCGATTTACCTGCTAGGTTGGCCGACGTGATATGAACATCTCGTTGCTTTAGTGGGGTAATCGTTCTGATTTAAGTACTTTTAAGAGTACTTCTATTAATATTGCGTCATTGTGCAATAAGGCAATATTGCAGACGAAGATAGCATTTTTCTGTGTTTGAATTCGCTGCATTAACCATTTTCACCTGGCTTCTTCCTGTTAGTACCATCATAATTCGCTTTCGTGGATGTAACAATGAAATTCAACACGCAACAAATTTTTACGTAATATATCAGTATTCGTATTTATTATTATATACAAAAAATTATTCAGTATCGAATATATTGAAATTACGTTTAAAAAGTCATTTCAAGTTCGTGATTACGTATTGAGTAAAATTAAAATTTAAATAGACGCTGGCAAATAACGGTATATCGATATGTTTACTTATAACTATATAAAATTGACATAAAAATGGTTTCTCCAATGTATATGGAAAAGTCGAATCGTTTAAATACTCTTTAAGGACCTGTGAATCGCTGCTGAATGGCTATTGTTGGGTGATTGTTGTTGTGAAAAATCAACGGTCGGTAAAGTCGTAGGACTCACCGGAAGGTTATTATTTTTAGTTTATATTTTTTCAACTTCTTTTAATTCCTGTGATACGCGATATTTCTCTCAAACTTTATCTTTCACTCCGTACAATACCTTCAATATTTAGCTGGACTGCCGCTGCCATTGTGGTACCAGCGGTTACGTGAACCTCTCGCACATAAATATCTCCGCATGGGATTCGAACTTGCGAACCCACGCAATGCAATCAGAGGTGCGTTGGTGAGCGTATTCCTAACGCTTAGCAAGGTGGGCCACACCGCCCATTTTTCATAAAAGTGCTATTTACATGTAACGATAACCTCTTTTAGCCATTTGCGGGACAAATGTTTGGATATTGGAACTAAACTGTAACTCTTTGGGACTTCTTAAGTTATTTTGTAGCAAGCGCATTGGGGTAGTTACTGTGTATTTCAATATTTTTTACCACGTATTGTTAATAAATAGTGCATGTTATTCGCTTGAAACAAGGTCGTTGCTCTTATTTATTTCCTATATGATTTATTTCCCTCGCTCAGTGTTGCTTGTCTTTAACATTTTTTGTTAGTTAGAAATTTGGTTTCATCACATAACTGCATCAAGGTTTTAAGTGTAATTTGTTATCTGTTATTGGGATCAATTCAATTGTGTATCTTTACCATATCAAAACATTTGGCGTTCAATCTATTGTGTGCTCATTGACTTCTGATGAGTTCAGATCGGAGTTACACTCTGTTAACGTGTGTTCAATAACACGGGAGTGTGGACACGCAGATAGGGTCATAGCCAGTAGTGGGATTCAGCCAGTTCGCACCGGTTCTATAGAACCGTCTCACGGAATTTTATGAGATCAGCGAACCGGTTAGCATTACATGACTTTTTGTAACAGAACCGCCTGAAAATTCGTCATTTGTATGATGGAACCGGCTGACAAAAAATTTGAATCCCACCACTGGTCATAGACTCATAGCCAAACAACTTAAATTCCTTCCTTCAAAATGGAAATGAAATTTATCAGTAATCAAGTCAATGGGCAATACGTCAACAACATAGGAATCAAGCAAGTAACCGCACTGCAGTTTTCGGCGGTTTGTCAATTTAATAAGCAGTCGAGAAAACCAGAACGTAATAGATTTTTTCCTCAAAACAAAGAATCTGGATCAGGACCTCCTGCGATCCGACAGGACTAACTCAACTTCAACTCTTCAAGTTTAACGCCCGAGTTCACGCTCGTATATTTTTATTTTTCAAGCTTCAAGGCCCGAATTCAACAATTCGTGTAGCCTATATATACAGGAATTTTCTTTCTCGTGCATTTACGCCCAAATTCTTTGAATTTGTGTCTCATTATCAACTTATAAATTACAACTAAATGTTTTGTGTGTCAAACGGATCAGGACTTCAGCAAATCAAGCCGCCTCATTGAAATTCGAAATTACCAGGACAACTTCATATTATTATTGGATTTTTAAATGTGCCTATACCGACGCCGACAAAGCAAGCTACACAGGAAATAACAATGACACAGACAAATCAATTTTGCTGAGCATACGATATACGCAAACCGATTTTTTCAAAAACAGGAGTATTTATACAACCTATTGTCTGGCTAACCAACGAACATCAACTTTATTCTTTCAAGTCGACCCAATCATCTATTGCAGCATCATTGGAAACCAAGTCGAATACAAATATTTGTGGCCCGTGGATAAGGGTCTTTTGTACTTCCATCACATAACACGGAAAATGGATTCTCCTCTAGCTGATTTAAGCCAATGTGAACCGAACACGAGTTTCTGACGCACAGGCGCTTTCACAATAGTTTGGAGCGTAGAAGTTACGAAAGTTTGCAGGACCCGCGGCTTTCTAAAGTTCAACGCTACCGAACGTTTGCTACATTACAACTCGTCGGGCAATCTTCACATATCGAAAATTCCGAGAGTTGGCCAAGTTTTCAAAGCTTCGAGAAATGCTCTCAACGAAAGAAATCTTAACGTCGACATTATTCTACAAATCAACTATTACGTTCAACTACGGAACGCGGAAATTGCACTCGCCTATCGTATTGGCTTGCTTGACTCTATAGTAGGAAAAAACTAGGACTTTCTAGCAAACAGATGTAAAGCACTCAGTTTCTGATTTTCAGTTATAATTTTCCTACCTGCACGGTTACTCTTACTCAATATATATTTGCCGAGAGCACGTTATTCTATTACAATTCGATTCGACAACGCGATTAACGGATCTTGTAGCACTATTACCAATCACCTGAAAACTATTCTAAAAGGACTAACTACTTCTTCGAACCGTTTTTAAAAATAACTTGAAAAAAGTACAAACGTGAAAAAAAAAATGTATTACGTGTGTCGTTTTAACTGTATGTTTTCATATGAAGAAACGATATATTTGAACAGAAGTACTTAGGACATGTGCGATTTCGTATATAAATAACTGGAATTCTGAATCACTTTCCCAGAACGTAATGTACTGACTTTTGAAGTTTCCATGTTTTTTGGGTAAGTTAATAAACAACATCCATGCCTTATCACGAGTTAGATAGTGACGTAATAAAAGAAATATGAGACTACAATCCGTATTTGCATTTTATTGCAAAAACGTGATAACTTATGCAAATTGTTCAAGCTATTACGTAAATTATGTGAAAAATGTTGGCCATTCTCATGCTTGCTTCAGATAATTGGCCGTCTATGTCTCATGATTATGAACAAGAATTTTATGTCAATTTATTTATTTTTATCTGTATAAACTCAGCCATGGTACTGCAATATTCGTCTCTTAAAACAAACATCATTCTTCAACAAGCGTACCCCCAAACTGTTGGTTCTTCTCATAACCGCATCACGATTATTAGGAAATTCAGGACATCCTGGCTTCCATGGTAAGAGAGATTGATAATGTCCATCCACCATTTTTATATTATCTTTCATTAGTTGTAATGCATACTAATCTTCTCTTGACAATGTTGGTGTGGGAGTCAATGATATATCTTTGAAATCTGTTTCCCACATCTCTCGAATTTGTTGTTGAAGATCTTCACTTTGCACTTCAACATGATGAAAATGTACATATAAACTTTCATTCCCAGAAGCTTTATTAAAGGCAGGCCCGACCAGTGACCAACCAAGAATACTTCTTTTTGCAACTGGTTCATTGTAGTACCACGTCTTTCATCTTTCACCCAGAATACTTCAGGTACATTCACTCCAATCATGAACATACCTCTTTCATTTGGCAATTTTGGAAATTCAATGCCCTGAAGATATCCATGCATTTCTGATTCAATCCTTTTTGGAAATTTATTTAATACGGAATGTCGGAATTTCGTTCACAGTGAGCACACGATGTAAAGTCACACAACCTTCACCTTTTAGTGGTTCAACAATCAAGTCAAGAGCAAATCCATCTTGTTCCTGTGAGTAGGTGTATTTACAGTAGTAATAGAACAAGAGAGCTATGCTCAAATATATGGACACGTAGCGCCACATAATTTTGGTGACCTCGTAGCAAAAAATAAAAGTAATAGCCTTAGTAATATGGAGAAAAATTCCATCTCTAACCAATGAAAATTCCAAAGCGGTCAGAAATGCAATCAGAAGCCCAATTTTTTCACGCATGGCTGCGTATGCTCTAGTCTCGACACAGCAGAAACGATGTTCAAGGCTTGAAATCTGTGGTGGCACACCCGTCGTTCGGTCGCAAATACGTCTTCCGAGTGTCGTCATTTGGTGGCTTGTATAGCTTCAACCCCTGGTCGTAGAAAGTTAATTCGAAGTTTAGCGTGCAGAATAAATGCCAATGTCCCTACGGTGAAAAAATTAACGGGTTAGAAATATTGGTTTGTCGTATTTTGGTGGCTTGTATAGCTTTAACCCCTAGTCGTAGAAAGTTAATTCGAAGTTTAGCGTGCAGAATAAATGCCAATGCACCTACGGTGAAAAAACACACAAGACTACAAGTAAATAAATTCGGTAAGCTATGGTAAAATTGCCAAAGTTCAGACAAAATAGACTATTCTTATTTTCACTGATAACTTTACTCTATTACCGTATTAGGTACTGTAACCTCCCTTTCAACGTGACCCGGTAGCACAAGGTGTCACATAGAGAAAACTAACAAATCGAAAACGCATCTCCCAAATCCTTGTCCAAACACAACCAATTGTTGAAAACTTGTAATGAAATTGTAATTCGAAGAATTGATAGCATAACATGAAATGCTCAGCAATACACAAACATCACAATAGACGGAAATGAAAGATGGAAGACGGTTTTCTAAAACAAAATAACATGTCTTAGAACACTTATAAAACTAAATAATACCAAATTCAGCAATGATCCAAATATAAATAAATAACATACCGATAATATTTATGACACCGGGTAAGAAAACTTTGTGAATCCACGAGAATACTTCACAATCTGTTAACAATGACAATATTTAATACACATACATCAGTGAACTTCAAATTATGCAACTTAAAGTACTAGCATTCTTACCCAAAAATCATTGCATAATACATTCTGGAAACATCAGTACACTTTCTTCACAGTAACAAATGTACGGCACAATATCTTAACACCAAGGGCAACAACCCAATAAAATCCAGTAACTAACTTATTTAGATGTCTAAGTCATCTACAAGATAAACACAATAAACAGCAATAATTAAATCACAATAATACCAACACAAAGAAACTTTAAAAACTTGACTTGGCAGCAAAACAGCAGCAAAGTATGGTGCAATATCCATTAATGGCGGCGAACTCGACTTAACAGCGCCCACATGTGGCAACAATATTATTGCCAAACAATAATACTTGGATCTTATGGATCGTGACGTAACATTCTCCCCTCCAAAATGGATAATTAGATATGAGCCATTTTAAAAAATTCAAATTCAATTACGTCACCTCACAAATCACAATATCCAAGTTCACAATTTAAGCATCACTGTGAATAATAAAACACAATTTGTTTATTGGTCTTTTAAGAAAGCCATTTTTTGTTTTAACTTTAACTTGGCGCACAGTCCCATTTTTATCAGGAAACACTTCAACAACTCGCCCCATGAGCCACTGGCAACGAGGTGCATCTTCAGAAATCATAACTATTTCACCAATTTTTAAATTTGGTTTTTGAACAGTCCATTTTTGTCTTCCAATAAGTGTTGGAAGATACTCTTTATTGAATCTTCTCCAAAATTGATCAGCCATGTATTGAACTTGCTTCCATTTGAAGCGGTAACAATCCTTTTCAGTGAACACACCTGGCGATTCGTTTCGTGATCCTCTCAATAGCAGCAGATGATTAGGAGTTAGTGGTTCTTCATCATTCACATCAAAAGTCACCGGACAAAGAGGTCTTGAATTTAGGATTGATTCGACTTCAACAAAAAGAACATGTAATTTTTCATCTGTTAGAATTTGATCATTCAGCAATCCTCCAAGTATTTTTCTTATTGACCGGATGAGTCGTTCCCAGCATCCACCTGCTTTACTGTCAGTGGGACAATTCCAGTTCCATTCTATGTTCCTTTGACTCAAGAAATCATTGATATAATGCTGATTCCACTTCTTTATTTCATCACGAAGAACTTTATTTGTGGCTTGAAAATTTCCAGCATTGTCAGAATATATAGCTCTTGGCTTACTACGTCGTCCAATGAATTTTCGTAAAACATTGATAAATGAGTCCGTTGACAAAGAGTAAGCCACTTCAATATGCACTGCACGCGTGCACATACAAGTAAATATACATCCATATCGTTTCACATTTGATCTGCCTTGTTTGACTAAGAAGGGTCCAAAAAAATCACATCCAACTTCAGAAAAAACAGGTTTGCTCACTGCCAATCTAGCACCTGGCAAATCAGCCATAATTTGCTGTCCAAGAGGTGCATTTCGTTTACGACATGACATGCAGTTCCCCAAAACTTTTCTGACAGCAACCCCGCCTTTGATAATCCAATATTTTTGTCGCAGTGATGTCCAAGTATGTCCCATTCCAGAGTGTCCAACCTCCTTGTGATGTTGGAGTATCACCAAATTGGTGAAATGATGGTCATAAGGCAGTATAATGGGATGTTTGACATCAAATTCCACTGGAGCTTTCTCAATACGTCCTCCAGCACGTAAAATTCCATTCACCAACATTGGCGTTAATTTCCGCAAGATGTTTCTGGATGACAGCCTTTTTCCAGCATCAATACATCCATCAGAAGATTTTGACAATATATCTATGATTTCACCAAAGGACTGCCTTTGTACATATTTAATTAGAGCAAATTCACTTCTCCTCAGTTCATCAACATACAGTGGTCCTTTGTGTAGGTTTTCCCCACTTTTCTTATGTCCTAAAAATGAAATGAATCGCAAAATCCAAGCAGTCGCCTTTTTCAGCGAATGCAAATCAGAAAACTGCTCCACAAGTCGATTAGTAGCACTTTGATCTGTTAACATGCAAACCGGTTCTTGCAATTGTTTTACAAGCTGAAATTCATTAGGCAGTGGAGGCAACGACACAGGCTGAGGCCATTGCTCAGCATCTTTCCACAAAAATTCAGGCCCACTGAGCCATCTGCTTTTCGTGGCCATCTTCTTTACACGGATACCCCGCGATGCTTCATCAGCTGGATTCTGCTTTGTAGATACGTAACGCCATTGTGATACTTCTGATCCTCCATCAATCTTGGCTAAGCGGTTTGCCACAAAAATCGGAAAACGCTTATTGCAATTTCTTATACTTTGCAAAACTGCAGTCGAATCTGTCCATAAAAAGATTCACATTCATTACCTAGATGAAGTTCACTTCTCAACATCTGGTCTATTTTCACTGATAAAACTGCAGCAGTCAGTTCAAGTCTTGGTATGGAAATTGCTTTCAATGGTGTCACTCTTGCTTTACCAAAAAGAAATGCACAATGTATATCTTGATTTTCATTAACCAGGCGTAAATAAGCCACTGCACCATAAGCAACCGAGGAAGCATCTGCAAAATGATGTATTTGCATCACTACAACTCTTCCAAATCCATTGGGCTTTACACATCGATTGATAGTAATATCTTTTAAAGCACTCAGCTGCTCAAGCCATTTTGTCCATTTTGCAACGTCACAATCAGGAATAGGCTCATCCCATCCAAGACGTTTTCTACATAAATCCTGTTGCATGATTTTTGCAACTATCACCACCACTGCTACAAAGCCTAGTGGATCGTATAACGAACTAACAAGCGATAGAGTAGTTCTTTTGGTCATCACATCAGGTGATGTCATATCTATATTGAAACCAAATGAGTCAAAACTGACTTTCCAATACACACCAAGAACACGATCAGACAGTGTTTCATCAAACTTCAAATTCAATATAGACTTGGCCTTCTCATCCTCAGGAATACTATTCAGTATTTTTTCACTGTTGCTAAGCCACTTCGTTAGTTTGAATCCACCTTTTTTCAATATTTCAGTAAGCTGTTGTTTCATTCGTAGGCCATCATTTTCAGAACACACAGATTTTAACAAATCAGCCACATAAAAATCTTGTTCAATGGCTTCGATAACATCAGTGTCAAACTCCCCTCCAAAGTCCTGGGCGACTCTTTTCAGACAAAAGTTAACAACAGTGGGTGAACTCTTAGAGCCAAACAAATGTACAGTCATTCTATGATCAATAGGCTCTTTTGACATATCTCCACCAGGCCACCACAAGAATCTGAGAACATCTCTGTCTTTCGGATCAACATGAATCTGATGAAACATCGCCTCTATGTCTGCTACTAGAGCAATCCGCTCCTGGCGGAATCTCATAAGAACACCGGTTAATGAGTTTGCCAAATCTGGTCCACTCAACAAAGACTCATTTAATGAGTAGCCACGATACTGACATGCTCCATCAAATACAACTCTTGGTTTTAGTTTTTGTGGATGTACAACACAAAAATGAGGAATATACCATATCTGATTGCACTCTTTCAAATTGCATTTTGTCACCTTTTCTGCATAGCCTTTCGCTATGTAATCTTGAACTATTTCTACATATTTCAAACGTAGATCATCATCGCGAACCAGTTTTCGCTTAAGGCATGACAATCGAGACATAGCCAAATCACGATTATTTGGCAAAGTTCTCGCATGAGGACGCCACAATAGAGGTAATTGATAGTGACCATTTTAATTTAATTGCCTCATGCATCAAATTAAGAGCATACCTATCTTTTCGAGACATAGCAGTATCTGACATTTTTTGTGAATCAATGAAATCTGTTTTCCACATTCTCTCAAGTTGCATTTGCAGTAAGTCATTTTGATCATTTTTTATAAAATTGACATTGAAAGATAACAATTTTGACCTTTCAATTTTTGGACCAATCAATGTCCAACCAAATGGAGTTTTCCAAGCTATAGGCTGTCTTGGACGACCTCGTCTCACTTCTTGTACACAAAAAGCTTCTGGTACATTGGCACCAATCATTAGTAGTACTTCAGCATTGTCAATGTTAGATAAATTCAACCGTCTTAGATGTGCCATTCTGTTCTTGTCATTCATTGATAACGGAGCATTTGCTTTCACAGGTAATTTGTCAATTGAAAACACTTCAGGCAAATCCATAACTTCCTTGCCATCACAAGATTCAACCGCAATTGAACTTTTGACCCCCCGTGTATCTTTGACTCACCATTCACAGTTGTTAATGAAATATCAGCTGGCTCCCGATGTAATCCAAGCATGTCAATCAGTTTGTCTGAGCACAATGTTATTGCTGAGCCAACATCTAAAAATGCATATGTCTCCACTTCTCGGTCATTACCGGATACCTTCACAGGCACAATACAAAAATACACGGACCTATTACTTTCTGTGGCCTGACACAAGCTTGATTCTGGCATGGAAGCTGGAGAAATGTTTTCTTTCTCACCATTAGTAGACTGTTCTTGATCAGGTTCATTATTTTCCTGAAATGAACGATGAATAAGTCTGTTATGCTTTGCAGTGCATCCATCCACTCCACATGAAAGCTTAGATCTGCACATACTGGCAACATGTCCATATTTCAGACAAATATAGCAAAGTCGACGTGCCCTCATAAATTTAATTCGTTCCACAATCGGCTTCTTCTTGAACTTTTCACATTTTGACAGATCATGAGGCATCGAACAATACATGCATTTAGTTCTTGTATGCTCACCTGAAGATGACAACTGCATCTTTTTCTCTGATACAGTTTCGGTGACATTGTGTGCCATTGTTCTAATTTGAGAAGTTTTCATTGGTTTCTCAACAACACTCACATAATCATCCATCATTTGACTAAAGGATGAATTGACTGCAGTTTCTTCTTCAGTCACAAACTCAATGAAATCTGGGAAAGATGGTTCTTCATCTCTCGCTATTATCTTCCCCACTCTACGTTTCCAAGCCATTCTCATACTAGGAAATAGGCGATTTGATGCTCTAGCCAAAATTTGTAGATTGTCCATTTCATTCTCTTTGTTTATGCCTTTCAAAGTGAGTTTGCAATCTTCCAATGTGCGAACAAATTCTTTAAGCTTTTCATGGTCATGAATTTATCTGTGGTCATCAACCACCTTTTTCACACATGAATGAACTACCTCATGTGTTCTACATAATTTTCTCAAGCAGTTTAATTGCTTTTTGATATCCTTCCTCTGGATCAAGCTTGGCACATGACTGAATGAGCTTTCGTGCTTCTCCGGTACAATGCTGGAGTAGATACGACAATCTGGCAGCATAACTATCAACATTTTCATCAATTTGAGCAGCAAAATTACGCCTGAACATATAATAATTCGTGGAATCAACAGAAAAATATAAAACTTCGGGTTTTGGTCTATTCAAATGCTTGATCAATGTCATAACATCATTTGACAATGATTGAGAAGAATCCGGAGGCCTACCACTGGCCGGTTGACAAGTCTTATTAACACTTGCCTGATCAGGGTTATTTGTAACCACTGACTGATTTGGAATATACATAGCAGGAATTCTATTGTCCTGATTTCCATCTTCAAATTTGCTTGGAACAAGTAAATCCAACACTCGAGGCACTACAGGGCCATTTACCCCAGCACTCGGTTTATCATCTAGTACAGATTTTGATTCAGTATTGACAGGATAATCTTCAACAGCCATTGCCAGAGTACCGGCATCAATTTTGCCCAAAGCACAGCCAACGTTAGACTGTGCATAAACAGGTGTACTCTGCACAAGATGTAAGCTTTCACATGTGGTTTTGTTGGCTACCATGCCAACTTCTAGCACTTTTCTATTGGCCTTCTCTGAACCCACATGTCTCACATCCTTCGAAAAACGATTATCCGTGACATCAACATTCATTCGATCTGAACTAGTGGACTGCTCCCAAAACTCTTCTTCGGCATCAGCCGTTTGAACTTTGTGTTCCCGAATCCAACATTTCTATTGACTGGTGGATTTGATTTATTCTGTTTTGGAGCTCATGTTTACGTTTAATCTTTTTCAAGTTCCAATCGAGCCAATTTAGCTTTTACTTTAGCTTCTGCTCTTCGATAACTTTGATCGTGAACTTGCACTTGAAGGTTGACTAGACTGTGTTGATTTCTCCAATTGAGAAAACTGATCTGCTGCTGCTTTGACTACAGCCAGCAGCCATTGCTGCACTCTACCATCAAATTCTGCCTGATTCTGTTCAATACTTTCCATCCAATTTGCATTGTGCTCAAAAATTGCAGATGGATTCTCACTACAGAATTTCATGAGTGCCTGAAATGTTTCAGAAATGTGCTTCGACAATTCCTGAACAGAAACAGCATTTTTGCGATCCATCATAAGGGATTCGACCCTTAAATACAAGTCTTTCAGTCGACCTTCCAATATTTCAAAAATCAAACGTTGACTGGAGTCTGAACTTGACATCTTCAAAAAGTTATGTTGTTGCTTTATTCGATAATTAGATTCTGTTCAGAATTGTGTTATTCATGTGATATCGATAATTCTATATTATCGAAAACTTTATGTAACCTCCCTTTCAACGTGACCCGGTAGCACAAGGTGTCACATAGAGAAAACTAACAAATCGAAAACGCATCTCCCAAATCCTTGTCCAAACACAACCAATTGTTGAAAACTTGTAATGAAATTGTAATTCGAAGAATTGATAGCATAACATGAAATGCTCAGCAATACACAAACATCACAATAGACGGAAATGAAAGATGGAAGACGGTTTTCTAAAACAAAATAACATGTCTTAGAACACTTATAAAACTAAATAATACCAAATTCAGCAATGATCCAAATATAAATAAACATACCGATAATATTTATGACACCGGGTAAGAAAACTTTGTGAATCCACGAGAATACTTCACAATCTGTTAACAATGACAATATTTAATACACATACATCAGTGAACTTCAAATTATGCAACTTTAAAGTACTAGCATTCTTACCCAAAAATCATTGCATAATACATTCTGGAAACATCAGTACACTTTCTTCACAGTAACAAATGTACGGCACAATATCTTAACACCAAGGGCAACAACCCAATAAAATCCAGTAACTAACTTATTTAGATGTCTAAGTCATCTACAAGATAAACACAATAAACAGCAATAATTAAATCACAATAATACCAACACAAAGAAACTTTAAAAACTTGACTTGGCAGCAAAACAGCAGCAAAGTATGGTGCAATATCCATTAATGGCGGCGAACTCGACTTAACAGCGCCACATGTGGCAACAATATTATTGCCAAACAATAATACTTGGATCTTGTGGATCGTGACGTAACAGGTACGGTACCGATATGTTTTTAATAGTCTATCGGTACCGTACTGTCCCCATAAAAAACTTTCAATTCCAACTAACGGTACAGCACGGGGACCGGTACCGGTACGGTCCCTATAAAAAACTTTCAATTCCAACTTCCGCTAAGGCGGTACGGTACATCCGATTCACTACTGTAATATAACACCAAGTACGGCGCTATTTGCCATTCACCAAATCTTAGCAAAGCAAGGATTTTGTTACGAACCACCGACGTTCGATGGCACGTGATCAAAATAAGAGGAGTGTCGGCATACGTGTCCGCAGAACGTTCGGTGATGTCATAGCAAACAAATCTCACAGAGCTAACAGAAATATTTGAAATAAATAAAAGTAATAGCCTTATGAAGAAAAATTTTATCTTTCACCACTGAGGATTTAAAAACGAATGGTCCAGTAATCAAAGAGAAAAGCGATTTCTTCAAAAACGTGTCAAAGAACAAGAACAACAAAACAACGTCCACTACGTGTGCAATAACTTATTGGCTCACCATCCATCTCTAAAAGTTCCATCAATCTTTTGTCACAAGTGCTTCCCTCGTCTAAGAAAAAGTATATTACAATTTCTTTACCATGAGGTGAGGATACTTTCACTGGAACTATATTCAGGTAAACTCCAGCTGAATTTCTGGTATAATTCGTTAAGTTTGACCCCGATGTAGCAGTTTGAGTAGCAGTAACTTGTACTTTGCTCTTTTTGCTTAGTATCTGCAGGATTCTTTCGACATTGCCGTGCCGTATGACAAATATACAAACAGTTTTTCAGTTTTTACAAATATGGAATTCACGAATTGTAGCCTCGTGTTCACTTGCAGACTCCTTTTCAAATTCTGGACAATGAATAAGAAGATGATCTTTCGAACAGACAACACATCTGTATCTATTTCTCACAAATGTACCTTTTCTCTCGGTAGATTGTTCATGTTTGCTATCACCACTTGTTGAATTGGAATTTGCATAAATTCTCTTCTTTTGAGGGTGTTTAGCCTTTTCCCTCTCTTTATGAGCTCTCATAGTTTTGCCCATTGATGGGCACCCTTTAGAAGATGTTCAAATTATAATTCAATGTTTCTGTTCTCATAATCTGTTGCCTCTTCTTCCCATTTATTATGGTACTTTAGGGGTAATCTACATGAAAGTTGTGCAATATTGTCGAAATTATTTAGATCTGAATATTGCTTCCAATGCGACAGCGTTAGGTAACATTCTTCCATTTTATGAGAAAGATCCAGAAGACTATCTCGATCATCTGGTTTCAACATTGGACCATGTACTAACTCTTCCATATAAGTTCTGGCAATCGACAATGGTCTTCCATAAGCCTCTCTCAAGAGTCTCTTTGCTAAAGTCAATCCTTCTGTAGGCGGATATACAGAACATTGACAAATCAATTCTCTCGATTTACCTTTGCAAAATTATTGCAAGTAAGTAAGTCTCAGATTGTCATCTGAAATCTTGTTCTCAATATTTATCTTGAAACTATTCATGAATCTTGTATATTCTTCATGAGAACCATGAAACCAAAGTAAGTCAGGCTTAGGTAAATCTACCATGTCACGCATTGTAGATGTCATGGTAGCAAGAATAGAGCCAACATCTTGTGATGGCATATATATTATTACCTGACTCACAAAATTGACCTGTCTCGTTTCACCTTGTCTAGGTTGAGATGCTTGATTAACGGGATTCATCTCTTTCGTAATCACTTTCTGGACCGGATCCAAGGTTAATCTAACTTGTGGCTCTCTAGGAGGCACAATACAATTGGTTTGACCAACTTGAGATGTGTTTACTTCAGCTTGTGCTTCTTCACATTCGACCAATCGAGCTATCGGTGGTACAGAATTCATTTCTTGAAACTGGACTTCTTCTTTGCGATTAGAGCTTCTTTCCCACACTTCCGCTCAACACAAGCGGCTTGATGTTCGCGTATAGCTTCTAATCGTCTTATTTCCGTCTCTGATGCTGATTTTATCTCTTCAGCACGCTGCTTCTCTGACAGCTGCTGAATTTTAATTTTGCAAGTTCCCTGACAGCTATAGCTTCAGTTTTCTTGTAACTGGAACTTGTACTTCTATAACTCGATGCTGCTCTGGCAGATCGAGGTCTTGATATGTTAGATGATTTTCCACTAGCCACAGATTGTGGTTTTGATGGAGGATTCTCAACGATTTGTGTGCTTTCTTGCTTGTGTGGTAGTAATTATTCCGCGTGTTTTTGATGCTTTTGTTTTCTTGTTTTTGTAATTTGTTTTGATTATTGCTGTGTTACATAATGATTTAACGCCGAACGCGAGGATGAGAAGGGATCGTCTGCCACGTTCTGGGCGGTGACAGACAGTCATGGTTTGTGTTTCGCGTGAGAGATTCAATAGCTGTTTGAGTTCTAGCTGTCCATTTTAAGCGGTTTTTATTAAAAGAATAAAGCCGCAGTCGAACCTCGGATCTTCTGTTTTTATCGTGACAGATGTTTTGTGAAGTATAGGAAGAAAAAGCTGCGACACTTGGAAAGCCACTCTTCCACACGTGCTTTGAACTCTTCATATCCATAACTTTCTCTATGGAAAGATTCTTTAGCTACTCTTTGAGCCTCTCCATCTACTGGCAGTTCTGCAACATGTATTTCATAAGCTTTAGAATACTCCACAAACATTGCATCCATTTCTTTTACTTGATTGATTGTAGAATCTCCTTATTTCTTGGATTCAACATCAATTCTTCTGCTGATCTATACTGACCATTCAGATCAGCCAATAAACTTTCCAGTTCTTCTTGTGAAACTGATTTTGCAGCCATTTCGACTTTTAAGTGACCTTCTTCACTTAATCTAGAATCAATTGAAATGTTCGATATCTTTTAATTGCTGCTTTCAATACTGTGGTTTAATTTCGAAAATAGAAACTTCAGTATTCCTGCATTCGAAAACTTTAATGTTGCGCTCGATACTATGTAGCCTGGTTACTTCCCACGCACATTATAAGATTGGAGACTTCATAAACGAGAAACGTGGAACGTAAAGGAACGGTTTTCTGCCAAAATAATAGATAAAACTAAATAGCTTATATGGCACAATTAATCCAATATAGAGGACTTGCACGTGTCACGTGACTTTGTTTACTGGACGGCAAAAAAACAAAACCGTCCAGCTGGCTCCTGTCAGTTGCAAGTCGGATTATACGTTTCCGTTTTGTTTGGCTGTTGAAAATGGTTATTTCGTATTGTTCCGTTGGCTGTACGTATAGTATAGACAACGAAATAGATCTCCAGTTATATTCCACTGTTTCCAAAAGATCCGGAACGTCGCCCAATGTGGATATCATCTACTGCTGTATTGGCAGGGCTGCTTGGTGTCAAGTCCAGATATCATCTCTCTTGTGTTTCACTGTTTGCGGACAGCACTTCGTTGATGGTGAGTGATAATGTGCTATTATCAATTTCTTTAAATATTCATAAGCTCCCTCATTTCAATGGAAAGCAGATGACAAACTAAGCAGTCCTGCCAATAGATGATATCCACATTAGAGGTAAGATCGGGCTCAAAAATTCCAGCCCGACCTGACCCGGGCCCGTGGGTATTAAAACCCGACCCGACCCGAGCCCGACTAATTAACTGGATTTGCAGGCCGGGCCCGTGGGTATTAAAACCCGACCCGACCCGAGCCCGACTAATTAACTGGATTTGCAGGCTCGACCCGACCCGGGCCCGTGGGTAATAAAACCCGACCCTAGCCCGACTAATTAACTGGATTTGCAGGCCCGACCCGGGCCCGTGGGTATTAAAACCCGACCTGAGCCCGACTAATTAAATGGATTTGCAGGCCCGACCCGACTAACTAACTGGCTTTGCAGGCCCGACAAATTAACTGGATTCGCAGGCCCGAAATTTCATATTTTATTTAGGAGTTCTTCGAATTGTCATTGCAAGAGTTTAGTACAGTATAGGGGAATGCTGGGACATATTTCTTCTTTTGTGAGCTCTATAATCTGCACATTCATTTGACAATGCGGGGCTAATGGATAGAGGATAGCTAAAGGTTTTACTGGGCAAACTAAGAAATTCCCTAGCGACACACATATTATCAAGAGGCATTCAAAAACGTGTGTCGAATGTCCCGCTGCACTCCACTTGTGCGGCACATTAAATTAAACGAGGTATGCCGTTAAAAAGCAATGAATAAGCATCATCATCCAAAGCACTACGAAACTTTGAATTTCGAAATTTAATATTTATGAAATCGGAATCACTCTGAAAAATAGTTTCTAATCTCGAATTTATTCCATATTGGGCCATGGGCCAAAAGATTACACAAAACACGAAATATTACACGAAACACGCATCTATAGGCCTCTCGTATCTTGATCTTTGGCCCTGTGAAATAAGGGAAATAATTAAAGCCTCAGACTATAATTAAAATGGCGATTTGAACAACAAGATATTGCTTACGTTGTTTACATTCGGTGGTCGTCATGTAAGAACAAGATTGCGTCCACTGTGCCAGGTTTCAGTGAAGTTCTCCGCTGGTCTATCGTGCGGCTAGCTGCGCTAAAAACTCGCTCACTGCTGCTGCTGCTTGCTGGTATGCACAACACGGATCTTGCTAACTTGGCAAGCCTAGGGTATATACAGGAGTTTGTTCTCCACCAGCCAAGCAAATCTCGGTCATCATCCATGGCATGCCTTTGACTGATGTACATGCTAACTTCATCTCGAACAGGTGCATCATCGTCCTCATCCGCGTTTTCCCACTCAGCGAATAGGGAAATTTTTCGTTTTGCTGCAGGTGGAGAAAGGGTGCTGGAGGTGTGCGCCTCGTCCATCTCGTTTTCAACAGTTGTAGGCCTAGGATTGGCTTCTCCTCCATCCTCTTCCAGGAGTGTGCGGACATGTACATGCACTTCTGACACCTCTGTCGGTGTCATCATTTTGAGTTTGTTGAAGGTAGGCCACAGGAACAGTGCAACTTTGTGCAACATATGTATTTTGATTTTTTGATCCAAAAATTCAGAATGCCTGCGGCGCACAAACGCCTGCTGAAGATTATCCGTAAAACTGGGTTGGCAGTGCTTTCTTAACTTCTCATTCCAGAGGCAAACTAGATTCAGCGTGGTATTGTAGCAAGTACATAAGGATAGTTACTGTGTATTTTAATATTTTCACCACTTATTGTTAGTAGTGCATGTTATTTGCCTGAAACAAGGTCGTTGTCCCAATTCATTTCCTTTATGATATATTTCTCTCACTCAGTGTAGCTTGTCTTTGCCGTTCTTTGTTAGTTAGAAATTTGGTTTCATCACATATACTTGCTTTAAGGTTTCAAGTGTAATTCGTTATTAGGATCAATTCGATTGTGCAACTTTACAATATAACAATTGGCATTCAATACATTGTGTGCTTTTTGACCTCTGAAGGAGTCAAGATCGGAGTTACACTCTGTTAACGTGTGTTCAATAACACGGGAGTGTGGACACGCAGATAGGGTCGAATCTTTGTTGCCCTATATTTTGGTGATACCCGTTCGTGATCAATAAGCAATCAACTTCAATTCAGCAACTGGAATTTCGTCAATCAAAATGGAAAAGAAATTCCTCACTAACCGAGTCAATGGACAATACGTCAGCATTTCAGGAATCAAGCAACCAACCAAACTGCAGTCTTTGGCGGTATGTCAATTTATTAAGCAGTCAAGAAGGCCAGAACAAGGTAGATTTTTGACTCAAAACGAGGAATCTGGACCAGGACCTCCTACGATCAGACAGCACTAACTCAACTTCAACTCTTCAAGTTTAACGCCCGAGTTCACGCTCGTGTATTTTTATTTTCCAAGCATCAACGCCCAAATTCTTTGAATTTGTGTCTCATTATCAACCTATATATATTACAACTATATGTTTTGTGTGTCAACCGGATCAAGAGATATGGACTTCAGCAGATCGATCCGCCTCATTACAATTTAAAGTTACCAGGACAACTTCGTATTATTACTGGATTTTCAAATGTGTTTATCGACAAAGCAAGCTACGTAGAAAAAAAAACATTGATATTATACGCAAGCCGATTTTTTTTTACACCAAGAAGCAGCCTTTAGCGACCTACTGTTTGACGAACGTACGAACGAACATCTACTTTATTTCTCTCAAGTCGATCATCATCTATTGCAGCATCTTTAGAAACCAAGTCGAACCCAAATACTCGTGACCCGCGTGGAAGGGTCCTCTCTACTTCAATCACATAACACGTAAACTTCACTCTCCCCTAGCTGATTTAAGCCAATGCTCACCCAATTCCGGGTTTTGCCGGAAAGGTGCGTCTACATTTGTCTGGAACGCTGATGATACGAAAGTTTGCACGGCCGGCAACTCTCCGAAATTCAACGCTACCACACTCTTGTTACATTTCAATTCCTCGGGCAATCTTTATCGATTGGAACTACCGAGAGTTGGACAAAGCTTTCACAGCTTCGAACCTTGCTCCCAACGAACGAAATCTTAATGTCAACAATATTCTTCAAATCAACTATTACGCTCATCATTTTACAAAACAGAAAGAAGTCGATTGTCCAAACGCAATGGCTTAGTTCTGGGTGTTATCCAAGATTTCGTGAAAATCTGTAGATTTCACCGCAAAAGATCCTTCAACCGGAGGTATCTCAATCAAATTGGTTTTCCTGTGTCGTTGCATTAGTTGGTCATCAGCGACTTAAATACACCAATACATGGCAAATTTTACGACATATTATTCAATCAGAAATCGTTATTAGCTAGTCTTACAAAATTTAAAAATTAGCAAACTAATTTTTTTCATTGTCGGGGGGAATTGTGTAGCAAGTACATAAGGATAGTTACTGTGTATTTTAATATTTTCACCACTTATTGTTAGTAGTGCATGTTATTTGCCTGAAACAAGGTCGTTGTCCCAATTCATTTCCTTTATGATATATTTCTCTCACTCAGTGTAGCTTGTCTTTGCCGTTCTTTGTTAGTTAGAAATTTGGTTTCATCACATATACTTGCTTTAAGGTTTCAAGTGTAATTCGTTATTAGGATCAATTCGATTGTGCAACTTTACAATATAACAATTGGCATTCAATACATTGTGTGCTTTTTGACCTCTGAAGGAGTCAAGATCGGAGTTACACTCTGTTAACGTGTGTTCAATAACACGGGAGTGTGGACACGCAGATAGGGTCGAATCTTTGTTGCCCTATAGTATATTTATCTCCTTCCAGCTCTCGTTGTGCTGCATAGAAAGGCTATAGAAAGAAGATCAGAAAATCCAACATATCTGTTGCAATGTTGTCCATGCGCCTCCCCTCTCCGCGTGACTGCAGCTTCCCACACAACTCAGTATATATCTCGCGCACAGACTTGAGTGTCAAATAGATGGTGCTGAATCTGGTTTCGCCCATCTGAAGCACTGTTTTTGATAGTTGTGCTGCCAAACCAGATTGCTTGGTGAAACGGACAACACTCTTGACTGCAGTAATGGTTTCTCCAATGTCTGGGGCGTTTTCAGACAGTGCGTCCTTGTCCAGCCCATGGCGAAGGACAGTGTTGATAACATGGTCAAGGCACGAGATGCGCTTGTAAGGCTCCAAAGCTTTCACGATGTTACTGCCCTGATTTGTAACCCACACTATTCTGGATAAAGATGATTGTTCCAAACCAAATGTATTCACCAGAAGCCAGACCAGTTCTCTTCTTATATTCTTCCCCGTTTTGGCGTCTTCTGCTGGAAATACAGCAGCGGTGAGGGTTTTTCCAACCAAGTTGAAGTCCGTTTCTGTAAAGTGACAAGTTATTGCAACTCTTCTTTCTGAAATCATCTGTCCACATATCGGTACTCATGGCGACGTCACAGCCGCTTGCCATAGCTTTCTTTACACGCGTAATTATCAAGCTCCTTTTTACATTAGCCTTCTCGGTGCACGCGTTTGACACTGTGGTGTAGTGAGGCAGGACCGAGTCGACAGGTACGCGTCCAAAAGTTGACCCAACATTGATCAGTTCACGGGCCAGACTTTTAAAACCTTCGCCACTAACTACTGAAAATTGTCTGAGGTCTTGACAGCAAAAATCCACACACTTGTCTGTGATGGCCTGCTTAGCGCGAAGAGGGAAGGTCTTTGGGGCAAATGATAATATAGATGATTGGCGATCATGACTTTTGCCAATACAGGTTTTTAAATGCCTGCTCAGCGTCGACGTGCCAGTCCTTTTGCTATCGCATGCAAGCAATAATCCGCATTGACACTCAGCGAAGCCAACGCAAGTTTCTGTAGCATTTTCAACAATCAGTTTGAACGTTTTCCACACCTCACTCTTACCGGTGTGTGTTTTTCTTTTCAGTTCCCCTGTCTTAAGTTTATCCTTCTCTTCTTGCTGCTCCATATCGTCAATACTAGGTTAAAATCACGCGGACTTGCGGACGGGAAGATTATTAAGAATCAGTGTTCACGACGCGTGCACTGAGCATGACATTGGCCAATCAGCAATATGAAAAAGTGACGTAACAATGCCCCGTTTTCGCATCCCCTTCGACACTTTTCTCGCTCAAGAGTCAAGACAGATTTTCGGGTGTGGTCGTAAACATTACCCCGTTTTCGAACTCTACTCATTAGTTTTCAGTTTTGTTTTGGAAATTTCAATATAAATTAGATAATTCAAATATCCCTTTCCTTTGTCTTCCTAGGAGTTTTAATTTTATTGAAATAAAAATTTGTGTAATTGCTGTGATAGACTAGGCTAAAATTCCTAACCGGTACTTTTAAAAAAACAGATTGTTGTATGCGATGAAATATAATGATGGTTTGAAGTAAATACCCCATTTTACTCGAAACCACTCTTAAAATAAAATAGGCCCCGAAAATTTTGCAATGGTAAAGTATAGGAAGAATAATTTATGGGGGGGGGGGGGTCAAAGGTCGGGGAAAGGTTCATTACAGTTTCTTCTCTGCTTTATCCAAATTATTTCTTTTATAACAAGTATTCCTTCGTTTAGTATCCGCATATAGTTTTAATATATATTTTTTATAAACATATATATTTACTTATAAAAAATCCAGCGATATATAAGCCCGACCCGTACGTAATGATTGACAAATCAGGCCCGACCCGACCCGAACGCAATGCTGACATTTCAGGCCCGACCCGAACCTAATGATTGACAAATCAGGCCCGACCCGACCCGAACGCAGTTATTGACTTTTCAGGCCCGACCCAACCCGAACGCCATGTTTGACGTTTTAGGCCCGGCCCGAACGTAATGATTGACAATATAGGCCCGACACGACCCGACCCGAACGCAATGCTTGATATTCCAGGCCCGACCCGACCTGAAATATCGGGCTCGGGCTTCAGATCTTAGCTCTAATCCACATTGCGCGACGTTCCGAAGATCCATTTCGTTGTCTATACTATACTGTGGTATACTGTGTTATGGCTTCCATTATTTCATGCATGAGTGACCTTGGTTTTCTCTCTCGCCCTTCTTCTTTTGTTGATGCTTCAGTCGATGACTGCGTGTTTCTGTAATACAATTTGAATATCTACAAACATCGTCTATTCTTCGAGTTCACGACACAACATATAATGGCGATGAGGATGGGATTATTATACAGCCAACGGTATATTACGAAATAACCATATGTCACAAATCACAATTATGTAGCCTACAGATTAAATCACATAGGATAAAATAGCATTCACGATACTAAAATACAGAATAAATCATACAAGATAAAACAATATTTCCATACCGAATGTTTAGGATCTCCAGGCAACTCAATTCAACAAATTATAATCCAACAAAAATACAACTTAACTTATGTGACTAAATGTAAAGAACAGCAGTTATCATTTTTTTGGGACTATAATACAACCCTAATCTGTAAACCTACATTATATTACAACCCCTGTTTAAACCCAATTAATAACTTCAATCCGAATCGCTTAACCCAGTGTTTTTCAACCGGGGTGCCGCGGCACACCGGTGTGCCGTAGAATGTTGTCAGGGGAGCCGTGGGAAATTCTCCAATTTGTGTGTATATGAGGTGTTGTGCCCGGTAGAGTAATCATGTAGTACTGTTCCGTATCAAAAGGTGGCAGCAGCAGGTGACGATTTGCAAGCATGGATGCAGCGGCAGGTAATTGTGACGTCATACAGATGTCACGTGATACGAGCCCGCATTCGACCGACTCAGACTCAAGGTCATTCCCGCTCTTCCTGGCTGCGCTCTGCAATTGTGATGGAAAAATTTTTGAAAAGAAAAAATGCGGACATTGTACTGGACCCTGGACAAAATCCGGGCCCTAGTATGAGTGGAGGTGAAAGAAAGCAAAGACAATACAACGAAAACTATCTTTCATTTGGATTTACTTGTACCGGAGATGCAACGGCACCGACTCCATTGTGCTTGGTATGCGGTGAAACGCTCTCCAACGGTGCTATGGTTCCAAGCAAGCTCAAACGACATCTTGTAACTTAACACCCTTTACTTCAAAACAAAAATGTGGATTATTTTGTTCGCCTGCGTGATCAGACAAAGAAACAGGCCACTTTCATGAGAAAAACCACAAAGGTAAACGCGAAAGCCCTTAAAGCTAGCTACCACGTAGCTGAACTTGTGGCTAAATCAAAAAGTCCCACACTGTGGCAGAGCTGCCCGCCTGCAAAGTCATTGTAACTGAAATGCTCGGGCCCGAAGCGGCCAAGGAAATAGCCAAAGTCCCTCTTTCAGATAACACAATTTCCAGACGCATCAATGAGATGTCTGCAGACATAGGAATTGTTGTTTTGGGCAAGATCCGTATCGGTAATAAATTTGCTTTGCAGCTTGATGAGTCTCCTGATATTAGTGGGCATGCTCAACTCTTGGTCAATGGTGAGGTTTGTGGATGGAGACACAATCAGAGAAAACTTTCTATTTTGCAAGGCTTTGCCAGAAAAAACAACGGGAGAGGAAATTTTTCGCGTTGCATAGAATATCTAGAAAAAGGAAGACTTACGTGGGAAAACCGCACTGATGGAGCTGCAGCCATGGTTGGGCGCACCAAAAAGCTTTGTAAGCAGAGTGAAGGAGAAAAACCCAGATGTGATCATAACGCACTGTTTTTACACCGCGAAGCCCTCGTAGGCAAGACTTTACCGGCAGACCTCGTTCCTGTGATGGATGATGTTGTGCGTATGGTAAACTTTGTAAAGTCACGACCTCTGAAAACTCGCATATTTGCGGCTTTGTGTGAAGAAATGGGAGCATAAAGCCTTGCTGTTTTATACGGAGGTCCGATGATTGTCGCGCGGCAAGGTGCTGGCCCGTGTGTATGAGCTGCGAGAGGAACTTAAAGTAATTCTGACGAACGAGGGGTCCGAGTACACAAAGCTGCTTGCAAGTGAAGAGTGTTGTGCTAGACTGGCATAACTGGCAGATATTTTTTATTATCTGAATGAACTGAACACACGAATGCAAGGCCGAAATGAAAACCTACTTACAAGCACAGATAAAATAAATAGATTCCGTTCTAGGGTGCAACTCTGGCAGCGACATGTGGGAAATGGCAATCTTGAAATGTTCCCACTCACCAGTAAATGTCAAGGTGTTAATACTGCTGCACTGTGTGAGGTAATAGTTAAACATTTGAAAATTCTTGAGCAGAAGATATCATTTTATTTCTCTTCAGTCACCACAGAGTACCTTGACTGGGTTAGGGATTCATTCAGCTCAGCATCAGCTTTTGGAATGGACATGACTTTGCAGGAGCAACTAACTGAACTGAAACAAGATCGTTGTCTCAAGCAAAGCTTTGCTGATCTACCTTTGGACAGTTTCTGGTTGGCAGCTGCCACGGAGTTCCCCATGCTGGCCCACAAAGCTATTTTGACATTGCTCCCATTTTCCACAACATATCTGTGTGAGGTGAGCTTTTCAAGCCTGAATGCTATAAAAACTAAAAACAGAGAAAGACTTAGAGCTGTTGATGAAGAGCTTCGTGTGTGCCTTTCATCGATTCCTGTCAGAATATCTGCTCTGTCTTCATCCAAACAGCCCCAGGTTTCACACTGAGTGAGAATAATAAATATGAACGATTGTGAAATACTTTTTGTCCTTGTTTTTATTTGTTTAATATTGAAAATGTTCAATTCAACATCTTTCTTCAATGTTTATAAAAACTCATATGAACAATATATCATATTGTGAATATTAGGTCTTTTTGCCTCATTTTCAGATGTTGGTGTGCCGCGGGATTTTCTCAATCGAAAAAGGGTGCCGTGGCTCGAAAAAGGTTGAAAAACATTGGCTTAACCTAACCGCAAATAGTAAACCCAATATTAAACACGATAAACAACTCCTAGCGCAATAGATTACACTGGATACAAGACAGAAGGTGCCAACTCGTCGAAGCAGCGTGGCGATAATTTAGAATCCACGGGATTAATCGAGAAACAGGACTATGTCGCAATAATGCTGGGGGGGTTGTTAAAATCACGGAATTTGACTGTTGTATCTATGGACGTCAAGACGGTGCCTGTATGGGAATGACGTTCTGTGGTCAGTAGGCTAGAAGAAAAATGAATTGTGTTGTGCAGACAGGACCCAGCCGATGAGATGAGATGGGCTCGCGTCAAATACCTCGTCATTTGAAGAGATGTTTTGTGCCTTTATTTTAGTCAAAACACTCCTCTATGTTCAAGCGTTGGCCATGTGACAGCAGTGACGAACCGCAGAGCTGACTTAGCGCCGTGCGATCCATTTTTGTTTTGTTATTTGTGTCCCAGGTCCCAACTTGGTTGTTTTTTACGGTAGAACTAGGCCTGCTCACACTACAAGTAATAAATTCATCATACAATGAGTGCAGAAAAAATGTGACCGAAGTAAACTAAGGGGAAACGTATTTCCTTATTCACAAAAACGTTAAACCACAGTGTCTGATAAGTTTTCAAGTAATATCTGCCACGAGAAAATATATTTTTAAGCGACGTTACAAAACCAAACACAAGAAAAGATACCCAAAATACCACGATATTTCTCGGGTAGCAATCTTAAAATAACCAAGGGCTTATATAGTTCCCTGAAAAACTGCTTAAAACGATCAACTCTCATTCTTAAATAAATATATTTAAAGTGAGTAAATGCGTGATGTTTGGATCATTTTCGGGTTTTCTCTGACCTCGGCCCGCGAGACCGCGATTTTGAAGAGGTACCTCAAACTCGGAAGGTCCGTACGTAACGCCATTGAAAGCACCGACATCAAAAGCTGGAAGTGGCTTCTTTGGGTCTGGTACAATCTACAATTTCTGAATTATGCCAACCAAGAATATGAAAATTCCCATTCTTGCCTCACAGAGACGAGGAAAGACGGAGAATGGGATCACGTGATTCGATTTGACAAAT